AGATACGTTTTAGGTGTGAATCTAATAGTCGGGTTTCAATTACTATCAACAAATTTTAAGAGCCATGTATCTCTAACCGTCCCAAATGCGCGCCAGCTTCCTTAATCCACACAGCATGCATCCTTGCAGCGAAATTTCAAGTTTCCAAGTTTCCGAGTGCCATCCTCCGAGCACTCCAGGCTTCATTCTTTGCTTCACCAGGCAACAGCACCGTCAGCGTCATCCAGCCACAGCGTAGCCAGGTCCTTGGCAAGACCCAGCCGCAGCTTTCGCAGGACATCCTCCGCCTTTGTTGAGGCAGAGAACTCTTTCCTCCAATCCCAGCCCCTCTGGATTGTCCCGCCGGCAGCCACAGATTTATGGAAATGGTTTGTCAACATGGAGCTCCCGCTCATTATGTAGCTACCGCCCAACGAGATCGTCGACTTTTGCATCAGATCGGATGGCTTCGACCCCTTGAGTCCTTGACCTGACGAAAGAACCAGATCGAAAAACTCCTCACATGCTGAATACACTCGCGAGCCGACAGTCTGAATATCCTCGACGGCCTTCAGCAGAATATCGATTTGCCCAAGAGTGATGGCAGTCGGTGATTGGTGGATGAAGACAGTTGCCTCTCCTAGGAGTGCCAATAAGAAGTCCTCGCTTACCACGGCATCTCTAGCGTCGTCGTACAGCCCACCGCGGATATTATCATCAGAGCTGGAAACGACTGCCACAAGAGCAAAGGCGGCCTGCTTCTTCAAAGCCAGGGTTTTCGAGGAAGACAGACCCTTGGACTGCAATTCGTCTCTAAGCTCATAGAATTTACGCAGTGTTGCGTAACCACTCATCATGCGGCCGAGGAGCTGTGCTGCCTCCAGGTCTTGCTCTGCACGTCGTTCAAGTGTCTCTCCTCGCTTTCGTAGCAGGTTTTTGAGTTCCACGTCCAGATCCTTCTCTGCGGGGTACACCGTAGATTGGATTAACGAGTATGAAATTAGCAGGTTGAGCACCTCTCTAACCTTGTCAGTGCGGTGCGATAGCGCGTAGTACCACAAGGCCTCGCCAAATCTGTGCGATTCCTGTGACAATATATCCGCATATGTCTAACGCCCATGTCAGTCTAGGATTCTCGGACAGTTTAAAAGGGATGTCTCATACCTCTGCAGTCTCTTCTGCGAAATTAATCAACCCAAGTTCATTTAGAATCCTCCACATTTTGTCAACCGTTGAGCTCGAATGCTCATCCAGGGTCTTGAGAATGTCCCTCAGCAGCTCTCCTACTGTTGTTTCGGACTTCTCGGTCGCATCCATTCGACCAAGAACTTGAATGGCCAGCTCCCAGCCTTCGCGCTGAGGAGACAAGTGTTCAATGCCAGCAAGCTGCCTTGCGTAAGCCTCGAGTGTGCTATCCTTGACGCCCTCGATATCGTCGAGCGTGGGTTGCGGGATATTGAGAATCTCGAGATCTTCCATGTCAAGGTTGTCCATGAGAAGGGGTTTCTTAGCCTCGGTGATGGGCAGCCAGCGCCCCAACGAAGCAACTTCAGCCACTGAGCTCGCTACAGGCAGAGACCAGGCGCGCAAGAAGCCAATAACACCTTCAACATTGCCTTCAAAGGCAGATGCAATAGCAACTTCAACGGGATTCATTGCATTTGGCACAAGATCCGACTGCAGGACATAATGGAATGTCGCAGTGAGACGATCGAAGTAACCTTCCAGGTCATTTTGCCTGAACGTCGAGGCGAGAAGATCACGCTGTTGAGTAAATCCAATCGCATTCTGCTGGTCAGACTTTTCGTCCCACCAGGCAAACATGCCGACAGTTGCCTCGCACCAATCCTGCGCCGTATCGATGATGGCCTCGTTGTTTCCGAGCACGATCCCGTATACTGCTTGCAGATTCTCATAAATGTCCCATGGAAGTTGGCTAGTCGATTTTCTAGCCATGGTAGACATAGACAGACCCATAGGTGGCAAGGCCTGGTCGTCTTCCGAGTTGCGGAAGTGATCTGTGCCCTCGGCGAATACCGTCATTTTATCTCGTGCTCCACGTGCCTGAATTCTGAAGAGCGTCCAGCTACTATTTTTGATGTCCCAGTCAGACTTCGTGGCAGGACACAGCTCCAAAGTCTCGCAGCAAGTAGCAACGAACCGCTTCACATTCTCCAAAGCCTTGCCAGTGTATGCAGGTTCCCGCCTAGGGCCCCTAGTCACAGACTCCCACCCAGCATTCCGAAGTAGATCAATCGCATCTGCTAGCTCACCCCGTAAGAGAGAGTTTCGCACGGTCTGCCAGAAGAGGCTGTGAGAAGCAGGGCTTGGTTGGTAGTAGCGCACATTTCGAGCTTGATCAGGATACAAATTATGTGAGGTTCGGAGCCAGTCCAATAATGCCTCGGGGACAGGTGGGATCTTTTGATCTCCTGTCCCATCGCCCAAGAATCGAGTATGGTGTAATCGCAGTATCAAATGAGCGACATAGGCTGCCTTTTCAAATGCAGAATCTGTAGGGCCAGGTCCAACATAAGCCAGGCGCTCCCCTTCCTTTGGAAGCCTGGCGGCGAATTCATTCCACAGGGTAACAAGGCGGAAGGTAGCATTCGCTAGGGAGTCGTCCAGTCTTTCTTCATCCTCACTCGTGCCAACTCCTTCATCATACAACCGGCAGATTATGCTCTCGGTCTCCAAAATCAAATGAGGGGGCTCAACGAGCTTTGCGATGTCGAATGAAGTATAAAATTCCCGTGCAATAGAGGCAAACTCGAAGCCTCGGTTGCGTCCAGATGATCCCAAGAGCGCGGTCGACTGTCGGTACAGGCTCTCTGCTTCCTTTCGGACCCTATTAGTTGCTGCTGGTGTGTTGAGCATCATCAAATCCGATTCTTCACCGATGACTGGCTGCCCATAAGGTCGGTCATCGTGACGCATATTCAGAAACATATCAGCCTCGTCCCCAGAGCCATCTGCATCTTCAGAGACATCATCCTCTAATCCATGATCCTGGTAGCGGACCTGTCTTTCTTCCTCTTCCTCTTCCTCTTCCTCCTCTTCTTCCTCCTCCTCCTCCTCTTCTTCCTCTTCATCGTCGTAATTATCCTCTTCTAGATCGAGGTCGCGAGTGATTGCTCGCTCGATCTCATCCTCCATCTCTTTATTGCCGAAATGCTGTTGCGCAAATGAACTCCGGAACAGACTGCCCGGAGGGGGTTGAATATCCTCCTCTCCCTCGGCATCCTCGTCCAGATCCTCATCAGGTTCGAAATCCCCCATATTGTATTGTCTGCTGAGACCCGAGGCAGGTCTTCCTCTTGGTCCTATCGAGCGGCCCAGTGGAGCATTTGACTTCTCACTGCGACCAAACAGGTTCGTTCGTGTGCTATCTCGGGCAAAGTTGCTGCCGCCAAAGTTTGGTGTAGGTTGTCCGGCCATACTACGCATTATGGAACTACCAAGATACGAGTCGGAAGGCGCCCCAGCTGGTGTGAAGGATGCGACTGAAGATGGGGGCGGTGGGCCAGCAGGTGTGGTTGATGGGAGATCGCCAAATGTCGGGAGTCCCGAGTGTCTCTGGGGTGTTTGAGATGGCATTGAAGGGCTTGGGCTGCCCGGGGGACTCGAGTCCGGGACAATGAATCGGTTAGCCATGGTGGTCGGTGTCGACTTCTTTGTCTTCTTCGATGCCGATGCCGTTGTCGTAGGGGAAGATTTTGGATGTGAGGTGGTCGAATGGGAATGATGGTGATGGCTGCAGGCCGCGCAGCGACGTCTTGAAGGCTTCTCCGTGCCTTGTGTCGCGCGATCAGAATGCGACATGAAAGCACGATTAAAAGCAAGGGGGGGCCTTCGATCACTCAGTGCACATATCACATTTGAACGACAAAGACGTCAGTCAGTGCGAAACGCGTGCTTGGGTATTTTTTTGAGAGCTACCGCGACCAAAGCTATCCACCCGAAATTTACCCGGCCATCACACAGGTAACCGTCCAGTCCTCAGTTCGCTTGGTGCTGGACGTCTGTGCACGATTAGACCAACACACCTAACCTAGAGAACGATCATATATGTAAATGCTCCAACAAAAGGAACTCATCCGTTTTGAATCTAAGTACCACGCAGGTGATGCCGAGACTTACTAAGTTAAAATGGGGTGTATCGACAGCTCTCTGTAATCAAAATGTCATTTTAACGTGTGGGCCAGGATCAGAGAGCAAGATCATGTACAAGAACAAAGTTGCGCAATTAGGAGTATTTATAGAAAACAGTAGAATGAAACCCACACTCCCGGGAGTTGTTATCCAGCACAGCCAATGTGGGATTCTCTTGTTCTTAGGACAACTTGGAGCTACAACATGCTTAAAACTTATCTCAGGACCAACCGAGCAAGAATACCCGTAGCCCCATCCCTCACGGTCTAGCCGAGTGTCCGTATCTACAAATACCCATCGTAATGACTCACTCTCCGAGGATTGTCCCCAATCGCCGGATTCTTAATCAGTCGGGGTTTGGCATCCACAGCCTCGACGATAGACCCAAGGCTGCTGGGACAGTGGCAACATGTGGTGCACGAAAAGCGCTATGTAATAGTGCTACCTAATCTGAGCCCAGAATGCTTCTCACCAATAACCATCGGCTGGCTTCCCGCTGTTCGGAGGGGTTTCCACTAATACAGGCAGAGCTGCCCCCTCTCTGGTATTTTCCCCATTATTCCAAGCCAATCATTGGCCACATGCATTGAGATCTGGTTATCTTCGTTGAACTAGGTTAGCCTACGCGCTCCTGAGTTAAATCTCCCCCTCCGCAGCGGGGTAACTATTCTCGGCGCTCTTCGGTGATCGGAAAGTAAACGAATGTGAAAGGCAAGCTCGGAAGCTGGTTTGCTTTCCCTCCTACCTATATAACAACATTGACGGTAGCTCCGACTCGTCGTCTACTCAAGCTTTGATTCTGTCAATTTCACGTACCCAATCCCCCTCCAACCCTCACCTAGAGCCTCACCTCTTAGTGACATCATACAATGGCTGATACCGTTGGCAAGGTGCGACTCACCCCTCTGCGACCCCTCACTCACATTCGTCACCACAGTGAAGCTCTCATGAGAATGACCGGCTAACCAGAGCCTTCGGGTTCGCTTGAATAGACCATCACCTGCAAGGCCGCCGTCGCCTGGGGAGCTGGCCAACCCCTCAGCATTGAGGACATCGAGGTCCTCCCCCCCAGAGCCCACGAGGTCCGAATCCAGATTTACTACACTGGTGTTTGCCACACAGGTGAGACCAACCAGCGATTCACTCACCCACCCATCACCAGATTCATCAAAACTGACCTTTGGCTTCTGCAGATGCCTACACCCTGTCCGGCAAGGACCCCGAGGGTGCTTTCCCCATCGTCCTGGGACACGAGGGTGCCGGTTACGTCGAGTCTGTTGGTGAGGGCGTCACCAACGTCAAGCCTGGTGACCACGTTGTCGCCCTTTAGTACGAAACTCCCCCAAACCCTCCCCAGATCGGTTCGAAATTGGAAAGTTAGCTAACCGTGCGATGCAGCACCCCCGAGTGCAAGGAATGCAAGTTCTGCAAGTCTGGCAAGACCAACCTCTGCGGCAAGATCCGCGCTACACAGGGCAAGGGTCTGATGCCCGACGGCACATCCCGCTTCAGGGCCAAGGGCCAGGATCTCCTTCACTTCATGGGCACCTCCACCTTCTCACAGTACACCGTCGTCGCCGACATCTCAGTCGTCGCCGTTAAGCAGGATGCCCCCATGGACCGCACCTGCCTGCTCGGCTGCGGCATCACCACCGGTTACGGCGCTGCCACCGTCACCGCCAACGTCGAGGAGGGCTCCACCGTCGCCGTCTTCGGTGCCGGCTGCGTCGGTCTCTCCGTCGTCCAGGGCGCTGCCCAGAACAAGGCCGGCAGGATCATCGTCGTTGACGTTAACAACGACAAGAAGGCCTGGGGCGAGAAGTTCGGCGCCACCGACTTCGTCAACCCTCTCGAGCTCAAGGACGGCCAGACCATCCAGGACAAGCTCATTGAGATGACCGACGGTGGTCTGGACTACACCTTCGACTGCACTGGCAACGTCAACGTCATGCGCGCAGCTCTGGAGGCTTGCCACAAGGGTTGGGGACAGAGCATCGTCATCGGTGTTGCTGCCGCCGGCCAGGAGATCGCCACCCGGCCATTCCAGCTCGTCACCGGCCGTGTCTGGAAGGGCTGTGCCTTCGGTGGCATCAAGGGCCGCACCCAGCTGCCCGGCCTCGTCGAGGACTACCTCAAGGGGAGCCTCAAGGTCGACGAGTTCATCACCCACCGCAAGACTCTCGGCGAGATGAACAATGCCTTCGAGACCATGAAGGGCGGTGACTGCATCCGTGCTGTTGTTGATATGCGCACGCTATAAAAAAGGTACAAAACCTGTAAAATAAATAAGCTAAAAATTTGAACATATGTGAATAATAAAAGCCTTTCTCATTACAAAGCTCTAAAATGAAACGTGATGTTCTAAGAAGAAGAGGGCGTCCCTCCGGGGATGAGCTCTCCAATTTATAACACTCCATAGACTGGGCCGTTGGCACCTTGATGGTTCGATGCAGATGGCTCTGATCACAGTAAGGACAGGCATCTAGCATGCATCTAAGCCGTATTGGTGCGCACCTTATTAAGCATTGGCGAAAGAGAATAGAATTAATTCCAGCTGTCGCCCTGTCAGGAGGAATAGGGGGTGTGAAGGTGTAGGGTAAGCTGCTGGAGCACGCAAGAAGTTGGATAGTAATTGAGAGCGTCTGAATGGCTAGGAGAGAGTATCTAGGATCCATTCTAGCGTCCTTCCAATCATCGCGTCAGAATATCCAAGAGTCTTTGCCTGCTTCGCAGTTTGGCTGGCGTTGTTTCTAAAAAGTTAAATGATTTCTTTTACAGAATCACTACGATGAGGACATCTAGGGTATCGAGAGATACGTCAAAGCTGTTCGACAAAGTATCGAGTCCTCCCTCGCCCCCCCGACGTACGACGCGCTCCTCGCTCGCTCGATTCGCCTACGCGGCAACCGCCACGGCGGTAACATCCCAACAGCAGAATGATGTACCCGCGCCCGACGTTGAGGATATCTTCAGAGCACCAGCCAAGAAACGACGAAGGGCTGCAAGTACGACATCACCAGTGAAGGTGATCAAGACGGAACTGGTGGAGGGTGCGGTATCGGTGTCAGAGACCAAAGCGGCCGCTCGACGAGTACGCAAACCCGCACGAAAAGTTACAAATGCTACTACGGGAGAGGTTAAGGTAGAGCCGCCGTCGGACTGGGAGGAGATCTACGGGCTTATGCGGCAAATGAGGGCACCCGGCGGCGCCGCGCACGGAGCTGCAGTGGACACCATGGGATGCGAGCGCCTGGCTGACAGGAGTGCGTCGGAGAAGGACCAGAGGTTCCACACGCTGGTGGCCCTGATGCTCTCAAGTCAGACCAAAGATACGGTCAACGCGGTGGCCATGAAGCGGCTCCAGACTGAGCTCCCCCCGTACAAGGAGGGCGCCCCGGTCGGGCTGAACCTAGACAACATGCTGGCCGTGGACCCCAAGCTGTTGAACGAGATGATATGGGCGGTGGGATTCCACAATAACAAGACAAAGTATGAAGCGACCCCCTTCGCTGCCTAACGCTCCCCAAGCTTTCCCCGGTGGCTGACATACGTGGCTCGCTCGTGACATTATAGATACCTGAAGCAGGCAGCGGAGATTCTTCGTGACAAATGGAATGGCGATATACCAGATACGATCGAGGGCTTGACATCACTGCCGGGCGTCGGGCCCAAAATGGGGTATCTGTGCTTATCAGTGGCGTGGAATCGCACAGAGGGCATTGGTGTCGACGTGCACGTCCACCGGATCACGAACCTCTGGGGTTGGAACAACACGAAAAACCCCGAGGAAACAAGACTTGCGCTGCAGTCATGGCTGCCCAAGGACAGGTGGCGGGAGATCAATTCTCTCCTCGTTGGGCTTGGGCAGAAGGTGTGCCTGCCCCAGGGACGCCGGTGCGGCGACTGCGAGGTCGGACTCCGGGGACTATGCAAGGCTGCAGACCGGAAAAAACTGTCCGAGGCCCGCAGGATCAAGGCTGAGATGGAGCAAGTTCAAGGCGAGGACGCATTGGCCCAGGGGAAGAAGGAGGAGGAGGGGGTAATTAAGACTGAGTTCGTTGTCAAGCAGGAGGAGGTGGAATGACAGCGCAGCAACCTGCAAGTGGAAACAGCCCACAGCGAATTGAAGGTCTCACGAGACAACATTAGAAAGAAAGCTCCCAGGGGTCCCCCCTCCCTTCTGTCCTGCCCCCCGCATGCATGATGCCGCTCCGGTCCACCCCGGCAACTGACCACCTCCAACCGAAAGCATACCTTAGCGATTGGCAGCTGAGTGGGCAGCGATCGGCTGCGCGTTTAATGCAGGAATGCCCTGCACGACTGCAAGCCAAGCAGCCCAGAGCCCGACTTTATGACCATCAGGGGACCACCGGGTCGACGCTATTGGATCTAGCTGGCTGATCCTTGTTTCCGCCATTCGAGGGCGACTCACACGTTGATACCATATACCCACCAGATAACGCCTCGCACCCAGCGAATGCCTGCAGCTGAGTAATGACCAACCTTGGTCGTACGAGTCAGAAGCCGACACGGGTCATAGGTCAGTCAAGGTTCATCGGTTCCAGCCTGTCGCGCACCAAAGGGAGAATTCCACGAGCAGCGGATGGCACAGAAAATTGATTAAATGATTTGTATTCAAACATGGTAATAATAGTATCCTTGTTTGAAACAAATATAGTAAGAATTTGGTCAAACAAATGTCAAAATTAACAAAGCATCCGGGCACCCCCATGCGGCGCGCCCATGCAAACAATGCCCATTGAAAAAGCGCCAGCTCATTAGGACGCCTCGCACAGTTAGGATTGTAGTAAAGTACAGTTGCGGCCTGTTATCATTCATGCACAACGGCGCACGCCCCCTCCCTTTCTCCCTATTCAGAAGCGAACAGGTGTAGGTGGCGTGCGGTTCCCCAGAATAGGCCATTTCCCTTCGCTAATCCAATCATAAAATCGTACTCGTTATATTCGAAATAAAGCAGAAACAGTTGGTGTTGTAGTCGGTGAGGAGGAGGACGGAGGGATTGGTCCTCTGTGGTTGGGGACGCTCGCAGGGGCTGGTGCTGATTGCGAAGGGAGCCATTCGGGTGATGGAACTGCCTTGCCGAACGCGGCTAGCCCGTGTGTATCCGAGGGTCGGGGTTGGAGACACACTCGGCCGGTGACCCTTCTCATTTCTCAGAGAAACAGGGAGAACACAACTCTATACGCCTCGGATGACCTGAGTGCGCTCGGATTCGAGCTGGGCAGCGTTGCGGGCGTGGGATTGCGTTTTGCACTGGCAGAAACGGCTGCGTTAGAACGGCTCTTTAGGCTCGGGAAGTGGCGGCGGTGGAACTTACGTCTTCGAGGCCGCTGCACTTGTGATCCTCCAGCAGACGGTGCTTGCTGCAGAAGTGGCCCTGGCAGAAGCTGCAGTCGCCAACGATGAGCTGGGCTCGTTCGCGGCACTCGGTGGCGTTGCAACGGATCTTCTTTCCAGCCATGATGGGCGTTGGGTGAGGAGGCTGTGTGAGAGAGTGGGAGCGGTGGGAGGAGCTGCTCTACCGAAGGGATCTCGAGGACCGGCGGGTGTCGAGAAGGCGGAATGAGAGTGTGTAAGAGAGAACGACGACGGCCGTGAGGGATAGAGCGTAGAGAGGATGCAACGAGGGAGGATAGAATGGATGTCGGAGGGAGAGCGAAGGCTGCAAGCGAATGCGTCAGCGGTACGGGGCTGTCGGCCTTTATAGGACGACTACTAATTACGGAGAGCAAGCCAACAAGGCATCGACGAGGGTCAAGAGTCACTGGGATCGGGCCCTTGTCTCTCGGTGGAGTCGGGGTGCTCGCCTCCCGGGGATGGCCTTACCTGAAATCGTAATTTCGACCATGGCCCCAGCCTTTCCTGGTCACCGAATCATGTGGAACCGTCGAGATTCAAAGACTCAGACGGGATGTCTTAGTTGCGATACGCAAGGTACTTCCAATGGACGGGCTGGAAATTCCAGCCGGGCGGCAGTGGAGCCAGTCAGGACTACAGGCCGCTCCGGCCTAGCGCTGGTGGACAAGAGGCATTGTAGATGGATGGGTTGTCTCCATTCGCGAGGGACTATGCAGGGCAGTTACATGGCACAAAGGAGGGAGGTATGCTGCATGCATATCGGTCGGATAGGTCACAGTCGACCATGCACGTACAAACCCAAGATGGGTGCAGCCGCTGGTGCTGTTCCGCATTGTTTATGCTGTCCCGACTTGATTGGACATGCGGCCTGGGGGGTGAACCCTGGGGGGTGGCGGCGGCTGGAGGCTAAAGGGGAGGGGTCTTGGGGGTGTTGCCGCCGCACCAGCCGGGGGGCGCAAGGCTCCGAAAGCGGTGGCCGCCGTCAGTACTCTGTTTTGTCAGCCCCATCTAGTGGGAAGCCAGCGCTGTGTAAGCAGCAACGCTCGCAGCCACAGCGAGTCTTTGGCCGGTATTGAGCCACCGCCGCATCACTGAGGTGACGTCGTCAGAGGCCAATTCCGTCCCGGCAGCCAGCAGCCTCTACGCTCTCCTGCCCAGCAAGGATTTGCCAAAGGCACCCAACAGACCCCGAAAACAAAGCAATGCAGACAGCAGACCGGGGTTTCTGACTCTCTTCCCTGCAGACAGAGTTTTCCCCCAGCGGCAATAACAGTCTGGGCACGAAATCTATGTACGTTGGCGGGCAGGTGACATTGGTCCTAAATGGAGCGAACACGCGGTCAACGCGGCGATCTTATCGTTGCAAAAATTGGGCCCAGAACCCGGGCCAGGGGGTCTGGATGTCCCGATGTTGGGACCTGCTAACCTGCTCGCCCTTTCGTGTTAGTGTTCTAGTCCTTTCCACTGTGTGTATGTAGGTACATCGTATGTGCAAGGTATTATTAGCACAACGGCAAGTCTGTCTCTCGTGCCATGGCCTGGCCGATGATATGTCTCTGATCGGTACCCTCTCTGCGAAGGGAGGGCTTTTTCCTTTTTCGCCTCCTTCTTCTTCCCCATTGCCCTAGACCAGATCAACGCCTCTGAATGCCCAGTGCCGTATGGCGTCTCCGAGCCCAACTGATTCATTCACATGCCAGCGAACTAGCGGTGGACGCAGGTCCTGTTGGCCCGGCCAGCCCACGCACCATACATACCATGGTGTACTTGTGCCCAGGCGGATGGATGGGTTAGGCCATACATACACGCAAGGTTAGGTAGTTATGTGCAAAGCAAGCTCGAGGGCGTACGCTGTGTGTTGGGTGAGCTGATAACTCACTTGCTGCTACCCACCCCGGTTCTCGTATTTGGCGGTAGTGTCCGTCCAGTTCTCGCCCCAGGATTCCACCGAAAATGCAAGAGCAGGAAAAAAAAAAAAAAGAACAAGTCAGCTATCATGTCGCACAGGCATTATGTTCTTGTTGAGCGGCTGTAAAGTTTTCCGCTGGTACCGCAAGCCATCGGCCGACCTTCGTTCACATAGAGAATCCCAGTTAAAATCCCCCAAGACTTTGCCGAAACGGGCGCCAGCACGGGTATCCCGGTTTGGTTCAATGATCAATCTCATTTTCCCCATGTCCCCTGCATTCTTTCTTTTGTGTCTGGGTATTTCCATTATGTAGCTCTGTCTGTCCACGGACAAAGAAAGGAAAGTTTGGGTTTTCCCTGACTCAACAATTCCGGGCCTTGGCTGCTGCATGTCTTAGCACCAGCTGAGCCAGTCCAGTCTGCTGCTAGCCAGTGCGAGTACTAGTACCCCCTTTTCCGTTCTGATGGAAGAGAAAGGGAAGAACAGACGAGTGTCTGGTTTGAGAGGGACAGTATGTATCTCACCACTCGATGCCTCTTCGACTTGTGTCCTGATCCCTTGGACCCCTTTTGGTTCTATTCAATATAAGGTTAGTAGGTACTCCGTAATCAGGGCCCCATTTACCCTCCTCCATTTGCGCCCCTGCCCATTGACATCATTCAGAGGTAATCCTTCAATAAGTCGTTCTACATTCCAGGCATTTAGTCTTGTTTCTGTGTAGCCCGTGTCCGAACTTGTCTGAGGTCCTTTCCTGGTTTTCCTCGTCATTGACCCGAAAAAAATCAGATCTGGCCCGATATTTCTGACTTGACCCATCTTCGTTGCACCAGCGTATTTGGAATCAAGCCGATCCTTCAACTGGTGCATCGTCATGTGAGCTATTAATACAAGCATGCATACAGACCATATTAAGGGATAAGACGTTGGAGCATTGTGTCATCGACATTGGGGATTTTACCTCCGATTTGTCATCGTAGAATTCAGCATCGGCCCCGAAGTGCATATGCATATGCTTCTGGCAGCTGCGGCTAACCACTCGGCCGTGCCTCTATCTTGATCACCTGGGATAATTCCCCGTTACATTCCCCGCTGCAACTGAGGCCAAATTGTGTAATTCCAACTTTGGACGAAGAGGCCAGCCGCGGCACGTGAACTTTGTCATATCATTGATACCGACTTCGCCATGACTGCCGTAGAAGACTCAAAGGAGCGGGGTATCAGGATTGCCATTGATCGCGGCGGTACATTTACCGACTGCGTGGGTGAGCAGGATGGCAAGGAGATCATCATCAAGCTCCTCTCCGAGGACCCTGCCAACTACAAAGATGCGCCGCTCGAGGGCATCAGGCGCATAATGTCCCATTTCCTCGGGCGCGAGATCCCCCGCGGCGAAGCCCTGGATACGTCACAGATCGAGTCTATCCGGATGGGCACGACTGTCGCGACGAATGCTCTGCTCGAACGCAAGGGAGAGAAGATCGCCATGGTTGTCACGGAAGGCTTCAAGGACTGCCTGACGATCGGGAACCAGAGCAGGCCGAAGATCTTTGACCTGGCCATTCGGAAACCGGACGTGCTCTATGAGACCGTGGTTGAGATCCAGGAGCGGGTTACACTGGAGGACTATGCAGAGGACCCTGAGAGGAAGACGTCGGAGCCAGAGGCTCAAGTGGGCACGCAGGAAGCTGCTGGTAAGACACTGGTGAGAGGCCTCTCCGGGGAGACTGTTCGCATCCTCAAGCGAGCCGATGAAGATGAGGTGCGGAGGAAGCTCAAGATCGTGTATGATCAGGGGATACGTAGCATTGCTGTGTGCTTGCTCCACGGGTACACATATCCCGACCATGAGGCCTTGATCGGCCGTGTGGCAAGGGAGGTTGGGTTCTCAAACATTTCACTCAGCCATGAGCTGATGCCGATGATCAAGCTTGTTCCCCGAGCAACTTCAGTTTGCGCTGATGCATACCTGACACCTGCGATCAAGAAATACATTGATGGATTCTCAGCAGGTTTCGAGGGTGGGCTGGGAACACGAAGTGTCAAGGAAGAGAGGGGTGCAAAAGGCGCCAGATGTGAGTTTATGCAGAGTGATGGTGGTCTGGTTGACGTTGAGAAGTTCACTGGCCTCAAGGCGATCTTGTCTGGCCCAGCTGGCGGCGTGGTCGGTTATGCCACCACATCCTATGACAACAACACCAAGATTCCTGTCATTGGCTTTGACATGGTACTAAAACACCCCGCAAAATCTTAGAGTTTAAGGGGGGCTGTGAGACTGACATGAAATGATCCGTAGGGCGGGACAAGCACAGACGTGTCTCGCTACGGCGAAGGCCGCTACGAGCATGTTTTCGAGACCACGACCGCCGGGATTTCCATCCAAGCTCCCCAGCTGGACATTAACACTGTCGCTGCAGGCGGCGGCTCCAGGCTTTTCTGGCGCAACGGCCTCTTTGTAGTCGGCCCCGAGTCGGCCGGAGCACACCCGGGACCGGCATGCTATCGAAAGGGCGGCCCGGCGACCGTGACCGACGCGAACCTGTATCTCGGGCGTCTCCTCCCCGAATTCTTCCCGAAGATCTTTGGCGAAAATGAGGACCAGGGCCTTGATCCTGAAGCAAGCAAGCGGGTTCTCCAGGAGCTCGCCGACCAGGTCAACGAGGAAACCGGCAAGAATCTCTCGGTGGATGAAGTGGCCCATGGATTCCTCACCGTGGCCAACGAGACGATGACGAGGCCCATCCGCTCCCTCACCGAGGCGAAGGGCCACGACTCCTCGAAGCATCGTCTGGCGACGTTTGGCGGCGCGGGCGGCCAGCACGCCGTTGCCATTGCCGAGTCTCTTGGTATTCGGCAGATCCTGGTCCACCGATATTCCTCTGTTCTCTCTGCCTACGGGATGGCCCTGGCTGATGTAGTAGATGAACGGCAGGAGCCGGACTCGAACACTTGGGAAGATAGTGGCAAAGTGGTAGATGAACTCAAAGAGAGAATGCAGAAGCTCAAAGAAAAGTCGAGAGAGAGCCTGGCTGATCAGGGGTTCAACGATAATGAGATTGGGTTCGAAGAGTACCTCAACATGCGCTATCGCGGAACAGAATCGGCACTCATGATCATCAAACCTTCCGAGGAGGAAGCCAAGCAATATTTCGACGGCAACGACTGGTCGTTTGGACAGGCATTTGTCAAGCAGCATCAATACGAGTTTGGCTTCACTCTGGACGAGCGGGATATCATTGTGGACGACATCAGAGTCCGAGGAATCGGAAAGAGCTTCAGACACAAGGAAAAGACTGTAGATGAGCAGCTGAAGGTAATTAAGAAGCGGGATGTGGCTGAAAGCAAGAAGCATGGAAGTCAACAGGTCTATTTTGGAGAGGGTAGGCTCGACACACCGATATTCAAACTGGAGAATTTGGATGTTGGTGATGTGGTGAAGGGGCCGGCCATACTCGCAGATGGAACACAGACCATTGTTGTCGCGCCAAATTCGCGAGCACTCGTCACAGAAACTCACGTCATCATCGATTTGGAATACAGCAACTCGAAAGAATCGTAAGTTGAAGCCTATTGCATGTTTAGGGCCTGGTTACCAGCTAACATACATTACCCAGGTCGCAAACTGGAGTAGAGAACAAGGAGGTCGACCCTATCATGCTCAGTATCTTCGGCCATCGATTCATGAGCATTGCCGAGCAGATGGGCAGGGCGCTCCAGAAAACCAGCGTGAGTACGAACGTGAAGGAGCGTCTCGACTTTTCCTGTGCCATCTTTGATGCTACGGGCGGGCTGGTCGCCAACGCACCTCATCTTCCCGTCCACCTCGGCTCAATGTCCACATTTGTTCGTTGCCAGGCCGAGATTTGGAAGGGCAAACTGAATAAGGGAGACGTCATCATTTCCAACCATCCATCTTACGGCGGCACCCATCTTCCTGACGTGACACTGATGATGCCGGCCTTTGATTCCAAGGGGGAGGAAATCCTTTTCTACGCGGCATCTCGAGCCCATCATGCCGATATTGGTGGCATCAGCGCTGGCAGCATGCCACCGCATTCGAGGGAACTGTTCCAAGAGGGAGCATCAATTCGGAGCGAAAAGCTGGTTAGCGGGGGAAAGTTTGATGAGAAGCGCGTCATTGAGCTGTTCTACGATGAGCCGGCTAGGTATCCTGGTTGCAGCGGTACTCGTACCCTTGCGGACAACATCAATGACCTCAGGGCTCAGGTGTCAGCTAACCAAAAGGGAATCTCGCTCATTGAGACTCTGATTGAGGAGTATGGACAAGAGACTGTTCAATTTTACATGGTGAACATCCAGAAGAACGCAGAGCTTTGCGTCCGAAGACTGCTCAAGGAAGTAAGTGAGCGGTTCGAAGGCAAAGATCTCTCGGCAGTCGACTATATGGACGACGGTAGTCCCATCAAGCTCAAAATCAAGATTGACCGTGAAAAGGGCGAGGCCGAGTTTGATTTCGAGGGAACAGGATCGGAAGTTTACGGAAATATCAACGCCCCGCAGGCGATCACATACAGCGCCATTATATACTGTTTAAGGTGCCTCATTTCTGAGGATATCCCGTTAAACCAAGGATGTTTGAAGCCGATCCATGTCAGGATCCCTCCAAAATCGATACTTTCGCCCTCGCCCGGCGCGGCGGTTGTGGGTGGCAACGTGCTCACGAGCCAGCGAATCACAGACGTAATCCTCAAGGCGTTCGAAGCTTGTGCCGCGAGTCAAGGATGCTGCAACAACCTCACCTTTGGGTTTGGCGGAAACCAGTCTGGGCAGGATGCCGTGAAGGGTTTCGGATACTACGAGACAATTGCGGGCGGCAGCGGCGCCGGACCTACTTGGGTTGGAACTGACGGCGTGCATGTTCATATGACCAACACCAGAATCACTGATTCCGAGATCTTTGAGCGTCGCTATCCTGTGCTGCTTCGCGAGTTTTCCATCCGGGAAGGGTCCGGCGGCAAAGGTCAGCATCGGGGTGGGCACGGCGTGATCCGGGATATCGAATTCCGCATCCCACTACAAGTCTCTATTCTTAGCGAAAGGCGAGTATATCATCCTTACGGCCTCAAGGGAGGTGAGGATGGTGAGTGTGGTCTGAATCTGTGGATTAGAAACGTAGAGAAGGCTGTCAGTTGGGAGGAGTCGATAAAGGCGTTCCATGAAGGTGATGACCATTCTCGCGAGAAGGTTTTCGAGGAGCGACATATCAATATGGGAGCCAAGAATAGTGCTGCAATGAAGGCGGGAGAGAGAATCCGTATATTGACACCGGGAGGCGGTGGATTTGGGCCTGTTGGCAAAGAGAGCGTCGCTGTGAAAAGGCGAGACGAGACGGAAGGATGGAAGAAGGGCAGTGGAGCTTCAAGAGATGAAGTCGCTCTTCAAGCGTAGAGGTTGGCTGCATGTCGGAGGGCGCCGCCCGATAGAGGGTGGTGGTGATATAGGCTTAGATAAAGAGCTACTTGCAGCGTCACTACATATTCCTGTGGGAACAAGTCCCTCGCTAGCATTGCGCTACTGGTGCTCAAGGAGAAAAGAGCCCGCAATAGGCAGCTGCCTGTGGCTTGTGGAACCGTTGACTCACTCACTCACTCGCTAAACCTTCTGTAGCTCTTTCCCCCGCCTCTGAATGACGCCTGTGAGATCCATAATATCGATACTAAAGTCCTCAAGCAGAGGAGGTATCTGGCGAACAATATTAGTAGGAGAAGCCTAGGTAGTTTGTTAACCTGTACATGGTTCAATCCCCATTCAATTTTGCCCACGAGCGTCATCCGTCTCTTTCACGTTTCTTCGTCGTACACAGATATTTATTCTCTGGGCCTTGTCGCGGAGAAGGGACGCAGAGGAAACGCATATTGCCCAACAAGCAGAACACCTTCATCTCTGCTTAATCAGGGAGAATTGCGTGTCTATCCACTGCTGCCGAGAGACACACATTGAAGGTGCCCCATCATCTGTATTGACCACTGCTGAACTGCGCCAAATCAGCTAAAATGTCCTTCTCAAATGAAGAATGGGAGGAGGTCTCCCAAGGCATTCCCTCAAAAGAGGATCCCTTCCTCCAAAAGTATCTCGCCGGGAGGAGTAGCTTGATGGAACAGGAGAAGACCTCACGCTCTGATGCCTCGTTCCGCGCTTCCCTTTCACCAATTGCCAAACGGGCATGTACTATTGTCGACCGCATCAAGGAGATGGAGAAGCAGACGGTATGGACAGCCAGTGTGGAGGAAGAGATGGCTCAAACCCAGCACGAGCGCATCTTCCCTGGCATGATGTTCATGTTTGCCAAAGATCGCATGGAGAGCACTGCGCTTTGGAAGATTATCCGCCGGATGCCCAAGGGCTCTCTGCTTCACGCACATATGGACGCCATGGTCGACTTTGACTTCCTTCTGGATTTCATGTTGCAAACCCCCGGCATGCACATGTCCAGTGACCGTGGCATCACCAGCCAGGGCGCCAAGGACGACGCAGGCCTTTTGTTTCGCTATAGAGCAAAGGAGAACAGCGAAGGTTCCCCATGGACCGAAGATTACAAGCCAGGCACCTTTATTCTTCTCACGCATGCGGCTGATGCATTCCCCGAGGGAGGCCGGGCGGGTTTCCTCAAATGGTTGAAAAGCCGTTGCACCTTGGGTTTGGTGGATAGCCACGAGCATCACCATGGACTCGATGCCATTTGGGATAAGTTTGGGAAGTGCTTCGTCGTAGTGGACTCCATCATCCATTACGAGCCTATTTACCGTGCCTTCCTTCGACGTCTTATGAGTGTTCTGAAGAACGATGGAGTAAACTGGGCTGAACTACGGTGAGTACAAGCCCCTTCCCCTTCCTGTTGTGAATCAATCCTAATGGAAGCGTCAAGGTTCACTTGGTCGCTAAACTACTGTCGCGACCGCCAAGAGGAACCAGAGAAGGACTATACTCATATGTTCCAGGTTATCGAAGAAGAGGTTGCCCGATTCAAGGCTTCTCCAGAAGGTGAAGGCTTCTGGGGACTCACCACCATCTGGACTAGCCTACGAAGCAACCCAACCCGGCCTTTGGTAGAAAGCATGGACCATTGTATCACCACAAAAATTCAATTTCCTCATCTCATCGCTGGATACGACGTGGTAGGCTTCGAAGACTTCGGTCGGCCACTTGTTGATCTGCTGCCTGAGCTATTCTGGTTCCGCAAGCAATGCGCTGAGGAAGGGGTCAACCTACCGTTTTTCTTCCATGCCGGAGAAACACTTGGTGATGGAACCGCAACTGACTCAAACTTGTACGATGCCATTCTTCTTGGTACCCGGAGGATTGGACATGCCTACAGTCTCTACAAGCACCCACTGCTTATCGACATGGTCAAGGAGAAGCGTATTTTGATCGAGTCGTGCCCGATTTCCAATGAGGTTCTTCGTCTATGCGCCTCCATCACATCGCACCCACTTCCCGCACTGCTAGCCCGCGGGGTTCCCTGCAGCTTATGCAATGATGACCCGGCCATGTTAGGTCAGGACACGTCCGGTATGTCCCACGACTTTTGGCAAGCTCTTCAGGGATGGGACAACTTGGGACTCGCGGGCCTGGGCAGCTTGGCGGAGAACAGCGTTCGATGGTCCGCGTTTGAGGACGAGGGCCAAGCTGAATGGATCAAGGGGGTTAAGGAGGCGAGCTTGGGTGACGGGATCAAGGCGAAGAGGATCAAGGAGTGGCAGGTGGAGTGGGAGAAGTTCTGCCTCTGGATTGTAACCGAGTATGGGGAGGAGTTTGATCCAGACGTGGCCGTTTCTAAACCAGTCGATGAAGAGTCAGCAATATAAGGGTTTGAATAGATAAGCGCAGAAGATCAAAAATGATGAGTCTATGGTTAGTTGTCAAGCGACCAAAGAGGCAAATGAAAGAAGAAATTTTTTAAATTGATATTCGCTCCGTCAATCCCTCATCCATCCATCCTCGTTACCAAACCCCGGGACCGAGCAACACAATAAACTCCTAACGCCGATTTCACATCTCAACAATCCAATCTCATCTCATCTCATCTCATCCCACATTCTCATCCCACGGTGTAACCGGTGAGGATTGTTTCATTTGGACCTTTGCATGCCGCGTATGTCTCGTAGTACGATTATCCGTATGAAGGTTTAAGCGCCGAGCAGGTTCGACCTCTGGTGGGAGACCAGGCTTGAGTAAGCACGACGGACAAGTGGTCAGCGTGGCACACACCGTCAGGGGGGAGCCTCATGGGCGATCGTCGGATAGGGCAATGCCAGCAGGGGGCCAATGAACCGGCAGAGGGCAAGCTGACAAGCAGGCGTTGGGACTTTGGTGTTGGGTGTGGGTGGGTAGCCAGGTTCACTTCTTTCTAGGGTGTGCAAAGAAGTGAGAAAGTACCATTTTGTTTCGTTTACTGGGTTTTGAATTTTTTTATTTTTTTCGAAAAAGCGGTTCGCAGAGCGACCAACAAGCCCCCAAACAAACGGGGATTTTCATGCCGCAAAGGAGAGGAAAATGAAAAGTGGTTGTAGAATTCCTCCCCGCCTGGAGGAGGCCCCTCTAACGACTAGGTTCCAAGTAAAGAAGCTGTGTTTGCTCCATCTTCGCGTCCTGCGCTGCGCTATATTCTTCGGTTTCGGTCCTGCCCGGCATTCCCGAACTCATCCATTGTAAGTGGCCAAAATGGACTTTTGGGGCTGGTGGTCTCGAGAGAGGTGCCCCTAGAGAAATCTAGATCTTGTCGAGCCATTGCGCGAAAGTCATGGGGACGAAATCCATCATGTGGTTGTTCTGGAGGGTCTCGTTGAGTGTGGCCTCTTGGAAATCGTATCGCCCATCTGCCGTGGCCATGAGCCGTCGATAATAGCCGGCTTTCAGCTCGTTTCCGCTCTGAGAATAATAGGTTAGGTAAAGCTGGGCACTGGAGTAAACCTGAGCGACGTAGCTGAATGTCACTGCGGGATAGAAAACAAGATAAAGAAACTCGTTAGTCTGGCCTCGACCCACCAACTTTGGGCAAGGGGGTGTCAATTTACCGTTGCGTGCAGAGCCGTACGTCTCTACAAGTTCTTGGACGGACAGGCGGTCTCCGCGAAGGGTGAATTCCCGAGGCCAGGCGTCCAGCCCCAGCTCGAGCGCCAAAACGACAAAGTGGACAAGGTCGTAGACTGACGTTAAACATATACTGCCCGGGGGCTGGCCCTGAGCGTTCTGTACGGCGTATTCGGCCGTGGCTTCGGGAAGGTTGATCAAGTAGCTATTCGGGTGGGATACGCCGGCGCGGAAGCCCATGTCGAAGCTGCCCAGGCCCAGCGGGTGGAAGATCTCCATGAGCACCCCGCAGGAGAAGACGGTGTACTTCATCAGGTTCCGATTCTGAAAGGTCTGCAGCCAGGCCAGAGCTGATTCGCCAGCCGTCGAGCCGTCCCTGGGCGGTCGTTGCCACAGCTTGCCTTCGAACTCGGCAGGGACAAAGTGACGGACCGTGCCTTCGCCGGCAGCCAGAATGAGATTGATCTGTTCTCTCCCGGAGACGGTTGAAATGACCAGGTCAACTCCCCGGAGTGCGTATTGCAAGCTTTCGGGGTTGAAATAGTCCACAATCTGGACCTGGATGTCCAGAGACTCGTATATGGGTTTCGGCTAATGCAATGTTAGTCCTAATACAAATTTGCCTATACATGTTGAGGGGAAATCGGATACAGTTCTGGATAAAACAAGGACGTTGTGGGCGCTCTTTGCTCGCGATATCTGCGAGGCCAGGAGGCATCCCAGGCCGCAACCTCCACCGGCTACAGCGATTCGCATAGTGAGCCCCAGTAGTCGACACAGCAGTAGGGCATAGGTATGAATACAATTGAAGAGAGTTCATTCCGCATTAGTCTGCAACAGAGGAACAGTTGGTCGGATTGGTCCGCCTTATAAGAGTTCTCCGGAAGGGGCCGCTACATCTTTGTAAGGCATCATATAGCTGGGGCTAGGCAGCTGTCCAGTTAGAGCGCCAACAGGCGATGACTGTGCTTGGCAGAGCGGCACGGGTCGTCGACAGATTCCACTCGATCGGCATTCTTTATTCGCGGTGCGATGGCGCGCATACATTGCATGCTTAGCTTAGGGATACATATGTTGGGGTCCACGGGAGAGCGCCTGGCTACATAGCAAAAGGGGGGCGATTTCGACGGGATCGGCACTAAGATGCTGATAGGAACAAGCGCCCGTCTTAGGAACTGCCATCCTATTGATGGTGGCTTATGGGCTGTTGGGCAACAGAGGTGGCTGAGGCCATGCTGATGGACTTTAGATCAACGATGAGCAGTGGCGAGGCGAACTACAACCAGTCCCGAGGACGAATGCTATTATTCGCTGCCTCCGTCGCAACTGGCTGCGCAAAGGACCCGGATTTGACTCAAGTCGAAATGGAACTCGGGCGAAAGAACAGGGGCGATTTACTGCTCAATGGTCCAGCCGCATGACTAGCGGACGGGAATTGATGCTCTAAGGCAGTGGACATGTCATCCCGGACGAGTTACGAGATCCAAAAGGCCCATCTCAGCGTTCTTTCTGCTTCGTCCTCCTCCTTTTGCGTGCTCAGAAGGGCAGATTTGGATCCATCCGCCTAAATTAAGACGCCAACATGACGGCTAATCAGTGAATAGGGGAGAAAATAGGTGTGGTGACATCCACAGACCCAGCTAACAAACATAAAACACGGCAAATATGCACTCACAAATAAGACCTGCATGAAACCATCAACCAGCTGCGGTGGCCTGGTAATGGACGCATGGGGCCGCTCCGGGTCGTGGGGGCTCGATAAAGACGGGCATGCCAGCACGCAGCGTCAGAGTCAGAGTTGGAACGGGAGCTGTTATTGTTAGCGACGGATCTCAACGCTGCTTGGCATGTCTGGTCTCAGATGGCATCGTAGCACTTGACACAGGTGGCTCAGCACCCATGTGCGGCTCCCCCCTGGACTCAACACCCCGTCGGTGCCATATCCTGTGCCCGACTCTCCGGCAGTCGTCTGCGTCGATGGGCAGACTTTTGGGTCTTTTCCCTCGCTCGCGGGAACGTGAAGTCTCGCCACTGCGGGATAGAACCAACAGGTGGTGTCTGCCTTGCGTGAACATGTCCCTTGCGCCCACATTGCAATCGACAACGCGCCCAGCAAATGCCGAATAATGTTACTCCCCTGTTTATCCTTGGAGCCAACGCACAGTATGGATACCCCAATTGCATTGCATCGCATCGCATCAAATCGCATCCCGTCGCCCGCCTTACCTCAGGTTCAGATATAGACATCAATATGTGCGCTGCTCCTTGAAAATGTCTGGGCGGGCCACTATCCGTCGGACCAGATCGCTCAAATGGGAGCAGGCCAATACCGATGCCATGGATATACTTAGACACGAGCCCTAGTATGCAGTCAGGTGGTAATAAGAGGATCTACCCAAGTCCTTTTTTTATTACCGATTTAGTGCCAATTCCTCCTACCTGTCCAATACCGGAGGCCTGGCTGAACTGCCAACGTATGTTTTCAGCCACAGTCTGTACAAATCCAGCTGAAGAGTAGTACATATGGCTCTTTCACGCTGGATCCGATCCGCGTGCTAATTGCGGTTTCGGTTTCTATTCCCAATCACACGCTTTATTTAGACATCATTCATCAGCCTCACTCACCTCACCCACCCCACAGACCGTCTCGCGCAAAACCTCACACAGAACAAACACATGTCTCTGGCTCTGGCTCTGCCTCAGGCTGTGCGCACGAGCGAGGCAATTTTTCCGAGGTCCAAATCAACTCAACCACCACCGGCCTCAATTCCGCACTTAGCAAGATTTGAGCCAAGACCAGGGAAGGAAACATTCCGCGGCCCACAGCCAACCAATGGATCTAGCTAACCACTCTTGGAACCTGATGGTCGAGAACATGTTCACGTTGGTGATGTTGGCTGCGAATTATGGTCTTATTACTATATACCACGTATCCATGTAAAAGACTAGACAGCGGTCGCGGTCCCAGTCAGTCCCCGCCCCTACCTACGTTCCGCCAACTACCCCAGGTTTCCACCATTTGGCGTCCACCTCGTTGGTGTGGCGCGGAACTCTGTCCGTTCCCCTCGTCACCAGATCATGGAAAGCAAGCCAGGAACGGATGGTGTGAACGAGGGTTTTGGACGAGGGTGCCGTTGAGGAGGGGCCCTGGTTGTGAGCGTATTTTGCAGATAAAACAGACGTGTCTCTGTCGTAGATCAGCTCCCCCGTATCCCATCAAATGCCGCTCTGTTGCAGTTGCACGGAGTAGCCTGGAGCAGAATGGCATCTGGCGCTGATAAGGGTTTCTTCCAGCAGGCCCCTTCCCTGGAAAACCATTTTCGTGATGCTACTTATCAACGGTGCTTTAAACGTAGGTCTCTCCCATACTATCCGTGTTGGGCTCGCTCCTTTAAGAAGACATCTCGGTAGTTACTCACCCTTAATACCGGCCGTTAGTCTTCTTGCCAGCACATGTCATCTCTGCAACGCAACACGAAGTAGAATATCTTGGCGATGAAGTTATCGCTGACCAGATTTTCCGTTGGATCTCCGATGCCGAGCGAAACCCCCCCTTCCTGAGAGGCTCAGGGCGAGACGTCTTCGGCCAATGGACTGGGGAACTGGTGACGGGGGAAGGGTGGCGTCAGTTACAAGACTTTGGGATAAAGAAAGGGTAAGTCCGCTTACACTTTTTCAACAACTGCAGGCGATTAGGCACGTGCTGATGTCTAAGTAGATTTGTGGCTACGGGCTACGACGCAGAGTACGGACCTTTCTCGCGACCGCTACAATTCCTGCGACTGCTATTGTGGGAGCCATCTTGTGCCAACGTTACATGCCCATCAGCTATGCAAGATGGGGCGGCTCGCGTGCTGCAAACACACCTCGCTTCGACGGCGCAACCTGGCATGTCGGACGAACAACGCCTCGTGTTCCGAGCCGCGCTGCGACGTCTCCTATCGCGAGACCCAAAGACAGCATGGACGAGTGGGCAGTGGATGACAGAGAGGACCGGCGGGAGCGACGTGTCCCAGACTGAGACGAGAGCAGAGCATAAGCCAGACGCCTCTGAGACCGTGGTGGTGGGAGGTGAAGAGGCACGGCTGGGTCCTTGGAGCATCAATGGTTTCAAGTGGTTCTCGTCCGCCACGGACTCGCAAATGACAATTCTACTTGCCAAGACTCCGAAGGGTGCGCTGTCGGCGTTTTTCGCTCCAATGCGCAAAGGTGTTGGAGGTTCCGTAGATAATCATGGACAGTTGAACGGGGTCCGGATTCAGAGACTCAAAGACAAGGTTGGAACTCGGTCTCTGCCAACTGCCGAGCTTGTGATAGAGGATATGCGCGCTTGGATGATTGGCAAGGAAGGCCATGGTGTACATGAAGTCCGGACTATTCTCGCGATCACGAGAGTTCATTCTGCAGTGGCGGCTGTTGGCTACGTCGGCCGCGGTCTAAGCATTGCCCGAGCTTATGCCCGCGTGAGAGACATCGGCGAGGGCAAAGGGCGCAGGACGAAATTAACGGATAGTGTGCTGCATATGCGCACTCTTTCCGACATGTTTGTTCAGTACCGAGGCATGATGATGCTCACGATCTTCACGTCCTACGTTCTCGGGCTTTCAGAGCATAACAGCGATGGAAGAGCTATGGCTGGAGAGAAGACCAAGGTACTGGACGCATTGACACCCCCGCAGGAACATGTCGCTGGCCTCATCCGGATCTTGACCCAATTGACCAAGGCCTATGTGTGCCAAGAGTCAGTTTCTATTCTCTTCTCCTGCATGGAGGCCCTGGGCGGTGTTGGATATCTGAACAATGCGGAACAGGAGCACCTCAACATCTCTCGGCTCTGGCGAGATTGTGCAGTGCTCCCGATCTGGGAAGGTACTACAAATGTGCTTTGCACCGACTTCATCAAGACTGTGAGGCATCCTGCTGCTGGCAAGGAGACATTGGATGCACTAAGGAGCTTCGTCCAAAGGGCTGCAGCGTTCCAGGGCCCAGGACATGCAAACCTGCCCGTCTGGAACCCGGTCCAGAGATGGGATGTCATCGAGCGCCGCCTCCTCAGCGAGTCTCCAGACGAGCTAATGAGAAACGCCAGAGACCATGTTTGGCAGACGGCGCAGCTGCTGGCGTCACTGCTACTATACGCCGATGCTCAAACGGACGGCGATCCTGTGGCTTGTGACGTCCACAAGCGGTTTGCACAGTGCAGCAACATTGGTCTAAACTCTGGTCCGATGACCAGCCCAGAAACAAGCCTGGGCATGGACTCGGCGATTGTGTATGGCGGCGGACCGGTTCATCACGGCCGGCCAAAGCTGTAGAGCAGTTGCGCAATAGCAGCCGGCGTTTGTGTCGTAGTCCAAAATCCAGTGACATATCGAAATGTGACCTGAGCAGCGCTGCTTTTGAGGCTACGCACCTAGCCTCGAAATACATTATGCAGGACTGTAACTATGATACATACCTAGGTAAATAAGAGAGCAAGATCAAAATAGTTCCTAGCTGTAAAAGAAGAGATAGCAAAAAAAAAATTCCAGTGCTATTGATATAGTCTAAGCACCCAGAGAGATGGGTTGCTTCTCGGCATTCTTCATGTATAATACGAAACTCAATACTCTGGAGTTCAAGAGCGAGTTGTTCTATCAGAGGACCTATATTTTTAGCCCATAGAACACTCTCACCGCCAATTGAACATATCCGGCGTAGTCGCGCCCACCGTAACGAGCAATTCTCGCAAATCTTTGAACATAGGAGTTTTCGAGTTCCGTGTGCCGCTAATATTTTAGTTGAACTTGGATAAACCTAGCCAAGCTCAACTGCATTCAGATGATCAAGGCTAAGCTCTCCAAATGGCCATGGAAATATCATAAGTTTTGGTAGACGGGCTACCAGGTCTATGACTAGGTGAAGAACTTGAGGGGTAATTTCAAATCCATAGATAAGATTATGTGTAATTGCGAGAAATCTTGTCTTAGGACAATAGGCAATTAGGAGACAAATAGTGCATCCATTGTCTGACTGTAACCGGTCAATCCATAGGCGTGCGGAAGCACTTCAGTCACCTGAGTGAGCCATTCCCCTGCACCTACTAAGAGAGCGCCTGGGCAAGAGCGGCGAGTGTGCTAAGACGAAAGCGATTGCACCACCTCAAATCTCGTAGTAGCATGACAATGACGACGTAATTCATTTGGGCTGCGCGTGCATTTTGCTGCATCAAAGTTACGTAAGGCTCCTACTAGCGGTCTTGGTCGCTGAGGCTACAGGGCTGGACAGCGCTTAGTCACTAAGGATCAGCGCCTGCGTACGTCAGGTCTAGGTCCCATGAGCGTGACCAGGGGCTTAACAAGGCAAGCTGTCTCCCGGTTTCATGAATGGGAAAAGCAAGCAATCACACAAAGAGTTTGAGGTTTGGGCAGGACGACGTAATTCATGCACTATCCACCCCTCTGATTCAGATCCCTTCCTGGGTTGCCTTGTTGTGCAACCTTACAGGCTTCTCCCCCGCCCCGCGCCATGGCAGCCCAATACGAACAGCGTATGACCTCATCCGCGACAACAGCTATGCTTGAGCCGTAGTCAAATCAGCTTCGCACACATCACCAGCCGCCAATCAACATCGAGATCAAGTTACCGACTGCACTGGCCAGACCAGCTCTGGTTGGCCATCACGGCACACACCCTTCTCTACCCCCAAGAAGCTGCATCCTTGCTAGGCGTTTTCTTTGCACCCAAGCAGAGTGCAAAAACCTGCTTGGCCGAGCCATTCAATGCAAACCCAAGGTATTGATCTGAATCCGTCATGTGGTGACTCTTTCCCAGGGGACTACGTATGTCTTGGCCGGGGTGGTAAGGGCTCGCCTCACTCACCGTCAGGCACATTTAAGCCCATGCTGTGCCCAACTCTCATCTGAACGGCCGTGTAGTATCAGGTACATAGACTCGTATCACCCAATCTTGTATAGATTTTGCGTGTGCTCTATCTAGAACAACTCAACCCCTTGGCTACCTTCGACAATTCGCAGTCGCGAGCAAAGAGACATTTTCTTTTAGAAGACATTTACCAACCACCATCATGGCTTTGGGATCCCTTGTCAACCTGATCTTGCGTCTGGCGCAGATTGCCTTTGCCGCCATCGTTGCCGGTGTCAACGGGCAGATCCTCCACGAATCCCGTGGCGCCTCCTCTTGGGCGCTGGGCCGGTTCATTTACACGGAGACCATTGCCGGTCTATCGCTGTTCATACCCGTGATATGGGTCTTCCTTGCCGGTGGACACTTCAGCTGGGTCCTCGACATTATCATCAGCCTGTGCTGGTGGGCAGCTTTCGGTCTCCTCGTTGACGTAAGTGTTCCCTCACTACCAACTTTACAGTTCCTTGCCCCTCATTCCCGTGTGACCGCTCTCTCCCCATGCCTGACGCGTTGCTGACTCCTGTCCCCGTAGAATCTCAATGGAAGTGCTTGTGGCTCCGCGTTCAACTGGAGCAACGTCCGCCTGTACGGCGACGACCCATGCGGCAAGTTCAAGGCTGTCGTCGCCTTCGCGTTCTTGTCGGCCATTGTCTGGCTCGCCTCTGCCGTCTTCGACCTCTTCTGGGCCCGTCGCCACCGCACAACTGAGCCTGTTACCCACCACCGCCGTTGGCACCGCAGTTACGTCTAAGAGCTTCGGCGATGTTGAAGAGCTCCTAGCGCTAAATGATGAAATGAAATACACGAATGGACGAGATCAGTCAGTGTCACTTCGATTCCCTATGTTAAAATCTCAGGATCTATCAGATTGGAGAAGGAAGGTCGGCTTGCCAAGGGGTTTGCGATCTGCCAAGGGGGATCTAATACAGCATCTACAGACACCATCAGCGTCAATGATAGCTTATTTAGAGGGGTCAGATTGTGGATTTAGCGGTCGTGGTTAATGTGGTTTTCTATGTCTTGCTTCTCAACAACTGTTTGTAATACCCTTTTCTTCCTAAGTCATATAATACCTACGAAACTATATTGAAAACGGTGATTTGAAAATTTAAAGATTCTCGCATCCCAAACTGTGTTGATCTCCATCTGTACATGATCAATTTCCCGACAGTACTCCCTTTCAGCGGGCCGATAATTTCACTTCCGGCGTATATAATGACAATAATTTACGCCAGATTCCCGTGCCGTAGAGCATTTTCGCGGAGGAAACTATCTATCCCTTCTCCAGCCACTTCTTTTGTCCGACTTGGAAGGCGATCTCGCTGCTTGAGACATCGCACGTGACCCTAAACGCGGAAGGTCATGGGGCCACGTTCAGGAACCGAGCTATTGCGAAACCTACAACGTGCTTCTCGCTAGCATGGCGAGCTGGGGCCGGTTCCAGACCTTCTGCCCGGTTATTTGAAGTCTGGGGCCGTGAGATCGAGATCCTCGTCAACCGTTGGGGGGGAAGCGCACACATTAGGCATAAGTTGTGCAGATCCCACATATCGATAGCGTCATCCCGTCCGTCTGCTTCTCCACTCTCATTCTCCCGCTCCTTGATCACTCCTTGGCTCGTTCGGTCGCGAAATGCCCTTGCGCCACCGGAAAACCCAGGATCCATGAGCTCATCGTGAGGAAATTGGCTTGCACCTTTGCGATATGTGACTGGAAGCTTACCGACTGGCGGAGAACACGACCGCTGCCGTTACACCCAGACCAAGGGCCACACCAGCCACTCGATTACTTGGCAGGATTGCTCAACGCACCAGCCACAGTTATCAGCAAATGTATGATGCTATGATATCTATCTAGCTTTCTAAGTACGGCCTAGCACCCGGGATCTACTCCCGATTTGACGGCATACGGCACAGGGAAGCTAGAGAAGCAAGGCACATGCAGGTAACCAGTACACATCCGGGTTGAGGCTTACATCGCTGTTTCAGAGACAACGGCACAATTGCTCAGTATTGTTCGTGTAGTCAAGACGCGCAATACCATCCGTCACTAGCTCCCCACATCTGAACCCGCAACTCTCTCAGAGGTGGCTAATTTGCCAATCCAGTGGAACTCTTGTGTTGCCGAGCGCCACATCTCTCCGCTGATGCGATCTGTTAGTACTCTGGTTGGGCGTGGCGAGACGGCCCTATCCAATCTCACAATGCCCAGCTTGCTTCATCTCGACGTCACCACTTGCTCTGAAGCGCCTGGACCTCAGTCCACGATTTCCACTATGACGTCCGATCAGGGTCTCTCCCGAACGAACTAGTTCGTGCTCTACACGGAGGCGTCGATCGATGGTAGCACGTCCTTGTTTGCAACTCATGTTACTTTCTCGGTGAAGCTTGTAACTCATTGCTCCAAAATCTCTATATAAAGCGAGGGATGTCCTCACAAAGCTACTTTCATATCTCATCACTTCGATACCCAACACTACAACAACCACTTCAAACATCTCTCACAACGTCCTAGACGATCACACTACTTTTTTAAAGTTCAATACCTTACCCAGCAAACCAACATTCATCATGAGCGGCTTCGGATCTAACGTCCCTGAGGGCACCCACGGCCAGCACAACTCCCGCCTGGCCAACGCTGCTGACCCTCGCATCGACTCGGATAGGGATCACCGTGCCGCCCCCGGCAACACAACTGGCCTTCAGTCATCTGGCTTTGAGTCGTCTGGTATTCACTCATCTGGACTCGAGTCTTCCCGCCACACCACTGGTGTCCATGAGCCAACCCACCATGGTGTTGGAACCCAGGAGGGTGCCTTCGGCACAACTGGTGCCAACCGTGGTCTCAGCGGTCCCGCCTCCAAGACTGATGGTCCTCACAACAGCAACCTGCTGAACAAGGCCGACCCTCGCGTCGACTCTGACCGCGACCACAGCAAGAACGTGGGCCTGAACCCTCAGCGCGATGCCACCACTAACACTCTGGGTGGTTCCACCGGCCGCACCACTCATGGTGACACTCTGGGCTCTACCACCCACGGCACCACCCACGGCACCACCCATGGCAACACTCTGGGCTCTACCACCCACGGCACCACTCACGGCACCACCCATGGCAATACTCTGGGCTCTACCACCCACGGCCACACCACTGGTGCTCCCGAGGGCACCCACGGACCTCACTCATCCCGTGCTGCCAACGCTGCCGACCCCCGCGTCGACTCTGACAGAGACCACCGTGCTGCCCACGGCAAGACCACTGGCACCACTGGCACTTCTGGTCTCGGAAGCTCCACCGCTCCCAACACCCGCTCCACCGGCCCTGCCCCCAACACTGCCGGCCCTCACAAGTCTGACCTGCTGAACAAGCTCGACCCCCGAGTTGACAGCAACCTCGACGGCAGCAAGACTGTCGGTGGCGACAAGACTCACTCCCACTAAGTGTCTTACGCAAACTTATGTCTTCGGCGAGCAGTGGCGCGAGCCCCTGGGAATCGGTGTTGTCGTCGGAATGATTGATGATTTTAATGATTATCGCGGATTTTGATGTAGCTTATATCACTAGTTTGAATAGCTTAAATGACAATTATCTCTAATTCACTGTTCCATGATACGTGAGATGTTGAAATCTTTGGCATTGATATAAGACGTTGAAGTGGTGTTCTTACTTCACACTCATTATCAACATAACATCAAGTGTCCATATTTCGAAATTCCTGCTAATCTACAGGTCACGTTAATTAATTCCGAAGTGATAATTTAAACTCCTTAAGTTTTATTCTCAATCACGTATTATGTATGATGTTTAGACAAGCGATGTATAATAAATGTGGTCGAAAGCATGTACTGTCGCTAATTACCTACCTATATTACGGGGCACTTAGTGATTGCTGGATCTGGCCATTGCCTGGCCTGCGCAATATCATCAACCAGCGAACTTCACCAATGCATCAAGTCTGCCATTCATTTCATCACTCGTAGCCCGTCCTCTTGTATTTGTTGCGTCACCATAAGGATACAAGAATGAGCGCTCCCATTCCTCAAACGCTCTGGAATGCCCGCATCCCGCTTCACATCACCCATCCGTCATCCCCCACCAGCCCTTTCATCGTCAGCGTGCCGCGCTTCAGCTACTTGGCGCTGCTGCTACCCCGTCTCTCGGCTTTCTTCAGCACGCCCTGCTCAAGCTTCCACTTCGAGGACGTGCAGCTGAGGAACCTGGCCGTCGGCCTGCTAGTAGACCTCTATCAGCCCCATCTCCCCTGGAGACTCACCGTTAACGACGGCGTCGGCTGGGATATCGGGGATACCTTCATCAACTCTGTCAAAGAGGCAAGTCTCCCCGGAAACCCCTTCCAAGTTTCTCGCATGTTAGATGTGTGTGCTAACTCAACAGGCCCCAGGCTGACTTCATCCGCAATGGCAACGCCAACCAGATCATGAAGATGTCCAAGGACCACACCACCCAGCTGTGGAACTCGGTCGTCGACAACGACTATGCCACCTTCAGCCGCATCAACTCCCGGCTCCTCAACGCGCCCACCGCGCTGAGGAACGTCCCCGTGCGCATCTACATCCCCTCGTCGCCCATGTCGTCGTCCTCCGCGCCATCAGAGGCCGCCGCAGGCTCCTTCAAGGTCGTCCAGGCCCTCGTCCCCGCCGCGGGGCCGGACCGCAAGCCCCAACTCCTGGGGCAGGCGCTCAAGAAGCTGATGCCGATGCTGTTCCCCAGCACCCGGGATCCGATCCTGGCCGGTTTGATTCTTCATGGGGCTCCCGTGCCGTTCCAGGCGCCGCTGGAGAGCTTGATGAGGGAGGCGGCGTATCCAGATGGCTGGCTTTGTCTTGTTGTTGTGGTTTGATTCGGGAATGGAGGGGCGTTTAACGGAACTGATGAGATAATGAAATATGCTCTTAGCCAAGACACTTCTTTAGATTTATAAAGTTATTGATACACCTCTCTTTCGTCACATATTCCATTTGCAGTTGTTCAGATAGCAAGTTTCATTACGAACAGCAGCAGCACAGGGAGTTCACGGTATGGGTTTGATAAACAACTAGGGAGATTTCGCAAAGGCGTACTTTGAGCTACCTGACTTTGTGTTCAAGTGTTCTCTTCCCTCATCTCTCTACGTAAACGTAATTTGTGTCCCCATGAGACTTCTATAGGCAGAATCAACCGCTTTCCTTTTCCTCTTCTTGACTTCCTCATCTTCCCCAGCGTCTTCCTCATCCTCATCCTCCTCTTCGCCAGGAACCTGCGGCGCCCAAGCTCTAATGTGTCCGTCAAGATGGGCGCTGTATATCGCACCAGTTGAGTTCCCCCCGCCCATCACAGGTCCAGTTGAGGCCCTTCCTCCGCCGGCACTGCGCCATACAATGCTGGAGATGCGGTTCCTCCCCAGTTCGTTAGACCTAGGTCCCGCCGGGTTGATCGTCCCCGGGCTTCGCAACCGCGTGAGGAGCGTTCCGTCACGAAGGTGGAAAAGGAGAATCTCCTGGTCATTCGCCCAGATGAGGACCTCTCGTTCCGACATGCCCGCAGGGGTGACCACTATGCTCGCCGTGCGCGCGTGTCGATTCTGTATCAGCGGGCCGAAACTGGTCAGAGTGTTGGCCCCTGTGGCAGCATCCCAGACCCTGATTCGGTCGTCCAATCCGGAGGATATGACGTAGTTCCCATCACTCGTCCACTGGAGTCCGTTTACGGCCTCGTCGTGCGCCCGCGCGGACGCACGGAAGCGAGTCACCTGGTCGGGGTTGATCCCGGCCGCGACGGCGTGCCGGTACTTGTGGACGACGCCGAGAGAATCCTCCTGGTCGAGCAGGGAGAGCACGCCGCCGGCTCTGCGGATATCCCAGATGCGCACTTTCCCATCGGCGTGGCCTGTGGCGAGTATATGGTCGTGGCGGGGGCTCCATGCCGTGGACAGGACGGGCCCGCCGTGAGCAACGAGGGCTTGGACGGCCGAGCCGGATTTGAGGTCCACGAGCCGGACGTGGGAGTGCTGAGTCGCGCAGGCAACGAGGAGGTGGTCAGCTATCGGGCTCGTCGAGTGCGAGTATATCGTCGCGTTCAGGTCGAAGCTGGCAGAGAGGGTCGATCGCTCGGTGGACCACAGCTTCAGCGATTTGTCGTACGAGCTCGAGAGGAACGCGTTCGAGTCGAAGGGGTAGAAGGCGAGGTAGGTTATCCCGTGGGTGTGGCCGCTTCCGCGCTGCTCGCTGGTCGACCGCGCAATCGTGCTCACGGGTCTGAACGTGTGGACTTGGTGCGGGTTGGCGCAGCTTTCGAGGTCCCAGAGCTTGATGTTCCCCTCAGCGCCGCCCGAGATCAGGAGACGGCCGTCGAACTTGTCTACCGCGAGGCTGCTGACGCCGGCGCCATGGGCACGGATGTTATGAGGCCGGTCTTGGACGACGGTCGGTTGTTGATCCGGTGCCAGCTCGCCATTGAAGCGATGTTGCGGTGCTGGTGCGAAGGAGCGAAGCAGTTCTGTGGTGTGGGCGAGCGCGAAGTCGCGGGGAGGCAAGTCACCCGTCTCGCGGGCAAGAAGGCGAGCCTGCATTCATCTGAGCTTTGCGGCCGGGAGTCTTGTGAATCTCGCGACTCGCAGGTTGGTTTCCAAGAGTTGACAGTGGATGGTGGCGTCTGGATGCTTATGACGTGTTTCAGGTGGGCGACTGAATAGGCCAAACCGTAACTTCTGCCTACCCCACACCAAAGTTTAACTACAACTTTCATCAATTCAACCTCGTTCCAACATCATTATTGGATTCAAAGGGCCCTTTGTAGCCCTTTGAGGCTATTTATGGCTTACCCTATCTATCTATTCTAAGAAAACGAAGCACCGAATGCTGCATCCTTCCTTGGCTACAGAGTTTTATCAAGTGTATTCCATGAGTTGTTGAAAATTGAAAATCTAAAATCTTGGAATAAGCAAGTTCAACTTCGAGCTTGTATCAGCAACCTGAAAAACCCAAACGTCAAAGCAAGAGAGAAATTTCACATGAAAAATACGCATACTACGCACGATGGACTCAGAAGGGGATGGACCTCCAACGTGGAGGCGCCAGGAAGGCCATGAGCCGGAGTCGTTCCAACCAACAAGCCAACGTCGTCAAGCCACAGTGTTTGATGCTGTTGCAGGTACGCATATCAAGTTGATATCCTCATTGCCAGCCAGAACCAAGTCAACTGATATCGATTTAGGAAAATTGACCAACAGGCATGGTCGCCTGGAAGGTGATGCTCCAGCCACCCAGACACTTTACTCTACCAAAGAGGTGCCCTTTGGCCCAGACGAGGTCCTCTTCCGACGGAAAGAGGCACCCCAGCGTTACGAAGAGTATGACATCTACAAGTCTCATGTGAGAGACCTCCCGCGAGCTGGCCAGGGTGTTCTACCCGAGAGCGACTTGCTCAAGGCCATCCACTCGTATACCAGCCGCTGCTATGGGAGTCTGCATCGCCAAGCATCAGAAGAGGATACCCTGGACGTCAATGAGCGCAGCATGGACGAGACGGCCCTCCTTGCATTCGGGATTCTGCTCGAGGAAGCCAGCAGAGAGGTACTTGGCCGTCACGGAGACCTCGTGTTCACCGAGGGTCTGGATGGAGGCGAGGGCGCTGCCCCCAGTGACGCGGTAACGAGGCGATTCGTGGTACCTTTGGGAGCTGGAGACCTAGAATCAGGGGTGAGGGCTCCATCTCGCAAGAGGCGAAGGGTGGCAAAAAGTGAAGATTCTCATGACATGTGAAGTACCGCGATGGCTCACTCCTCATCCCATGACTCAGATGTATTTTCAGTGCCTGGCTTAAACCGCTGTTGGCCGACAAGAACTCCCTCCTCCTACGTTTCATCTACGGAGATCTGTGGAGGGGATTGATGATCAGGCCTCCTACCCTGAAGATCTTGGGCAGCAAGCTCATTGGGAGCACATGATCTGCGCTGGCTGCGACGAAGAACGTTCATTTACCCGTACAATGGGAGTGCATAGCGAGACGATCGGCTTGGGCCGCGGAGAGAATCATACTGATCCTCATCAGAACTGATCTGGTACGTACATGTGTATGTACATGTCGAGAGGCTTGCTCGATGTGTGAAGCGGTACAGATACAATGACATCAGGGGCATATAAACAGAAACGCACTACCTACGAACTAGTTGTGCTGATTTTTCTCTATATGTACCGTTTACTAGTCTACAACTAGTGGGAATTCTAGATCTACACCTTATGCCTGCCCCTAGAATCATGTCCGGCTTCATCCCGTACGGACCCAGCCTCGCCTCGTCTGTAACTATCGACAGCATCGACGTCAAATATTGAGTCTGGGTTAACCTAGACCAAGCCCATGACACATTCAGCAGCAAGCGAACTCAAGTTTCAGTCCATTCCGATTCATCCACGTCCATCTGGTGTGGCATTGAGCCAGTGGCCATTACCAGGGTGTGCCGAAAGGAACTAACCATCTCGCTGTACGCTTATACCATTAACCTAAGATGAGCTTTAATTGCGTAATCCAGCCTACTTCAAAAAAAAAAATCATTGAAATTTGGATAATTTGCCTTCTAGGATCTACTGCGGTTAGATCGGGAACACGAGGAGGGAAGGGGAGAGGGGAATTTCCACAGTCTCGGGTTAACCGCGAAGGGGGGTCCCCTCCGCTTGGCGTCGCCTTAGTACCACACTACGTCGATAGATAGTCCGCTCGCCTTTGTTGACGAAGCCAATCGACTGACATGGCGGTGGGAGTACATACACCCGCCCGAGGAACGCATGGCTACCCGGATACTAGCAGAAGGGAGGCCAGGAGGGGCCCCATCACGATCGTTTCTTTTAGGTGGATTCCGCTGTGCAAGGTACGAGGAGAGACCCAGCCCGACACTTTGGGTGGTGGGAATGCCGAGACATCTGGCATGGCGGAGAATTTTTCTCTACCTTTTCCCCTTCTCTCCTTGTTCGTCGTTAGTTCTAGCTGGTATTCGTATTAGATGACGATTACGGTAGCGGGCGCCCCGGTTCATGGGGACTGCGCAGGTCTGCAGATGCCCTACTGTAAAAAGAGGGCCATATCGGAACGGCTGCACCTGTACAGTAGTCTGGCTGGCCCCATGACAGCTGAATGCGAGATATAGTACACACATGGAAAATCGCAACGGCCGCTGGCCTCCCACTTCGTGCCGTTAGACCGCATATTATGGTGCACATGAATCAGCATGAGGGGTTCTTTCATCCTGCTGCCTGAGGAATTCTCTGGCAACCACCGGCTGCTCCGCCTGGCCAAGAGATACCGCTCATCGTCAGCTGAACCCCCAACTGCAGATAGATGGACCCTTTGACCCTCTTGGTGGGCTCCGGCTTGACCAGCTGGCTGTCTCTCGTGGGAGGGAGGGCACTGGGAGCTAAGGAGCCCATCAAGTATGTGTGTGCATGTATGTACCGCCTCCCATGCTGGAAAAACAAGTCCGGAAGATCGGTTGTCAGACAGTGATTGGTGATGGGCTTCTTGGCCGATCTGCTCACAGGATTACTGGTTCCCAGAAACCTGGTAAGGAGTGGACCCTGGCTTGCTTCAAGGCAAAAATTCAGTTTCGACAGCTGGACCATGCCATCATTGATCAACCATTGAGGAACTACCGTTCGTCCAGTCCCCTGTTTCTGGTGGCTCTCGAATGACTCCTGCTAGGTAGACAGCTACCGGCACCAGCAACGCAGGGGTTGGTTGGCAAGCCAAAAACACTCTCGACCAATACTCGCCTTGGGTAGGGTATGTATATAATATGTATATGCACATACATGGACTGCGTGTTGTACGGGACGTGCGTTTACATGAGTCTACGTGAGACATGTGGCTGGCCTCGGCTTCCACTGCAGCGATTGGTTGCACAAGTTTCGTTTCTGATGAAAATTCCCGCCTATTTTGCCGTTTCTTTTTCGGGTTGATGGAGAGGTACTTGTGAGGACAGTGTTGAATATGAAGGCTGACACGGCCTGGTCCTTTGGGCATCAACATCGGCCAGCCGTGGATGTGGTGGTGATGGATGGCTGACAAGATACCTCATCCCAAGTCCAAGAATGTACGTACCCGTTCTTACATGGCCTGTAGCTGGTGGCCTCCTGTCACTCTGCCATCTGAAGGGTCCTGTATGCATCTGGGGTGCTTATGCGCGTCTTTCTGTGTCTCTTCCCCTCTGTTGTGGTCCTGTAAGTCTCATCTGCGGTAGCTGTAAAGCAAAATCTCACTGGAATCTAAGACAGTGAATCAGTCATCGATGACCACAGACCAACCAGCATGACCACTCCTCCGCCTTTTTTACACAATAAGCCCCTAATCAGCAGCCTGTATGCGCGGTACATACCCTCCTCGCTTTGTTGTCCTTGACACATTGTTACCATTATTCATATTAGGTATTTCAGTGCCTGGCAAGAGTGGGGATGTAGATCCAACCACCATGGCCGGCCTTGCTCGGTGTTAGATCATCGCAGGTAGCAGCATCAACATCCACACACACCCCTTCCACCACTCCAACCTCCAACCAACGGCATAGCATGACGTCTGGTCCTTTGCTGCGGCATAACCATCTGAAGACGGGGCGCCATTACGACACCGCGGTGGAGTTGTGGCTTCCAAGTCCCCAGTCCAAGGAATTCTGGAAATGAACGTTTAATCAAACCTACGGGCAGGTCTCATTGTGGAGATCGCCTGGCACTGAAACACGGCGACTCGCGCCCTCTCCAGTGACAATAGGAAGGCAAGTGCGAGCAAAACTGCGCTGCCATCTGGGCTGGCGCCTCAAGACTTCACCGGGGTTGAGGTGGAGAAGGGTTCAACTGGCTTCCTCCGTTGCTATTTTCCGTCTCATACGCCGGTAAGCATGCAGTAGTGACGGCTACTGTGGTGGCTACCCGACAGAACTAGTTCCTTATCCGACGGAGCACCACATGCGCGCTATGCAAGCTGCACTAAGTATTACTCTCCCGTTGGGCACTAGGTGCCATGTATCGATGAGACCCTCAGATACACAAGTAAGTTCGACATTGCATGATCGCCCACAGGCATTATTCTCCTCGGATGGTGGTACTTACCGCCCAATTATGCAATGCACGTCGGTGTGTCGTAGTTGTCTGCTTGGCAGTGACCACTCAGCCAGACCTAGCTTGTTTCTGATGGAGGGGAAGATAATAGCGTCACGGCTACCAGCAGGTTAGGTTAGTATCTAGTCTGAGCGTAGCTTCCTCTTCTGTCTTTGTCGTTGGTTCAGGTCCTTGACCGCTGTTTGTTTCTAGATTGCAGTTGGACCGTGGGCAGAGGGTCCCGCAGCAACAAACCTTCACGTGAAGTGTTGGTTGCTCATCCTTTCTCAGACAATGCTAGGTCCGCATAAAATGACAAATCAGAGGAGAGGGGGGCTCCAAGTCGTACCACTCTTGGTTGGTGAAAACGTCTGGGGACCTTCATGGGGGCGGCTGCCCGATACCAGTCTGCACGGTTACATTCTTGGCTTTGCATCGGCGTTTCGGGAGGGAGGAAGCTCTGGCGCGAGAATGTTGGGCCGGCTTACCGTCGAGGCTGGGAGAGCTTCGCTTCTGGTTCGGAGCAGGGGGGGCAGAGGGCAGCTGTCGCATGGCCTGCCAGACAAGACCCAGACCCGTGTCGTCGGTCCCTCTCTGCCTTGGCGAGTGCAGGGAAGGAGACAGCGCCCTGGCCTGAGACAAAAATCGAAGAACTTGTCTGACGTTTTGCTAGCTAAAATAAACCCAAAGGCTGCCTCCTGTTGGCGCTAGTTCTGTCAGATGGGTGACCTGGGGGCGGCTCCTGTCCATGCAAGCCCAGATGGTGACAGTCGCTTCAGCCTCTCGCACCTGGCTGGGCAAAGACCTCAAAACCAAGGGCGTGGAAATTGCCCTGTGACCTATCAGCTCGGATTGCCATGGATAGTAATGGCTCAAGGCTTCGGAGACATGGATGTTTGATGATGAAGACTGTCTGGTGAGTCGTGCTCCATGTCCCAATCTCGCCGGGCTACCTCATTCTCATTACTTTTGATGACTTATTTTGGAATTGATTCTCCCAGCTCGGTACGTAGTGGTCGACCCTTGGCACCGGCGACTTATGAATGAAGGCTATCAAGATACACTCATATTGCCTCGTCGCTAGTAATAAGTCGACACCCTGGTCCTTAATAAGCGGCTTTGTCCAGGGGTATACAAATACGTAAAAGGTGTGGTGAACGAACCGTTTTTTGATGCTGTGGCAGGGAAAGTGAACCGTTTCAAAGATCGGCCGAAATGCCACGGAGCCGTTGATGCGATGGCGTAGCGTGTGTCACAACCCAACCCAGTTGCATTTCATTTCAATTGGTCTTGGGAGGCTGGTCGAAATCTCGATGCGGCATAAGAAAAACATTCACCTTTGGCCCCCCCTCTGAGCCGGCCGGCCAACATGACGAAAGCCCATATTCTTCTGCATAGATAAGCCGGCTCTGCACTGGACTAGGTCTGATGATCCCATGAGTACCGGATGTCACCAAAGTGCCTTCCTAAGTGCGGTCTTGTTTATTAGTGAAGACTGACAATAATTCGAGCCATCACGAGCCTCAATGAAAAGCGGAAGCGTAGCGGGCAAACGGATGCTGACCAGCTGCAGAGGAATGGACACTATTGCTTGTCTACAGGAAATACTCCAGGACCACGCATGTATTCAGCATGTGTTGGAAAGAAACGCGAGCCAGCGACCGCCGTTCAGACGCTAGCTGAGCATAATACATTATGCAAGGCAGACAGGGAACAGCCTGCACACGCTGGGAGGTTGGTAATGCGGGGAAGCACCCTTCGGCGAACAGGTTCATCGTTGTACAAAACCTTGGGAGGCGTTTGGAACAGCGTTTCTGATAGGAGGAAGCCGTTTTTTCCACTCGCCGCGTCGCCCATGTCTGTCAAGCTGACCACGACAACAGAGAATGTGACCTCGCCACGTAGGGACCAGATCGATACCTCTCCCTGTATCAGCTCCAGGGAAAGCGGAGATGCATTAAACCCCCCAAAAATAAAATGGAAGGTATCTTGCGGCACGAGGCGATAGCCAGTCGGGCTGGTGGGATAATACAGTCTTACCTGGTACTAGGTTGCGAGTACCCTGGGGATTTCGGCAAGGCAAGGTTAATCTGGCCGAACATCGTATGACCAACCTCCAGCAGCTGGAGCTTGATTTGGACAGTCGTCACACCAGGCGGGCGTGAAGTGAGAGTCTGATGGCCATCGTTGACAGATCCAGGTAGGAGGCCGATAAACCCGATGCAGCGTAGCGGCAAGTTGCAGCACATGCGCCAGGCCCGAACGGGGTAGTGCATACGAAGGCAAGGCAGGCTGCGGATGCTATCACATCGTATCCAGGCCAGCTGGCGTAGGAATACATACAACTGCAACCTTGATCGCGACAGCATTGGCTGTCACTTGCTTGGGGAGGTGGTGGATCAGGACGGATGCTGCGCTGTGCTGACTCAGGCAGAGGCGAGCAGAGGCAAGTGCGATACAACGATGGATGCCATTTGGGTGACTTGTGCTTTTCCATGCTGCCAACGGGACGGCTCGTGAGGAAGCTACGTACGGCCTAAGTTACATCCTCCCCCCCTTCTGCCCCGATAGGCTCTAGGGCGCGGTGTGTTGTTGCGGTACATCCAGGTACCAGCGAGCATTTCGATGGAGACGGCCATTCAACCAGCCAGAAGCCAGCACATGACATTTGCACATGTCACGAGCGTATGAACGAGGCCAATCATGGAGTTGGCCGTCTGCTGCGTGACGCGAGATGCACGGGCGGCGGCGCTATCACTTGTCATACGCAAGAGCAGCGATCATAAAAGCCTATGAATTATTAATTCCTCCATCCTACTAATCTTGCTAAAATGTGGTCATGTGGTTGGACCCCCCCTTCGGGTATTTGCACCCATCCAGGCTCCGAGCTCAGCCCGTTGGATTTCCACCATCACCGACGCCAAGCACACCCGCGTTGTAATAGCGGGAACGGTAATGCCCATGAGATAGAGCCAATGCTGTGAACCAAGTTGTTATAATCAAAGCATGAGTCCAAGTACTCCCTGACGTATCTGAGCCCAGCGTGGAGAGACCGGATTATGAAAGCTTTCCGAGATGAACCTGAGCCGAGAGTTTAAATGTACCTCCGCCTTGGTTAAGGTACCCACGTTATCTCCTCCCACCCGGGTGATTGACACGTCTGTTGCGATCATGTGACTGTGTCGAGCTACGTCAGGTAGTACAAAGTACCAATCATTGGGCATGTCCTTCCGCCTACCTAGGTACTCTCATGCTTTTGAGACATACTCTATTGTACAAAGTCACCGATGATGGAGTAGTGGGTGTACTGCTGCTGGACGGGAGCCAAGAAAAAAAGAACATAAAAAGAAGGGCTTGATCGGGATATTGGCTGATTGGCTGACTACTTTGTTAGTATTACTTGTATCTGTCCAGGTCTTACCCTGGGTGTCTAGTGCTGGTCAAAGGCATACCGAGAGAACCTCCTCTCAAAGGCACAACCAGGCTAGACCATGGCATGACATAGTAGTTACGTATGTGATTATTACTGCTGCATTGATGACTTGATAAGGATGTAACGACTGATGAAGGAGCAAGGAATAAATCCCGCCTTCTCGTCAACAACTCCTCAGGTTGGTTAGGGATCAGCAAGCCATTTGGATGCCTTGAGATACTGTAGACAAAGCTTTGGGGATGGCTGATTGGGGAGGAATGCCAGGATACTACATAGTAGATACGTTGCCTTGTACCCAGGGCATCTGGCTGGATCGAAGTCACATCCAAGCATATAGCCTGAACGTAATTAGGTCTTGGGGTGTCTTGGAGCTGCTCCACGATGCTCAAACAAAGTGGGCCTTCCGCTACCACCTTGTTGCCCTGTGTCCCTGGAAATTATGGCGTGTCTTGGTGCCTCCCACAGCGTCCATACCCAAGTCGTGTGCCAGGCTGTCAACGGCCTGGCTAACACTTCCTGAACAGGCAAACGTAGGCAATGGTATATGAAAACGCCAAACTCTGGGGATGTCACACTTCCCCGGACATGGTCTCAGCGCTCGAGGTCTGCGCTTTGGACACTCTCCTTCCAACTCTAAAGCTCGAGCAATGCCATGGATGCAATAATAATTAGTGGATTGTTTGTGTGTTTGCGGTCCGGACTATGAAATTATTAATAACTGCGATATATCGATACCTCCACTGTTGCTGTTTGGGGCCTCCACACCACCACCAGTAGCCCTGAACCAGCCTGACCACCACTACCTGCCACCACCATCAGTGCGCTTCTCTCGATGACAACGTCTCCGCTTGCCCTCAGCCGCAATTTTCCCACGGTGGAGTGCCCGCCTTTTCCTCAAATTGCGGTGTTGAATGCTTTTGCAGTTGACGCGGTTCGCGCTGGGGGGCAATTTATGCCTCACATGCCTCGCCTCTGGCAGAGACTCTCACCGACATGAGGGACGGAATGGTGTGCTAATTGTCAGCGCGCTCGCTAGCCATGACTGTTGGACTGGGGAAGAAGGTGAATGCACAATTATCTGAGAGATGATATCAGTGTGTCCAACAAGGAAGGACGCCCGGATCGGTACCGTCGGTCAGCCCACCCAAACGGTAACCACACAGAGGTGAGCAGTGAGGCAAGCAGAGTACGTACCGGTCTGGGCAAGTACCTCCCCCAGCAAGCCAACAGCAAAATGGATGTGCGTGCGACTTGAGGTTCCGCCCACCCAGACACCAATGCGGCGTCAAGGGCGTACCATGCCTCGACCATCCCCTGGCCCGTGTTTGGCCCAAGCCGAATGATCGTGAGCAGCCTCAGGCACCCACTCTCGACCCCACATGCGATGTCCGCTCGCTCTGTCTAGGAATTGCGGCCTACCGATGGCTGGCTCCGGGAGACAGGTTCTGCCTCCTGGACGCCCAGCACCGATGCCTATCCTTCCGTCCCAGGTAGGCGGCTACGACATGGAAAGAATGGATCATCTGAGAGACAGGGTCGCGCTGCTCGTGATGGAGCTCGAGATATTGCAATGGGGGACTCTTGGAGGAAAAAGAAAATAAAAGAGGACCCCAAAGTCGCACCCTGGACGGGTACCAACGAGCGCGTGCTATTTGGACTCGTGGAGACCAGGGGCCTCTGCCTGCGCTAAAAAGAGCTCGTTCAAACCCCCTTCTTCTCATTCTGAGAGGCTACCTTGGTTCTGTCACCCCCAGTTCTGCCAAGGGTCCGGGCCAGACCATGATCCTTGTTCGACATGGCCACCCAGGCCAGCACCAGCACCCTCGTCGAGCGTAATTGTAGGTCTGCTGTCTCACCTCTCACGTTTCCGCCAGATCTGGTCAACGTCACTTTCGCCGGCTGGCCATCGTCGCCGCATTTTCTCGCCGCCCGCCTCCGTCTTCCTCCGTTTGTGTCGCCCAACCAAACCGTGCGTGGAGTGGAGTTTTAGTAGCTTCATGCTCCTACCCATCAACCAGCTCGCCAGTGTCTCGCCCGCGACTCATTCAAGGTCGACTGGCCTCTTTTCTCTCTTCCCACACCCCCCCAAGCTGCTGATCTCACTCGTACGAGACCCAGCAAAGGAGCTTTGGCTCCACCTTTGACAGTCGGACCTCCATAGTAGTACAGTACCGCTGTATTGAGCTGGTGCTGGTGCGGAGCTCTGTGTGTTCGAGCGAGTCCGAGGCAGACGGAGACAAGCTCCATCCATCTCTGCCCAACTGCAGATCCCTCCTCGCCGTAATATCTGCTCTGGCTGGTCGGTTCGTCTCAACCTGCCCTGCAGCCTGCCCGCTTGGTACCTACCCTGCCCTGTCCTGTCCTGCCCGCCCTGCCACCTTTCGCCTCCAAGAGAGGCCTTCTGTTGGGCTCGGCTATTGCGGGGGACCCATTGGCGTGTGTACTGTGCGCGCGTGCTGAGCTGGACCTGGCTTCCGTTCTGACACATCTCCTGTGGTGTTGCCCTCGTCTGGTTTGCTAACCTTTCCCGCCCGCCAGTCCAAGCAAGCTTGGTCGGCCAACTGCGTGCGCGCGAGTCAAGCCAACCCCAGAAGCCCGGGCTGCTTGGGACCCAATCACGGACCTCACCCTCTCGTCTGCCGATACGTACTGCCAGACGTTTACCTTACTGTGCGCTCTTGTAGCTTCTCGAGCCTCTCCCCAGATACCCTTCTATGGCCGGCCATCTCTCTGTGGACCCTGCTTCATCTAGTGCCTCGCCTCGTCCGTCCTCCGCTGAGTATGCGTCCGTGTTCTGCGCCTGTACATATATAGTACCCCAAGTACGTACAGCGTTGCCTCCTACGCATCATGGAGCCGGCACCTCCAGACCACCAGCAGCGTCACCGTCTCTCATGGTCGTCGACTTCTGGTCCTCACGGCGGCGTCCCATCGTTGCCGCGCCCCCATAGCTCGACGACGAACCCTCTTCCTCTTCCGCGCGTGCATAACCACCCACAGCCGCCCTACGCGTCCTTCACACCCCGTCCCGCCGACCTTCACTCTGCGCCGCCTACTCCGGTTCATCCCAGCCCAGTGTCGCATCACCCCGAGCCTGATCGTCGCCATCATGATCAGGAACCTTACGCTCCAATGCATGATCATTACCAACCGCAGCAGCAGCAGCATCACCACCACCCCGTCTCCCCAGCGCAAGGGCCTTACCAGCAGTCCTATCCACCTCGGGACCCGTCTTTGGTGAAGAGGGAACCTCACGACGACTCTCGGCGGTCGAGCTCGACGGGGCATGCGACTGATATCTCGTCCGGACAGCACCCGCCGACCCCCCATCACTCCCTCCCGCCGCCTCCCTCATACCCTGACAACCAGCCTCGACACATGAACTACGACAACGGGCACCCGATGCCGGGAGGCTATCGGCAACCCAGCTACCCACCGCCGACTCCTGTGGCACAACAAGCCCAATATGAGCCACCGCATACATCATATTCTTCCAACAACGATCCATACTACTCAGTGTACCCCTCTAGCATTCCCGCAAAGAAAAAGAACACGCGCGCATCTCAGGTCGGGACCCTCCCTATATTTGCGCCGGAAGCGCTTGTCTACCTTGTGGATGACATTGAACTGACAATTGGAGAGCATAGGCTTGCGATCAATGCCGCCAACTGAAAGCAAAATGTGACGAAACGAAACCGTGCAAAACTTGTCGAGACAAAGGTCTTGAATGTCGATACCGCGACCCGGTCCCAAAAGCGTAGGAAAATCCAATCTGGACCATGGCGCATAAGTGTATATGGCTGACAAGGACTCTAGCACGGACAAGGCGCAGGCCGATATTTTGGAGGGTATTACCTCAATGCAGAACACCTTGGTCGCCCTGGTTGATCGTTTTGACAGAATGGACAACAGGTTGACGACAGTGGAAAAGGCATTGAAAGCAGGCGCCCTTTCCAACCCAGCGCCAATGTTGGTACCGATAAAAAACGACCCTGTGGGCGAGGAGGAAGCAAAACCGGTGCAACAGTCGCCGATTGTTAATGGTCATGCTGGTGGCGGCGCAACGGGGTATTATCAGCCTCAGCCGCAACCACCGCAACTTCACTTACAAACTCGGCCTCAACCGCAAGCACAGGCAGAGGCACAAGAACAGGCACGGGCGCAGGCGCAGGCACAAGAACAAGCACGGGCGCAGGCGCAAGCACAAGAACAAGCACAGGCACAAGCGCAGGCACAGGGGCAAGCGCAAGGACAGGCTCAAGCGCAGGCGCAGACACAGGCGCAACCTCAAACCCAGGGGGCTGAGGCACAAGACCCTGACTACCCGCCCGCGACGCTCCCCTCGATGAACGAGGAAGAAGCAGAAGCAGAACCTGGCCGACCAATACCGCCTGGTGAGCCGGCGATTCCAATGAATCATACTACGCTGGCCGGCCTTCTGCTGGAATGGCCGTCGATCCGGGAGTTGACGCGGAAGCATGTTGAGAAGGTGGGAATTCGCTATATCTCTGAGTATCCTATTAGCGTGGAGCAAAGTCGCGGGCCGTTGCTGGTTTATGGACGCGGAGAGGATAACCACAGTTACCGACATATCGTCAAGGAACCCGAAAATCATGGTACCGTGGACATTGCCGATGACAATTCCTCGGATATGGCATCACCGTCACCTGCCGCCGATTTTGGACTTGTTGGAGGTTTAAGCCCGCCTGATATGGTCGAGTACAAGGGAGGTGTACTGGCTTTTGATGGCACTCCTGATTTTACTGAGCTGAAAGTCTGGGCATATGTGGAAAGTTTTAAGGATAACATTCTTAATATGCATCCGATTATCACTCCAAAAACTCTGGAGAATTGGGTTCGCCAGTTTCTCGACAATCTTCCCATGTCGCACCCACGATCGGCTAAACCTCAAGCCGTCAAACCAGCTTTTGCGTTTGCTTCGACGCCAACGCCAACGCCGACAGAACAAACCGGATCAAAACGCAAGCGCTCCCCTGGACCTGATGGAAGCGAGACTCCGATGACTCCCGGGCCGATTAGGACTGGAAAGCCAGCCCGTTCAGTTCACAGTGCACTCGTGCTTACGATTCTCGCACTGGGAAAGATTTGTATGCATCGAGACAACATTCCTGACGTAGTTCACCCTCAACCTACGTCTGACTCTGGTTCTCACGGAAGCCCGAGCATTCGAAATGGTGTCATCCCGCCGTCTTCACCTAGCCAAGGATCTCCCCCCGGGCCTCATTCTTACTCGCAGTCTCCAGCCCAGGCTTCACCCATGGACCAAGCCGGGCGAGGGAGCCACAGCAGGCGGCCATCTATACATGGGACCTCCGGCCACACTCGCCCAGGCTATAGCCTGAAGAAGAATTTTGATGTGATCCCAGGGCTGGAATATTTTGCTTATGCCACTGACATTCTGGGCAATCTTACTGGTTCATACAATAACATGAAAAATGTGTATGCCAACATTTTTGCCAGTCTTTACCAGGGACAGCTGGGTCGGCCTCTGGAGAGTTTTGCCTTCATCCATAAGGCCAGCCATCAGCTACAAGTTCTCATGCGACCGTAAGTTTGTCTTCTACTCTTCCTTTTAATGTCGTCTTGCTAACGATGTTTTGCGTTCTAGGAGCCTTGATAAATTGCAAGCTTTTAAGAAGAAGAATGAATTTATTGTGCAGCCAAAGTACAATAATCTTGCGCTGGCTTTTTGGACGTGCCTTCAGCTTGAGAGGTAAGACTTCACACCATGGCCGTGATTCTCGAACTGCTACTGATCGTCGAACAAGTGATCTCATTGCCGAGTTCCCATTGCCACCATCTGGGTTGCTCTCGTACGAAGACGACATGCCGCATCCAAGTATGATTCTCATGGCAGGCTTTGACCAGCGAATTCTGGACAGCTACCCGGGTCAGCTATATCTCAGGACCCACTTGAATAGCATCCATCGCATGTTCTACGCGCCGGATGATCCCGATGGGTCCATCAACGACAACAAGTTCCAAAATGTGGATTTGGTTGCGGATGCCGTATCGGGTATGCACTGGGTCGCGCCTAGTTTGTCTTTCAAGGAAGACGATCCGCCCGGCGAGGATATCCTTTCAGCTCGCCTACGGGCTAAGTACTGGGGTGCTCAAGTCATCACGTACCGCCCCTTCGTGAGGCAGATTCTTCAATTTTCGTACTCGGTTAAGAATGGAGTACAGGAAGATGTAGATGACCCCTCATCAAGATGGTCGGAGTTCCGATCTGGCATCATCGCTCCGTTCATTCATCCGGACACTAAGTCGTTGAAAGAGATTGACCCGGCAATGATTGGGCTGGCTCGTAAGGGTATCAATGCGTTGATTGAGAGCACCAGGGCTTTTCATGGCCTGGGCGACCAGCGCCCTATTATCACGAATGTGTTCGGAACCGCTCATGCGTAAGTATATTGAAAACCATCCGCATCGACTTGATTTCCAGGCTGCTAACTGCTGTTAGACAATGGGGAAACCTCCTTGTTCTTTCTGCTGCCTTCAAGGACCCTCTTCTGGGGGGTTTCGTTCCGGAACACTTGCTGAAAACACTCTTCCATAAGACAATTGCATTTCTGAAACAGTCAGCTACGGCAACAAGCTCTTTAAGGTTTGACATGATCATCTTGGAGGGCTTGCAACGAGACCTGTTCTCCCCTGAACCTCCTCGAACAAATTCTAGTTTTTCGAGCCACACCAGCACGACCCAACCGCGGGCTTCCGCGACTGCCACTCCCCATATGAGTCATGTAATACTCAATCAAGGCCACGGAACCCCGCCTATCTCACCAAGAATGCGGGAGCCCTACAACACGTCAGCCCCTAATTGAGGGCTTTGGGAAATTGAACATGATAGTGGCGTTATGGGCAAGACTCTCGCTTTTTTTATCTTTGTCAAATCATTTACTGTGTCAACATGGCAACGGCGTTCTTGGATTGCAACAAGCACTTTTTAAAACCAAACAGAAGGCGGCGGAAATTTGATTTATCATTAAGCTGGGGAAGCATCTTTAATATAGTTACCGGGGATCGATTTGCAAACGAAAAGGATTCCGGCTCGCACCCGCAAGTTATGCATGTTCACAATTTTCAGCAACAATTTATTTTTTGACGGTCTTTTATAAGCATTTGCCGACATTGCGATAGCCACGGTTTTGCAAACCTTTGACGGCCCAAACTTATATCAGTCTGGATATTTCGGCCGATATGTCAACGCAGATTTAGTTTCTCCGAAAATGTCTTTACAAATCCATGTTTGTCTTTTTTCTTATCCTCATCAAGGTGCAAACCTGATCATTGTCGAGACCATGGAGAAAGGGTTTTGGTCCCAGTTTATAGACACGCACATCATTCTCTATATTCTCTTGGCTCCTTTTTTTTTCTCATGCTTTTTGGGGGTAGCATCTGTCTTATTGCATGTCTGTCTTTTTGGTTTTCCCTTTACGAGCTTCAGCATACGGTACTCAGTCGGAATTGGATACCCAGGAGACGATTTGATTGATATAACGTGGTGGGAGCTGTGACACGAGGGGAGAAGTTGGTTCAATTGGCACCAGCGAGGGGGCAGCTCGGGGCTGAGTCACTGGGACCAGGCGCGGGTGTTATTGCTTTTCCTTGAATGATAAATAGATAGTCAATGATCAATCTTCTTTCCATGGAGTTTTCTTTCCCCCGTTGTGAAGCAAATTGTAGATAGCTATCACCCTTAAATATTCCATCATTTTCATTCCCTAGGGGTACTTATCTACACTGGGTGTCTTTCATTACCTACTTGAAGTCTAATGAGGGATGACAGAAAAAAGGCAGTCGTCATTCCTCACGCCCATTCTCGCTTGAATTTCTCAGTGAAATCCTCTTGTAGGCATACAAAGGCCTTCAACACGTTGGCCAACCCTTGACCATCCCGTTGCCATGCGGGTGCGTCCACATCACCATTGTTCCAGATCGTCGGTGCTGAAGAAGCAGTCTTCAGCTCGCCCCCTTCGTCCTCCTCGTCACTATCATCCCAGCTGTCCTTCGTTGCAGCCTTTGGTTTCTTCGCCGGTAACTGTGTAGCCTGCTCCCTGTTGATTTCACGGGCCTCGGCCTCGTTCTCGCCAAACTCATGCTCGTCGAACCCTTGCTCCTTGCCATCCTCGCCATCATCTCCCGCCTGGCTACCCGCGAGGCCCTCGAGGCTGGACACGATGGCCGCAAGAGTCAAAGAGAAGTCCTTGAGCAGGAACCACACGTCGCCGTCCTTGATGCGGTTGTCGCGCACCAGGACGCTCATGGAGGCGTGCTTGTAGAAGTCGTACAGGTAGGCGTTGTGCTCCGTGGCGGTCTCGCGGGGCCAGACGGGGATGTAAGGTATGGCCGACTCCTCGAGGAAGACGCCGCCGCGGACGGTGGAGCAGAGGTCGTGGATCGACTTGAATGTGTCGTCGAACCCGGAGAGGGCGACGAACGGCGACCGGATCGTGGCGGGTGGTTTGCCGGGGGTGAAGACAGGCTGTCGGGGCGTATTCGCAGCCCCCACGGCTCGCCCTGAGAAGGGGAGGGTACAGTCCGGCTGGCCGGCGAGGTTATGGGAGATGTAGGAGCTTACGTAGCCTCTGAAGATTTTCAGTGTCTCTGCGTTATGCTCCAGTAGTAGCTTCTCTGCTGAAGCCGGCAGGCGTGGGAGGAAGACGACCGAAGAGGATCTGTGTAATGATTCGACGAAGGCGTCGCTTCGCTTGACGGGGATGCGATTGAACAAGTGGCTTAGTACGAGCATCATTTCGAGCATGACTTCTTCACGATTGATGTCGATTCTGGCGCAAAGATTGTGGAAATACCCACCTTTGAGAAGGGAATGAAACGCAAAGACAGAGTTCTCAGTGAAATAGAGATGGCCTATCAATCCTGCGAAGTTGAGGGGCGCTCCTGTTGCCGACAGCAGGTGATGCCGTCGTAGGTAGTCGATGGAGAACCGCAAGTGATGCTTTACAGCTCCTTTTGCCTCTGGGCCTCCTGCAAAGATCCGCGTCTGGGATAGAAGAGCGTTCATAGAGTCGACTGCAACGTCTCCGTTGTTCGTCCCATGGAGAAGACCGAATAATCGGAGGATGAGACTTGTTGAGATGCAGAACTGGCCGCGGAGGTCAGGCAGTCGGGAGGACATGATCTCGTAGACACGCTCTTTGGGGATGCCGTTGAAGACCACGTTCCCCAAGAGGTCGAAGCCTCTACGGCCAGCTCGGCCGGATGCCTGTCGGTAGTTCTGAGCTGTGAGGAAGATCGAGTCGCCGCTGAAGACCACAGTCTTGCAGGGCATGTTGATACCGAGAGCCAGTGTGCCGGTCGCGACAACGAGCCTGAGGTAACCCTTGCGGAAGAGAATCTCAACTCTATTAAGAGAGCAATCAGTTAGCTTATAATCTACACTTGAAAAGACCCGGTGTTCGTAGCATCAGCAGGGGGGGGGTACTGAAACCTACATTTGTCTGTATCGTCGATTGATACCTGCGTGATGAACACCAACTCCACGTCGGAGAGCCTCAATCATCCAACGTTTGAGGTTTTCGTCCTTCAGTTTTCCCAGGTGTTCGTTCAACTCGGAAAGCTGCAGTTTCACCTTGTCCGCGAAGCTAAACTGGTCCAAGGGGCCATCTGGGTCGAAACTCTCCCAGGGGCTGAGCTCGACATTTGCCTCTGACTGAACAATATCCATCTTTGACAATCTGTCCGCATCGCCATCCTTATTCTTTGATTTCTGAGAAGCCTTGGTCTTTTTAGACTCATTTCCTGACTTCTTTTTATTTCCTCGTTGCCATGCTTGGTAGCGATCCATTGTTCGCTTCCATTCCGGGCTTGACTCTTTCCAGAGATTCTCTGCCTCTTCTAGCTTCCGAACGACATGTTGTACTTGTTTTTCGCATTCTGTTCGGTCATAGCTGAATGCCAGAGCCGGCAAGGCATCTTGTTCATGCAAATCGCAGGCCAATGGAAACAATGCCTCCTTATGATTCGGAGGTCCACCGGATACTGTTACTGCATTCTGGATGCTCCGCTCTACCTCCAAAGCCTGTCCTAGCTTATTCTTGAGCCTTTCGAAAGCCGATGAATCTTGCTGAATTAGGTGCAAAAGTCTTGACTTGAGGCTCTCTTCCCACTTTCTCACGTCGGACTTGGTGATGATAGTCGGCAAGGCTTTTGCCGGACCGTCAATCTCGTATTTTCGCATATCATCATGGGAGAGAGTCTCGCTTAGTTCCCTCCACAGGATAAAGCAGTCCCTTGCCTCGAGACTGAGGTCGCCGAGGGCACCTCTGTTACGATCAATGAGCGCCGCAATAGGATGGATGAACTTCAGATTCTGGCAGAGCTGTGGACCTTCGTCCAAACCCGGAACTGGCAATTTTCGTATCTTCCGTAAGCCCTGGAAAGAAAAGTCCTTGGACGGCTTGTAAATGAACTTCCTCAAATCTGAGTAACGGACATCATGGACGACAAGCTTCATCCTGCGCCCCTTTTTCACTTGGGTTGCCTGAAGCCAATCTTGAAACTCTCCTGGATTCCCAATCGTAGCGGACAGCGCAATGATGGGGCATGGGGCCAGCAGCAGGAGCTGCTCCCAGACCACGCCGTCTTCATTCTGACCGATACAGTGAACTTCATCAAAGATGATCCGCTTCACTCTCTTCGACCAAGCCCTTGTGCCGGTCGCGTTAACGGGTGAGAGGAGCATGATTTGCAACATTTGAGGCACTGTGACCAATATCTGGCATTCTGTGGGGGTGTTGACCCGATAGTCTCTTGTGTGAATTGCCCAGACTGATTTGGTCGACACCTTTGACTTGCTGTAGTCCTTTGAGAAGCGTGCATTGATCTCGGCGGCAATCTGATTGACCAGGGCCTTGGTTGGGGCTACGTAGACGATGACCGAATCGTCGTCAGACTCCAGAATCTTCTTCATTGCGTAGAATGATATGAAGGTTTTGCCGGCGGAGGTCGGCGCCACGACGATCAAGCTGTCGTCCTCGTCAATGGAGTCCAGCACTTGTCTCTGCCACGCGTCGGGTTCAAATTGAACACGATCATCTGGTCGAGAATCGAACCGCCGGTCCATGTACGGGCCAGCGTATTCCAGCTGCAGGGCTTGGGCATCAACCTGAAGTTCCTTCATTGCCCTCAGCGCCTCCAGATCAAATCTGAAAGGCAAGCTTCTGCTGGGGGTGGAAAAGGGGAAGGGCAAAGAGGGCATCTTTAGATGCTTGTTCAGCCGCGTGAGAGCATCCGCCACTTCGGGCGTGAGAGACTGATTGTTGGAACACTTGCGCATACAGTTCCACAACATTGCGATGATGTAGTATCCCCGGTGGTGAGTTGCGGACAAGTTCCTGCTCATCTCTTCCCTGCTCCAGATCTTGCACAGCACATTGCACATGTACACGTCGACCTCGGAAACCAGAGCCTTCGTGCCCTCCCCCGATGACTTGCTCTGGGCAAATTTCAAGGCTTTCCAGTAGCGGCTCACCAAGTCAGGGTCTTTTTCATACACGGAGCACTCCTTGTCCCAGTACCTAGCCTCGTCTTTCTGTTTCTTCATAATTTTGAGTTCCCGGCACTCAGCCGCGGCTTTGAGAGCATTTGCCCTGCCCCCGGGAGCCTTCTTCCAATTGCCCTGCGGCACCGAATTGTTGTTCTTCCTGTTGTTCGATGACTTGGGCTTCTTCGAGGCTGCAATGATGATCTCTGGCTCGAGGGACTTCCCCTGTGCGTTTGTTAAGCTGGCAGAGTACGCCGTCATGTCGGCCATCATCTTCTGCTGCCGCTTTCTGCCAAAGAAGCCGACTCTCGAGGGCATCTTGGGCAGAACGAGCCTTTTACGTGCATTGTGCCAGTGCGTCAGGTCCTCAAAGACAACGTCTGCAGTCGGGTCTCGGGTCTCAGGGGCTATCTTAAGGTTGATGTCGCTTAGGAAGTCGTCGAGTGCCGGGTGGCTGAACTCCAACACGCTCGTTTCAGGCTGCTTCTGTTGAGAAGTATCGACTACTGTCGTCGCAGAAGTTGCGTAGAGGTGGTCCAGAGGAGAGGTTTCCTTATCCAACACCAGTTGCAGCAATGCACTGGCCAATTTCAGGACGTTCTCCGGGAAGGGTTGCTTTTGTCTCAACCTCCCCAGGACGTAGAAAAACACTCGCCCATCTACCAGATCGTAGAGGTCCCACTGGAGACTAGTGGCTTCGCAGCTGTCGTAGATGGCATGCCGTTTCAATACCATCAGATGGGCCGTCTCACAGAACGAGCGGAGAAAGTCTACGTCGCCTGGCAGGTTTGGTGTCTGCGATTCAATCTGGCGATCTAGAAGACTGCATACATGTAAGATGGCCAGGTGTAGCATGAAGGCGCTGATACGCTCATCCACTTCTTCTCTATTGTCTTCTGCATGGACTCGTAAGGCCTGGCAGATAGCAACACTGACAGCCATTCGAAGAGTGAAGTTGCCATGCTCAGATGGCAAGCGGTCGATCTTATCAGGAAGCCTCTCGAAAATGGACTCTGTCAACTCACAAACCTCGTCGTCCTTTATCTTCAACTTCAAGCTCGGAGTGCGGCTCGTAGTTCCACTTATCATTGGGAAGAATGCCTGAGAAACGTGTGAGAAACCCAAGATAAATTAACCAAAATTGAATCACGCAAAACGCACCTTGGAGCTTCGAAACTCGACAGAGTTGATAATCGCAACATTCTTTTGCGATCGTACGAACTGGTAAATCAGCAAGCGGAGAGAGATGGAAGCCTCGTCATCCTCGCCAACACCTTCGTGACATATAACGAAGTGAACCGTGTGCGTCTTGATGTACTCTTCAAAGCCCGGGTCGCTCATATCGCTGTACTCGTATACGTGCCGCGTACCATCGAACACAGCCAAGAAGATCTTCTTCAAGTGCTGGATGAGCAGTGTCCGAGCAAGCTGGTATTTGTATCTGTCCTGAGGTCTGCAGGTATTGGGTGCACAGAGAAGCTCCGTGTTGCTGAAGAAGATGATGTCGAAGTTGCATCCCCTCTTGCACAGCTTGCTCAAGAAGTCCTCGACGGCCCAGACAGCGTGCAGGAGCTGGAAATTATCTATCTTGGCGTGTGAGATTTCGTTTTGGGGAATGGGGCTTTGAAGACCTGTACTGACCGTGGAAGTCTACCTCGTCGAGGCAGTGCCGAAGAAGAGACTCGCCATGGATGAGAAAAAGCTCCTTGCCGGCAAAGTCGCCGACAATGTCTACAGTGTTCGGGCGCAGATGTGCGTACCAGGTCTTGAGCGAGACCAACGCCTTTTTTTCCACAGAATCCATGTTCAGTGGAATACAACTTATCTTCAAGAAGCGCCGAGTTGGGGGCGGGAGTGATGGATGAAATGTTAAACAAAACAGTGAGTAGAGCGATGAAGAAGAAAACAGAAATCAGCAGGACGAGGAGGAGTGTATTTGTAAAAACCAGGATAGATGGCTTTGCCCTTGTAGGCAGCAATTGTCATGCAGGAGGCCAACCCATGATTATCAGAAGCGTCTCACAATCACCTCAGATCGCCGCTGTTGGCCCAACGAGTGGATACCGGCGTTGGCAGGTCATACACACGCATGTCAGTATTCTATCAGTGTAACTAGCTGATCGAACAAGTGAGGCTGAGGCAGAGATGAGGATTGGCCAGCCTCAGGTGACCATTAGGCATATTTTGTTGAGTGGACGAGGGAATGGCTAGCCAGCAAAGCTCGCAATTGAACGAACTAATGTCGGATTATGATGGGAAGCCACGGGTATTCTTGGGTTACTCTGCCTTTTGTAACAGTACATGACACTGAAATGGCTGCGAGAGGCCACTCGTGGGGGCAAACAACAGCCGTCAGTGTATACAAACTGGTTACACCTCGGTTTGCTTTCATGCAGCCACGTCCAAGCCAGTTCAGACCAATTTAGACTGAATAAATGAAAATATGCCAGTGGAGATTGAGCATTAACGGAAAACAGCTCGAGTCGGGAGCTGAATTGTGAGTTTTGAAAAATATAAAACAACCGAGGCCCGTCAGAGCTCTCCATCACATTGTATCCTACTCTACCTTCTCTCCTACCGCCTGTAGTTTAGAAATCCAAATCAACTCCTATCCCATCCTGAACGCCAGCGCAATGCATACGGGGCCAGGCACCCGTTTCCCTGCTTGCAATTACCCTTCTTTTCCCCCCAAGCGCGCTCATAGCATACCGGCACTCAAGCTCTCCAGCATACCGGTTGTTTGGCAGGCACTTTGCGCCGTCTCCACCGCGTTCGACACTCTCCGACTTAATGTGCGGAAGCCCTCGTACAACTCTGTAGAACCGCCAACAAACTCGGCATAGAGATCCAGAAGGTGCAGGCCTGCCTCGACGCAAACACTCACGTACCGAGGGTCGCATATGTGCCCACATACCCATTTCAGCACCGGCTGCACGCTCTGTTCATCTCGTGATTCGAGAGCTTCTCGAAGGGCGCTGCGGTGGCGAAGAGCCAGGAGTAATGTGAGGACATTGAGAGACGAGTATTCTGGAGATTGCTTGTCCAGCACCAGATCCAGGGCCCGGGAATATTTGGCGTGACGGAGGTCCTTCTGCCAGCCGCGCTCCTTCGTCTTGAATGCGCGTGGCTCGTTTGCGATGACGACGTCGGCTCCCTCGCCGACAAGGTCCAGCCGTTGAGATGCGGCGACTCTTCGCTTGCGCTTCGATTTCTTCGCATCATGAGCATCTATGGTTCCTGCTACCAGAGCCGCCATCTCCTTCTCACGCTCGCGCTCGCGAGTTGCCTCGGCACCCGTCCTACGGGTGCGCACGCTGAGAACTCCCGACTGCATACCCACGGCGAGGTGGCGATCATCCGCGTCCACGCCATCGCTTGACGGGATCACGTTCACTGACAGGACGGGGGACTGGTACTTTGTGCTGAACACGACGTTCCACCCTGTCGTCTCGAAAACCTTGACGTGCCCCTCCAGGCCACCAGTAACGAGGCGGCGACCGCCGGATGCCAGACTAAGAGACGTGACAGTCTTCTGGTGGTTGGTTATCATGTGCAGGGGGCGGGCTGCAACCAGGTCCAGGACGCTGACAGAGTTCTCTGCGGCCGCAAGGACCGTGGTTCCTGATGGTAGCGAGAGCACATCCTCCACCGGGGCAGCATGCTTGAAAGTCATGACGGCAGTATTGTTCCCCGTCCTGGGATCCCAGAGCTTCACCGTCGAGTCGTAGCTGCCCGAGACGATCATGTTGGACATGGTTCCAGGCATGAAGTTGGCGCAGCGCACGTAGTCATTGTGGCCGACAAAGGTCGTGGTGGGTTCGTTGCTCGGCAGGTCCCAGAGCCTCACGGTTCTGTCGTCGCTTGCGCTGAGAAGCGTCGTGAGGTCCGTCGGCGAAAACTTGGTGACCCAGACGGGCTGCTTGTGGGTGGTCCACGTCTTGAGGATCGCACGCGAGTTCACGTCAAACACCTGGATCTTGCCCGTATCATCGCCCGCAACCAGCACCCTTCCATCTCTTCTGATCTCTCCGCTGCGCGCGACATCGCCGAAGCGGGTGATGCTCTTGAGGAGCTTTCGGGTCCTGTTCGAGTAAATCTGGACGCGGGTTCCCGTGGTGACCGCGAAAGAGTCGCTGTTGTACGAGATGTGGGTGATTGGGTAGCTGGTCGGCGAAGGAATAAGCAGCTGGTTCTTGAAGGTCTTCCAGTATCGCTGCTCTGCCGTGATGGGAGTTGGGCCTGATGGCAGCTTAAGCTGTGGTAAAGGTCCCACCTGCGCCGCCATTGTCACTGTCTTGTCGCGATTTCTTGAAAGATTGGATTTGGCGGTTTACGATGGTGGTTGGACAGAGCATCTTGGAAACTTTTTTTACTTCCACTGCCGATAAGATAAAAATGCTGTGGGGTTCCTGGCACTATTCCGTGTTAGGAAAGGACCAGCAGCTCGAGGCAGTACCGTCAAACAACAACGACCCACTGCGAGTTCTCAGGTACTCGTCCAATCATCTATCACCAACCAGCATGAAAAAGGACAGAGTATATACTGAAGCAATTTCTATTCATATGTCTATCATCCCTCTCCATGTTTTCTAATCATCAATGAATACCTGTTATGACCCTCCCCTACCTTACCCAAATTGTGTGAAAACCGAGCGCCATGAAATACCAGACCTAAACCTCCCCTTCCTTATAGCCTAGAACCAAGATGTTGAAAAAAAAAGTATGATACAAAAGTTCAACGTTGCCGTTTATATTATTGCTCTAGTAGCCCCCATGTCGGCGTGACCTACCTGTGCCAATATCGATAGCTTGCATTTCATGGACCAGAGCCAAACACTCGGCCCCTCCCCCATTGGCACCACTCATTACTGGCAACGGAACTTTTGCTGGAATTGGGGGTGCAGAGCCTTGACGAGGTGCGTAGTTCTCATTTTGATGTTCCCAGTGGCTCATCCGCTGCCCACCACGGGTTGGGGTATATTGTCCAGGGCGATCCTGGAAGTTGTCTGGGCCAATGGGCGCCAAAGGACTTGACCCGCCTTGTATATAAGCCGCTGAAGTTCTATTTGACTTCTTTTGCAGTCTGTTCCTTCCGGGGGTGACTGTTGTTACAAGCTCCTGTGGACCATAAGATGGACGGGGCGCAGCTGGCGGCTGCGAAGGCCGTGCTGCAATACGGAGTTGTCTCCTTCCACTGGGTGGCATAGGTTGTGCGCCATTCGGGGCTGGTCTGGACCGTGCGTCAGAAGATTGCTGCTTTGACTTCGATTCGGGCTCAGGAGCCCAGGATTCAACCGGAAGGTGATCAGAAGGGTCAACTTCCTTCCCATCGTGTGTGATAATCCGAGCATCCGGGTCGGGGCCCGAGACATCGGCCTGCGGCGGCGGAATGTTTGAGTTAAACGCATTGAACGAATCAGGTCCAAATGGCACGTCCGAGACCCTCCTAGAATCTGATGGAGGTGGTGCTGGGCTCACAGACTTCCTCCTAATGGCGTGATTGGTGCTTGGGGCCGGATTCGGCGAAACATTTCGAATCCTGGTCAAAGCCATCTCGGAGCCACCGGAATAGGTGATCTCGGAATGTCTCTCAACAGGTCTCTCAGCCTGCTGAGAATCGAAACTATATCCATGGCTGGGCTGGTTGTGGCCGTACGATGGTGGAGGTTCGGACATATGGCGACCCCTTGTTGTTGGAACCAGTGCACCCTGGTAGCTCAGTCTGCGATCTTCATATCGCTCTTCTTGCATACGATCTGAGATCTCCCGAGCCACATTTGGGTCAACGCCAGGTACCAAAGAAGGGGGCATATCGGCGTGGGCATAATTTGATGAACCTACTCGCTGGAGGGCCCATTCATCAGGAGATTCAAAATGTGTCTGGCTGCTGTGCGGATTGCCGTAAAATTCACGGCCAGGACTAGTCGAAAATTCCCTTCCTGTATAGGAGGAGCTCTGAATCTGGTAGCTGTGCTGAATTTCATTCGTGGAGGCCCTGGGTCGAGGAGAAGGCGAATTTCGCGGCGTAACTCTCAAATTCAAGGGCGCTGGACTTGGAACTTGTTCGTAGCTACGGTGGTAATCCTCCTCCTCATACCCAGGTGCTGGTGCGTTATATCTGTACGTGTCATGCTCATAATGGCCTGTCGGCGACTCAGGAACATCTTCCACAGTTGCTTGCATGTGCCTATGGTGGGGATCAAAGGACGGGTCGTAAGAGTACTGCCTTTGAGGTGGTACATCGTATTCGATTCTGTTGTAGTGCGCCACTGCATTCACCGCCGCTGGTGCGGAATCATGGCCACGCATTGAAGGTCTACCCGAATTTGCGGGCATTGAGTATCTGTGTGCTTCATTCTTCAGCACATCGTATCGCATGGGCATAGGAGACGTCCCCTTCTGGGGTGGCGAATCGTAATTGTTGCGATAGCCAATCTCTTGGGGTCCGACACTCTGCCGTGTTCTATGGGCTGGAGGAGGCGGCGGCCGTTCATCATCGCCTGGGCTTGCGAACTGTAATTGATTGGGCTCGCCCATATGTAAATCATGGTGCTCCCGCCGAGGAATGCCCCGGGGCTCAATAGATTGGACTATCTGCCCTGCTCCGTAGTCTCGGTCGCCATGGTGGTGAGGAGAAACATCGTAGGAATCAACAGGACGGCTTGGTTGCCGATCCATCCGAGAAGGACCTTTTGGTGATGGGGAATACTGGTCCGGATGTGCTTGCCGATATCCAGATGGTGGGGTGTTGTACTCTGCGCCCGGAGCGGGAGAGTTGTTTGCTGAATATCCTGTATGAGACTGGTGTCTACCATGGGACCGTGGTGGAGTTTGATACTGGTCAGGCACTGGAGGTACTCGTTGCTGCGCTGGAGATGGAGCGGCGGCAGCCGGAGAAGGGGCCTCTCCTGTGACGGGATCTGACGGTAGAGGTCGACGCTTCACAGGGGTCTTCTGCTTCATAGAGCCGCCCTCCATTTCAGGGGCAGCAGCCTGCACTCTGGGTCTAGCAGCAGGCTTTTCAGGCTTCGGTCGGGAGTCGTAGAATGTGATTTCCATCCGGATCTCGCCGGCATATTTCCCCCGGCAGGTTAAAGTCTGCCACATATCATTCTGACCACCGCCGGGAACAATAATGCCCTTTAGGTCGATCCAAGACTCTCCGATCAAATCTGTCCTCTTATCGTCCGTAAATATCGACATCTTCAATTGGTAGTAGTCAGGGCCGTCATGGACTGTAAAACGCAATTCCTGGTCCCTGCATCGGAAATGTTAGAGATCAGCCGCATTAAGACTGCCAGTGTCTGCTTGTTTCTGGCATACTGATGGGCGGATGAATACTTACCATTTTGGCGTTTGGCCACCACGAACATCTGTTTTCGTCTTTTTGGCCTCCTTTCCTAGCCTCGCAGCGCAGTAAGGGTCCTGCTTCCCGATTGTTTTCCTGTTGGGCAGGTTCTTTGCTCGATCAACAATAAGCACCAGGGTGCCGATTTCGGGGCCGTCGACAGACATGTCTGCGAAGATGCCGGCTGTGTGAGCTCCATTGAGGACGTGTGCTTTCGTTGGGGACGCCATTGTTATTAAACAGCCGGTCGCAACGGGCTGTGAAGGTTCAAGGTGGCAGCTTTTTTGTTTACATAGGCGTTAGTCGCTTGGGTCCGCGGGGTGACGGCTTTAGCGTGGAGGGAGTGAGTGACGTTGTGCTGGAATGAAGGTGGGAAGGTCAGTAAAGAAAAGATGAAGTAAAAAGAACCGACTCCCTCTCTCCTCCAGGAATGTGAAGTGTCCAGCCCGATGATGTCCAGAGAAAGAGAGACTGGGTTGGTTAGGGAATTGGATGGGAAGAGAAGAAAGAGATGGTGGCTGCACCGTGGGTGATGTTGTGCAGCCTGCTTTGCATCCACCATTGGAAGAGCGCTGTGTTCCGATGATAGCAGGTGCTGTAACCTCCAACGGGGCGTGGCTGGGGAGCTTAGTCGAAGCCCCTACACCAGGATGACAGTGCCCTAGCAGGCGGTGGCTGGGCCGCCCAGCTTGCCATAGAAACGGGGGGCTGGGGTTTATTGACCAGGATCCGGGCTCTAAACACTGTTCTGAGCCCCTCGGACGCGCTTACCCCTGTAGTTCATCGACCAGTGCCTGGCATCATGCTGTTTACAGCCTTCCCAGCCCACTTGGCTCTCCACTATTGAGACTCCGATGATCAAGATCTGGATATTGGGAGGTGCCAATTATGGATTCCATGATAATAATCATAATATGCATCAATCATGTTACAAACTAGCTCCTTGCCCATCAGGAGAGCCGGCATTAGCTTTCATAGCGAGGCAACGAGGGTAGAGCTCCAGCCATTGGCTTCCCCCTTGAGGGCGCCCTGCGCTGCTGAAACGGTGGGTGCTTACTCCCTACCGCCGTCGGCAGAGTGTAGCCCAGCGCAGGCCACAGCCACAAGTGGTGCGAGTCTCCTTGATGATCGCATCCCCACGGATCGTATTGCGCAGGAAGAAGTGGTGCTCCAGTCCCCACCTCTCCCTCACAGACTCTGTCACGTTCATGCATGCATTGAATTTTCTAGCGCTTCTCCGGCCACTGGACAAATAAGGTTGCCATCGGCAACTTGGCGCGATGGCGCAGGGCATTCGGCTTGCGACGCCCCGGCAGCAACTCCCGATCCTCGTCACCACTAAACAACATGTCAAATTAGCCAGAGAGACAGCAATCTGTGTGGGCCGGACATAGATGGATAGCAAATTCCCCGATGCAATCGACGTTACACTGTCCTCCCAATGCCGAAGTAAAGCAAACTCGAGGCCTGACTCGAACCTATGTAAACAGGAGAAACCCCTGATTGCTGGGTTACCACGGATACGCCAGCACGATTCGTCTAACAATGAGGAAACATCACGTCCCACAAGGCAGTAGTATCTAGTTCTTGCCAAGAGCTGATAGTCAATGCATCGCCGTTCCAGTTACGTCAAGTGAAGACAAGGGACAAGCGGTTTCCATCATCCCGAGACTTCCCGGGATAGTTGGTATGACTGTTAGACCTCCAATTTATCTCCAACTACAAACAACTCACTTTCTACCAATCGCAGCTCTTGGCAAGTAAAGCGGCAAGATCTTCCAAATGCTTCTTGTCCACCTCATCAAATCCATTCAGCTCGGCACAGTCAATGTCAATAATGGCCACGACTGTCTTTGACTCGCCGGCAATGATGGGGACAACGATCTCGCTCTTACTGTCGCCATCACAGGCTATATGCCCCGGGAACTGTTCCACATCCTTTACCAGCTGAGTAGACTGTGATTCGGCGGCTGCGCCGCAGACACCCCGACCAAACGCAATCGTCTGGCATGCGACTTTGCCCTGAAAGGGACCAAGAATAAGCTGAGGCGTTGATGACGACAGGTCTCTCACATAAAATCCTAAGTGTGACGGAGATCAACGTGATATTCTTCGCAACAAAAGGTCTTTTTTTTTGAGGTCCTACCAGCCCAATTGACTTCCTTGCTTGGGGCAGGCAATGACTTGTAGGCATGCCACAGTAGTGAGGCGGCATTTGCGAGGTTACTAGCAACCATTCAGCAACTCGGCTATCAGAAATTTACGAAGGCAATCCAACGTACCAGACCTAAATCAAAAGCAGAATTTCTTGTGAGTAACAAGATAGCAACTGAAGCCCGAGACGCTGAGCTCTATGTGTAAGTTGACTTACCCAATTACGCTGACCATGGAACAGGCCCTCGGCTTGAAGCAAAACCTGCTCGTATGCCTCCTCTTTCGTGACGCCTTCAACAAAATTGGATGCGTCTGCGTGAACCTACTCGTGTAATTATCAGCGCCTTGATAGCCTCCAATGCACGGGATATGAGTGAAATACCATGATGACACTCTAATACGCTGGATAGATGTGGTGCCTGGTGTGGCTTTGTGAAAACTGATCTTTGCATCCACAAAAGTAGGTGGAGGTAAGCAATTTTGAATAATGAATGTTTTAGCCTGATGGCGTCATCAAAAATACAGCAGTTGAGCATTATGATTCCTTCTCAAGGCAATTCTTCTTCTTGGAATATATAATATACTTGTTACAATGCCAAGTCTATTTCCAAACCGCAGCAGATCCGGATCAATAGAAAATCGTGAGCTGGTATTTCTGTGCTTCCTTTTCAAAGAGCAAAACCGTATCAACCAGGTACGTTTCAATGCCATTTAAGAGGTATCTCAGATGGAGTACAGTATTCTCCAATACCCAAACTCTAAGTACATAAACCTATTCAATATGTCTGAGGGAACGCTCATATTTCGCGAGCAAGATACCTTTATGATATCAGGGTAATATCCATGTCTCATCAAGGTGGTGGTGGTTGAAAAGCTCCTTGTGGGTGTAGTGGGATGCTTATCGATAGCGATCGATAACATCGATCGTCAATTAAATCCTAGACACGGCACGTCTTCAAGATACTCTGATAGGATTGCCGTTGTCATGTCGCTACATGCAATCATGCTTTCGCGTTCTCAGTCGCGAATCATGAATCCGAGTGCAATTGCGCCATTACAGCATTACGTCCACAACAGTAGCAGGCTGTTCGGAATTCGACCTTTCGCAAACGCGCCAGCTGTCCAAAATCTCCTCAGTCAACTACCATCATCATCGCAAGTGCGGTATGCGAGCCATGATGCCGGATCCCGGAGAGCGCAGTTGACCAAGAAACCTGAGAATGCGAAATTGAATCCCCCCGCTCAGTGTCGGCCACCTCCCATCACCATTCCGATCCGAGAAGCATACGATCAAGCGATCCAATACTACATCGCCCTGGGCAAGGCATACCTCTACTTTTTCAAGGATGGCTTCAAGAACGTCCTTGCGAACCGTCGGCTTCTCGCTGACAGGCTAAAAAGCACTCCTAAAGAGGATCACCCCTCCGTCTTCAAGCCTCACCATGTGCCACGGACGTTTTCGCGTGCAGATTGGGTCTTATTCTGGCGCGTGCGCCATGATATGATCCGTCTACCTGCTTTTGGGCTTTTACTGCTAATCGCAGGGGAGATGTCTCCTTTCGTCATTCTCGTCCTCTCCGGCCTCGTACCAATACCATGCCGCCCTCCTATGCTCACATCGCGACATCTCGAGAAAGCCGAGGCGAGGCGCAAGCTCGCGTTTGAGCAATTCGAGGCCAAAGCCCCGGCAGGAGCCCTGACTGCCGGTCTCTCCAAGCATACAGCTAGAAACCATGTACTCCGAAGTCTTTACCTCTCCGGCGCACCCTGGGAGCACCTTAAATTCATGCCCCCCGGCATGTGGCTGACCAAAGGCTACTGGCGACTGGCGTTCCTCGAGGGCGATGACAAGAAATTGGTAGAAGATGGCGGCATCACAGGCCTCATCAAGGAGGAGCTGCGGATCGCATGCATGGAGCGCGGCATCAATGTGCTTGGCAAGAGCGAGACGGACATGAAGGCTGCATTGGGTGACTGGCTACGACTCACTGCAGACGAGGATATCAATGAACGAAGAAAGAGGATGACGGTTCTTCTTTTGACTCGGTAAGCTTGAACCTTCTTTTAGCTCTGGCTTTGTCTCCCTATTTTTATGTTGCTAATAAGGATAATTTAGACAAAGGAACTGGCCCCAGACGAGGAACTTTGCACTGCCTTCGTGGCATTTGTAATTTTGTCTGTTGCTATTTTCCATGTATAATCATGTGTACTAGTTTTTTTTTTCCGCCCCGGAAGGCGCTGGTTGGCACCCGTATGAGGTAAAATGCGTCATGCTATCATGTATAAATAATTAAGAATACACACAATCTCAGAGAATAGACAGATCAGATTATAGAAAATAAAAGGATGCGACTTTAATTCTATGGAATTGAATTCTATGCCCATTCCATACAGGATTCGAGAGTACGTAGCCAGGCCAGACAGTATGGGTCATGGTGACTCGGTGAATGCGACCTAGGTAGACATTGACACCAAATTGATGGGCTCACTACATAAGGACGAACATGCAGATGCAACACAAACCAATAAATAACCAGGGCAAACGTTTCTGTCCTATGTGCTTGATATTGGGGCTAATGCACGGGGCAAACGCGCCAATTTCTTACTCATTTGCTGGCAAACGTCACCATCAGTGTTGAAGATCTCAGATGCCCCGGATGATAAATCTAGGCAATGAGATCGCATGGAGTACCGCATGAGGGTTTAGCCTACTGAGATGTCCCTCGGCTTGGAGACCGACCTGATGTGTGGGGAAATTTGGAGACATTCCACATGATGTAACAAGAAGAAACCGCCGAGGCTCGCGTCACATGCATGTAGAAGTACCTCCCAAATTGGACCGTTCCATTGCGACCGTCTGTCGCATTTAACTAGGGTCCAATTCCTCCACGAGACTTTGGACCAACAACTACTACACTCTCCCAGCTTCTCTGCCGCTCCATTTCGCCGTTCGAATCAATCTCTCATCACCTCCAATACCAGCTCAAAATACCAAAATGGCTCTCAAGGATGGTAAGTAACCAAACCAACTTCAGCTCCCAAACAGTAAAACAGCAAAGCAGACGCTGACGAATTCGCACCGCACAGACAAGTTCCCTGCCTCCGAGGCCTTCGACGTCATCAATGCAGCCCTGAACTCGAGCGACAGCGAGCGCAAGGACGCCATCAAGCAGGGCGGTGCCGTCTTCGCCTTCACACTCAAGAACAAGGCCGGCGAGACCGCGAGCTGGAACATCGACCTCAAGGAGACCGGCAAGGTCAGCAGCGGTCTCGGCGAGAAGCCTACTGGTGAGTAAAGTATTCCGCTGTACTGCGGTTCTCCCCGTCGCCTCCGAAGGAGAACCGCTACACAATGTGCGAACCGTACGCTGACCCGTGGTGGGACAGTCACCCTCTCTCTCTCGGACGAGGACTTCGGCAAGCTGGTCAGCGGCAAGGCCAATGCCCAGCGCCTGTTCATGTCAGGAAAGCTCAAGGTCAAGGGCGATGTCATGAAGGCCACCAAGATGGAGCCCATCATGAAGAAGGCACAGACAAAGGCCAAGCTGTAAACGACACAATACTCATATTCACATACTATTATCCGATGTTTCGGGCCTGTCTATAGCGTTGCCTTATAGGATTAAACCAATGAAATACTCTGAATATTGTTTCTTCGTATCTATCGTCTTGTGATATTGTAAATATCGGCGCTATTAGTTCACGTATCTCGGCATTTTGCCATGTAATATCCAAGTGTAGGTACGTTGAGTTCGTCATCAACGGTCAATCAAATATCTCCATAAAGTAATTTTGACCCTTGTGAGATGATTGGATTGTCGCGTGCGCTGCATCCCCATGAAATGAATTCACGGATGAAGGAAGACTTGAGCCTCGGCACGGGGAAGAGGGCTTTGAGCGCCCGATACGACTCTCCAGGATCACGAACTCGAATGGTGCAACTTTAGAAAATCCAAGGAAAAAAATGACCAAATAAGGGATTAATGAACATGGCGGGCAAGCTTGATCAAAATTGTTGGGGAGTTCTTGCCCAACAAGATACATACCCTGTTAGACTGTCAGAGGTATTTCATTCTCTGCCTCCGGACGATACGTGGTGCTATAACTGCTATCGTAAGTCTTCTCCAACCCCTGATATCTATTCCTTGTTCCTTGTTCCCACATGCGCACCGCGAGTTGCTTCCTAAAACGGTGTGGTTAGGCTACGTACCATGGATTGTGCTGATCACTCGTAGCCTTCATCCTAAGCAGCCAGCTAGACACTATAGAACAGTCAGGACTCAGATTCGGTTGACAGAACGCCTCAAGGACGAATTTCGCCTTTGAGTATCAATTACTGAAATGGTATCAAGAGCGAAGAAGATGTGAGCTCGCCAAAGTAGCAATCAAGGGATGCTCGACCCTGAGGTCTTCACAGCTCCGCATGGGCGATGAGTCCTGAACAAGCTATCTGGAAAGGGGGGAATTAGTACCAAAATCTGAATAAAAGTGCTTCCTAAGTTGAGTCAGTCCGGTTAAAGTCGTTGGTAAGCCCCCGCATATAAGGCTCACGGTATTGAGATGGACATGAACTCACATTTAGTTTCATTCTCAACAGTGCTCTTGGCTTTTCCTAGGATCCATGATTACAGAGCCTCATTATGTTCACGAGAGCTCAGGGCGGTCGTTTAGCCCAAAAAAAAAGAGTCTTATTCTTATGGATTCATCAAGATGCCAGACCTCATAAGCTGTCCCTTGCCTCGCAATGTAATCACGTTGTGGTCCACCATAAGGATGAGGCTGAGAAACTGGTTTCTATTCGGAGTTCATCTCTAAAACGCTTCTATATGACGATTACTCTGGTCAGATAGCCAAATTGGCTGTAAGTTTCCCATGGCCCAATCGATGTGGATTGCCGCAGACGAGGCGTATATCTGTTTTTTTTTCCCTTAGAAGGTGTACTCAACAGCCGGGGGCTTGTTTTCCAGGATATCGTCGATCTCTGCCTTAATTTCAGGTGTGATCTTCTCCACCGCGTCCAGAGCCCTGATATTCTCATACACTTGTTCCGGACTGCTGGCGCCGGTGATGGCGGTACTGACATTGGGATTACTTAGCACCCAAGCCAGGGCCAAAGTCGCCAGCTTAATTCCCAGTCTCTCAGCAATGGGCTCCAGTCTGTTCACCTTCTCAATGATGGCATCCCACTTCTCCTTGGGGTTGTTCTTGTGGAACTTGGCAATGAATTCCAGTTGTGTCTGCGCGAATCGCGATCCCTCGGGAATACCGTTCTTGTACTTGCCCGTGAGGATACCCTTCTGAAGGGGCGAGAAAACGGTAAGGCCAAGACCGGTCTCGCGGTACAGATGGGCGTACTCTCTCTCAACCTTCTGGCGCTCCAGCATGTTGTAGGCTGGCTGCTCCATGAGAGGACCAATGAGGTTCAGCTTGTCTGCGTATCGCCAGGCCTGGGCAATTTCGTCGGCGTTCCATTCGGAGGTACCCCAGTACAGAGCCTTGCCCTTATCGATGATGTGGTTAAAGGCACGGACGGTCTCCTCAATGGGAGTACGGCGGTCGGGCCTATGGGCGTAAATAAGGTCGACATACTCGAGCCCAAGACGCTTCAGTGAGGCGTCGGTACCCTCAACGATGTGCTTTCTAGACAGGCCCTTGTTGTTCACAATATTATCGCCAAATGCGCCTCCCCAGTACAGCTGGAACAGTTCGTGTCAGTTGTCGGTTCACCCCCAATCACGGCGTAGACTGGGGAAACCCACCTTGGTGGAGATGACCAGATCATTACGCTTCCAGCCAAACTTCCTGATGGCCTCACCCATTACGACCTCGGACTCTCCGGCAGAATAAACCTCAGCACAGTCAAAGAAGTTCACTCCGGCATCATAGGCGGCCTTCATACACTTGAAAGTGCCCTCTGGTCGTTTCAGTCAGTAATGGTCCATTCCCCATGTTATGACAGAGAATCAAATATACCTCTGTCCACATGACCACCATAAGTCAACCATCCTCCAAGCGAAATGGACGAAACCTGAAGACCAGAGCGGCCCAGGAATCGATAAGTCATCGGCGGAACATCGTCTGGCTTAGACATTGTGCCTAGTGTTTGGTGGTTCCGACGGTATGGGTGGAGGATAGGTGTGCTTCAAGGCTGATCTATTCGGAAGAAGGAAAAGGATGATGGGTAAAAGAACCAGGAAAGAGACATTGTAGTCATAAGAAGCGATCTTCATATAATTACCTCATGAACCTCCCAGTTCCAGTGGATCGGCCGACATCCGATATCGTCAATGTAAGTGAGGGGGAACCAGGCATGATTGATAAGCAGTGACAGCCCTATGAGCCCATTGATTGGGAATAAGAATAGCTAAGAGTAGCCTCTGCTACCATTTTATGGACGTTGACATATTAACTAGACAGAAATACCCGCATATAGCACGCAATGCGGTTGTTTGGCTAACATAGTACTACCTAACACAAGCGTAAATAACCAATACCCCATCTTTTAATTCCTGCGTCATGTAGAAATTCCCATTAGTATTCGGAAGAGTGTCATTTGCAGCAACGCGAGAGATAATATTTCATGAAAATCAGAAGATAAAGACACACTGACAAGCAAAGAATGGGAACATTCAGTCACGGGTTATTATCATCGAAGTAGGTCAGTGATTGATGCCGGTGGAAACAATTGACAAAGTACAGGTTAGGAAAGTATTAGGTGGGGAGCTCTCCGACGGCGTGACTCATCAATTGGGGCATGCTCCCGTCGTGGGGATCAACGGGGGAAGACAATACTACTTGGTTGAAAGAAAAGCCCTCAATTGAAATCATTACATATGCAGATTCAATGTTATCTGCCCGTATGGAAACATCAGACCCTGGATGAGCATTTTCCGAGCTTGATCTGATTGGAGAAATCGGCTCGCGGTTGACATAAAAAGCCCCTACCAAAACCGGCCAGTAATATCTCTAATGAGATTCTTGCCGTGTCAATTGACGGCAGTAGCTATTGCGCATAGTTTACAAATTGGCAAACAAGGAAAATGAGAAGAATCGGTAGGCAAATCGGTGTGTAGAACGGGGTACGTAGGGGTTGCTGGTGAATTAAAAAGGACCTCCTTAGATGCCCAAGATGCCTTAACGATTCAAGTGTCGAGTCGTGGCTTGTCTCGGCCAAAACTTTGTCAAGAGACTCTGTCCTAGACAATGGCCGAGCGGAGAGGGAAGCAATATGACAATGCACGAATTGGCCCCATTGACCCGTTCGCTTGTTAATTGGCTCGGTCCTACCCGCAGGAATTTTCCTGGTTCAAACAGGTCCCCTGGCATTCAGCATTCCTCGGGCTCACCGTTGCTAGAGCAGCAAGCATACTAAGTCTGTGGTATTAAATACGACTCCTCCAGAGTCCCTGCAATGGATTGTTGATAGAACTAAAGGGGATTGGTGATATATGGAGGAGTTTGGGGAAGATCTTTGGTCCTCCATGAATACCCCGAGATTTCATCGAATTCATGATCTTGGATCATAGATCAACCTGCGCATGAAGAGAACTGAGGATGGATCTGGACTTGTAGGAAGAATCAGGCTGGGGGTTACTAGCCTGCAACAAGCTTAGCGGTGACCTCCTCTAGGCACAGGACCAGTACAGCAGACGGGTATCGACGCTAGGCGGTCCAGGCGACGGCCGACCTGCCTGAGTGAGCAAGTGACTACTCAGGTAGGTAGCAAGTGGATGGTTTCGGAGAAATGAGACATGCAATAGAAGAGTGGTTAAGAACAGATTACTTTTTATGATGGGTAGAAGAATTCAGCAGTATTTGACGAAATGGAGCAACTGTATACGCTGGTTTATCTCTCACGCATGTATTATTGGCTCTCAATAATCTAACAAAACCGGCCTCAGAGTGGAAAACAAGCACCTAGCTTAATGTTTAAGTGTCTGGATTTCAACGTCACCCACTTGGGAAAGCCGGCAGAGAGTCATGTCCGGGTGCGAGTCTAGAAGTGTTCGGATGCCGGCGTGATGGGTAGTAATCAGCTGTCAAAGACGACGGTCACTAATGAACGTTTGCAACTGGCCCGGGCAGATCTTGGGTTTAAGATGATCATTTCATCATGTTCAATGCAAACACCGGGAAGCCCAGGTCTTGAAAGACCGGAAGACCCCAGCAGCCAAGCCCAGTGTGATTGGCTGGACGCATGCAGCAAGAAGCACTGGAAGGCCGCTAATATTGGGGCGGGGCGGCAGCATCTTTTGCACGAATAGTGCCATCCGCCCCCTCGTACCTGCGCCGCCAACTAATAACAGGCGCCAAGCAAATGAACAGGGCATGACCCAGGATCTGGATGTCGAACTTTTCCACTTCCATTCCAAGCTGGTCCCCCGGAGAACCCCTAACAGCGTATTAGAACTTGCGGTACTGCAATTCACCTCACCGCACGGACTGGCCGCTCGGAGTCCATTGTACGGCGGATCAGTAGATTTTCGAGCCCACACACTCCCCCTTGATGAGTGCGTGTATGCAGGTTGATGATCTTGTCTTGCAGGCTGCCACTCGCCGCTAGATAGTGCGTTTTGTTGGAGCTTGTTGTGCTCCATAGCGTGCTAGGCGTTGTTGGCCGCCGGCTGCAGCCCGTCCCAGATCAGTGAAAGCGGCCTCGCACCCCTGTTCCTGGCCTACCTCCAATCCAGTAGGCGGTCTGGGGGAGGTACCTATTGAGGTACCTCCTGACAGGTGCTGCATTGGCAGACATCTCAGGCGGGCCTCGCAAGCGACCTAGCTTCGGCGCTGGCATTGGCCGCTGGCACCCTGTACTGCCGCCAGCGCTTGCCTGTCTGTGCCTGGCCACCTAGCCTGGTACTCACTCTCCGCCAACCAGGGCACTGTTTGATTGCCCGTTGGCACCTACCCACCTCAGGCAATAGCAGCGCCCGTGCTTGCCCTTCTCTCCCCTTTCCCTTTTCCTCCAGCCCAAGCCATTTTCTCAACCTTCTCTTCCCTTCATTCAACCTCTTTCTCTCGACCTCCCCAACCCAACACAACCTGCTGGTTTGCTCCTGTCGACAACACTACAACTGGGAGGCTTCGTCACGGCCTTTCCCAGTCCCGACTGGACGAGCATCCCGAATAGCACCATCTTGCCGACCACGATAATACCACAAGGAGTCGAATACCGAGTACACAGCAGTTGGCCATTCTCTCTTTTTTAATCACAAAGGCAAGTACAGCGCGCCTGCAGCCTGGCATCCCTTTTCCCACACCTTCACCGCCTGCTGGGCAGCAAGGCTTGTTCTGCACAGCCTTCTACTTCGCACCCGTCCACTGTGCCGCGACCCAATGGAGCCCCTAACCACTGTGGCCGTGTCGTGTGCGAGTTACGTTTCCATATCCTCAATGGAACCCAAGGACGCCCTGGACCCGGAATTGGTCAGACCAATGTTGGGTTGACAGCCAACACATCTCCACTGGCCTCACCGGGGTTCTACTGGTTTTTCGGCACGGTGGCTCCAACTATTTGCCGCATCAGCAGATCAGTGGTCCATGCAAACAGGCCAGGATCTACAAGCTGGGCATAGCCCAGCCTAGCTAGACATTCTTTTCCATCAATCATCCGAGTCTGCACCACTTGCTTTTTTTCTTTATCATTTAAACATTCGTGTGACACCGACACTGACATTTTAATGCAGTTTTATCTTTTTTTAATTGTCAGCATTCATTGGACTCGACATATTGCAAGTTTTCGAGTTCTTGTACATCACGATCCTCCGACACCCAACGCGACCGTAACCGAACAAGCAATACCCCTTTTCCCAGCTTCCACAATCAAATGGTTCACTATTGATCCATCAACCAATCACCATGGCATCATCATCATCGAACGTCGTCGGCGTTCACTATCGTGTAGGAAAGAAAATCGGAGAGGGATCTTTTGGTGTGATTTTCGAAGGCACCAATCTGCTCAACAACCAGCAGGTCGCCATCAAATTTGTTCGTCCTGCTTACTTCCGTCAGTTCCCATCTACGTGCTAATCAGAGCAACCAGGAACCCCGAAAGAGTGATGCACCCCAACTCCGAGATGAATATAGAACTTACAAGATCCTCGTTGGATGCCGTAAGTTTATCAATTAATTGTATGGCTGGCTACAAGTACTAACGACACTAGCTGGCATTCCTAACGTCTACTACTTTGGACAGGAGGGTCTCCACAACATCCTCGTTATCGATCTCCTCGGTCCCTCTCTTGAAGACCTTTTTGATCATTGCGGCCGAAGGTTCTCCATCAAGACGGTTGTGATGGTTGCGAAGCAGATGCTTTCGAGGGTGCAGACAATCCACGAGAAACATCTCATCTATCGTGACATCAAGCCAGACAACTTCCTCATTGGTCGCCCTGGAACCAAAGCCTCCAATGTCATTCACGTTGTCGATTTCGGCATGGCAAAGCAATATCGTGACCCCAAGACGAAGCAACATATTCCATACCGTGAGCGCAAGTCACTTTCAGGCACTGCTCGTTATATGAGCATCAACACACATTTGGGCCGAGAGCAGTCGCGAAGGGATGACCTCGAGGCACTAGGACATGTTTTCATGTATTTCTTGCGCGGCGGACTGCCCTGGCAAGGTCTGAAAGCTGCTACAAACAAGCAGAAGTACGAGAAGATCGGAGAGAAGAAGCAGACCACTGCCATCAAGGATCTTTGCGAGGGATTCCCCGAGGAGTTCTCGAAGTATCTCACTTACGTACGAAACTTGGGATTCGAAGATACGCCTGATTATGATTATCTCCGGGAGTTGTTTACTCAAGCTCTCAAGAATACCGGCGAGGTCGAGGATGGTGAATACGACTGGATGAAGATCTCCAAGGATTCGGGAAAGGGCTGGGACAGCAAGAGCCACAACAATGCCTATCACCCAAACCGCCTGGGTCCCTCTCAGGTAGAGCTCCACAGCGGGAGTCGCCAGGCGAATATGAGCTCTCACCAAACACCCCAGAACTTGACAGTGCACCGTTTAAACGCCGCGCAACCCCCCACTCCTTCACAGAACAAACCGAACAAGCAGCTGAGAGATCGAACAAACGCCCCAGGCGCATTGTCGGCTCCACGAAACAGCGGGGTGGGGGGTGGCCGGGACATGCCTACTCCGGCTGGCTCGACGCAGGCGCAATTCCAGAACAGCACCCAGAACCTGCCGCAGCAGAGAGGTCCCCAGCAGACCCAGACTCAACCCGCCCAGCCTAGTCCACGACCAGCTGAGCCCCAACCAAGTGGCTTCCAGAAGCTCATGAAGAGCATCTGCTGTGGTTAGGTGATTTCATCGTCAAAAGTCCGCAATCGCCAGTAACATGGCGATTTATTGAGATATATTTCTATTGGGGGAGACATTTATATGTCAGACCGCCCTTATTCAGCTGCGGAGTGTTGGGGTTTGGTTGTAATGATGTAACATATATCTACCCTTTCCTAGCGAAATGACTCGGACACGTGGTCATCAGTCAGTATCTCTGGGCGTGTTGGGACGCTCTTGAGGTCGAAGTTGGAAATAATCCTCTGCTGTCCTTGGGGCTCTGTTGAGCAAACAGATCGGCTCAAGCCACACAGGTCTTCTAGATTTTTTTGTCATTTCGGAGGGACATGTTCATTATCATGAAGCGAAAGCGCACTGCACACAGCCTGCATTAGTCGCGACCCAGAAGCCTTTTCGCCCACTCTTTTTCTCTGGCATTCCAACGAGTCCATTGAAAGCTTGTTTAGGATGTTGTGCAGTACGGCGCACGATGGTCGAGAAGCGTGCATTGGGTCTTTTTATTATATGTTCATTCTTTTACTTTCCCCTTTCAACACTTTGTCCATAATATGTTTTCGAAGAACTGGTTTAACGTCTTGAAAGAGGTGTACACGAAGACGTGCGAGGGGTAATAGAGCTGGGTCTTTTGAGATTCTAGCAAGGATTTGTGAGGATGGATAGAAAGCTACTTCAAAGCTGGGAGTTATTGTCGGCAAAATCTTAATGAATGAAAGCGATTGCTTTACGCCAGGACCTGCTTTCTAGTGATCTAATAATGACATTGATAATAGTACACACTACATTGTCTGGAATAAAAAAATTAATGACAAGTATTGGAAAGTTCCCTATGGGCTCGCCAATGATGATGACCCTCTTTTCTCCTTTTTGCCCCGAAAACACTAGACTTATTCACGTAGCATAACTTCAAGCCTGCTCATGTACAACGATGTTCCTTTCCGCGTTAACCTTATGTGAGCTTCTGCTTGATGAAGAACGACCTCAGGTGGGAGAGCTGCCAAGCACATGTGACACCAAGGACTGCTAGTTGAATGAGAATCCATCGAATGACACGGCCATTGGTGGCCTCCGACTGATCTCTGAATTCGGCTTCTCGTTCCTATATATTGGTTAGCATTGTGGTCAGACGTGAACTGTGTCAGTTGAATACTTACTCGTTGGAAGACCTGCTCCCGCCTGACGTCCCTAAGCCTGGCATTCAAGTCCTGGATTCGGGATGTAATGTCTTCAAGCTTCGTCTTGTCTGTGCTGTGAATCTCGTTTGTCTCACCAATGACGAGATCAAGCTTAAGTTTGATTCCTCCGTGGTCTTCGGCGGCGGACAACCATGAAGTGCGACCAGAGTTCGAGTTGGGGGTGAAGCAAATTCGGTGGTTGCCTGCCTCAGCAGCTGAGAACGTAAAGCGTCCCGATGATGAGCCTCTTTGCGAGACTACACGGTGGTCATTGTCGAACAACTCCTAAATGCTTGTGTTAGCTCTCTCCCTGTAAACGAGGGACCGACTCGTGTTAGACGACGTACATCCACAGAGATGTAAATGCTGATACCCGTGTGCTCCTGCCACACATCTGAACGATCATCCCACTCCTGAGCTGTATAGTGTCCAACGACCAGCGTACCCTTAGGGAGGTCCTCGAAGAAGCACTTGGGCGTCGCAGGGTCGACGTAGAAGTGGAGAGCTTGGACCGCGGAGGCCAGCGACAACAATGGGAGGAAAGCTCTCATTTTGAGGGACGCTTTGAGATGAAGATTTTCGCAAAGGAGACCTAATCTTCAACGCTCTGGCGATGCACCCAATGGAGTTTATTGGACGGTGGCTGATCGTGTGAGAGCTCGGGGGGTGGATGCGCAGAGGGCCTTCACATGGACTGCGAAGCTGCCACGTTCAGGAAAAGGGACGCCGCCAGGGGTATCGAAGTCACGTGCTGATAACAACCCGCGTCACAATTCAGCTTCCAGCTTTGCAACCCAATTGCGCCGTCGTCTCTAAAAGTCATTTATGAACCACCGCTATCGAATTTCATCAACAAGGGCCATCGAAATCCATGACCAGATGTTGCGCATCGACGCGATCTAATATTCAGCACAGTAATTGAGGCCCTTCCACATCCCGCCTGCCGCCAACATGAGCTCATCCGACGTTCGTGATGTGTTAAACCTTTCGGAGGGCGCATCCGGCACGCGACCGAACAAAAAACAGAGGCTCGCAGCTCCCCGACCGAATCTCAAAGGCCTCGCCCGCGAGGTGCACAATCTTGGCGGCGACAACCCCATCGCGATCGTGCCGGAGGTGACCCAGTTCAAAAAGAGACGATTTGCTAACCGCAAACCGGCCTCACGATGGGAGATGCGATCGTTCCGGAACTCAGCACGTAATGACTCTACTCTGATTTTAAAGCACTGGAGACGGATAGAGGAGAAGCAGGAAAACCAGGGCTCTCCTGCGGAAGAGCTGAAGCAGGAGAATGGCACTCAAGAGGGGCAAGCACCCGCGCAAGATGAAATGGAAGATTCCTCTTTCGCAAAGTTCAACGCACAAGTCTCCGTCCCACAATACAGCGACGACCAGTACGCCCAAACACTGACTAGCGATACCTGGACGAAAGACGAGACCGATTACCTCCTGGATCTGGCGAAGGCGTTTGATTTGCGGTGGCCTTTGATTTGGGACCGATACGAGTGGACACCCCCGGCAACTAATGGTGAAGCCAACGAAAACGGCGATGAGAGCAAGGCTATCGTCCCGTTGCCGGACACTCAGGCTCGCACTATGGAGGATTTAAAAGCCCGTTATTACGAGGTGGCGGCGAAGATGATGGCAGTCCAGAAGCCTGTTCAGTACATGACGCAGCCTGAGTTCGCACTGCATGAGCTAATGGCACATTTCAATCCGGAGCAAGAGAGGATGAGAAAGAACTTTGCTCTGAATGCATTTACGCGGTCGAGAGAAGAGGCTCGGGAGGAGGAGTCACTTCTTCTGGAGATTAAACGCATACTAGCTCGGAGTGAGCGCTTTAACGAGGAGCGAAGAGAGCTGTATAGCCGTCTGGATTATCCCCACGCAGAGACAGATATCAGCAGCTTCAAGTCGTCCGCCGGTCTTCAAACGCTTCTTGGTACTCTTATGAATGCGTCATCCAAGAAACGCAAGACGCTACCCGGACCGGAAGGAGCAAGTCCTTCAAATCCCACGCCTCCACAAGCTCCCGTCCAGGACTCTGGCAGGCGGGAAAGCACTGGTCCGTCTACCGGAAATCGCGAACCTCCGGCAACTGGAACACCTACTGCAGCAAACAAGAAAGGCCAGTCACAAACCCAACAGCCGCCTGCCGAGCGGCCGAAGCTTACTGAGAAGGAGGAGGCAATCTATGGTGTTACGCATCATGACCGGCTGGGTTCTGGCCCTACATTCCGAACAGAGAAAATCAACAAACTGTTCTCTCACAAGTCTAACCAGCAACAACTACGCATCAACAACACTCTTAATGAACTGGATGTGCCAAGCAAGCTGGCAATGCCCACATCTGCTACAACATTACAGTACGAGCAGCTTCTAGGAGCTGTCAATAGCCTCCTAGAAGCTCGCAAGGTTTCTGATAAGCTCGACGGAGAAATCAAAATTGAGCTTGCCAAGAAGGCTGAGCGAGAAAAGGCCAATGCTCCACCTGATAGTGAGAACTCAAAGGCGCAAGAGGATGCTTCCATGGGGAACGCAGAGAAGGGTGCTGTCACTACAGCCCCTGAGGCAGAAGCGGCCTCAAAGCCTGGTTCACCCGACTCAGATGACGTCGAAGAAGGTGATGCTGCTAAAATTACCAGTGCAACGGGCGCTCAAAGGGAGGAGGAGGAAGAGGAGGAGGAGGAGATTGGGGTGGAGAGTAAAGCCGCACGACCAGGAAGCAGCGGTGCTGCGCATAAGCGTAGTGCAAGCGTGCTAAGTACTGCGAGTGACAAAAGTTCGAAGCGACAGAAAAAGTAACGGAATCTGTTTTTAGTGACAGCGATTCCGGTGGAGTCACACCAGGGTGTTCTCTGCCTGGGTCTGTCGACTTCTCCTATCATCACGTATTAGCGTTTGGGTTTGTTTCCCACCCTACCTGACGGGGCCATGGGTATGTATAAGGAGGCCTGCTTTGATACCGCCACTCAGATGGATACGGTTTTACATATCCTAATGATTAGAAAATAATTATTCACAACGATTCGTGTGAGATGAGCATCTCACCGTAACTATTCTTTCCCCAGACCTGCTGGTCAAGTGAAACACCACACTGTGATATCAAGGATGGGGCAGCCCTTCATATGCACTCTGGGGCTCAGCCAACACCGTTTAGCCGCCCTGCCAGACCCCCCTTTTAGCTCACGGAGGAATAGAGCCCATCCCGCGCAGGACTCGGCAGGTTCAAGACTGTTCACATGGACATGTCTGCCTCACGGCAGGCGGGCGTGTGACAAGGACTGACGTCTTAATTAGACCCCTGCAGCTCATCGGCGCCTGCATGGAGGCTAGAGCCTCAAAATAGCATATCCCCAGTGCCGTGCGAACGAGGCGCCGGCCTCATGGAGGGGCGTGTGCAGACTGCAAGCTGGGGGGAGTCTACCTGTCACGGAGACTATATCCAGCTCGGTGGGAGACATGTTGGTTCTTGGAGATCCCCCCGATCTCGGGTGGGTGTCCAGGAGAGACGTTGGGCGGTAACCAGCATGCAGGAGAGGGCATGGAGATGGGTGTGTGAGGTGGGCGCGTGTGGTGCCCTGCCTCGTCTGGGGAAAGGATAGATTACAACCTGCGAGTTCCAATCGGAGGCGCCGTGAATCTCCAAGATGACGTTGATAGATGGAGCTTCCGAGGCCTCGTTTCGCAGAGACCAGCCGCCGAGGTCGAGATGTAGCCGCCGGGGCGGGACGACATCCATCCCTCGAAGGGGTGGTCGAATCAAACGACCCCCAAATCCTGGCCGTCCCGCAGGGAGAGAGACGATGGGCTTTCCACATGGCGGATCTGGGCGCGGATAACGGTCCCGTACCACTGGGTAGAGGGACGCTTTGGGTGCGTCATGCCCTTGCCATGCGCCCGGCATCGAGGCGCCCAGACGGTTGCATGCGGCGCTACACATGCGTAGCCGCTGCCGTGGGTTTGGGTGCGCAAGGTCGTGTGTTGCCCGCTAGCCACTGATGACCTGCATGAGACGAAAATAGGGCCGGGCCATGGGCCATTGGCATCTCAACGACCAAGGTGCATTGTGAGAGGGTGTGGTTGTTGGCCTAGCCACGAACAATGGATCGCTTGGAGGTTGAGCGCTTGGTCTGGGGTGAGAGGTTCTAGAAAACCGCGAGCCGGGCGCTTATCAGTGGGCGGTTGTACCCGTCACAGTGGTTGTCATTGGACGGCGGCGAGAAGATCAATTGGCCTATTGGAGTACTGGACGGGCTGCTGACTGGTTGCTTGGGGTGGGCAAGGGCAAAAGAAGAAAAAAAGGGTTCTTCCTATTCTTGGATCTCATGCAAAGAAGCGCCGTGCCGTTGATGTGCCTCGCGGATCTCATTCATCTGGATGCAGTAGGTAGATAATAGAATAGGCGCTCGCGACCACCGGGCCAACTTTGCAGACCCTGCTTCATCCTCCTCCGTGGAAGGGCAGATGCGCATTGTAGATATATCTAGATGATTGTCCCACCAGACTGCCGGGAAGCGCAATCCATTGGCTCGCCGCCCTGCAACCCCAAACATCTCTCTGCCTCTCCCTGGTCTCTATTGTCATGTCGTCCCCATGTGGCATTGAGAGGTGAGCAGTCGCCGAGCCGCCCCAAGCTACACTCTTCTCTCTCGCCCACGCGCCCGCATACACCCTGGGATACGATTCATTGTTGCCTAAACCTGCACTTTTCCCTTCACAATGCCTTGCTATTAAAAGATATGTACGGGGGTTTTCTGAGGTGGGCCAGGCGATTTCCCGGTCGCCGCATGCCAATCACACTTGCTCTGTGACTGACTTCAGGGATGGCGAGGGCTTGTTGTGAGCGAGAATCCACTCACGTTCTATATTGTAATTGCAAGATGGATAAGATGACATTCCGGATTTGTTGGCTTTCACACTTGGGGACGCAGAGGAAGGATTCCCTCCCACCCCATCTCACTTGACTAATGTCAATGTTTTCGGCCGAGACATGCACTGCCCGTGGGATTGTCGCCAGATCTAGGTGAGAACGTCGCAGCGACATACATATCATGTCCCTCCGCCACCATGTAGTATTACATGTTATAAGGGGTGGAGTCTGATGCAACCTCCTCCGAGTGAGCGCCTACGTGTTAAGTCCAATTGGGCCATCTACAGCGATCAATCACAGGGGATGTGCTGTTAAGTGCAATTGTCTGTATTATGTGACTGTCATATCGTGACAGTAGTACCAGGTCCGGCTTTTGTCTCATTTCCCCGTGGATGTTAGCATATGGTCGTTCAAGGGGCACTCATGTCATCTGCAGTATGTAGCGCATGTGGGATATTGTTTCTTGTTCGTATTCTTTACTTCGGCCCGGCTAGGCAGACCCATTCCTAATCACTTGCTTTATTTCGCAGTAGCATTGGTTTATTTGACAGTGCTGAGGTGTGGACACGTCTGAGACGTATTTCGTATCGCATCATTCAACGGCGTCGAGGTCATGGTGCTGCGTCTAAGTGTCCTGGTCACTTGGCGGTTAGAACGCTTTGGAAGGCGGGAGGTCACATTGACGGAACGACCCCAACAGGAAGTCTGAATCAAGACTCGGTAGAAGGGATGCGACTTAGGCGCCCTTCGTGGAGAAGGAAAGAGACAACGAATCTGCGCACCCACGACATTCTATCCTTCTTCTAGCACAGGCAGGGATCAATAGAGCCCCACTGCCGTTGGAGGTCCTTTCATTTGTATAACGTACTGGTCACCAAGGCGCATTTGGCATGCTGTAGTAGTGGGCGTCGATATCAGGACCCCGCCAAGTTTATTACCTTGCTCAATCCTCAGGTGAATGGGAGGTGCCTCGTGTGGTTGTCGAGCGGTTATCAGGTGATGGCGTACTCGACTGTGCGGACGCGCGCAGCCTTACTGTGCAGGTGAACGGTGACTGCATGTGAAGATACGGGGTGGTCGCTTGCCCCTAACAAGGTGCTCGGCTTCGTGCCGCCAACCGCCGCCTTTTCAGCCTACTGCGCTAACTCCACGAGGTCGATGGCCGGGAGGCTTCGCCCGCTGGGAGGCGTCGATAGCACAGAAGACAGACTTCGGCTGGTTGACCAAAGGCGGTGTGTTGGCACCCCTCCGTGTGATCCTTCTCCAAGGGTGCCAATTCCAAATGCGCGTCTGCCACAGAAACAATCGCATGCTGCACCCCGTTTGGTGTTGCTCTCCTTCAGGAAGACCCTCACATTCCAAGTAGGCATATGCAGCATGCCCTGGATCCAATCAGGCATGGCCAACGGAGTAAGACGTGTCGGATCGGGTGAAAAGGCGGAGCGGACGTTATTGGCAGCTTAGCATTGCGGCCATATATCTTCCTGTCTCATTAGAAATGCGTCCGTGCCAATGACGGCCAAAATGCTACCCATCATCTGCAACAGCTTCCTTGCTTGCTCCCAGCGCCCTGGCCTAGACCGGTGTTCCCTAGAAGCCACATTTATATGATTCCATAGTGATGGCTGGCTACATGCCGTGGAGTAGTATTCCCTCCAGGTACAGAATGTGGCACGGCGCATCTGTTCTAATTTTACCAGCCCTGCCGCTCAAGGCGGAAGGTGGGTGACGTGGGAGATAGTTTGTGCCCGGCCCGCGCTATTATGTATGTATGTTGGTTTGCCAGAAAGGAAGAAGAAGAATAGTATGTATTAGTAGGTGCATCACGCCCAGGGAGGAAACACGATGCCGGGGGTGGTTCACCAGAATCCCAACGCCTGGCGAGTTGGGACCTTTGGCCCATGCAATCATGCATCGCACGGCATGGAGGTGTGGCTGACGGACACATAAGGTAAAGACCAAGTTTATTGAGACCAGGGCACACAGAGGAGCTCAAGCTCGACCCGTTTTGACGGTTTGGCACGGCACTAGCGCTGTGCCAAAGCTGCAGACCTCCTGAACGGGCTAGCATCACATTCCGAGGAGACGTGTCACAGACTTGTGGTGATATTGTTCCTGTGACAGGCAAAGCCACCAGCCGGCTCTGCCACAGACGCCTCGGAGAGAGGCCGCTGAAGAAAACGTTGTGCACGTTTAGCGTGCACGGTCGACACAGCCGCGGATCCAGAGATGGGTGCTAGGCGCGGCGTTAGCATCATCCCTGTCCCCAGATGTTTCATTGGCTGCGTCGCAATGTCAAACATGCGGTCCAGCAGCCGTGATTGGGCACGAAGAATACGATGGAGGAGTCTCACACAGACCACTCCATGCCAGGAAGATGTTAGTGCGACCGTCAGCGTGCGGGAAGCTGAAATCAGCCAGACAGGCCTCACAACGCAGCAGAGCAGATGGGGCAATAGCAGAGTCTCTCCGCCCTATTAGCGCCCATTTCTTGTTTTTAACCGAGCTGGCGTCAAACGACCCATTGGCCATTTCACATCAGTGGGAGGATGGGCAGGGCTCAACGCCATGCGCCGCCACGATCCCAATTCGAGGGGCGCTGGGAGGGTCCATTCCAAAGCTCTAGCCGGTTCATGCCACGAGAACGGCGGCTGTCCTGATACCATTGGCTATGAGCCTCAACTGCCAATGTCTCCAAGCTCCGCGCCGCTGGTCTCCAAGGGCTGCAGGAATCAATCTTCAGGATGGACAGACCATCTGCTCAGCAGCCGGGGGGAGGAGAGCCGAGCAGAAGACGGCAGCTCGAGTTGTTGACCGGCTCTGTAATCAGATGCAGACTAAGGTTGTAGTCACATAACCCACAGAGCTATGAAGCAGCCTTGCACCTCGCCGCATCACTGACAACCACCACAGTGTCGATCGTGGGAGGGAATTGCGACGTGCTCGAGGTGTGGAGGATGGATGAGTGCAGGGTGTGAACGGAGCGGGGCCGGCCAGAGGGACAGGGCAAGTGTGCTAGCGCGGCATTTCTAGTTGCAGTTGGTGCCCCTGCGTACTACCGCCAGTACCGTTGGTCCCTTGAGCTTGAGCTTGAGCTTGAGAGGTTCGACCTCCCTCTGGAGGCCGAGGTCGAGTGGAGAGCCGCGTTGGGTGGTACTGTAGAAAACCGGAGCTGCCTCCAACCATTGAGATAGTGGTTTCTTCTTCTGTTCTAGTGTCACTAACGGTGATGACTCTCCAGGCTCGTACGTGATCCCACCGTGCCATCACCGTGTCATGGCATGGGTAGCCATTGTGTCGTGTTGGCGCTGGCATTGACGTCGGCATTGGAATCTAAGACCAGTTGAAGGGAGCGACCGTGCTAGTAACGTCGCTCGGGTGAATTTTGCTGACAGGTGACAAGTGATGGTGCGGGAGACAGAGTGGTAGTCGAGCCTAAATGACTAATTGAAGACGTCCTCCCCTGCTTCCCGCCGTGACAGAGATCAGATCAGTCAGGGCAGGGAGATCCGGAACGAGGGGCTCTTGTCCGCAGGGAGGGATTGGAAGCCTCTGCTGGCTCTAGCTCTGCTCTCTGCGTTCTCCGGGGCAAGACCGCCGCGAAAACCTCGCTCCGTAGGTACGGTCCAGACAGAGCAGAGGGTACGTACAGCTGTCGATAGGTTGCTTGCATATGGGGCAGCGGAAGGTGGAGGGCATCCAGAAAATTAACGACACCAAGGGGCTCTGAGAGAACAGGGGGAGGGGTATGGCGAGTAGCCTCATGTACCCAGTACGGAGAATGGGTGGGGGCGTCCACGCTGGGCCAGGTCGCTGTGACACACTAGCCTACAGCGTCTGGAGCGAAGCGCCTTGCCGCCCAACTGTGAGCGAGGAGAGCAGAACGACCAGGTCCCGGGCTTAATCAAAGATCAGCCGGCACTCTCCAAGACACCCCAACCATCGAGGGCAGTTCCCATCCCCTGCAAGCCAAATCCCAATGGATGCAAGCCGGTTTGGCCTTGCACAGATGCAGACATGGTTCTGGCTGGGAGCTCTTGGTAGCCTCCAGGCGATACGCGGCTGGCCAAGTTGGCAGCTGGCAACTGAAGGAAGGCACCTCAGCAAGGTACCTCCCTCCCGCGTTCGTAGTGCCTGCCTAGGCTCTTTTCCCCGGTTCGCTCTTGCCTGGTGCTGGTGCTGGGACGTACCTGACGTCTGCCTCTGATTAGATGCACACCCTACGGGCCTGCCTGTCTATCTTACTATGACGGGCGACCTTACGGGGGGCTATTAATGGCCTTTGTCCTGCAGCTGCCGCCCACCCCCGTCCCTGGGCATATCATCACCAACCCGCTTGTGCAAGCTCTTTTCCTCTCCTTCCCATCACCATTTCGGCCCGCGCCCTCACTTAATCTCCCAGTCGGTCGCCGGACTCGAGACGACTGGCTTTGCGCCTCTTTGCCTCGAGGTGTACAATCTTTAAAGTGAGCTGCGACGCCTGCATCGACGGCTCTTTCTTGATCCCTCCCCATGTTTTGACTCAGCTCAGCGCCTTGAATCGCCCAGCCGCATCAACCGCACCGCCGTAGTCGCGCGTCAAAGCTTCCACACCAAGCGCGGCCAACCTCGGAACCACCAGGCCCAACCTGTCTTTTGCGTTCCCAGCTCTCTCGAGCACATCCTGGTGAATCAACTTCCTAGCATCGTCACCGCAGGCATCTCGAGAATCTTGAGGCGGGTACCGAGTCCTTTGCCGAAGTGGTACCCAAGGAATTTCAGGGCGATTGGAACGAAGCAAAACGGGCCTAAAATCTGACGGGGCTCCGTCGCGACGCTTCACCGATTGAGATTTTGTTGTTTGCGCAGGCCGGTTCTCGCATTCCCCGACAGCAACTCATTGAGCTTACCGACTTAATTGTTTAGCGCCCTGGATCGCATGCTCAGGCCGCCCAGGACTCTCCATCTCAACTTTGTTCATTCATGCTCGCTTGGCCTTGGTTGGGTCAAACCTTGCTCTCAATTGAGCATCTTGTCCGGTACATGTCTTCTTGCCGGGGCATTACTGTTTGATTTCAGCGCAATAGAAAAGCGTCTCTTTAATCTCTGTTGGATCCCCCTTGAACCTGAATTATACTTAACATATTGAGCGTTCTGGTAACGGCTCAGGATTATCTTGTATTTCACACATAATGTCGGCCTTTACTGCGCTAAATGGGGGCTCCCCGAAGACTTCGGAACCTCCCAGCAAAGTATCTGATCCGGTCCCCGTGGATGAACCCAGGCCAGCTGGATCTAGTGAGCAAGCTGGCCGAAAGTCGAGCTTTGATCGCCCACGCCCACAAATATCGACCGTGTCTGATTCCGAGAGTTCGCTGAAAAGAAAGCGATCATCTTCAGTTGAAAATAGGCGAGAAGGGGTCACGCAGGAGCGCACTCCTGATACGGCCACAGTCCCACCGCACGGCGACCATCGAGACTCTTTCAGCACTCCGCGAAAAGACCGTTCGCATGGATCCCCGGACCCGCGAAACAATGGACCATGGCGCCATCAACAGTCGACCGAGAAGAGCCCATACGAGTCACACCATGTCATGGCATCCCCGCCGCTCAGGCATATGGACAACCCTCGGGCTTCTATCGGTCCAAGTCCCCATGAAGACTACCCTAATTCAAGCCCGGAAGCTGATGACAAGTCTGGATCGATGTACGAAAGCCAATATACACCTGACAGCCGGCAGAATTCAATTCTTCAGCACGACCCTAAGAAAAGGAAGCGCAATTTCAGTAATCGGACAAAGACAGGCTGCATGACTTGCCGTAAGAGAAAGAAGAAATGTGATGAGCAAAAACCCCAGTGTACGTGTATACATATGCAGCTCTGCAACTGCAAGGCTTCTTTGCCAGATGTGCTAACCATAGATAGGTGCGAACTGCCTGCGAGGAGGTTTTGAGTGTGCTGGGTACCCTCCGCAGAGGGGCCCTGGATGGCAGAAGCCCGAAAACAAACTGCCCACGGTTCCATTAGAATCAAAAGATCCAAGCTATGTACCACCCGGTGCATACGGCATGCCACAGCAAGGTCCCTATGGAAACCAGCCTGTAAAGCGCGAACCCCTCCCACACTATCGAGGCCAGGCCCTCAGGATTGACCCCCCACAAGGCCGCCCCTTGGTCTCGGATGATGACCGTCCTACAGCATCAACAATACCAAGCGCGTCCGTGGCCAGCCCTGATAATAAACTGTCCGCGATACCATACACGCCCGCGAATGCGTTCCCTACCCCAGTGAGCGCAAACCCTCAACCTCCATCATTCGCCGACAGAATGGCCAAGGAATACCAGCGCGTGCCTCCCATGCACGATTTGAGTAGATCAGAACCCGAAACACCTCATCCAGGCAACCAACTGCCTCAGATCAATATCCTCCATGCTACCAGAACCAGTAGCCCAGCGCCGCCGGGCCAGCCCCAATCGTCAAACGCCCAGGTGGCAGCTCAGCTTGCCTTGTCTCACTCACAGTATCCCCACCCCCACAGGCGGACACAGAAGGAAGAAATGCTCTCAGGCCGACAGTTTTATCCTTTTGACAAGGAGTTATGCTTAGAGCGTGAGCGCTGTGCCACAGCATGCTGGCGGTTCAACAATCTTACAGCACCTCCCTCAAACGGACTCTCAACGAGCGAAAGGATTCGCTTGTTTCTCGAGATTCTTCAGCCACGCGATCCGGTGCGGATAGCTTTGTCAGAAGCGACGCCTGGGACTCATGTTGGGCGGGTTGGCCGAAATGTGGCCGTTGAGACTCCGTTTACGTGTGACTATGGCTACAACATCAGTATTGGCAGTCACGTCTCAATAGGAAGAAACTGTACGATCAATGACGTCTGTGAGGTCAAGATTGGAGATAATTGTGTCATTGGCCCTAACGTTAGTATCTTCACTGCGACCTTACCAATTGATCCCAAACGACGTCAAGGCGGTCAGGGACCACAGTCAGGCAAAGGCGTTACAATCGAGCCAGACTGCTGGATCGCTGGCGGAGCCATGATTCTGGCAGGGAAAACCATCGGAAAGGGCAGCACTGTTGGTGCTGGTTCGGTGGTGACCAAGGTGAGTCAGGCGCAATTAACAAGCATATGTTATATCCCTTTCTAACTTGTTCGATTTTAGGATGTCCCGCCTTTCACAGTCGTTGCTGGGAACCCTGCGCGTGTCCTTCGTGGCATTGCTACATAGATCGCCTTTGCTTCACAGGTCACCTTGACAGATACCCCTCCAACCTTCACAATCGATATGCCGGCTGTGTGTGATTGTGTTGGTTGGTCCGTTCGCTCTTTTCTTATTTTTCTTTATTTTCTTATTTGATCTCTATTTTTATCTTTATTCTTTTTATTTGTTATATCGTTCTTCACTTGAACGGTATGGGATTGTGCAACGACGAAATGGTCTTGTAATGCTAGATACCTACGGTGGGAGCAGTCTTCATGATATGCATGCATTAGATAGGTGATTATGATATGAATATTGGAGTGGGTAAAAGAAAAAGCGATGGTCTTTCATTTTATCAATTTTTACAATTTATTCGACTCGAACCTGCTCGCTCGCTCGGTGAATTTATAACAGCATGCTCTCGAGATGACTTTCATTCTTAAATGATTGGATGTCAGGAAAGCAAATAATATGCACAGCGTTGTAGAAGGGTCTTGCAGCTTCATTCCAGGCCTCTTTTGCAAAGGGCGAACGGGTGGCCGCTTCTGCGACCACCCGTGTTTCCATAACAAAGGCTGCATTTGATGAGGGACAACTACCATAGGCTTGATTTCAGCCGAAGGTCTAGTTCATACTAAGCTGCTTTGCTACAGCCATGCAGCAAGCGTCATCACACACCCCCAGACTTGCCGATCCCAAGATCAAGGTATGGCAAATCGAGGCAGACCTCTACCGACGTGTCTTGACGTAGATATCGGTCCATGGAGCCCTAGAAGACAGTCAGAAACACATTCTTGGAGAAAAAATAACGAACATGAAAGTCTCAAGTTGCATGAACAAGCAAAGATTCGTACTAACCCAATAAGTGGTCTCGTTGTTATTCATAAAAACGGTCTCAAGGGACGGCAGGTCATCAAAGTTGAGCATGTTGGTGAAGTTGGCCTCGGAGATGCCAAGCTCAGAGGCCAGCTCCTGGCTCGACTGGGTTGTCCTGGCGGTGTCGTCGTTGTCAGACTGCAGCGTGCGGGCTGTCGACGACGACGCGGGGCCGGACGACGGGCTGGTCGTGGTTGTCGTGTCAATCCGGCTGAGGATGGCCCGGAGGACCTTGGACCCGTGCAGCGCGTCTGCGGAGTCCTTGCTCCTCGCCAGCCACATCCGGTATGATGTCCAGAGGATGGCGATGCGGTCAGCCCTTTCCTCGGCGCTATTTTGTTGTTGTGGGCTGTCAGCCAATGCAACCACGGATTGGGGAGGGGAAGGGGGGGCTATGCTAGGCTTTGATTACGAGAAGAGTGCAACGTACCTGAGGTGTGTGAACTGAGTCAGCTCGATGCAGAGCGTCATGGAGGCTACCAGGAAGTCGTGGAGGGATAGGCTGGACACCATGTACCGCTCCTCGAAGAACCTGCCACCGGGCTGGATCTCGCGGTCGAGCTCGATGTGGATCTGTAGCATGCCCAGTGCTGCGTCGCGGCAGAGTTCGATTGCGCGCTTGCCGGTCGTCGCTTTTGCAGAGGGGCTGGGGTCGACGATGAATGGGCGGAATAGATTGCACATGTTGATCCGGTACAGCAGTTCTAACATGATCCTGTGCATGATGGTGTAGTTCGGGTCTGTGAATGATGTTTCACGGAAACTGCGATATCGTAGACAGGGTGGCATGGTCGTGTGCCATTCGCCCAGCTCCCCGGCGATTCCTTGTGCCTGTAGGAATGTCAACGGCTTGATGCCCAGGGCATGGCTCATGACCCGGCGGAGCATTGGTAGGAGTTTCGACTTTTGAACATAGAAAGTGATGGGGAATGGGTCGATAACTGGCCTGGGGTTCAGGACCACACTATCTTCGTCGAAGTCGTCATCGGTCAGATTCATCGGGTGATCCGTGTCGTGGCCATCCTCATGTACCATGTTGGGCATGCCCTGCTGATATGAGGCAAGCATGTCGTATGAGCGCAGGGTGAACCAAACTCGACGTCTCATCTCGGCCTCGTAGGGGCTGAGTTTGAACGAGGCCTTTATGGGATCACGGTGATATCCGCGCCTCTGGGCGACGCGGATTGCAAGCCCGTAGAGCTGCCAGATGATGGGATCTGCATCTACCTTCTGGGCGTTGCGAGCGTGGGCATACATCAGCATGGCTTCCACAGAGTACACCTTTGCTTTCAGATACCTCCCGCTAACAAGGCATCGGGCTGCCATGGACATGTAGGCCCGGGAGCGGCCAATGGCTTCCGGGGAAGTTGGGGAGGTGCTCTTGAGTCTGAGGATCATGGTTCCTACACTGACAATGCAAAGCAGGATGCTGATCCAGAGAAGGTTGGCAGAGGTCGGCTTGTCCCAGAAAGCGTTGTATGTCCTCCTAAAATGATTTGTATGGATGAACGGCACCGCAATGAACTTGGCATTGAAATAGGCGCCGATGGCCCGGTCTGTGTCCTGGCGAGAGGGAAGCATGTCGAGCACCTCGGCGATCGTCACGGGCTCGACGTCCCCAAAGATGATATCATTATCTTCTAGCTGGGGCGCCTCGTCTTCATTCTGCCTGTCCTCATCCCATCCATCTTGCTCTGCCTCCAGGATGGACTTGATATCATGGATGCTCTCGACCAAGGCCTCCCAATTTGTCGGGCCCAGGAACCTAGACTCCGAGCTGCTGCCGGAGCTGTCACCACTTTGGATGAAGTCGGTGTTAGCCAGAGGGACTGCGGAGGCCTGGTTCCCAGAGAGCGGTTCGTTTTGACTCGAGCCGCTCTTCAGCCTCGCCGACTCATCGGCCAAGCCTTTCACCATTTCCTCCAGCTTGGCCAGCCGGGACTGCATCTCCTGCCGCCGTCCCCGAGCAGATTCCACGGCGCCAGGCGGTCCGAACTTGCACGAGGCGACATCACCTCTCTTTTCGCAGGCGCCACATGGCAGACGCCTGTCACATCGCGACTTGCGCTTCTGGCAGGATGTACATGATAGGGGTTGCCGACCCCGTCTTACGCGGCGAGGTTCGGATGCCCGGAAAACAGTGGTGAACTGCGACAGCTCCGGATCAGGCATTTTGGCACACCTAGCAATAGCATTCGTCAATCAACAAGCTAAATCTTCAATGAGAACAGCATGGATATTCCCGGAGAAGATCCGTCCGTCAGCTTGACGCTTTAATACAAACTGTTATTCGTTCTACCCATGGCTAGCGTACAGGGTAGGCTATATGTAGCAACTTAGCCAGTAGATATAATCTGGCGGGAGCGGCCACGTCCCTTAAAACGTTAATTATATGAATAAATCCCGATTTCAAATATATTACGGAGAATTCCTATTTTGGTAGGAGAATATATTTCCAGCTTCCTTATATAGGATGGCTTGTTCTCTACGGAAATGCATATCTCTATGTCCATCTTTATAGTACAAGGGAGAAAGATGGTTGGTGTATTTACAATATTCAGGAGGTTGAAAAATATCATCCTGAATCCTTCCAGGCGCCTGGGAGGATATTTGCAGACTATCAAGGATCCGCAGGCTCTTGGCCAATTTCTTGTTGCTGGAGGAGTTTGGATTTTGCATCAATGATACGCTGCATCATTCTCAATGCTCGTTTCTTGTGCTTGTCGTGCAGCTTGCCAAAAGCATCGAGCGTGAACTGGTCGGGTTCAAAGCCTCGGGCTTCTAGGGACTGCATTAACTTGACCACCGTGCTCACATTCTGAGCCATAGCCTGGCTCTTGATGTGCGTGTTCATGGTCACCAGATTTGGCTTGAGGTGATTCTCCTCCATGATTTTCATAATTTGGTTCATCATTGTCATCTCCTTTCGCCTTGACAACCCGTCCAGTAAAACGCCGTAAGTGTAGATGCTGGGCTCGGGGTGGCAGGGGGTTCGTTGCGAGGCAGAGGTCGAGCCATCTGCATTTGGCTCCCACAGCTCGTCATGTAACATGTCGCCAAAGACCTGAAGAGCTGGCCGAACGAGCCCTTGATGGGATAACATGGCATATAGGAAGGAGTTATGCACACGGGATTTTTGTCGACTGACCAATGCGCGGGCGAAGCTGTCGCCACTCTCGAGCATTTCCTTAAAATGTTGGTACAGAGCCAGAAGCTCATAAGGCTGTCGCCATGAGCTCAGAATGTAGGCTTTGAACATAATACCGATGGTATCCATGCTTGGATGCAGAGGCTTCTCGCTCATGTCAGAAACATACTTTCCAGCAATTGCCAATACTGTTCGTTCGTAGTCCCACACGCTCGAGACCTTAGGGTCGGTTGTCTCTGGCTTCGGCATGAGGAGCAGTGGCAGTGATTCCGGGATGAGTCGTTGAAGCGGTCCAAGAGGGAACTTTTTCTCATATAACCGAAGCATATGGAGAAACGGTTGCATTTCCTGCACAGGGCTGTACTTTTTCGCCCGGAATTCGTTTGCGCAAAAGGAATAGACAGCAGAAAGAATCTTATCCAAAATCATCTCTTCTTTCATACCCGCTGATTTCATCAGTTCGAGTACCTCTCCAAAGTATTCACTTCGGTGACCGTCTCTGACAGCACTGAACAACTCGTGATAAAAGCGAGTGCCTAAATCAATCCCATTTTGGATAAACAGCCTGGCGAGTTTCACGGCCTCATCAACCTGGCCACGTCGACACAGGGTACCGAGTAAGGAGTTCGTGTGAGCCGTGTTGGGGAGGAACCCTCTTTCAATCAAATCATGCAATGCGGCATCTGGTGAGAATTCATCCTGGCGGCCCTTTAAGTGGCCACAGCGAAGTAGCTTGCTGATAGAAGGTGCCACCTTGGGAGAATTGAGGTCCAGGCCATTGTCCGCAGCATCGAGAAGGATGCTTAATGAAGCTTTTTTGTACTTGTCACCATCAGAGTCCGTATAAGCGGCCAATTTGCTGGCATATTGAATCGATGTATTGTGGCTCAATGAAATATTGGCAGCCTTTAATGCATCATACGTTATTTTCACATGGAAGTTGGAGGAGCGCTTAGCAAAAATTCCGAGGGAGGCTTGCATAAATGGTTGGTATGAGTCCGAGGCTAAACCCAACAATTTTTGCACGAGTTCTGAAATTTCGGTCTGTCTTTGGTGTAATAGGCACCCTGGGCGAGCTCCGGGCTGTTTTTCGGACAGGATTGTCACAATGACTGAAAACGCATCTTGAACGGCGTAAGAGGGCGGCAAGGGGTCTAAGGTGGCATGCAGTACACGGTGTACTTGATCAGGACGCGAGAACAAGGTTGAGAGCATCAAGCCTGGCCAAGTTTCTTCCCGGGTGTGAACATCTAGGGCCTCCCAAGCACGCTGCATGTCCTGCAAATTCTTGAGATTCCATAGCCATGCGCCAGATTTGAACCAAGCCGGCCTTCGAGGATTACTTTTCCAGTGGTGTAATCTCACAAAATGCTTTTTCCAGTAGACAAATGCTTTTCGGTTACGAAGAAAATCGGGTCTGGGCTGATCTTGGATGGACTTCTTGATCTGAGCCCACTGAATTTCCCTTATCATCCGTTTCTTCTCTTTGATAGCCTTGTGGTCTTGTCGACGAAAAATAGCCCCTGATTTGGTCTTGCGGTAGGGAAGTCTTGCTTGAGCGGGAGCACGTTTTGGCCGAGATTTGTGCGCAGCGTGCCGATTGGTGTTTGGTGCTTCAGGCCCAGATACCGGCAATCCTTGGAGAGCTTTCAAAACCTCGCTATTATCGATCAATCGGCCTCTTTCCCTCTTGCCTGTTTGTGACTGCTGGCTGTGCTTGTCCCTCGTGGGCGCCACAAACAGACCCGAATCTGCACCATCGAAACGATTTCTTTCTCCGTGGGGTTGACTCCAGCCGCCCGCATCTTCTCGAGAGCTAGGAACGGCCGCATTATTCGTGAACCATCGTGTTGGTTGCCTAACCAGACACCTGTTGGCTTGGGCTACAGGTGGTGCTTTAAGCTTTCGTTCGCAAGCGCGACAGATATATGCTGTCTTCATCTCGCCGAATTCAGGTTGCGTCAGCCGCAGAACTATCTCACCATTTTGCGAATGTGAGAGTTCTATGAAGAGGTATTATGAGGAAAAATGTCACGGTGATTGCAATGCGTTACATAGAATGATAGTCCTCGAAAAAAAGTGTCGAGGAAATCAATGCCATTGCGTCGATCGCTTACCCGGGACTTAGTGGCGGTACTTTAAAAGTACAGCCTGTGAGCCTAGTGCTATTCGATAAATGAGGTAGTAAAAAAGTATCTCCTGTCGAGGAGTACCCACTACAGTATTTAGCGTGGAGCGCAAAGAGCGCCCCACATCGATTTTGCTTTGTGACAGAGCTCGTGAAGACCCCAAGCAAACAACATCCAAACGAAGCGAATAAGAGAGACATTCAGCATCTCCGAGTGCACAGCCATTGACAACAGCAAATATAATCGAAAACACCTATTGAGACCCCGCCAAGGCACCAGCCATTATGTCTTCGCTCACAAGCTTGAGCGCGGCCTCTGACGACCGCAAGGCTCGGCTCGCAAACCTAAGAAACCTGAAGAGAAAGCAGCCCAACGACGAGATTGTCGCACCAGAATCCGACCGGGCGCGATCCCCGTTCGAGCAATCGGACGTTTCAACGAAACATATCTCCGGTCGAAATTACGATCCCGAAACCCGTGGCCCTAAGCTTGGCTTCGAGGCACCGCCGACTCTCGCGCTTGAGAAGGCTACGCTGGAAGAACAGGCGGCAGAGGTCGAAGAGGAAGTGAGAGCACATGCTGAAGAAGAGGCAAAAGATGATAAAGGTGTCGACCTCTTCAAACTACAGCCCAAGAAGCCGAATTGGGATCTGAAGAGAAATCTAGAACAAAAGATGGAGGTATTGAACACGCGGACGGATAATGCAATTGCTAGACTAGTCCGTGAAAGAATCACGGCGGCTCAAAAAGCGACCAAAACAGCACCTGGGAAGGAGAATGGGGATGTGGACGGGGAGGCGGCTGGGGTGGATGGCGTGGCTCTGGTCGAGGGCCTGAGGGTCAGAGAGATGGAGGAGGAGGAAGAGAGAAGGGAACAGGAAGAAGATGAGGTATAGGCGGTCTATATCCAAGCCTGTACGTCATTCCCCTTGCTTTGACAGGACAGTTGGACGTGTGTATCCCAAATTCGCATGTTGATACCCATTCTATATACCACGTCATCTCAACCTCTCCCACGCGTCATCGCCTCCCGCTTGCTAAAGGGGCTGAGGCTTCGTTCTCTTCCTTCTCCTACAACGTGCTCGTGGCGCCTCCCACCTCTCTCGTTAAATCCTCCTCTGGACCGAGCCCCCGGATTTTGATTGCTTCGGATGTGCCTTTCGCCCTGGTCTCTACGATCTCTTGGAAAATGCCTTGGCTCAGCGTGTCGATCCGAGCCATGAGAAGACTTTGAATCTTCAGAGTACCGCCTGCGTTTGAACCTTTGATCAGATTCTGAGTCGCGGGGAGCTCCCATGTCTCTGTCTCGGTAAGATCGCTTTGAATTCTCACGCGGGGGTGAGACGCTATCTCTGCCAGGGGACCTCGAGCTTTGAGGTGAACGGCTGCGCCTATCTTCCAGACGACGACCTCTGGATGATGTCTCTGCACTGCGATTTCGGTCATGTTCCTGCTTCCTTCGAGAATCGGCGGAAGCAGCAGTTGAAATGGTGGACACAGAGTCCGTTGAGGGAGATCTGCGGTGTCTTGTATCTGAGCGCAGGGCTCTGTCCTCACGTTCTTCCGCTTCTCTCTTCCTAGCCCTCTCCGCCTCCCTCTTTGCAAGCTCTTCATCAGCTACTCCTTTCCTAGCATGGTGGTTAGAGGAGTTCTATCGGAAAGGTTTCGAGTAGGCCACGACGGTGCTTACTTGTCTTCCAGCGGCTTGAGTGCATCATTAGTTAGTTTGGGTATCAACTTGGGGTTGCGAAGTTGCTGGGACCGCGAAGGTCTTGATGTGTAAGGGCGCTCCTGGGCCGGAACCTTGCACTCGTATGAATAGTGACGTGCTAGAAATGTCAATACCATAGCAATTAAGCACATAGGATTCTTAGACTTATCTCGTTTTAAGCACTTTTGACACAGAACATTCGCGGGCGTTGAGCGCGACGGGCCGCCACGGCCCCGATTAGAATACATATCCACACGGTCCTTGTAGTATAGAACGATGCGATGCGGTAACTGGAAGGGCTACAAATGAGTACTGTCGTGATGATGAAAAAGAACCGAACTGCAAGTCCGGACTGTTCACTTAGCAAGAGGCTGGCGACTCAATGTAAAACCAAAGCAGGAGTCTGTCAGTCACGTGACAACACCGTTGTCTGGTTAGAGACAATAAGAATGCTTCCTGCACTGCCAAGCTGTGACGACGGCCAATGGAAGTCGAGAGTATTATTGGGCAGGCGGTATTCGGAATTCCGAGCGCTGAATGGCCATAGCGATCCGCCGGTAAGCCTCACTCGCATCTGATTTTCATGAGTGTTCTGGGCTTCAATTTGGCTTATCGCTTATCGGGCTCTGCTTGGGCGCTGACATAATCCCCTAGCCTTATAGCCACATTTGGGCGCACACACAGCGAAGCCCCTCTGTTGGTGGTCTGCTAGGCTGAGGATTCTGCTAGCACTAGATTCATCTCTTTCAAGCCATCATTGGCAACTTGTTTTGTTCCAGGATCCTGCAGCACCAGACAGTTGGTAAGAGAACGGAGACCGTGCTGTCTGTTTCGTTGCCGCTTTGCACCGGTGCCTGCCTGCCGCTTTGTGCATATTCCTCGAAGAGCAAAGCGCCCTTGTCAGCCCAACCACTACCACCGGTCTGATGGCATCGCCTTGACCGTTGTGTGCATACTGGCTCCCCACCACCAAGGCCACCGAATTTCGCCTTAACTGAGCTCCCACTCTCACATCGGTTGCCTCGTTGTTGCGACACCCACAGGTTCCCTCTATCAGAGCACCAAAACAGGAGTACGGTACGCTGTTAGCCACTACTTGTTGCGCGCCCTGTGTTCCTATCCCCTGAACTCTCGAGCCAACCACCTCCACACATAACATCCCACTCCTTCTCTCGGCCAAGAGCCCATATGCTGTCCTGGGAATTCTCGTTGGACTTGTTCACTGTTCGCCCCATTAACACGCTGGGCTTCTGCACCCGGCTTACCCATTACCATTGATTAGCGAAGTTGACCGACTAAGCCTTGGCCCCTCAGTTAGCAACCATCATCACATCCGAGAACGAAGGTCTCACCGAATGGGAAAAAACAGAAAAGATGCAGCACCCCCTGTCACGACGATGAAAACCGGCACTTCTCATTCTTTATACTGGCCCGTATTGTTCGATTCGTCTGCTTGAATTGGCTGTCCCATCTTGTTACATCTATTTTCGCCCTTTTCGTTTCCATCCTCCCGACCTGGCCTGCTGCGACTAGAGGCGTTTGTCCCGGTGTTGATCCTTTTATCGAACAGCAAACTGTTCTCAACAACCTTGGATATATAATCTCTTTTTGTGGTATCTTGAGCCAGTGACTTTGGGGGATGCAAGAAGGGTTGCAAGTGCCATCTCTTACCAAGGTATGTAGCATGGTGCTGTTCTCCTAGGTACTCTTCAGGCTGGGCTGACTCATGAGATATAGGTGCACGCGATAGTCACAGCTCAACACTCCGCTGGTATCCTCTCCTCTTCGACTGCGAATACATTGAAGGAAACCTCTGCCAAGATGAGCGCGATCCCGCCTGTAGCAGGCCCAGGCATTGCCAATGCTGAACGGACGTTAAATACGCCTGGTCGAGTGTCTTTGTTGACACAACCTCGAAATTTGGTGGTTGATAACGTCACCAACTCGCTCGGGAATCTCACCTTGCAACCAAAAGATGTTGGTGTGTCTCCCGTGAACGGAGTTCTTGCTGTAGTGGGCGATAGGCAGCAATCAGCCATCGGTAGAGACAATGGCTCTGATGAATCTCAGAAGGCAGACTCAAACTCTGAGCTTGGAACGAAGCCCCCAAGCTTAGATGGGAAGAGCATCACGTCTGGAACGACGTTTGCCTTGGATGAGAAAGAGTCTCTTCGTCCTGATGATAGTGCTAGTGTTAAGGCTGCTGGAGAGGACGATGATGCGTTTTCTGTTCGTGGATCTCTCGGAGCAGGTTCCCGGATGGATTCCGATCTTGCCCTGCGAGCTAGAGGCGTGCAAATGGGCGATATTTCCGAACGTAGGCTGTTGCACATCACACCAGGCAGTTCTAGCCAGGGGGTTTTGACCCCACAGAGTACATCGTCTGAACAGCATCCGAATGCTCGACCGGGAATGTCTTCGTTACCTAGTGGCGAAGGAAACCCCGATGCCTTGAACTTGATATATCGGCACGCCCCAGACGAGAAACTGATAGAGGCACTAACTTCCTCTAAGGATAGACTCTTTCTTCTGAAGTTGGAGAAAGAGGTAATCGATTTTGTACAGAATTCCAAGTTCGTTTACCCTCAGTATTATTCCCGCCCAGTACTTTTGCTAATCAACCATTTCCTAGGGAACCGTATATGGATCTCCCGCCATCAAATTCATTTTGTCGAATGTTGACCCATAAACTGGCGGATTACTATCATATGACCCATTCTTTCGAGCCAAACATCGGGTCTGTGCGAATCTTCAGGACTCCTTTTTGCCGGGTTCCAACTTCCCTAGTACATTGGGACACAGCACCAAACCAGCCCACCAGCAGCACGCCCCCACCTGTGATTGCGCCCAAGAAGATCATGAGGCGTGGGCAAGTTGAGGATGGAGGTCTCATCAGCGCCAGCCCTTCTAAGCCCACTTCTGAAGATGGAAGTGATGGCAAGGACGGGAAAGATAAGCAAGGCAACCAAAAGTACTTAACCAATTACCTGAAAATTTGTGCTGGACACCGCTAACTAGACCAGGCTCACCCGGGAAGAACGGGAAGAGATATATAAACTGGCAAGAGAGAGGATTTTTGGCAGCTCGGAGGACACTCCAACAGGTATGTGCTCGTATTGGGTCATTGTATTGTCGCCCCTACTAACGGACGAGACAGATGGAGATGGTGATAATGGAGTGTCGCGAGCCAGCTCTGTCTCTGCAAACCGGTCTAACCTTGGAAAAAGGGGAAAGAGTGGTAGACAAAGGCGCGACGACTCGGACAGTTTTGATTCAAGAAACCATTATACCCCATACTGGGGCCCTCAACAGCAGACATGGGTACAACAAACTGCCCCTCCTCAAGGCAACCCAGGGCCCCCATCACAGCCATTTCCAGGACAAATGCCACCGGTGTATACTCAACCAAACACAGGGTATCCTGCTGTATCTGGAATGGTGTTAAGCCCCGGGTATCCTAATTACCAAATGGCACAAGTAAGTTCTCCCCCACAATCAGTCTGACCATGACAAGTATTGACGAATAGGCCCAGTATCCACCACCACAACAAGTGCAACAGCAACGATACCCACCTCATGGCAGCCCTATGAACTCTTATGGATCTCCTGCTCCGGCTGCTCCAGCCACTGCAAGTGCGCAGCCCCAAACGTGGCAACCGGGTTATAATCCTAGTGGGCCCCAAGGCCGTGGAAGCGTGCCTCCGACTGCTCAATCACACATGGGAATTCCCTATGCTTTTGGACAGTTACCAGCGAATCTTAACCCACATGACCCTAAGGCCCAACATCCCATCCCCGGGAGTTATAACAGGAACCACTCCTTCAATCCCAAAACTCAATCCTTTATTCCAGGCGGCAACACTATCCAGCCGGTTCCACCCCCTCAGCCCCCTTTCACTGCGCCAACGTCACACACCGGAAGTCCCCAAATCGGATCACCACATCTCGCTTTCCCTCAATACCAGCAAGGCGGCACCCCGCAGCCATACGGTGGTGGTTATGGTATGATCCGACAAGCATCGAATCACTCCGTTCCGGGCTATGCCAGTCACCAACCCATAACGGCCGCTTATGTCCAACATCCTCCTCCCCCCCCTCAGAATCCGCACCATGGCCCTATTCAACACCCCCCAGGCAACATGACGACTGCTATGCCAAATCGCCCGAATGGACCGCCGCATCAAATGTTTGGTCACTTGCCCACCTACGGCAATCCGGCGACTTTGCCACAGAAGCCTGCCACTGGCATCTAGGAATTATCGGCTGGCTTTGTATTACCTAGTCAGACATTGGCGTTTTGGTGGATAGGGCGGCCTTAATGATATGCATATTTCCTATAGGCTATGGCGCTCAATAGATAAAATTAACAATATTGTTCGTCATGGTCAAGTAAAATACATTTCAGTGATAAATGAATTTCATTTGTTCACATCTATATGTCCCAAGCCGATAAACCGGCCAACCACAACGCCCAAATGATTTTTATAGGTAACATGGATCGTAGCCTTCATTGAACCTCACGTAAACGTTACCATCCCCGCCAAACCTACCTGAAATACCCTTACTCCGTGGGTTCCCGGGGCTCTCGAGGCTCCCGGGGTTCCCTCTGTTGACCACCACCACGGCCACCACCACGGCCGCCACGCTTGCCGCCGCGCTGCCCTCCGCTCTTTTCTCCCTCACCCTTGTTCTCGCCCTCCTTCTCAACGCTCACAATGTTAGCCGTAGCTAAGCGTTGAGACAAGTCAATCTGAGTGCGGATGGTGTTAGCCAGGTAGCTGACCATGAGGACGTCCTGGATATGGTTGTTGAAGTCGTGCTCGATCTGAGAGGCATCGACCTTGGGGGTGAGCGAGAGGGCGCTCATGAGGTACTGGCCCAGGGCGTTGTTGGGCTCCTCGTCCTCGTCCAGGACGCCGTTGACCCACTCGCTGACCCTATCGAGCAGGGTGATGGTCTGCTCGAGAGCCTGGCCGAGGTTCTCGACATCAGAGATGAGGGGCGCCGTCCTGGTCTCCGAGTCCTTTGCGCTGGCGATGGCCCCGAGGGCGCTCCTCTCGGCGTCGCCGTACAGCATCTTGTGGGGCACCTGCATGAAGAGGCAGCACTCGGCGGCGCGGTCGACGTTGACGGTGACCGGGGCGCTGATGTAGCACCTCGTCTCGATGCCCTCGCCGGGGTCCGTCGACATGGTGAGGTGGATGGCCGGGTGGGGGAAGGTGCCAGTGTCGGGGCTCCCGAAGAAGTTCTGGATCAGGGCGCTGAAGTTGTTGAGCTCGAGGGAGGTGGTGTACCAGCCGAGGAGAGACTCGCGGGGGTTGGCCTTGAGGGTCAGGGCCAGCATGTTCTTCTGGTACTCGACATCGACCTCGACTTGGTCCTCCTCCTCAGTGTGTGGGATGGCGAAGCAGGAGCGGACTTCGACCTCGGTGCCGTCTTCGGATCGGACGCCCACGAGGGCACCGATGACGCGGCTGGGCTGGGAAGGATCGCGGGCATCTCGTCGTACGGCGTGGTCGAGAATGGACAGAACAGCCTGCCAGAGGAGACTTGGTTAGATGACACATAAGGGATATCGTCTGCTGAGCTTGGGCGGGGGGTACCTGTGGCTGGATGTTGACTGTGAGCGGGGCAATGTTGGTCTGCAGACCAGCGCTGGTAGCGGCCAAAGGGCGCGAGAGATGGATGAATCTCTCAGTAGCGGCGGCCATGTTGGGCAGAGATCGATAGTCGGGGGGTGTGGTGAGGTTGCAAGATCCAAGATTGAAGTCCCCAGAAGTGGAGGCGACTCAGCGTCCAGTCTCGTTTACTCGCGAGCCGATACTCACAAAATTTCGCCCGTTGTGTGTGGGTGAGTGGGCTGGGGGGTTGTGTGCGCATTGATAAGATAAGAAAGAGATTTGTGGCTGCTACAACCTGCCCCGCCATCTGTGGCTCAGTAAATATGGGCCATCTGCAAGGCTGATGAAATCTTAGATAGCGTCCAACTTTTTTTTACTAGGCGTGATTGTTAGAGAGGCAAGAAGACCTAACTTCCAACCCATTAATTTTATACCAGAGGGCCATACGGCTCTTCATAATCTGAAATGGGGCCACGAGGAAGAGGAGGTAATTTTAGAGGGCGGGGAGGGCGTGGGAGAGGAGTTCGTGGGCGCGGCCGTGGTGGTAGAGCAACCAGCCGATTTGGACCTACAAGGCGTTTTGATGGTGCTCGGCTAGCTGATCAGGAAGAGTATGCCTCCCAGAAAAAAATTGATGATTGCAGAAGAGCTTACAACGTTGAATAGGGAGTCTGGATCTGAATCCGAATCGGAAGAAAATTCTGATGTTGAAGAAACTGAGTCTCATGAGGACTCAGATTCAGATGTCGAGGCTGAAGAAAAGCCCACTACTCGGCCTTACATGGCTCTTCTCCAAGGGTTTGGGGACAGTGATAGCCCCAAGGCAAAGAGACGCAAGTTGGATAATTCATCGAAAGTTGATATTTCAAAGGCAGAAATTTCGGATTCTGAAGACCAAGAGGATTCCGAAGAGGAGCCTAATGAAACCAAAGATCTTGACATGGCGGATGAAGGGGATGATGTTGAGGGTGAAGTCGAAGAACAGCCAGAAGAGGACTCTGACGATGAGGAGGATTCAACAGACCCTTTTGACACTCATTTTGCACACCCTGATGCAGATGTTAGCTCAAAACGGGTGAAAGCGGCCAAGGAAGGCGAATGGACTACGAAGCGGGCAGTTGTTAAACCTTGGCGGGCGACATTGATGAGTCCCGGCTCCGATGTGGCCATAAATACCCCTCGACCTCAGTCAGTGAGCGACCTCAAACTCAAGCACAAATTGAGGGAGACTGCAAGCAGGCATCTTTCGGACTTGGACGACACTGCGAAGGCATTCAGCTCCTTCCTCTTTGGATACCAAGATATTCTTCTTTGTGATCGAAATGTGCGGAATGCGCATAAATTGAGGCAGCTTGCCTGCCTGCATGCACTGAATCATGTGCTCAAGTAAGTGCACTCAACGAGCCCAATAATCCTTGTCCCGACTAACCAAGAATAGGACAAGAGACCGAGTAATAAAGAATAACTATAAGTTAGCAAAGGAGAGTGATAATTCTGATCTAGATTTGCGAGATCAAGGGTTTACGCGCCCGAAAGTGTTATTCTTGCTCCCAACTCGCAACTCATGCGCCCAGATCGTAAATATCATCAGAGATCTCTACGAGGCTGATCAGCAAGAAAACCGTAAGCGGTTTGATGACTCTTACATTGACAAATCCAACACTTTTGGCGACGACAAACCGGCAGATTTCACTGAACTATTCGAGGGAAATGACGACGACATGTTCCGATTGGGTATCAAGTTTACGCGGAAAACTATCAAATACTTCGCGCCATTCTATAGTTCAGATATTCTCTTTGCCAGTCCATTGGGCCTCCGAATGGCGATTGGCTCAGAAGAAGACAAGAAGAAGGTTGATTATGACTTCCTCAGCTCTATTGAGCTGGTTGTGATGGATCAGAGCGATGCGCTGTTGATGCAGAATTGGGAGCATGTTGAGTCCATTTTTGAAAGCTTGAATCTTCAGCCTAAGGATGCTCACGACTGTGATTTCAGTCGTGTTAGGAGCTGGTATCTGGAGGATTGGGCAAAGCATTTCCGCCAAACTGTCGTGCTCTCTGCATTCAATACTCCTGAGCTGGCAGAGCTGTTCCGCCTCCACTGCCAGAACTGGGCTGGCAAAAGCCGGTTGCAAATCGAATACCCCGGAGTTCTTCAACAGCTTGGAATAAAGGCCAAGCAAACATTCTCTCGGTTCCAATCACCTTCGGTTGAGAAGGATCCTGATGCCAGATTCAAATATTTCACATCGACCATCATTCCATCGTTGGTGAAGCGGAGCAAAGACGCTACGGGGACCATCATCTTTATTTCTTCCTACCTTGATTTTGTACGTGTGCGAAATTATTTTGCGAACGATCAAGAAGTCAGCAGCATACCATTTGGCGCCATTTCGGAGTACGCAGATGTCCCTGAAGCCTCTCGGGCTCGCTCTCACTTTTTGAATGGCCGTCACAGCGTGCTTCTATATACAGAGCGAGCACATCACTTCCGACGATATCAACTTCGTGGCGTGCAAAGGGTCATATTTTACAGTCTCCCCGACAATCCGGTTTTCTACAACGAGATTGCTGGCGGTTACTTGGCCAAGAGCGAGGCAGATATGAGACTTGAGCCAGGGCAAGGGAACATCCGTGTCATTTTCTCCAAGTATGATGTGATGAAGCTAGAGAGGATTGCTGGTTCAAAGAGAGTAGGAAAGATGATTCAGGAGAGGGGAGACACGTTTGATTTCGTTTAAGTCATAATGGGAATTTCTTAGATTTAACAGTCTTACATCATACCGCTCATATATATCACTGTTCACGACCGCGGCAAGCAGGAGGGATTAACACCTATCTAACACTGTTCCGGTACTCCCAGAAAGGTGCTAATTGATTGGAAAATGGTACGAGCTCAGGCCCGATAGATTGCATTTATATATACACACTTCATACAGAATTGGTGTAGCACAACCCACACCCATAGTATTAATACATGCTTGATCACCAGCTCAGCCTCTCGCTTTATGACTGTGTGGTCTTGGCTGTTGCCTTCTTGTGTGCCCTGGGCACAATAATGGGGCCCATAGTGGCGCTCTTATGGCTCTCCTTCTCTGCAATCTCGTCCGACTCGGCATTGAGAGACTCCGACTCTTGCTTGGAGGCAGGGGTAGAATCTGGGTCCTGGGTGCTCATCACCATAAATCGGCGCACCATATCTTCAAATGCATCGTTGCCGCGGAACTGAGTGACCTTCTTGATGTTCGTTCTTGTTACAGGGGTGCTATCTCGGCCTAATAAACGATCTCTGGCCACTGTCTTCGCCGTCATCATGAAGCGGGTATCCTTGGGACCGTCAACGAACTCGAGAATAGACGTCTCGGCCTGGTCGTAGCTGGAGCGAGGCTCTGTACGAACAACACGGGTATAACCACCCTCGCGTGTCAAGTAGCGTTCCCGTAGCTCGCCGAAGAGCTTCGGTAGGAGAAGATGGGGAGTCTGAAGAAAGTAAAATGTCAGTGGAAATTGTTCGATTCCGAGGTTCGGCTTCGGTGAGACCAACGTATAGAATGCCCTGGGCGGACCTTTTGCAGGGCTCATTATTCCTCTTCGCCAGTGTAATGAGCTTCTCAGCAAGTCTTTGAGCCTCCTTGGCCTTGGCGTGCGTTGTCTGGATGTGCTCATGCTGGACGAGCTGTGTGACGAGACCACGAAGAAGGGCCTGGCGGGCTGCCGAGTCGCGACTCAAATGGCGGTATTTGACGGTGCCACCAGCCATTTTGAATGTCGATTTATCCCTCTAGACAGCCGGAGATCGTTTTAGCAGGGCTGTGGCGGCTGTAGCGACGAATTGGCGTGGGAGTGGTCGCATGTGTTGTGCCATATGCAGCGGGAGGATTTGCCCACAGTGCTGGAAATTTTTGGCCTGGCGCGGATCGGCACGTTTTCCCTGCCGACCGACGACTCAGCAGGCAAATCCACGACCTCATCAAAAATTATCCCCCTCCATACACCCGGGCACAACCAAGCTCGTGCAGAGCATCGCTGGCGGTCAATTGGTGCAAGAACAAACATGTTCATTCGAATCTGATTCCGGAACCATTGCGCACAACCGAGTTAACGTGTCATTGCCCTTCATTGCCGGCTACAATTACCTCATCCTTCCCTGCCGTTGCGAACTGCCATCATGGGCTTCGCCTCGGGATTTGTACGGCATTCGCGCGTTGTTGTCTCGTTTGCTACATGAGCTAATTGTTAAACAGACCGGTGGTGTCGCCCTGACCCTATCCGTCGCCTACCTTTCTGTCCTCGCTCACCAACGCAACCGTGAGCAGCAGGGCGCCTCTCTCCGCGCACAAGCTATCGCCATCCACGGACTCATCGATCCCCTCCCTGCACCTCTACCGCCTACTCGATCTGAAGTTGCTGCAGCTCAGAGGTTATCCTCCATTGAGGTTGCCAAGGATCGATGGAACTACGAAATAGAAAACGCCGTACGCTGGGTACAGAGATCTGACTGGAGCGAGATCCGGGAAGGCGTTGAGGACGGTATCTCCAACCTATGGGCAAACACATTCGGTGAGGCTCCCGCAGAAGGAGCGCAGAAGGTCAATGCGAAGGCCGTGGAAGCCCGCGAAGGCGTCGCAGCAGCAGCACAGAACGCATACACCAAAGCGGCCGCGCAGGCACGAAGCGTCGAGCAGGCTGCCGAGGACAAGATTCTCGAGGCTAGACTGAGGGCTAATCGTCAGGCCGTAAAGGTGGAGACTGCTGTGAAGGAGAAGGCCTCTGAGGCGAAGGGTGTTTTGGCGTCGGCGATTGAGGCTGGCAAGGAGAAGGCCAATGCTCTCCTTGGACGGGTTGAGGCCGAGGCCGAGTCCGGGGCCAGTCCGGTAGCGAAGGCCCTGGAGCAACGCTATGCGCAACCCGAGGCCAAGGTGAATAAGACGGTGGCGGAAGTACTGAGGGAGAGATATACGCCCTTTGACGAGCGGGACAACACTCTCCTTCGCGGTGTATAGGTTGTTGGCGGCCTGAGGAAGCCATCTACTGTATCTCATTGCGTCTACTAGATTCGATCGCTGTACTTTACGAGAACTACACAACAATTCCATATCCTTGTATCAATATTTAAACGAGAAGATTGGCCTTGCTTTGATCATATACTTCCTCGCAGTCACTGTTTGTTTAGTAAGGGAAGAAATGTTGGAGTAGCAAAGGATTGGGAGGTGAATCCTAACTTCTAGTTTATTGGGCCAGTTGGTAGATTTACTAACTATTTCATATCCTGCGAGGCCGGCCACGGATTTCACTATTACGGACTGCGGACTACGGGCTCCGGGGACGATGTGGATTGGAGACCCGAAAGGATTGTTTTCTAGTCTGTTCTTAGCTGCAAGTACCGTCAGATGTATTGACAATTCGGAAGAGTGTATAAATAGCTTGTCGCTGTCGTCTGGGGAAATAGCCCTATGCTAGTGTTTCCGAGTCTCTATCCTGAATGACCTGAGAAGAGCTAGAGGGGAACTTGTCGAGGAAACCTTTTGCCTTGAAGAACCCCGGCCGCCGGAAAGGTTCGCAATTCTCCGGCCTCCACAATTCCTTCTGGACGCTTCCAGTTCAGGTCGAGTACCAATTGGGCATAAGTACCCGGCCGGTGAATGGGATAGTTTTCCCCCCTTAGCCTAGGCTGGCCGGCGGCGATGCCGGACACAAAGAGCAAAGCCAGGCGGTTTGCTAAACAATTGGCTCCAGGAGCGGGGGATGGTGGCAACTAACCGGTGCGATCAGCTATTAGATGTAATATTACTCGCACACGCTCTCGGAAGAGGGCGGAGGAATCTCGGTGGCAGGACACAGGATTGGAAAATGCGGGGAACTGATTGGCTGCGAATACGGTGGCCACCTTCCCGACCTTAGGCGAATTCTGCTTCCGAGGCTGCACTTTTTGGGGCACATTTGCGCCATCCACCGAAAAGATATTTCTCTCCCGTCTTTCCCATTCAATTCCTCCACCTAAACATCAAATCCCCTCCGTGCCACGTCCCCGGACTGAGTAACATCAACATCACTGGCGGGCGGCATTTGTTGACGCCCCCTTCTCTCCTTGTTTTCAGAAAGAGGGTCCAGTGCCAAATAGGAGAAAAGCCAACTGTCCCTCGGTTCCGTCTTTGACCTCGCGCACCGCCACTCCTCCCGATTGCAACGACTGTATTTCCTCAGACCAACAGCCAGCAATGTCTTTCTCCAGCCTCGTTCAGGATCTCAGTCTGCGTGACTCCAATGGTCCTGCCCCCCGCCGACCCGGCCCCCCACCTTCTCAGGCTTCTACCATGGACGACCGCACATCCCACATCTCGCGGGCCATGTCATATGCGAGCACTGCCGCCACCAGTGTGAGCATCTCTGGGGATATCTCCAGCCAACTTCATGGAGGCTACTTCCATCCTCTAGCCCGTGCCTGGCAAGCCGAGCGACAGCTGACCAAGGTGAGAAAAATCCTTATCAATTGGAGTGTGGCTTCCTCTGTTCTAACGACTCTAATTGCTAGTCCATGCTTATCTACCCTCTCTTCATTACCGACGGCGATGACGATATGGTTCTGATTCCCTCGCTTCCGGGACAACACCAGCTGGGCATCAACAAGCTTGTTGCTCTCCTTGAGCCTCTTGTCCGCAAGGGCCTCCGATCCGTCATCCTCTTCGGAGTGCCCATGAAGCCAGGAAGCAAGGACGCCCTGGGAAGTGCTGCTGACGACCCCGAGGGTCCCGTGATCCGAGCCATTCGCCTGATCCGCCGCCGTTTCCCGCAAATGTTCATCTGCACCGACGTGTGCCTCTGCGAATATACCTCACACGGCCACTGTGGCATTCTTCGGGATGATGGCAGCCTCAACAACCAGCTCTCCGTCGATCGCATTTCCGACGTTGCTATTGCATACGCCAAGGCTGGTGCTCACTGCGTTGCACCTTCCGATATGAATGATGGCCGTATCCGGGCCATTAAGCTCAAGCTGATTGAGGAAGGGATTGCTCATAAGACTGTCCTGATGTCCTACTCGGCCAAATTCTCTGGTTGCCTCTACGGCCCGTTCCGTGACGCCGCTGGCTCGGCTCCATCATTTGGTGACCGCAAGTGCTACCAACTTCCACCTGGAGGACGCGGACTCGCTCGCAGGGCGATGCAGCGTGACATCGGTGAGGGTGCTGATATCATCATGGTCAAGCCAGCCAGCCAGTACCTCGACATTATCAGTGACGCCAAGGAGATTGGTAAAGACATGCCTGTAGCGGCCTACCAGGTTAGTGGCGAGTTTGCCATGATTCATGCTGGTGCCAAGGCTGGTGTTTTCGACCTCAAGACCATGGCATTTGAGTCGACGGAGGGCATTCTGCGAGCTGGCGCTACCATCATTGTCAGCTACTTCACCCCTGAGTTCCTCGACTGGTTGGAACACTGATTTCGTAGAGATTTACGCGCACTGGGCATTGGGAATGGGAAATTGGGATTTTTTTGTTTTGGCACGGAGTTTGGGATGCTGTACAACAAGACTAATGAAAACAAATGATCACGCTACAATAAAACTGAATTTGGGTTATTTTTGACTAGTTTCCGATATGCATGCACAACTTTACTTGGCGAAGGTGTCTAATTCGATCGGGTGATGAAGTCCCCTGTTTACCCTGGTTGTCGCCATGTGTGAAATAATCGTTGCCATACTCAGCTAATTGGATGTTCTTTGGATCAGGGGCACTTGCCCTTGCTTCCCTTCCAGGGCACGCGATTAGGAAGCAATTGAAGTGAAATCCGACGTCATCAACTGAATGAGTGGGTTTCTAGGGAGGAGTTAGTCCAATGTGAGGAGCTTGGGCAGTCTGCCTCGTTTCCTCGGTTGCTTGTCCCTTCGTATTGCGTTCTCCTCGTTGATTTGGGTCTGCTTTTTCTTAAACTCCGCGACCAGGTCTGGCGTAGGTTCTCCCAACTGGCTCGCGTTGATCAATTGGTTGTTTTCGTGGCGGAAGCCCGTCCAATGCACTCTATATTTCATGACCACTGAGTGTAGTTGCTTCTTTGTGATCTCGTCTAATTCCTAGTGATCATTCACCCCTTCCACTTCGATAGGACCGATGGGTTCATTCTCTCGATCGTACGGATCTTGGTCCTTGGATGTGGGGATTAGACACAATCACCATGGACGACGATCAGAGTCCTGAAGTTGCCAAAGAAATCCGCGTCAAATACACCGAGAACGCAACGGTCACCAGAGAAGCAGTCCTTTCCAGAAATGATAACTCTTTGATGAAGGAGTTTTCAGGCCGGTGAACCGTGCAAGGAAGAGAAATTTTGACTCTCCATAGCCTTGCCAAGTTTGTACACTCAACCATGTCGCTGGACAGTGCGACTTGGATTTGAATTCATGGCCCAGGAACAAATTAATTCATGACCCAGGCAAGCGACTGACATAAAACGTGGCACGCCCAGAACGTCCAGCATTGGATTTCAACACGATGTCAAAACACTCAACTCAGTAATACACACAATACCAGGTTCAAGGTCGTAGAAACAATCTGTTCTTTTCTTATTATTACGTTTAAGAAGATAATGTTCCCTGCCTTGGATAAAACGAGCTTTACTGTGCCTGCCGCCATGTTTTATTTCAGCCACTTGCCAGGAACAAAGTTAGGATAAGGATATGCTCTCGGGACCGCGGCGGGCTAAAAGCAATAATTCGGACTAGGCCTACAATGTAGCTGTACGCGACCCGAGAGCTAGCCAGTTGCCGAAATGAGGAAAAGCACTTGCATTTCAACGTCGAGAGCGGTCCATGTTGGAGTGAACATGGTGAAACAACAGACGTCACTCCTGGCAGTGCCTGTAACAGGTTTCTGACGGAGTTCTCGCCCAGCTCAAGGTTGCTAGGGGGGAACGGGGTCAGAGCGAGGCTGGGATGTGATGCAATTCTGATACAGCACTAGAGGGAGCCCACAATTCCCTCCATGTTTGTTTTTGACCACCAACTTACCGAAGCAAGGCATTTCCATCCATCAGCCGAGGAGAAAGCAGTCGTCGTCAGCTCAAAAGTGGGCCGGGGCCATTTGACTTGATACACCCAATTCTCTCATTACCCACTGTTGGGCCTGGGTAGGGAATGCCCCCTTGGTGCGGCCAGCGCGCTCTGCTTGTTGCATGGCTGCATGGCTGCACTTATGGGCAGTAGTTTGAGGAAGTGATGCTGCGAGCAAAGAGGGAGGCATGACTTGCTGATGCCAAGAGATGCGTGCCGTGATTTCGCACTGTCGATGCGTGCGCCGATAGATTAATTCTGGTGGCCAAGCTTTCCTAAGTTCCAAGCCAAGCTTTCAGAACCGCCAGCGATGAAGCGATTGGGTGCGCTTGGCTAAGCGGGGCCATTTTGCTGGTGCGTAGGATTCGGCCAGGGGCTAGCTCAGCGGCAGTGTAGCATAGGTAGAGCCCCCCTTAGCCCCTGGCCGATGGCCGATCTACCGTGCAGTGTGGATGCTCAGTGGTTATAAAAGGATTTCGGGCCTGCCATCTCTGGACCTCAAAAAGGGACGGACGGGATGGTATTGGGCAGGCATCCCGGCGCGAGGCAATGGGATGCGGCCGGCGGATGGATGAGAATGATGCAACAGGCTGGATGCATCTCTGTCGCGGATTGCGGCGTCCTTCAGGTCGGTGCCGGGTTTGTTTCAAGCCACTCAATCTGGTCCGCATACAGGCCAGAGCTGAACACCACCACCACTACCACCACCGTATTGCAGGTTGGCGGCGACTAACGGCAGCCAGCTCATAGCCTGTATTATGTGATAGATCACGCTGGGCTAGCACTATTGGCAAAATCTCTGCGTTCATCATTTCCATTCATGCGCAAAGGCGCTCAGCTGGCGCCTGAGCTGAGCTGTGCAGCCAAATATTGCACCAAAGCGGGAACGCGCCCAAAAGCAAAACCAGTCAGGAGTAAGAGGAGGGCCGCCAGACGGCAAACGGACACCCGAGCCCTGTACGTGTGTGGATGAGATGTATACAGTCTCTGTGTCGGAGCACTGTGCGCATCATGACCGAATGCAGCGCGGCAACCACTGTTTTACCAGCTTCGTACGGAGACAATTCACGACCAACGAAACCTTGACGACCCATAGCCCGTATCCATGTCTTTCTTTCCAGAGCTCCACTGACGGGGCTAAAAAGTGGGCGTGTGGTTGTGATCTACAGATAAGCTGTGTCATTGAGCATCGATGAGGGTAGAATGCTCCGGATCAAGAAAAGGATAACCCGCTGTTTGCATTTCTGTGAAGATCATGATTCGAGACCTCCCAGTGCTAGTGACGCTGGTTCCGTCTGCCGTTGCCGAAGCCAGCGCGACGCGGGCAGCCTTGGAGAACGCGAAAGTTGCAGATGTCGCTGGGCCGTGGATGGCTTCGTGCCGATGGCTGGGCCTGCCGCAACTGCCGCCACTTCTTTCCGTTGTCTGAGGAGGAAGGCGCCATATAGTTGCCACCTACCCCGGAATGCGGTGGGTCTGCCGCTAATATTTTACACATAGCATGAGGAAAGTGAGGTGAAGGAGCCTCAGCAGGGGCGGCCTGGCCTGACCACTCGCTGGCGGTTGTTGTCCGCATGCGACTAATAAGGGGGTTCCTGGCGATCTGGGCTGAAGAGCTCAGCTGCGGTAGGGACATGAATTCAAAAGCCTTACCTGCCCTGTTCTGCCTTATTTGTGGCTCCAATTGCTAAAAACCACCGCCCACCCTCGTACCCGTGACTTCTGCCCGTCCCCTCTGTCCCTCCTCGTCGTCGGCCAAACTCAACACCACTGCATTACCTTTCACCATCTCTGGTCTCGGGCTTCCTGCGTGCATGCCTATGTGCCTCTCCCGGCCTTCGTCGTTCTCTCAAGCCAGTCTTGATTCTCAGCCAGTCACTCCTTCGGCTGTTCCTTCCTCCTGTACCACGCCGTCTTCTTTTCTAGCCGTGCTTGCCGACCTGTACCTACGTTTAGATGAAATCATTTCCTACTCGTTTCACCATCAACTCGTACTGAGCGATCAGCTACTACCTGGGTACATACCTCCACCTATTCTGGAGCACATACGTTTAAGCACATGCCTTAAGCTTGTTCTTTTCTTTCCTCTTCCTTTTTAATTGCCTGCCCTGCCCGTCTGTCGATTACAGCCTCTTGTCCTTTCTTCTTCTGCCAAGGTCTGGCCATGAGCCAGCAGCGTCCTTCTCTCCTTGATCTTTCTGGAAGCCAGGAGAAGATGGGGCTTCTTGACGACAGGTCAGAGAAGTCGCCTTCAGAGCTGGAGAGCGAGTCCAGCTATGAATTCAACAACCCCACCAGCAACGACAAAACAGCCCAGTGGCTGCCGATTCTCGCAGCCCCAGCTGTTAAGCTTGGCTCATTGCACTGGCGACAGCTCTTCGTTCGATTTCTCATCTTCCTTATCCCCAGTTTCCTCCAAGGCCGAATAATCAGGGACACTGGTCGTCCCGCCAAACTCTTCCCTACCTCATACCTGGATGGTATGCGAGGTTTGGCTTCGCTCTTCGTCTACTTCTGCCACTACTCCTACCAGGCTTTCACCATCGCAGAAGGTTATGGTTGCGGAGAAACCAACTATCACATCCTCAAGCTTCCTTTCTTGCGACTATGGTACCAAGGCCCGGCCGCTGTGTGCGTCTTCTTTGTCATTTCCGGCTACGCCTTGAGCTACCGACCCATCAAGCTTATCCGGAGTGGACAATGGAGCGAATTTTCCAACACCATCAGCTCGCTAACCTTCCGACGTTTGATTCGCCTGTATCTTCCCCCAGCGATCTCGACTCTCATGGTTATCCTGTTCCTTCGCCTTGGGCTTTTTGAGTACACTCGCCAATTTGCCACGGACCGTAAATTTCATAAGAACATCATGGAGCCGCATCCATGGAGAATGGAGACTACACGCGAACAGTTGAGTGATTGGGCATCTCAGATGTTCAAGTTTGTTCACATCTGGGATTGGGGTGGCGGTGGTGGTAGAGTTGGTACGTTTAAAACTTGAGTCATGTCTACCCTTGATGATGCTAATTGGTTCTGCTTAGCGTACGATGTCCATCTTTGGACAATTCCTATTGAGTATCGGTGCTCTCTATACCTTTTCCTCGTCATTGTTGGCACTGCCCGCCTGCAGACTCGAATGCGACTCCTCAGTGTTTTCGGCATTTTCGTCTTTACATACTGGAACTCAAGATGGGACTTCTTGCTTTTCCTGGCTGGCATGCTCCTCGCAGAAAATGATCTGATCCGAGGTGCTCACGACTCTGTATTGCCTAAGGATGAGAACGACAAGAGCACCACTCGCAAGTGTACCACTTCATGGTTTTGGGATGCCCTCGCACTTCTCGGCCTGTACCTTCTTGGCCAGCCAGATGGCCGAGGTGAAATAACCCCTGGATGGATCTATCTGACTTCGCTTATTCCCACTTGGTGGGGTGCTGAGCCATTCAGGTATTGGCAGGGAATCGGTGCAGTTGTCTTTATATATGCTGTGGCACATTCATCGTTTTGGCAGCGATTCTTTAATTCTGGCGTCGTGCAATATTTCGGCAAGATCTCGTACGCCATCTATCTGATGCATGGTCCAGCGATGCACATCGTCGGGTATCACTTTGAAAATTGGGCGTACAGTGTCACGGGACTGGAAGGGTACCAGTACAACGCGGGTTTTTTCCTGGGTGCTTGTTTTTGCATCCCAACCGTCATCTGGTGGGCCGACATCTTCTGGCGGGCCGTGGATATTCCCACCGTCAAGTTTGCCAAGTGGTTTGAGAGCAAGTGTGTCGTCAAAGCGTAAAGGACTGGTTCCTACGAGTGGAGGACAATAATCGTGGGTTATAATTGCGCTGAAAACGGGATGTCGATGCATGGGTGTATGGAGTTTTGATATTGGAACGGCCACTTGGCTCTAGAATCTAGCATGAACGCTGTCTAGTTACACAACCAACTCTATGGTAAGAAACTCGGCAATGTGACGACCTCGCAAGCGTCAGTATGCATGTAATCACATCGAGCTGCTCGGTCGATGATGTGACGAAATAAATATCAGTTTCATCAGATCCCCATGAAGTATACGAAGTTGAAGTGCGTTGCCTTTCTCACCTCAGAACAGCGCTGAAGGAAATTGTATATAGATGGAGGTGATAGGACCTACCTGTGAGCCGATCCTGGAGTGGGAAGTCAGGGCAGATTGGTATCATCACGGGAGTAGACACGCCTGCCCGCAACCCAGGTCTCCTTGACCTTGAGAGTGCGCAGGTCTTCAAAGGAGAGCCGATCCAGCGGCTCGTCCAGAACGACCCAATCGGCAAAAGCACCCTCGCGGATCACGCCGGCCTTGGCCTCGAGGAAGGCGGCGTAGGCCGGGCTGCGGGTGAACCCCAGGAGGGTCTCCCTCAGTGACAGGATCTCGTCGGGGAGGAAACCCAGATCCGGGTCGGCGGCGTTGGGGCCCTTGCCCGTGTGAGGGTTCCTGCGGGTGACGGCGGCGTAGATGCCCTCGAAGGGGTTGGGGGGCTCGACGGGGAAGTCGGAGCCGAGGGACGGGCGGGCGGGGAGGAGGGACCTCATGCGGTAGGCTGAGGAGCGGAGGCGGTCGGGCCCCAGGCGGTCCTGGGCGTACTTGAAGTCCGAGGTGGCGTGGGTGGGCTGGATGGAGGGGATGATGCCGAGGGCGAGGATGCGGTCCTGGTCGTCCGGGTGGATGATCTGGGCGTGCTCGATGCGGAAGCGGCGGAGGGACTGGCAGCGGGCGAGGTTGCCGGCGTGCTCGGGGCACTCCTGCTCGAGGGCGGCCTCGACGGCGTCGACGGCGTTGCGGTTGGCGAGGTCTCCTATGGCGTGGATGTTGACCTGGTAGCCGGCGGCGGCCCAGGACTTGGCGACCTGGGTGAGGGCGGAGGCGTTGATGAGGAGGGAGCCCGAGGTCCAGGGGTGGTCTGTGTACGGGTCGAGCATGGCGCTTCCCCAGCTTCCGAGGGCCCCGTCTAATAAGGGGTCAGTAAACTCTAATCTGGGGAGAGGGGGGAGGGGGCGGGCGGGATTGTTTATTAGACGGGGAAACGAGGACTAACCGCCGAATAGCTTCACGCTGCGGACGGTGAACTTGAAGTCGGGGTCGTGGATCTGAGCCGTTTCGTCCGGGCAGAAGGAGTTGCGCTTGTCGCATTCCAGCATGCCGTAGACACGGACTGTCCAGTCGTCGGTCTTGGCCAGCTTCTGGTACAGACGATGTGTGGAGGGTGTTGCTCCCGCGTCGTGCATGCCAACGAGGCCGACTTGGTTGAGCTTGGCCATGGCGGTCTTGACGGTCCTGGCCTTGAACTCGTCGGAGGGCTTCGGCCAGAGTCTCGTGATGTAGTCCATGGCGTTGTCGCAGAAGACGCCCATGCCCGGGTCACGGACGATTTCGCCTCCGGGGATCTCGGGAAGATCTGATGGGAGGAGGTCCAGCACGGACTGGGACACCCAAACGCAGTGGACGTCGATGCGGTCGAGCATCAAGAACTTGCCCTTGAGGAGGGGATCTTGCTCGACATCGGCCTTGGAGGGGTGAGAAGGTCAGTAGGGGGTTCTATGAGAAATAAGAGAGATGAGAGGAAGAAATCGTTCAACATACAGCTGTTGGCATGCGGCCAAAGGCGGTTTGATCCCACCCAACACCTCTGAGCCAGTGATCCTTGGAACCGGCATCTGGGTTGGAATTGAGATACTCCTTGACCCTGGTACGAATATCCTCGAGAGACTCACACCCAAAAAGGTCGACGGAGTGGAGAAACTCGCCGTATTGAAGCAAGTGGCCGTGGCCGTCCCAGAGCCCGGGGATCACATATCCAGGGCTGGCGTGGACGTGGGCAGGCTCGAGGTCGGCTGCTTGGTCGTCGGTCAAGACATGGCTGAACGAGCCATCAGCGACAGAGAAGCACCGGGCGTCGGGCCTGTCATCGTCGAGGGTTGTGATGCCCTGGTAGCAGTACGTGTCCCCGGCCGACGATGGTGTCGTGGCGCTGGAGGGCTGCGTGCCGACGAGAGGCTGCTGGAGACGATAAGCGACGGCGAACGCGGCCACTATGGCGGCAATCAATGGCCAGAGAGTCCACCGCAGCAGCGAGCCAGCCATTATGTGGGCGAGTTTGTCCCACGTGAGGACGGAGCGTCGCTGTTGCGGTATATGATCTGATTCTAGTGACAGTGCGGGCCACTTTCGCTGATTGATTTTTGGCCTCTCTACAGCTTGGCCCTTTCTATCCCTCTTCACCAATTTTCGTTCGTGGGTAATTTTTTTTGTTATATTTTCCCTACCGCCCGTTTTCTGTGTCGTCCAGCGATAAGGCCGATATCGCTGACCGTCAATTGGAGATTGGGGAAAAGGTGTCTACGGCCTGCATCTACATGGGATCGGCAGTTGGGTGAAGCGGCTGGAACAAACAGAGCCCCATTTATGATAGAGCCCTTATCAGGTAGGTAACTGGCAGAGAATCACAGCAACCTCTTCCATCGATGCCACACATATACGAGCTGCCTATGGTCAACGATGATTGACTTCGGCCTTGCATCTTCTAGTTTACTTGGTTGGGCTGGTTACCCTTCAGTTTGAGCCACAGCGCCGGTGTTGGTGGATGCCAAATGCAAACGGGCATGTCAAAATGGCTCCAAGAAAGTGAGACTGCGTTTCAGGCTTAAACATACATCACCACGATAAACTGCTCGATGCGCTGTTTCTCGCAAGCGCCTCATAGGTTTTCGGTCTCTTTTCCAAGCCAAGTGGCAAGCTGGCGATCCGAGAATCATACGCCAACCGTTCATCGCTACTAAGACGCGAATGGCCGATACGACGGGAGCTGGGACAACCACAACACTTGTAGGAAACCACTTTGGGGCCATATGTGACAAAGCCACCTTAGACACAATAATAAATATAGCTCAAGGGTCATCCCGAGAGCTTAAAAGAAGGTTGGCGCCTGAACCTTCGCAGCTGTAGTCACAAAGCTACCTCAACCCACGTAACATTTGGTGGACAAACAAGTTAGAGCAGTGGTCTGTTCATAAAGCTTCCACGTCAACCCTGGGATTCCATCTTGGTGAAAAGAATCGGAAGAGGATCCTCCTTCAGGTAAAGCAGTGACCTACGGATCAAATATGTGCATGTCATAGTTCCAACATTCTGCTGCTGCTGCTGTCGCTGCCTTGTGTGTGCGAAACCAGCTGATGACCAGAGCTCTCTCCAACGGCCTGTTTTCACATCCGGCCAGTGCTCAACTCCCAAAGGAACTATGTCATCCCTAGGAAGCTTGGACTCCCAACCTAGCTGCTTGTCCAAATGATCACTAACTTGGTAATCTCTGGATTCTTTTGGATGCGGCTAGGTATCCTCTTGAGGAGTTTAGGATCGCTCAGCCCTGTGAGCGGGAAGACCACCATATGACGACAATCAGTGTCATTGACTGCGGCAGGACCCTGCATTGTTCCAGGACCCTGCGCTGGTATCAAAGGGGCAGAATCGAAGTGGCGAAAAAAGCGCCGATAGAGATGACATGGATGGTGGGTGCCAGCCAATCACCATCCGAGCAATGACGTGCCCCAGACCCTTGTTCAACAACCCACTTCCAAGTTCTTGGACTTGTTCTTGGAGGAACTGCGCGAACGATCGGCGGCTAGTGGCATCATAGCATCTTGATCTACGGAATCTACTTGGACCCTGTGAATTGCCAACATGAACCCTTGGTCGCGATGGCATCATTGGTGACGAACATCCTTCCTTTGATAGAGGCTGCAATGGTTGAACACCTCCCTCGATCAAGTATATAATCATCTCGAATTCTCGCTCTCAGAACTTGGAAATCATCCTAAACAACATCACACACAACTCTGAATACCACAACAGCTTCACAACTACACAAAAATTTACTGTCAACCTTGACAATCAAATATCTTTGAAGAAATACACCACCAACAAGACCATCAACATGCCTTTCACATACCGTCGTCGTGCTCGTGCCACCCCACGAACCACCACCACAACCCGCCCCCGTCGTAGCATCTTCCCTCGACGCCGAGTTCATCACACAACTCACACAACCCACACCACTCACGCCCCAGTGGTCGCTCACCACCACCAGAAGCGCCGCCCATCCTTCAAGGATAAGGTGAGCGGCGCCTTGCTTAGAATGAAGGGCTCTCTCACGCACCGCCCAGCTGTCAAGGTACGTTGATCAATTCTAGTTCACCACAAGCCCAATACTAACTTAAATCTCAGGCTGCTGGCACTCGCAGAATGCATGGCACGGACGGACGGGGTTCCCACCGCCCCCGCCGCAGAATGTTCTAATTTCGACATGGAGCGTACGAATCTGGCAAAGCACTATTGTTTGAATGAATGAATCTTGAATGGAGCGGCTGTATCATGATTAATGAGAGTTATACATGCTAGCATTTGAATATGAGCACTATATTTCGGAACCTTTTATGTTGCCAAACGTGATAAAGTCTGGTACTGGAGCTCTTCCTTGGCTGTGACAACGAATATGCAATATCTAGAAACAGGAACTATCCTGATTTCAGTTGTGTACGTTAATATATACCGCACTGATATTGAAGGCTGATACCAAAGAAGTGAGATCTTATGAATGGGTAGATATATACTTCGTCCACTCAAGGCTCCCGTAAACGTGGTATAATGTTTTCGGAATTCGACCTACTATCGTAGCTCGTCTGGGTCGTCAGCGCTATCATCCTGAGGTCGAAAAGTACGAAAAGATTTCGTAGCGATGCGATGATGTTCTGCAACTCCGCTAGATCGTGTGGCCCCAGATCTATATGTACCTCTAGGCAAGTGAGAGGGAGTTGCTTTCATGCTCCCCTTTGGGTCAGGTTTCCGTTCGAGTGGTAAGGTCAAGCACCTACGGGGCAATTGATTCTTTTCTCGTGAGGTAAGAGGGTATGTTGTAAAAGAAAGCATGTCGGCCAGCTCATCAAGATCCCGGTCGCCGGCACCAGATGTTTTGAGGGTTGTGTATTCTTCAAGCGCCATCTTAAGACGCTCAAGATACTCCTTGTTGGGGGATGGGTGCTTCTTTACTCGCCTACATTCAGCTGGAGGCTTGAGATAGTAGCCGATTGGACGGGTTTGAGGCGTATTCAAATACTCGTCTTGAGATTTGTTGTCGACAGCTAATGTTGAGCTCTTGGCAACTTCCCCGCAGTTGAAAGCATGATTTGTGGCACTATGTCGGTGTGTGCTTAAAAGGATCCCAAGTTCGCTTGAGTGTATTCTGCTATCGACGGATCGAGTGGCTCGTCTATGCTGAATCAGAATTCGAGGAGTTGAAGACCCATCAGGTCTGATGCTCAAGACCCTATCCTCGAGATCTAAATCAAACCTGGGTTCAGCTCCAAAGGGACCGGAAGACCTTGCCGTCAGCTTCCAGCTTCTGCCACCAGATGTATTGAGGGATTCGCTTTCAATGGTAGAAGGCGTAGAACAAATCTCGCTGCCTGGCCGGGGCCTATTCAAGAAGGATCTTTTGCTACTGGCAACTGGGCGGCGGCTGACCTCAATACCAGCGAGTTTTCTAGCCTTTTCGTTCTTTCCGATGTTAATACCCTCGTTTTTACGAATATCTATTGATTTGATAGTCAATCGCGTGTCTCGGGATGTAATTGGAATCGATGCTGTGGCGTCTGAGTCTACTTAGTTAGCATATCCTGGTTGTGAAGAGGCCAATCGGGGTATTCCTACCAATGTGCCCACTGTCAAAGCTTGGAGGCTTAGTATTTAGGCGATCCCAAGCACTCGAAACCTTCGATATTACTTTAGAAGTGAGTGCTCGTGGCGTTTTCGAGCTCATTGGGCTTGTCAGCTGGCCTGCACCAGGCTTCAAAGCTTCCGTAGCGGCGAGCATCGCACTTATTTTTTCGTTGATCTCCTCAGGTCTATGGACGTCGCTTTCCATTATGTTTGCCAACTAATGACAGTCGGAGTGGAGAGAAATCAATCTTAATCACGCAAATGGAGAATCGAGGCAATTTTCTCGAGCTGAAGCGACATGCCTTGGTTCTCGGGTTGCGTTTAGTTGGCGTTGCTGTTCGAATCGTGCCCTCGGTGCTGATCGTGAACCTCGAGATCTGTAGTTTCGAAGGATTGTGGTTTGAAATTTTATGATGAGGAGAGTGAACCAGCACGGGAAGGTGACCTAAAGGTCGCTGCAGACCCTTGTGCCGTTGCGAATGGATGAAAATCACCAAACGGCGAGCTCTTGCAGGGTGAAACGAGTGTGAAGTACTTTCCACATGGTCATCGTATGAGAAAACCGGACGGCACTAGGTAGAAGAGCCTGGGCATCGCTCAGGGAGCGATATCAGGGGCCGAGAAACAGGATGCACCTCGATCTTTGTGAGGACTGTAAGCTGCACGAGTTCCGACAAAGACAGAAAAATGCCGTTGTCAAGAAAAGAACGATCGTGGCTGAAGGCAGGCGCTCTGCGTACCTGCCTGGGCACTAAGGTAAGGAGCGGCCTACTCGCGCCTGCCTGGGGAGTCACTTCTGCACCAAAAGACATGTAGTTAAGGGGGTTAGGTAGCAGGCACATGTAAAGTGCTACTCCAGTTACCAACTTTTTACTTACTGTAACCAAGCTGCCCTGGTAGTAGACTTCAGAGACAACCTCCCTAGGCACCTCAGTGAAGAAATTGAGTAGTAACTTGAAGTAAAAGCATCCACTTCCCACAACTAGTAATTTCCTCTTGAGTACCCAATATGCTCGAACGTTTTGCCTATGGATCCTGCGGACGTTTTTCATTCTAAAGAAAGATTCGCCCCGGGGAAAGTCAAGATATCTGTTTACCAACGTACGCAGGCAGATTTCTATCGGTGCATACCTGCTGTCCATACCCAGGCTGAGAGATCCTAGGATACCATAGCGCGCATGAACAATTTTGAGCCTATACCGGATGTTTCTCTCTGCCACGTAGTGCGAAGAAACCATAAGAGGGGGGCTGAGGTATACCAAGATCTCTCATTTCCCTCTTTCGCTTGAAGTTGGCCGGGAAAGTCACTTAGCATACGTCCACAACTCACCCATTACCGCTACGAATGAGCTGGCTGACTCCCTTCTACAAATCCATAGATGCTACATCAGTAGCCAGTGGCTGTGCACCTCTGTTGTCGTTCTTGGTTGATATCAACGCGCTATCGACATTTAGGACTAAGAGGGGTGTCGAACAACCTTCGGCATCCTCCTCTTTCCAGGGGCAAAAGCATAATGAACGGGATGGCCGAATGCGCAGCCTCAAGCTCGGGAAGTCCCGATATCAACTTGTGGAATCCCTTGATACGAAAAGGTTCAGTGTTAGTCGAGCGCGGTTGGTATGCAGGAGACGGGTTTGCCGTATCTGCAGCATGCCCTGGGCCCTAAGAAACAGCTGCGCCAGTGGCCCCACCATGTCGGATTGAGTTGACGGGGAGTTACATTACAGCCATCCTGTGCAAGCTCCGATGCATCCATGTCACTTTCGCCGGCGCTCTCCGGGGTTTAATGAACAAATTATCGGTGCATTGTAGCTTCAATCATGACGAGATAGCAAATCTTGAATACTCCCCCATAGGACCCAAGCGTTGATATTGGAATGTCATGGGTTTGGGAAAGTGACCCGGCGGGTTTCCCTTGATCCAGGATGCTGGAGAGCCTAAAAATTGAGGCACTAACGGTGGAAGCTGCCAGCAACAAATTTCATATGCCGCAAACTCCGGCGAGAGGCGAGATCCTAACGGCTTTAATTTAGAGACGGGGGAGAAATGATCTGATAACCAATTTACTCCACGATTTCTTCTTTCCTTCCAATATTCATATCCTTATTCAATTGAACGCATTCTCCCTTACGAATTAGGATATCCAGACATCGCTGCGACAACTCATTCAATTGCAATCGACTCTCGCCTCCGTCATGTCGCGAGCCTGGATAGAAGCTCTGCCTCGGCCGTTACGATCGCTGAGGCAGCCGACGACGATCTGGGAGCCTACCTGGAAGAGGTGGTCGAGCTCACAGTCGTCGCAAGTTTCCTCACAGATCGCTGCGAGGGCATCCAGAGGCGCAGCGAACCGAGTACACATGCTGCCTGGGAGGCTAACTCTCTTCACACCCAACATCGCATTGCGACAGGCACCACGGCGCGGATTTCGACTTACTTCGTGGCGGGGGAGTGCGGGGAGTGCGGCCGAGGTCAAGGAGAGCCTATCCTTGTCTGACCGCTTCAAGAAGCTCACGAGGGAATATGGCAGAGCGGCGGTCGGGGTCTACTTTTTACTGAGCATCTTGGATATGCCCTTCTTCTTCCTGCTTGTTCAAGCGGTGGGAACGGAAAAGATTGGTAATTTTCCTCAGCCTTGGATCGATTCTGGGAAGAAAATAAGTCACTAATCTGGAGCGCAATAGCCTACGTGGAGCACAAGGTGGTGTCCGCGATAACTACGTTTATTCCTGAATCCGTCCAGCAAAGTTTCTCCAGCGCCTGGTCTGCCGTCATGGGCATCTTCAAGGGCAAGAAGGATGCAGCATCGGAGGCCCCGGTAGAGGGATGGGGTGTTGAGGAAGCTCAAGAGCGGGCCAGCCACAACGCCAGTCAGTCTATCCCAGTCCGCCTTGTTAACACTGCAAGCCAGCCATGATGTAGAGAAGTCGCTGACTCTAGAGACATGTACAGGTTTGGCAACACAGCTTGCGCTTGCATACGCCATCCACAAGAGCTTCATCTTTGTACGGATCCCGTTGACCGTTGCGGTCACGCCCCGCATCGTCAAACAGCTTCGAGCCTGGGGTTGGAATATCGGCAAGAAGCTTGTGAAGGCTAGGCGATAACTAACGTTTGCATTGGGATCCACGAGAATCCCAACTCAATCAACACAACTCAGCTCTGGAGAAAAAAGCACAAGGAGGGGTTTCACCTCGAAGGCAAGTCATAATTCGTCATGTACTAATGTAAAACAACTTGTATATTCCCAAACGACTTAAATTTAGAACTGTAATCATATAGAAAAAAAAGAAAATAACGTCGAGGCACGTCATGATATCATGTCTTTCCCCGGAACCAACAACTAGCTCCGATGAATGTTACATCAATGTAGTAACACTCGTAGGAAGCGGATAGGTTTTCCGACACCCATGCCAGGTTCCTGAGCGAGACTTTCCCGCGCCTCGCCTGCTCTGGAGTATTTCGAAACAGACTCTGGCCGTAAGCCGGAGTGTTTTATCTGCAACGAAGGGCTAAACGCTGTGAAGAGTCATACCGCACTGGTCATCTTTCAGGTGCTCTCCTACCATAAAGAAGCAGTCACCAAAGTCCCTCCAATACGTGACAGCTATTGACGATGCCAGGTAGTAGATTGATAATTCGCCACCATATATAGGAGGTCGGCACATATACGAATCAAGCGAACACTCGTCATCCTGGGCTGACCCGGTTCAATTGCAATATTGATTGGCAGAAACCAATTAGCCTGATCCGACAATTAGAAGCATCCCGGGCTGTCGTCATCTGACGGGCTTGTAGATTGAAAGCTCCCAATCCCATGGAGGCTGATCGGATTCCCTATCTCACTTCATGTAACCCTACTTCAGAGACTCTGGCATTCGCTCCCTGGCTGATGCCCCGAGAACATCGCCGATGCCTTCCGGTAAAGGAAACGATAGAAAACCGAGAGCGGGCCGTTTTCCCAAAATTGTCTGGGGGAAGAGTGGACGCTGATCACAGACGGGGGAAAGGGAAGATCGAAATGTCCAAACGTCCGTGACAAACCTTGGATGGCCGCCTGGTGCGGAAGGACCTACAATAGGCTACGAAGTGCGTCGAGCAACATGATGTGTCACCTACCAGCAGGGACGTAAGCCGCAATTGGGTCGACACATCATCCAAAGGGACAAAAAAATACCGAGAAATGGCAATGATAGGATCATGTCCGGGAGGAGCAATTGTTTATGCCGCGGATGATGCGGATGCGGATGAGCCTTGGACGCGACGACAAAGCTTTCTACATGCTGCCCAACCGCGCCATTGGGAGACTGGAGGAATGGACAAGTTGATTACTGTCCAGAATCCAAATAGAGTTCCACGAGGCAGTGGCCGCCAGTAAAGCCCCAGTTTGGGAAATGAGGTGGCTTCCCCCTCCTCCTCTCTGTGGAGGGAGCATGTGGGTGTTACCAAATCCTTGGGTGTTCCCTGCAAACTCTATGGGCGGTTACAATGGGGTCAGTTCTCAGCCCAGCTCAGCGCTGCCTCGAACGGTGTGTTATATCCAGTTCGGAAACTCGTCTTCCTATCGTCCCCTAGGGTCAGGCTTTAGCAGGCACCTGTCAGGGCTGCTAAAGGGTTTATTTGTTTTTAGCACACACAGACTATTCGCACGTACATTAGTCGTAGGTTATGCATGGGAGCGGGACCCAACTCCTCGGTCCGGGCCCGTCTGATTGTCTTGGGCTGCTGGACCAACCAGACATGCCGCTGTCAGCGAGTGGCCGGTAAATCCGTAGTGCTATGCGGCATGCCGGTGCGGTGTCCTGATGATGCACAGGCGGCCTGCCCCCCGACGTGACATGTAGCTGCTACGAGACGGCTAGCGCAGCTATTTCGATCGCTCCAAGAACAGGCAAGGCAGCGAATGCGTCGGCATGACTGCTTGGACCGGATGATACGTGACTCGGCAGGTCCCAAGTAATAGGCCGGCCTGGCTGCCTACACGAGCAACAGAGTTTGTTACATGGGCGCTGGCACAGTCCAACGTCGAGCTGGCCAACGCCCAACACCGTCATTGCGTCGGGGGTCTTCCGGTTAGTACCTACCTAGCCAAAGGCGTGGCGCGTGGGGGTGGTGCCCACGGAAGGCCCTGTAGGATGGACCTTCCTCCCCACTGCCTTGGCTCGCTGGCCATCGCTAGAGGGACGAGCCTCGCTCCTGCTCCACTCACACCCTCCCCCCTCGTCTGCCTGCATCGCGTCCATCTCGTCCATCGCCATGCCGCATCCCGGTGCGCCGTCGTTGACAGAGCCTGCATCTAGCGACGACCTCCAGTCTCGGTCTCTCTTCCAGCTCGACCGTTCCTTGTTCTTCCGCCCCAAAGCAACGTTGCGGAAATACAGGCAGGTTGCAGCAAGGGGCCTGATACACCGCCAAGGGAGACGGTAGATCGAGCTGCGCAGGAGTCCTGCACCTATAAACCTTAAACGAGGCTATCATTTTTTATTCCCTCTCCTTTGGAAATTTCTAGCCTAGAGGGGTCCTGTTCCACCGTTCGACACGTCGGTATATCGACTGCCACGACACAGCAAACCTAGACCGCTCTTTTCATGCCATTACCTCGCCTCCAGTACCGAGTAAGTACTTTTTCTTCAAGGTCTCGCCAAGGCAAGCGGACCGCAAGACGCGACTCTTGTGAACCTCCCGCCTACGTGCTTCCGAGTCGCCCCTCAAGCTGAGGGGCGTGTGGACGAAACTCAAGATGGGAAAACCCTAATACAGTAATCAGGCTCAGTGATTTACTCACACGCCTTTTTATTAACCTTTACCGCTCGGTTTTGTCTTTCTGTCAGTCTGGGTCTACTTTGTCCCTTGGCTATACCCCTTCCACACGCCACCATTTCAAGGGAAATATACGTACCGCGTGTGTGGGCTGGGCACAATGACTCCTCTGGAATGCTGCTCGTCTCCGGGAACTTGGTTCTGGGTCAGCTGGCGCGGATCATCGCCTTCCTGTTTCTAGGCCTGTTGTTGCGACAACCCTTTCAGCCGTGGCTTTGGAGGCCTGTTGTGTAGGCCCGGATGCAGCCCTGGACTTACGCAGGTGTGACTGAGGCTGCCGAATCTTGCAGGGTTGCAACGATGTAGTAGCTAATTAGACTTTGCGCCGGGGCCGACTCGTCAATTCGGGTCCAGGACGGATCACAAAACGTCAGCGGTTGGTCGGAGATGTTGACAACTCGGGTGCTGACTGGACGACCTCCATTCACGTCCACCCCCCACCTGCCCTTCACCCCCAGTCTTATGATGCATTATTGCTGGCTTTTTGAACGCGTGTGACACGCTTGTGACCTGACTTGTCCGCAGGCAAACAAGGATTATTTGATCCTTTGTGGCATATCGACCTCACATCGACCTGGTAGGGCTGCACTTGGGAGTGGCAAGACTTTCCTTTTTCGACCCTTATCTAAAGGCGAGGGGCGTCGCCATTTCCTCCTTGATTGCTGTTCTCCCAAAGAAAGGTTTATTCCACCTCGTTCGGACTTACTCTTCTTGCAGACATTTCGGGAGAATCGTAAACCTTCGCATCACGATCTGTTTGATTCGTTGGGATCTACTAGTGAGGATATTTAAGCTTTACTCAATTTCTCAGAGCGTTGAATGCTGCATGAGACAAGTTGCAGGTGGCGTCCAACGTCTGAAACCGAAACGGTCGTACTGGGTGAAGAGCCAAAACGTTGCTGGGAGAGGACGTGGCCGCCAAGACGAGATATTTGGAAGAAGCATCACACGATTCGCCAGCCAGGGCTGTTTGTGTGAGTAGCTGGGGCTAATATGATGACGGCAGGCGGCAGGCTCGGCATGCGCAATGCCACCTCCACAGATCTGGCGCGGTAAGAGTGGAAATTCCACCTCTCTTCCAGAAAACCGGAGATCCAAAGCCGGGTAGGGGTAACTGTGCGGGTGGGGAGATGGGCAGCCAGAGCACAGTTACGAGGTGGGGAGGCTGTCGCTTTCTCCTATGCTCCTCGGAAAGTCTCCTCCCTGGCATCACGGAATCTTATTTTCGGGCAAATCGGGCTTCGTATTGGGAGATGACCAGAAATGGCGGCACAGACACCGGGAGAAGAGCAAAGGCCCTGCTCAGACTGTACAAACCTAGCCAGCTGTGTCCTACTCGGGCAGTAGGTGTCAACTAACAGACAGCCACCGAGTCATAGTCTCGGATCTCCTCGTGGGTGCGCCACTCCGCCAGAGGACAGGCAATGACCGTAATCCATTCATTCCTCGGATGAAGTAGTTAGCGGGCTGGAGCCTATTGGGACGTTGTGGGCCGATGCCCCGAAAAATCGCGAAGGTTTGTTCCGAGACAGCAGTTAGACTTTCTACACAGCCTAGCTCACGCACGCCCAGACGCATACCATGGAGGTCTTTCCGGCAAACAGGCGCGTGATGCGCCAATATGCGCTGCGGGACAGTTTAGCCAATGGCTCGGTTGGCCATTGTCCGGCTGGGCGCTACGACTTGTTCGTTGTCTGGCCTGGCTGGTTGGAGGAGGAGGGCGTGTATCTAGGCCCGGCCACACGCTGAATCGTCTGTCTCATAGCATCACCCTCCTCCATGTACGGTCGCCTGGACCCCTCCCCCACCATGGCTTCCCTTCCTTTCCCTTTCCTTTTCCCCTTTGCTGCCGGGAGCTAGCCTCTGTTGGCCGCGGTTTGTACGTTTGCCTTGCATGGTGATTAACTCGATTCATGGGCCACAGCCAGCAGCCACCCCCTCCACTTGGGCGTTCGCTCAGCCCGGCGTGACTCTGCTGCCGAGCCACATCGCCAGAGCCGTGGGCTGGACGTGTAATCTCTCGGCAGGGTCCTTCTCATTCGTATGGCGTCGTCTGAAGGCGGGCCTGGGCCCGTGGTCGCCTGCGCTACTCGACTCGGAGCCGGGCCACCAAAAAGACTGCTTCCAAAGGGATGCCATGTATAAGAGCCATGTCCCGTCGCTCCCTCTTCCTCGGCTGGGGAGGCTCTGAAACATCGTTGCATCTGTGCCTGGATTGGACCGTACAGAATCACTTACCGCCACTTCTGCCATTATCATACCGTATTACAGCACCTGCTCTGCTCGTCCCACCGAAGCCCCCCTACCACCACCCCAAGGCCATCGTGGCTGCAGCCGACCAGAAGCACCGTTCGCTCTAAAAATCCACCCCAAGAGGATCATCTGCCAAGCTCTTTAATTGCAGACCAGGACCCCTGCCATATCTCAGTTGGAACCCCACATTCCCCGAGCTCCAACAAGTACCATCTACCTAGCACCAAGTCCAAGCCAAACCCCTGCTCCTCGCTCTTATACTATTGTACCTTGACGCAAGTTACCTGCTTGCCCCATCAACTAGAGGCGTTTTCTTTTCAGGCTCAGAAACCGGGCCTGTAAAGTATATACATGAGTGATCCGCCGGTTGCACCTTCGACTTCTCCGGATACAATGCTGTCTGTTGCCACTCCTCAATCACAAGATCTCTATCTCCCCCAGCCGTTTCCTCAACAGCCATACCAGTACCAGCAATACCAGCAACAGCAACTACACCAGCAACAGCTTCACCACCGCCAGCTGCAACAGCCCTACTTCTTCTCACACTACCGCCCCATGCCTCACCGAGTCTCGCCCCCTCAGCCTGTGATGGCTAGCCCCTCGCACGACGCTGCCGTCTCCCAGGCGTTGGAGATTGCTCGTGAGAGCCCTGACGGCGCTCAGGATCCTACCATTAGCAAGATCCTAGAGTCTGCCCTCTCTCACATCTGGACCAAGGTCCAAACGCACCCAGACTCCTATGTCATGTCAAGAGACGAGTTCGCCGTTTTCAATTTCTTCCAGCACCGCTTCGCCGGCCAGAAAGTGGCAGTTATGGCAAAGAAGCGATACTGGGACACCACCAGTGCCTAGGCTCTCCATTCCTTCCTGGGCGAGCTGACCTGCGCTGTATCCCCGGGACCTGCAAGCCTGGCGATCACTTGAGAGCCCTCCAACATCATTCGTCGGCGTTCCCCGATGTCTGTCCCGTCATCTGCAAACACCCAAGATTCCCTTGTCAATCTGTGCACCATTAGCCGCGTGCTGATTTTCAATTGCAATTACTCTTTCCTTTGCCTTCACCGCTCAGCGCCGTCATCTGTTATCAGTATTGATCGATTTCGCCATGAAATCGCCGTCATCGTTCTCATCCGAGGTGGAACACATGCATCCTCGAGATCTTACACACCGAAACGAGGAATTGCGAATGGACACTACAGCTTACGGGCGAGAGGAGGCATCCTGCGCTCGGCCATTCCAGGAATAGAGACACCAAGCTGGCCCTCCCGCTCGAGAACCCCCGACTGCGATACTTGACCCCTACCTTAGGTTACCTCAGTATGACCAAGAAGGCGACAGGTCATTATTAGGAAGTGTGGTGGCAGACACCCTTGGAAAGGATGCGAAAGCACGGGACTCAGTTCTGCCGTTATGGGCCACTGGGCTTCCCTATTGGGACACTCTATGATCAATTCGGTCTTCAGCTGGCTTTTTGTTGGCCGGATTATTCATCCCCAAAGGGTTGCATGGCATTGCATTTCCAATTCACGCCTCGTCTGTGGTTGCCCTTTGCCTTTTCCTCGATTAGTGAGCCAGGAACCGGGGCACCACTCACCAATTACTACGTATGAAGGCGGGAGCTGACCCCAAGGCCAGAAGCAATAATTGCGATCTTGGCAAAGAACTTTGATAGCCAGCGTTTTTGCGTCACTGGTCGATTTTCTTGGGTGCCTTTGTTCCTCGCCTTCTGTTCTGGGTTTCCTTCGATTTTCAATTATTTCTCTCATCACCTTCATGTCATATATTCCCATCTATTAGTCCTCATCTTTTTTCTGTTTTTCTTTTCCGTTTTTTTTATCTTTTACCTTTTGTTTTTATTACTCTGCTTGATTCGTTTCCCAATTTCAAGCAATTTATGGATTATGATATATAGACTAGCTACCTCTGATGAAATATACGTCTCCCAGCTCACAGCTGAGCTTTGGATTATCTTAAACCTTCATCTACTCCACGCTGCTTCATCTCGTGCTTGCCTCCCAGAATTTTGTCTCCCCCCCCCCCCTTCCAGTCCCCCTTCCAGGATATTCAGCCATCGCGTCATACTCTAAAGATTTTTTCCCAAAAATCATAACAATTAGTACATCAATCCCATAAATAATCATCCGTCCTGTTCCTGGATCGCACTAGGCGCCTAGCCCAAACCTTATGACCACTCGAGAAATGAAACTTCTCCATTCCGGTGGCCTTCATGAGTAGTTGTTGCCCTCAATTTTCAGTCACGGCGGCACATACGGGGGGAGGCCAGCTCCACCGTTGGCGTTGGCAGAGATTTGTGCATCTCTAGCTTCAGCATCAACATGTCGCCATCTGTCCATGTATCAGATACTTGGCGGCCTCTAGCCCCCAGGACATTGCTCCACTGGACTCTTGAGTCGGAGAATTTCCAAGTTGACACGAAAAGCCCCTGATGACGTTCTCCATACATTGTTATGTTGGTTCTGTTTTGTTGGTTCTTTCCTTCTCTTTTCCTCTCCTCCTCCTTCTTCTCTGGGGTGTTCCAGGAGAACATTGGGTTGGTCTGCTGAAGAGATTGCCCAACCAAACAGACTCATCCGAGGCTTCAAGCTTTCGAAGATGATATAGCAAAGCTAGATAAGCAGCAAGGCCTCGAACCCTCGAGACGAGCACTGCCTGCTTGTGTTGCTAGGCCAAGGGGCCTCATCTCCTTCTAGAAGGATCACCCGAAGGATGAGGAGACACTATAGGGTCCAGCGTTTGGGAACTAGTTTAGGTTCGACCAACGACTGAGAAGGGGATAGCGGTAGCCAGTAAGGGGGACAGCTGTCGCCAACAGGCGCCACCAGAAATATCCCAGAACCAGGAGGATGGCCGAAACGTCCGGAAAATGACAATTGGGATCGACAAGGCCTCCGGCGTCATCCGTTCTCGGGATCTCTGTGAGACGTTCATTGGGCGGGAGTATACCCGTTCCGCGGGGCGGCCATTCTGAAAACCCGAAGCGAGCGAGGTTGAAGCCCCGTTGGCGTTGGTATCTTCACTTTAATTAGAGTTTGTGTCTATGCGGCGAAGGACTGGCGAGGCTGAAGCGGACGCGCGGAGTTCAGGGTCGAGGTGTTTTTTTTTTTCACCTCCGCGGCTCTGTGAATATCTCGTCCCTATCCGCCACGTGTGCGTCAGAAGACCAAGGTCAAACTCAGGGGGAGGAGGCTCCGGGGTGCAGGTCAAGTGCCGAACACTGTGGCTTCTGTCTCCATATTCCGAACGTTCGAGGCACGGGAGAGTTTGGACGGGAAGTATCTCGTGGGATCGTTGGAATGCATGTATCCAGTCCCCTGGGAAACCCAAAATTTCCCCACCGTCGAACTTTGAATAAAATGACTTTCAAGGTTAGCTAGCACCGTTTTGGAGAAAGCCAACAGTCTGCTCTAGAGACACACCCTCGATCCAGGGAGGACTTCTGGCAGGCAAGGAGAGTTTAGCCGCGCAAGGCAGACTCGCCTGCCTTCCTCTCGGTGATATCATTCCCCCGGTTACCAGGCTGCGAGAGGTTGGTAGTCGATATAAAGGGGCTTCGGTAACCTTCGCAACAAGGTTCTTGGTAGTATGAAAATAAGCGTTCTGGCCTGGATCCCACGGCATATGCTGTTTGGGATCCCGAGTGAGCTGACGAATGAATTCCTCTTGGTGATGATGGGTACGAATCACATATCTCACCATAAGGTTCAACAGGGTTTGGCGAACTGCTCTTAGCATACCGGGGAGTTAGGAGAGTTTGGGGAGTCGTAAGCAGCACATTCTGAGCATAGAATGTGCCGTCATGCGCGAATTTCGGTTACGAATCTCCCGATCAGAAGAAATTCCGTTGATACTATATGCCCCTTTGCGTATCGTGCTAAGGTAGCCGGCTGTCTACGAAAGAACGACAGGCTGCCATAGCGTTCAATTGCGATTTAAGGAAGCAGCATCGTCAGACCACTGGTAGGCTCGTTGTGACGGTCAGAGTCCTTGGATTGACTCGTGCGCAGACAGTATTCTCTGTAGAGAAGCGTCACAAGGTGTCAACTTTGAACCTAAATTGATGCCATCACCACTCCAGGTTTCTAACGCAGGATGAGAGATTAGTCAACAAAGCCGTATTCGGGTTCCGTACGATAACCCAAAGGATGCTGATTGAAATCTCGATGATGAAGTTAGAAGTCCTGTAATTGCCGAAGATCCCGGATCTGTAGTGTGAAGGTGCTGTAAACTTAGCATCATCGCCACGAATGTGAATACCTGTTTACGTCATGCCATGGACGTAGAAAGTATGCTCTCTATCTGGGAAAACCGATATCCAGTACCATCTTTATCGGATCTCTTCGTCGCCATTTTAGACAATAAGATGCGCTCAAAGCAGTTCTCATCTTGAAATTTTCAAAATCAAGAAAACCATCTTACAAGTTCCTGGATAATTTCCAGAAGCCGCAATCATGTCGTCGACCTTCTTCACAATCCTCATCCTCCTGTGCGCCCTGCTCTGGACGCTTCTCATCACCAGTCTCATCGGAAATGTCATGGCCAACAACATCAACGCTTCGAGCTCAGCAACCATGGCGATTAACTTTACCATGTTTGTCGCCGCATGGGCCTGGGTCACCGCCTTGTTTGGACTGGCAGCAGCGCTCATATCCAGCCTCGCCATCCCAATTCTTCTTCTAGCTCTCAATGGCCTGGCCGTCCTCTTCACACTCGTGGACGCCATCGTACTCTCCGCCAAGCTGGGCGCGCCCAACTGCGGCCACATCCGTAACGAGCCTCGGAACTGGATCGCATATGGATCCAACAATAACACAAAGCGGTGCCGCGAAATTCAGGCTAGCACGGTCTTCATGTGGTTTCTCTTTGCTACATTTTGCGTAGCGACTCTCTTCTCGGTCAAGCTCTTGCGTAGCAAGTCCAGAGGCAGCACCACGCAGCCCAGCATGTCCCAGACACGAGTTTAAACGCTGGAAGAAGACGAGAGTTTCGCACGTTAAGGAAGCTGGAGAAGGCGTATAATGCTTGCCGATTTTGGTTTTCATGAGGGGGCAGAGAAGGGATATGCGGAAGCGGTGGATTGGTAGAGATATGCGAGTGCGATGAAAAGAGATATGCAGATGTGGCGAGACTGTATCTAATGTTTTCCTGTTCATGGTTCCTAAAGTTTAGATGATGCGCAAGAAAAGGAATATGTAGTGTGCAATATACTATTTTCATATGTCATCCTGATATCCTCCAGCTGACAATGTTTGTATTCAGATCATGATGAATGCCGTATTGTTTGGCTATTGACTTGCGTCGCATAGTGTTTGTTTAGATGGCCTGAGATGTTGATGCCTCTCGAGGTAGTTCATTAATTGTATTCCCGTTGTTTTACTCCGTATTGCTCGTCCCTTTCTATAAGCTCGAAGCAGCCTCGATCGCGCCCACGGTGTTGAATGCCGCTTTATTCGTCCACTTGACATCGGCGCCATGGTACCATCCCATATACCGTGTCCAACCTAGAAGGAAAGAGCTCATTGTCAATAGCCACGTCGTCAGGCAGCCACGGGAGGCCAAGGGTGTGGATGGGTCAGAGGACTTACTCCAGTACGCAAACTTGCGACCCAGGAACTTGCCAACAAATGGAATAATCATCATGGTGAGCATGAGCTGCAGCTGCTCCATGCTTCGATCCCATTCGGCTTGGGCGTCCGAGTCGGCCTCGGAGTAGATGTCGTCGGTGGAGAGGGACGGAAGGGAGTCAATCTCATCCTTCTCATCCGAGGGGGAGAGGGCACGGAGCTCGGGTATCGACATGGCGAAAGGGATATGTGGAAGATATGGGCGTAGAAGATTTCGAAGCGAGCCAAGCGAAATGCAGTCCTTTGAAGCTTCAAGAGGGCAGAGCCGAAGGCCGGAGCACACCTAGCTACGGATGCCAACCACTGGCGATAAGTGCGTCTGCTGTGGAAACTGCGGTCTCGAATGGGAAGTAAGTCAAGCCTCAGTATGGCCCAAGCTTTTCATTACCCTTCGGTGCGTAGTACGATATCAACTCGTCGTCCAATCCGGCGCCGTCGTGGATTGGGATTGGGGATGGCGAGAGTGAAGCGGCGTGGATCTTCAAGCAGGTCCCCGTAGCAGTGGAACCATGCAACGCTCACCCTTGCTTGCCTGGCTAGGTCCCCACCTAACCTGGAGCTCCTCAGCAGCACAGCTCTTGCCTCGCGCACGAATATTGGGTGCATCACGTGATCGTCACCGAGCAGCCCAGCCACGATAGCGAATCGTCAATCGGGAGTCATCGTCACAGCACAGTCAGAGGGTTCCAATGTTTTTATCGGCCTAGACTCCTCCTCTACTTAAAAACAGCCCAGCCGTCGTCATAGTCCAAGACGCTCTTGAACAATCCCATCTCTTGCGCGCGATCCGTTTACAAGAACACCGTCCAGCGCTCACACCTTGCAACGTTCCACACAGACTCAGACCCTTCCTGTATTGGGCAAAACGGTCATCGTCATCATCCTCACTGTCACTCTGAGATCTGAGAAAGCAAGCGGCATCACCTGCAGCTGGACGATACATACATATTAACAGCACATATAACTCCTGCCAACATGGCTGATCAGGTGAGTCTTTGGTCATTTTTCGCCTCCCGTCTCGTTTTTTCCCCAGTGTTCATGCACCGTCGCCATGAGGTACTTCAACGGCCGCTGCCGCCTTAGACATGATGTACCTTCTGCCCCTCTTCCATACACAGCACATCCCTGGCCGCCAGCTGATACCGCCAAATGCCCCTCTCCCACCTACAATGCGTACCTACACCACTGTCCGCCTTAGCTTGGGTACCGCACTCGCCATACACATTCCACAAAATTTCATGTATCGCACACTCTACCCCACCCTACCACCTGCCTGAACCTTCCACAAGCCACACACATCCATTTGCACTGATTCTGTGCGTTGTCCGAGTTTGTGAGTCACCACCACCGCCTCACCCTCCGCAGTTTTCCCTGCTCGAATTCTCCCGACAATTCTCGCTCGCTAGCCTCATCTCGTACTCCATCCATCCATCCCCGCGTTCGATCGATCCTGCCTCCGAACCAGTACTAATTTCTATTTTTTTTTCTTTCATCTACAGGAACTCCCAGACCGTAAGGCACGCAAATCGGTAACCTTCACACCAGAACAGATAGTAGTTGGCGCCGACGGTTCAGTCACCATGGTGAACACTCCCGACGAGACCAAGGACACGGCCGAGTCCCACGCCCCTCGTACGCCATTGTTATCTGCAGCCCTAGAATCTTTTACTGATGCCGACTCTAAAGCTCAAGCCGGCGACGCCCCCCCTGCTGAGGAAGGTGGCCTTGACCTCTCCCTCCTGAAGAAAAAGAAGAAGAAGAAGGTCAAGACTGAGGACGCTGAGGGCGACGCTGATGCCGCCCCCGCCGAGGATGGAGGTCTGGACCTGACCATGAAAAAGAAGAAGAAGAAGAAGAAGGACGCAGCCGCCGAGGACGACGACTTCGCTGCCAAGCTCAAGCAGCTCGAGGTTGAGGACAAGGAGGAGGCCACGGAGGAAGTCGCCGCTGACGACGGCGACATGGACGTCGGCACCGGAATCTGGTCCCACGATGAGACCAAGACTATTAACTATAGCTTGCTCCTCAATCGCTTCTTCAGCCAGCTGTCGCAGAAGAACCCCGACCACGCCCTAAGCGGAACCAGAAGCTACAAGATTCCCCCACCTCAGTGCATGCGTGAAGGCAACCGAAAGACTGTCTTTGCCAACATTGCTGATATCTGCAAGCGCATGAAGCGATCAGAGGAGCACGTGACGGCATACTTGTTTGCTGAATTGGGTACCAACGGTTCCGTCGACGGAAGCAGACGTCTGGTTATCAAGGGTCGATTCCAGCAGAAGCAAATCGAGAATGTTGTCAGAAAATATATCAGTAAGCTTTCCCCTGTACTCAATTTATCTGCTCCCTTACTATGGAAGCATCTCCACTTTTCTCCCTCCTTTACAGCCCTGCTAACATGTGGTTTCAGTCGAGTATGTTACCTGCAAGACCTGCAAGTCACCAGACACCGAGCTCAACAAGGGTGAGAACCGTCTGTACTTCATCACCTGCAACAACTGCGGATCGCGTCGGTCCGTCACCGCTATCAAGACTGGTTTCACCGCCCAGGTCGGAAAGAGAAAGAAGATGGTCGCATAAACTCCGTTTACCCGGCATGCTTCTTCCGCTTCTTTCGTATATCTGGCTTTGGTTACATTCGCTGGTTCGGTTGGCCCAATACGACACACAGAAATACCCCCCCTTCTTTGCCAATGAGCATATTTTCAGGAGGAGTTTGGGTTTGAAGGTCTCTGCATAGATACGGGGAACCTGATAGATGCAGGGAACCTCGTGAGGAGAGAGAAAAAAAGCAATGAGTGTGTATGTAATTATGGCGTCCTGGGCTAATGTACATAACGTCGCAATGACCCACCATCACTGCCATATTTCCAAAAAGAATGTCAGCATAATATCGTATTATCCCCGATACGGCTATATGAAGAATGGGATATGATAGAATATCAAAAAATTGAATCACCAACAAGAGTGCAGGAGGATGAATTGTGTAGTAAATAGTGCCGACGTGAACCCAAACGGCAAAGATTCTGTAATTTCAAAGAAAACAACTCATGGCCATTTTGCCAAAGGTAGCCAACCCTCTCGTATGATGCTATCTGATTGTGTCCACGTTGCTTCCGTTCCGCATTACCAAGTATGTATATATGTTTTGAGTTTAAGTCGGCTCAAGTACCCTTGCCGTGTAGAAAAAGGAAAGGAAAAGAAACGCAAGGAAAGAAACAAAGAGAATGATAATTCCGACAAGCCCCAACTCCCTCGAAACGTTGCCCTTCGCCCCTTTTTTTGGTTTGTGCATGCCTTGCGGAAAATAATGTAAAACCCGCTGCAGGGTTCTCTCCAAACTCACAAGCCATCACCATACTTTTTGTACATGTTCCTCCAAATCACTCTGCCGACTAATCCTACACCAAAACGCCAAAGCAGGTCTGTGGTCTGAAAATAAAAAAGATCCCACCGCTGCGTAACCGGCAGCGGGAGAAGAGGCTCTAATGTATAATAGCCTTCTGGGAATCGTATCCCTCAAGAGTCGCCCATAGTTGCCTCATCAAGCTCGTTCTGTATCTCGAGCTTGGCGGCGTCTGCAACACTTGGAAGCCAATCCATCAGTCTATGCTTTTCGACATATTGGACGAGAAGCTTGTCCTCGGCCTTCATAGCATCTCTGAGCTTTGCCTGGAAATCCTCGTCGAATTCGCGGAATCGGCGGTCGAGCCCGTCCACGAAGACGCCAAGGGCCTCTCTAGGGTTCATAGGTCTGAACGAATTAGGTACATCTTCTACTCTTAGGTTAGCTTCGTCAAGTGGCTCCAGGGAAAGGGTTCCATACCAAATCTGATGCAATCGACCAACATTTTGAAAAGTTCAGTGTCGGCAAGTCTCAAGGATACTTCTACATCCGTCTTCTCTTGAGTGTCGTTGATCTGTGACCAGTCATCCCTGATGAATAGTCTCCTCCAGATGAGTCTCCGAGCGTCCCGGAGCTCATCATAGGTGCAAGAACTCTGAGCCACCTTCAAGGCCAGCCAGAAGGGATTTGCCATTAGATCACCTCTCAACTCTGGCTTAAAGTGCGAGAGGGTAAGAAGATCGATTAGGGTCATTGCATCGAGAGCCTCATGCTTGAGCAGCCGTTTCATCCCATTCTCAAAAATCTGGTGAGTGGCCTTTTGGCGGCGAGGAATATTCATACCATGAGCATCCATGGCAAAATTGATAGCAGCAGCCTCGTCAACAGCTTCCCTTGTACTGGGTGCAATCTGCTCGTAGAGTTGGTCCTGGATGGTGATGGCGATAAGTTCCTTTTCTACCCGAGCTAAGCTTCCCTGGATGCGGACCTGGTCAGCCTTTACGTCCAGGGTTGAGGCTTGTTCAGCTTCCGCCAAGAGCGCAAGCTTTCCGAGACTGAGTTCAATCTTCTTGCTCCAAACTTGCTGTTCCTTGCTCAAAGCAAGTGTAATCAATGTATCAGCGGCGTGGTCAACATCCTTCTCCTGCTGGATGTCATTGATCCATGATATCTTGGCCAGCTCAGGCCTGCTTCTGAGGAACCTAGTTTTGAACCCATGCTTATCGAGATCAAACTCCATGACTGCCTCAACACCGTGCTTTTCTAGAAGCTGATCATACAAGGGGAAAGCAAAGCTTTCACCATAAACTTCAAAGCTGTGTTCAATTTCCGTCTTCTTAGATGCACGAACAGTCTTGAGAACTTGAAGATCTACCGAAGATAGATCGGCTTGCAGCAAATCGCTCTCCAAGCTCTCAACATGCTCAAGCAAGATGACAGCCAGTCCACGGAAAGATTCATGTTTCTTTGCGATTCTGGCTGCCTTGTCCCAATGCCCAATTCGCGCCAGGTTGATGGGCTTTGTATATCGATCTTCTTGATAAGTTTTCCCGAAATCTTGAGCTAGTCGGCGTTGTTCGGCATTCTCTAGGGTTATTCCGAATCGGGACTGTTCCAAGAGGGAGGTGAGCATGCCATCCGTAAGCGATGGCAGCTCATCCTTAATCTGAGATATAATTTGAGGGTCAGGCGTAGTTTGTGTACGAAGCTTCTTCTCCGATCCACCATTATTGTTAAACCAATATTCGGATAAATCGACGAGGCGCTTAAAGTTGTTGGCGATGTAGTTACAGCCAGTCCATGGCTCTTCAAGACCTTCGTACCCATCTTGCAGGATTCCCAGGCGAAGGTCTTCGCCGCCAAGGCCGTAAAAGACCTGGTTGTTCTCCCGGAATTTCAGAGCGGCCAGGTGGGCAGTATTGTTGATCTGGATAGCCTCGAAGAGCATGACTGTGAGCTTAGCATCATCCAATAGTCGGTCCTTGTACATGACCTTGATAACCTCATATGCCCAAGCGACGAAGAGCTGCAGCCGATAGACATCATTGATGAACCAGTGGCGTACGGGGTCAACCTCGCCAATCTTAGCGACAGGATTGTGTTTTTGGTCTTGGTGAATGAATTCCACGATATAACCAATCAAGCTCTTCTTATCATCAGCTTGCCGGGATGCTGTGAAGGATTCATGGAGTTTCCATAGAAGCGTCGCTACGTGCATTTTCTCCGCATTGTGAAGGAGCTGCCACAAAGTGCTGCGACTGAGTTGGACCCCGGTTGATCGAAGATGCGACATAAGTCGCTCCAATGCAGCCGATTTGGCACGCAAATTGTCCTCTAGATGAGCCGGTAGGGTGGAGAGGAAGATGGTGGTCGAGCTAAGAATCTCTTGACTGACTTCTAGAGCAGCCTTTGCAACTTCTTCTGTCGAAAACTTGATCTCCTGACGACGATCAAAAATGAGAGGGTTGTCCTTGCTTGCTCCAAAGAATACCGCCTGTTCAAGTCTGCTTTTAGCGGAGACAGTTGGTGGCTTGTCACTTGCAAACTTGTCAACATCAGTCGTGATGATGCGTACCACACCAGCGCCACGGACTAATAACACAGCTGCGGGGTTCTTTATTTTGGTACGCTGCGATCTGTCTTCGATTCCGACAGAGGCTGACGTCTCCTCAATGCCAGAACCCACGATCTCATGGACTTGATCCTCCCGGAAATCAACCACATCCTCAAAAGATGCCGGCAGCACATGGCTATCAGACTGCAATTGAGACTCGGGCGATTCGGGGGGTGTGGCCACCGACGCAATGACGGCAGCGCGGTCAAAAACAGCGAAAGCCACCAAAGCTGGGCGAGGGAGGTAAATTCGGGGGCGTACGGTTGAGGAGCCGTCCGGAACTGTGACTGGAGTAGTATAGGTGGTAATGGGTCGAATCATCCCCGTCTGGCAGCTGTCTGGGGTTAAAATAACTTCCACCAGAGCGTAACGTGAGCTACCTTTGAAGGTAAGGCTAACGAGCAACAGGAGATGCTGAACATTAGTCGCATCAGTACCCATTGCGTCGCTGAGCCTGCTCAGCTCCAGGTACTTGGGTTCAAGCCCCTTGGGTACGTAGGTAAAATCGAGAGCTTCGAATGACTCCAATGGGAATTCCTGGTTAGTTGAGTCTACTTCGTGAAGGGCGGAGACGATGCTGTCGCGCATATCAGCCTCTCCAATCGACTCATTGTGGCCACCGCGGTGAATCCTCCAGGCTTGGAGTCGACCTTTAGAACTCAGAGCAACAATATTCCGCTCCCCGACTCTAGACGACCTGTCTGCTCTGACCGCGGCCACTTCGCCTCGCAGCGAGAGGTGAGAGAATGCATGGCGAATGCTACCGAAAATTCCGCTGGAGGAGGGCGAAAGGTTGGTCCGCAAGTATTGTACCGAAATCGCAGGTCGGCCGTGATTGTCTCGCACATTCATGTAGGCTAGACGTCCAGAATTAAAGGTGAGAATGAAACCAGCAGATTCAGCATTCGTGATGCCAACTACCCTTTCGCTTGAAGAGAATCCTGGGATCTGATACTCGACACCGCTGCGGTCCTTTTTGATAAATGCAAAAGTAGCTGCGCTGGAAATAGACTCCCAGTAGACCACCTTGCCTACGGCGGACATGACAACCACCAGGCCTGGTTCGGATGAGGCTGCAGAAGGTGAAACTAGGCAGCCGACTGGCAGCGGATCACCCGGTTTGGATGCTAGAGGTAAGGAAAAGGTGAATGTCTCGGGAGACTGTGATGTTGAGGTATATGGCCAAACGATGGCATGTGTCTGCGTGAGTGTCAAGGCATAGCCGAACGACGAAAAGACTTCGGCGTGTTGATCAACTGAGCATCTATGTAAGCGGCGCCCTATCTGTTTTTGATCATGTTCTACTTACCAGTCCAGTCAGAACGAATTCTATCAGGCAAAGCTGGGAGCTTGCTGACGGTGTATCCATTTGTACTTGTCTTGGGGGAAGTGTCAGTAGGACTGTTCATTCAAACAAAAGATCAAGAGGGTAAGATCCGTACCAAAACCAAACTTCCATCTCCCTTATTGGCAGCCCGATCGCCGTGCTTCGATTTCTTAGCGCGAACGTTGAGTTCTTTCCGCGGCGTCGTGGTTGTCGTTGTGGGTGTCGCGGTTGTGACAGCTGTTTTCGCAGGAGCTTGATGTTTCTCGATGTTGGCAGGCTTCGATGCAGCGACCGGGACCTTGTCTGCTTTGACCTCGATGGAATCACTGGGTTCTGGCTGGGGCTCTGGGTTGACAAAAGTCTGCTGGGTAAGAGGAAGCCTCTGGCGCTTGGCCTTGGGCTGTTGCGCAATATTCTCAGAGCTCAGTGGTCGCTGTCGTCGCCGTGAACGGGTTGCGGTGGCAGGACCGCCATCGCGTACGGATGGTGAAAACATGGTGAACCAGTGTCAGCCCCAGATACAGCTGGACGAATGAAGCGAAAAAATGCAGTCGGCCGGTGATGAAAGGTTGGGACGGGCAGCGCGCTGGGCTGGGTCGCGACGATGAATGAACGAGGAAAATCGGGTCGTTTCGATGATGGTTGGGGGTGGCGATCAGGGAGTGGTGTTGATGATGCAGCTAGGCATGTCGCCGCACCCACGATGATGATGGGCAGTGATGGCGGGTGAGAGGGCGATGGGAGAGTCGTAAAGATTGAGGCGAGTCGCAGTGGGGAGGAAAACTCAAAGGATGATGCATCCACCTGCGAGGACTAGGCAAGCAGGCCCAATGTGTGTTCGCCAGGTATTGGTCCAGCCCAGATGGAGATGGCTTTTTGTTGGACAGAAAAACAAAGGGAATCAAAAGCGGCAGTACTCTATGCAGGTTGCTCCCAAGCTTGGTGACCGCCCTGTCAGTGGCCACGCTGCCCGGGGCTTGATTGGCCAGCCGCCGGAGCTGCAGGTCCCACCCGCCACGAGCAACGAGGCACCGGCCAGAGGAAAAGTTCGTTGGTTGGAGGAGCAGCCAGGCGCCGACGACTTAGTCAGCCGCCCAGCACAGCGCTGGCCGTCGCACGTCGACCTCTGACCCCGGCCAAGGCGACCCGTCTGCAGACAACAGCTGCTGCTCTGCCCAATGCTGCTTTGAGCCGAGTGCTGGGCAGCAGCATTCGCAATGGGATCCAAATGTACCTACACCAAGCTAGGCAGGGCGCTATGATCTCGGTCTTCACACTTGGTGGCTAGTGCGGCCATTGCACACTCACTTAGCCACCGCTCATTGCCCTACCTAGGCCCATTACGCTTATACTTCTATTTACAGTATAAGTCGGCCGCACTGGCGATCGGCTGCTTGTAGGCTGCAATTGCGGCGGGAACAAAAGGAAAGCAACAGAGGTCGCAGGACAAGTACATAAATCCTTTGTACAGTCACATCTCTATCCCCATCATGCAGTTCTCGTCAAAAAAGGGGATTGGATTTCGACCTCGAACGTACGGTTGTTTGTCTTCCCTCAGCCACGGCATTGTGATCTGATGTAAAATCAATTGAGAGTATACACAACCAATTGTAAACTCGACATCGCAAACAACCCTCTGGTTTGATATCTATCCGTGCCCCCCAGAGTACCAATGCTTGCGTAAATCATACTCGTCCAAAGACAGGCGCGAGGAGCTAGCAAACAGTCGAAGATATCACGGACGTGATTCCGACGGGGATCCACTCCAACACCCAGATCGGCCCCTCACGCTTGACATCGGTCTTCATCTTTCAGCCTCCGTCTCCAAGATGTTTACCAACCCTGGCGAAATTTGATGGTCCGCTGTACATTCAATCCCTTTCCAGGGCATCAACACATTTCAAAGACCCATCTTCGACAGATTGTATAATGAGTGCGTTATTCCGCGCAATCAACTCGATCTGATGGCATGCCGGCAACCGTCATCGCCACTGAGCTGTCTCTGCCCACGACCACTTAGATACCACCTTTTCCACATTACATGAGAAATATTCCACCATGCTTCATCCTACCATGAGGCGGTTCTCTACCGCTGTGACCATCACAGATCCCTTGGTCAAGTATCAAACAGCAGTGTCCATGGGACTGTACTCGCCAGATCCCGCTCAGCATCGGCTAGCCCATCATTTACAGAAGCTGTACCGCCGGATCAAAGACTATCGTCCGCAGTCAGAGTATCGCGAGCGGCTCAATCAGGTCGCACGATTGACCGACCCTAAGCCACCGCCAGACGCTGACACGTCCGGGATGCTTGCCCTTAGGAATCATCCCATATGGCGCAACCCTCTCTTCAAACATCTGTTAACCAGCCCTGAGGGAAGAGAAAGTCTAGCTCTGACGAGGAAGCTGACAAGCCATGAGGCTGCCATTGATATCGATTCGCCAAAGGGCCTGTTTCTCTCGGGGGAGGTTGGCACGGGGAAATCCATGCTGCTGGACCTGCTGGCCGAGGGCCTGCCCACAGAGCGGAAGAAGCGATGGCATTTCAATACTTTCATGCTATATGTGTTCTCGCGCCTTGAGACTTTTCGGAAAGCTAATCCTGGAACAGCCACAGATGGAGATTCAGAGCATTCCTTGTTATGGATGGCCAAGACTTTGGTTGAGGAATCTCCCATTCTGTTTCTCGATGAGTTCCAGCTACCTGATCGAGCAGCAAGCAAGCTCCTCAGTCACCTCTTTATTGCATTCTTCCAACTTGGTGGTGTTCTCATTGCATCCTCCAACAGAATGCCTGAAGAGCTTCAGAAAGCCATCGGAGTGGATTACACCCCCACGCCTTCACAAGGGCTGATACGGAAGATCTTTGGTCTTGGTTCAGCGGGAAAGGGGGGATTATATGGCGCCAGTAGTGACTTTGCCAACTTCCTCGAGGTGTTGAAGGCAAGGTGCGATTTCTGGCAGATGGAGGGGGCTCAAGACTGGCGACGAAAAGAAGAGGTCACCGAGAAGGCAACAGTTGCACCCAGCAGTGGTGTCACCTCCGAGGCTCTATACACATCTAAGGAAGAACCTCCAGAAGAGGAGAGTGCCCAGCGAAAGAAACCCTATCATTATCATTTAACAGAGGACAATGAGGCGGCATGGAAACAACGAATCCAAGAAGCTGTCGGCTTATCCGGATCTACACCGATTCCGTGGTCGGTCTCGTCTCTAGTTGTCTACGGCCGCAAGGTGCAAACACCGCAACACTACAAAGGCTTTGTGTTTTGGGAATTCGACAGCCTAGTCGAATCATTCGGCCCGGCCGATTATATCACAATGGCATCCACGTATCACACATTCGTCATAGACAACGTCCCTATCCTGACGATAAGCAAGAAAAACGAAGCAAGGCGCTTCATTACCCTCCTGGACGCGCTATACGAGGCCAGGTGCAAGCTCATACTGCGAGCTAGGAACCCTCCCGATGACCTCTTCTTCCCTGAGCGACGTCGACGATCCGCAGGCGCTACCGGCCAGGAGAATGCCGTAGACGAGGACGACGACGCCACGTATTCGGAGACTGTTGCAGAGGTATATCAAGACCAGGTCTCTCCCTTTCGACCAAACGTGGCATACTACGATACACAATCGTCAACGGCCAAATATAACCCGGACCAAGACTCCGACTTTGGTCTTCAATCCAAACCAATCAACTTCACCAACACAACGGCTTTCACTGGAGAGGATGAGCGGTTCGCGTACAAGCGAGCCATCTCGCGACTCTGGGAGCTGTGCAGCTCCCAGTGGCATTCAAGGACCGGAGACTGGTGGCAACCTCTGCCCATAGAAGCCAGACACTGGGAGGGCGGGCAACCTTCGCAGCCCCAGAAAGTCACCATATCCCCTCGCACACCCAATGCCGGCGAAGGAATGGGCCAGAGCGTGGAAACAGACGAGGTGGCAGGCCTCTCAAAATGGAGGGTAGAGCAGCTCCAAAACCAACATCGAGAGTAGACATTCACATACCCATGTAGTCCTAACAAGCAATCGAACATGGTAAACAAATCAAGCACTGGGATCTCCATCCCTCATATAAAGTCTAATAGCATTCGACTTGCAGTCATTTTCCATGCCGGATATCGCTTCTAATAAAAATCCCCAAAACTCCTCGACGCCATGTAATGCATGCCACCAAAAGCCTCCGCTACCCAGACCACGGCCTCACACCGCCTCACAGGTTCACCACCCCAGGGGTCCAGCCGTCCCCGATCCTCTTCATGTCGTCCACGAACTTCCTGCTCGTGATCTTCTTGCCCCCATTCCCGCCCAGCGGCGCGTGCTCGTCCGGGCTGTAGAAGGGGTTCTGCAGCAGCCGCACGTAGGCGTTCTGCATGGCGCGGAACACGGGCTTGAGCTCCGCGTCCCGCAAGCCTTGCTTGGACGAGGCGGCCGCAGAGTCCACGCGGCGCCCTCGCATGTCCACGACGCACACGAAGCGCACCCCCGTGTTGGTCTCGTAGCCGTAGGCGGCAAGGCGGTCGTCGACGGCCTGCAGGAGGCCGTACTCGCCCGAGAGCCCGCCCCCGGATATGGCGTTGTGTCTGGTGCGGAGCTCGAACACGTCGATCGTGGAGGAGAGGATGAGGGAGAACTGGAGGGGGGTGCGGATCGGTGCGAAGTTGTTGGTTATCGGGTCCTGCGATGGGAAGATGGAGATGTGCATGGGGTTGTTCTGGAGATTGGTGAGCCTGGAGCGAGAAAAAAGACGGCGTGGAAAGTTGGGAAGCTCACGTTTCTTCCAATGACGCCTAAGCAGGCGATTGAGGGTATTGCCGTCGTCATGGTGTCTGCTGGCAATCCTATCTGATCGCGGGCGTGGATGAGGTTGACAGCGTGGAGGAGACGACCAGGAAGCTTTGGCTGTCACCTATTCTGGGGATTTGAGTGGAAACCCCACCAACCAACTTACACCACCTACGCCCACAACGAACTCACACGCGATACTACACCGAACATTCAGGGCAAGTATCTTTTACTATTTTGAATTTCAAACAGAGCTGAAATAAGAACTCTAACTTCCGTGTTCTGAATTAAATGGAATCACGTCCATCCCAAGGCTCAAATCCACCTCGCAGTCTCTCGTGCTCGGCCTTCAGCTTCAGCTTCCGCTTTCGTTCCCGCTCCTCCTCCTGCTCTTTCCGCTCTGCTTCTGTCCCGTCCTCGTCTTTGATATTATTCGTCTCTTCCAGCCCTCTCAGAACTTCCTCGATCTCCGAAGGGTCAGTGATAGCCCATACACCGCCCCCCTTGACCATGTCTTTTCCTCTCATGCCGACCTCCTTGCCGACGAGGTTGCGCCCGACATAGCCCGGCCCAATCCCCACCCAGCGTCGAATCTTGACTTCCTGGTCGAGATACTTGATACTATTCCACCACTGCACGGTCTCCAGGCAGCTGCGGGCGAGCAGGTCCTTCAACTGCTCCTTGCTCTGAAACTCCCTCGCATTGACGTTACTGATACAAGGCAGCCGCCCAGGAAAGGTAATGATATCCTCGTCCTCCCTCCCCGGCGTCCTGCTCTTCTGGCTCAGCAGCTTGTGCATGACCGAGACCGCCGGCTTCATGATGGGGCTGTGAAACGGGCTGTCGCTGTTGAGGCGCACCGCCCGGGGGTCGTGGCCCAGGAACTGCCGCACGTGCGCAATCAGCATCCGGATCCGCTCGATGCTGCCGCTGAGGACGATCTGGTTCTGGCTGTTGATGTTGGCGATCGACACCTGCTCAATGGGGGGCAGGTCTTCCCTGGTCGAGGCCTCGTCCCCGGCCCTGGTCGGTCCCACGAAGCCCTGGATCGTCTTTATCAGGCTCTTCAGGTAGGGCGGCTCGGTGATCACCGCGATCATCCCGTACTCGCCGCCGTAGTCCGTCACTGCCCGCCGGGTGGCTTCCGACATGGCCCTGGCGCGCATGTGCACCAGGTAGAGGCTGTCTTCGAAGGAGATGTAGCCTCCGGCGATGAGCGCCGCAAACTCCCCCAGGGAATGGCCGAGTGTGAAGTCGAACTGCTCCTCGACCTTGAAGTTGAATTCTCGCTCGAGGATGCGCAGGATGAGGATGGAGGTGGCCATGATGGCGGGCTGTGAGTTTGTCGTCTCAGTCAAGGTCCGGGATGGCCCATGCTGGATGATGTCTGTGAGTTTATATCCGAGGGTGTGGTCTATCTCTTGAATAATCTGGGACGCCGTCGACGGGAAAGCCTCAACCCACGGGCTGAGCATGCCCACTCGCTGCACGCCGTGGCCTGCCAGCGGATGTTAGCGACACGATCCGTCACCACGCGACCAAGTTCCAATTGAGCCTGGGCCAATGGATTAACCAACCTGGAAAGAATATGGCCGTCTTCGGGCGCTTGGATTGCGTCGAAATCCATCGTGCCCTGCTCCATACAGGCGCACGGGCGAGGCCTTCGGGTCGTCGGTATCGAGGTGGCAGGAGCAGAGAGCCTCGCCCGAGTCCACGGTTGGAGCTCTGAGCACACCCACTGCACGCGTATTTGATGGTCGCAGTCCGCATCATGGCCGATCAGCCGCTAACTGGGGAGAGAGGGCCGCCAAAGCGAGATATTATTCATTATGCCGCATCCGTCTGATGGGGGGGACCTCAATGGAGGGAAGGGAGTCTACGGGGAGTGGGATCAAGATGCACGGCTCGTTGCCGTTGGGGGGTCTCGGATTATGTGACGTCGGAGGGGAGACGGAAATGCGCACGGCGCCTCGGGCTAATCATCTCACCCAAAATTGCTGTGCTGAGACACAAACCGCAGAAGCGCGCCAATTAGACTCCGTATAGCCGAGACCAACCAACCAGCTCGTGGACGACCGACCCCATGGGACAGCGTGTTATAGGGCAATCCCGCCCGGAATCCCACGAGAATGGAGATCCAGAGTGGGCTGAATGGGGTCGTAAGTTGGGGTCGGGTGGAAGGGGTCTTCCCCTGGTCGAAATTCTTCCAGATTTCGACTCCTTGCGTGTCCGGCATCCGATCCCACGGCATACTCGGACGATCTTGTCAACTTTCACGTCGGCTAGATTCTCAGAATGTTTTTTTTTTCTCTTATTCATGATTATTGCTACATTAGCTATTTTCAACAGCGTGCTTCCACCCCATTCTTGCTCACTGTTAGATACTTGACACCCTTGTACGGTTTGACACTTTCGCCCAATCCCCTACTTTTCCGAATATCAAGCACAATGCTCTCCACCTTAAGGCCGCTTGCCAGCCACCCCTTGACAGAGAAGCTGACTGAGGCTGATGTCGGCATCAGAATCTTGTTCTGTGCGACCTTTTTCGCATCCCTCTCCTTGTCATCGACCTTTGGCTCAGGCTCAGCCTTTGCTGAGGACCTACTCTGGTAAGGCTCGTCGTAGGGGAAATCGGTATTGAACCCGAGGCCGCCAGCATCAGAATCATTATCTTCCTCCTCAGTAAGGGGGCCAACCACAGTGCATCGCAGCCCGAAGTAGGATGTAGGGCCAGACATCTCCTTTGCGGGGATGTGCCATTCCAGCACCCTGTCTCCTGGGTTGAAGCTCGCGTCACCTTTGCTGGGGCGAACCTCTGATAAATTCCTCACCCCTGCGGGTAATGGTACCGTAACTGTGAGGTCGTCGAGTAGTGGTGAGGCGGCCGTTCCTGCTTGAGGTCCAGCGCCCAGTCCAGCGCCCAGTCTTCCAGGTCCTCCTCTTCCCAGTTGACTCCCTATGCCCGAGCTCGATGTTCCAAATACCTTGTGAGCCTGTAGTCGGATTTCAAAGTCGGCTCCTGTCGCGCCAAGTCCAGACTTCACCTCCAGGCTGACCGGCAGCTTGAGATTATTAGAAATGTTTCCGCTCTGTCCACCAGTGAACGGGAGCAAGTCCACTTCGTAGCCCGCCAGGATAAACCGTCCATCCGGTGGTATGAAACTCAATTCGCCAGGCCGTTCTCTCCACCTGTTCAACCGCACGCAAGGGTGAAATACTGGGAGTTCCATGATGCCGCCGATATTGTGCTTCCCGGAAGGGCTGGTCAGGGTGAGAGTAATGTCAGGTACTCCAGAGACTTTCGAGGTAAAAGCAATCGTGCCGTTTGCAAAAGCAGAAATCGGTCTGCCCGAGGGCGCGAGAGTGACCGACAGTGTCTCGACAACGTCAGCGTACATCTCGTTGGACGTGTGGCGCACGTTTGGTCGCCTCCACGGTAATGCCGGTGCACTGTTGGAAGAGAATGAAGACTCGATCGCGCTCGAAGGTGAAGGAGAGGGTGATTTTCTTTGTTGCTGTCAGCCTACACGCCGCACATATTGTGAGGAGAGAGCGAGCCATACCCGGGAAGGTTGATACTTCCAAGCAGCTTGCCCATCCACCCTTCAATTTCGACCAGTTCCCGGAGCGCATTGGGCTCCGTCGTATTAATCATGCCTGCATCGCAGACTTCTGAAAGAATCTGAGCCACCACATCGTAGCTGTTCTCGATATTGACGGCTAGCAAGGGGGCACCAAGGAAGTCTTCCAGCGCATCTATCACTCGATGCATAAATTCCAGAACCAGGAGAGGCTCGATCTCGGAGGATGCGGTTACAAGACAGAGAAGATTCGCATGCGTTAAGCTAAAGAGAAGCGTAGGCGGGTTGGTGTTAGGGAGGTATATCAGATTCGGTTGGGGGGCCGGCTGCTCTAGGTAGAGAGACAGTATCGAGTTGGCGGAGAGTGGCCGCCCCGTGTAGGTATGTGAGAGGAGGACATTTCTGATATGATCAGCTTGGGAGGCCTGGAAACGGCGCAATATTAGGGAAAAGGCGATCCGGCCTACCTATGATCGTCATAGAGGTACAGTGCCTCGATAACGCCGTTCATCGTGACGCTGGTCCTGCCACGGAGTGTGTAAATCAATGGAGCTCACCAATAACTCTCGAGTGAAATACATGGCTTAGTCACCCCCACCATATTTCGTCATGAGCGAATGCGCGGGCATGCAAAGCGCGGGAGCTATGGTGATGACTCAGCAAGGCACCTCCTTAGCTCCAGTGGGCCCCTGAAGGAATCACTTGCTTGAACCAGCATTTTCTCGCCAGCTTCATATTGTCCAGTGGCGTGGTAGGTTTGAAGATGGCAGGTGACAGCATTCCTACTCTCCATTCTCTGGAGAAGCCAGAGAACTTCAAGGATGTCCTTCGACGGGATGGAGGCGACGACTGTTTGCCTTGCAGGCTCATAGGTCGGTAGCTCCCCCAGCCACATCATTTGCAAGCATCCAGGCCTCCAGGAGCTTTTTACTTACTCGGGTACAACGTCTAGGAAGCGGAGCTTTCTTTGGTCTGGCAGGTTACAGCTATTTTTCAGGCATGTCACAGCTCCAAAAGCAACAGGCTCAAATCCTCCAGAGCAAGTCGATATTTGGGATGCGCAGCCGCAAGGCCGGCATTGCATCTATTTCCTTTGGCCTGGCTTGGATGGGACTATGGAGACTCATGAACTAAGCGAGTCCAAGACCTCTTGGACTCGCTATTCCACGAACTCGAATAGTCATAACGGAACGGCATCGATATCTCGCTCTACCATCCAACGCCGGACTCACTTCATCAACGAAACCCAGCTCAACCCGAGTCGCAGTCCGTCATGGACTGCTGTACAACTCCATGTATTACCAATGTATCATATCGTCTAGGTTACGATTACATGTTTACTAGACGGCGTTTAGGTTGCTCGGATATAACGTGAAAATTAATGAACACCTCATACCCAACGGCTTTTCCTTGGTTGAAAAAACTTGCGAATAGCATTAGATGCAATTTATAACCTATATCGGTATAGCTCTCTATTGGCCCATTCTGCCTTCCTGCCATGTGCGGGTGACGACGGTATTTAACTTCAGACTTACACCGAAGCACCTTTGTGCAATGATTCCGCAATTATATGCTCTATCCCAGCATTCTGACTCAAAGCCAATACATTTTGTTCTGAATAGGGGTTTAGTGAGTAGACTTGGGATTGAAAACGCATGTATCGTTGAATGAAGTATACCATTCGCCTTTTGTTACCAAGTCCCAGAGCTGGCGACTTTCCAAGCATCAATAATACCTACCGCATATGGGAAGCAACTCGCGAGGATGACTTACTTGGCCTGTATATTCAGCTTGAGTCTGAGATGATCTCTAGGAGGAAAGTCTTTTTGATAATACTGTAGGGCTTTCCTCTGCCTTGAGACATTGCTTTGTTGACTTTGAATTCCTGATTTGATCAAACCCCACTTGCCTAATTTGGGCTCTTGAGGCAGCAGATCTTTTTAAGCTGCATCATGAGAAACCACATGAGTCAAGATTGAACGACTTGTTATCCTATGGTGGAAGTAATTCTCTATTAAAAAAAACTGTGCTCTGCACATGAGACTTTTTCTTTCATATATGACATCCATACTGTTCCTAGTATACACTTATCACTAGAGTGATGCGTATTGTCTCGACTGGGTATAGGGTAGGTGAATTGCTTGGTGAGTTTTAACAGTAAGGTACATATATCCAACAGCAAAAACTTGGTAAAAATCTACACAGACCTCACTCATTCACCACCAACCCACTAAGCAACCACTTCTTCGCAGCCTAAAGGATCAATTTTAGACCCCAAATTCATCTGGGTGTATAGAGGAAACCAGAAAGGAGGAAAACTTAGAAGGAGGTGTGAAGGACGAGGAGCTACTGGGGCAGCGCTTTTCTCTGATCTCATCCAGCTGCTCTTCTTATTCAAACATCACAATGCCCATCACCATTCTCGCCCCACAGCCTGCGCCTCAACGGCCGCTGGCCGGGCCTGCAGGCTTGAATTCGGACTCAGATTCAGAAATGGATAGCGACAGCGGAGGTGTTCAGATACGTTCTGCTAAGAGGCGGAGAGCGAGCGCCGAAGAGGATGAGGGCGATGAGATTCTCACACCAGGCACAGTCATCACTTCTAACCCTCAATGGATGCGGTACGTCTTCTCTCACTATCAAATCGCTTTACGTGTATCAAATTTTATTTTGGCTACAAATGCAAGTGCCGTTTGCTGACATGGGAAATCCCCCTACCTCAGCGGTCACGGCACATATGTCCTCCCCAACTCCACGTCCATAGCCTCATCGCTGGCGGGCACCCTCACAAAGACGAACAAGCTCCTCTCCGTGCGGCCCCTGCGCGCCCGCTACACCCCGGAGATCGGCGACCTCGTCGTCGGCCGCATCGTCGAGGTCCAGGCCAAGCGCTGGCGCGTCGACGTCGCCGCCTCGCAGCTCGCCGTCCTGCAGATCTCGGCCATCAACCTGCCCGGCGGCATCCTGCGCAAGCGCACCGAGACGGACGAGCTGCAGATCCGCAGCTTCTTCGCCGAGGGCGACCTCGTCGTCGCCGAGATCCAGCAGCTGCACCAGGACGGCGCCGCCAGCCTGCACACCCGCAGCCTCAAGTACGGCAAGCTGCGCAACGGCGTCTTCGTCTCCGTCAGCGGCACGGGAGGCGGGTCCGGGGTCGTGCGCTCCAAGCGCCAGGTCTGGACGCTGGAGGCGGCCAATGCCGGGGGGAAGGTAGGCGTCCTGCTCGGAGTGAACGGGTACATCTGGATCAGCAAGCACATCGAGAGCGATGTCGCCGCCGAGGCTGTCGGCATCAACCGTATGGAGGAGAGCGTGAGCAGTAAGGTTTACTCGAGCCAGAACGACGACATTGAGCCCGCGACGATGCGGGAGATTGCCCGCTTGAAGAGCGTCATTCTCGCGTTGGTTGAGCACGGACTGAAGGTGGATGAGGTCACGGTCACACGGGGATACCACGAAGCCGTTGAAATGGGACGGGAGACCCCGGATGATGATCTTTATCTTGGTGGTGAGAAGGGGAAGAGGTTAGCAGCCATATTGACTGGCCGGTAATAGAGTCAAGACCGGTCTTATTCACCTCTTAGTTGCACATTGATCATCTTCCAGGTAAAAAAACTTATTCTCGCCGATAATGATACTCGGCATCAAGATAGCTACCTTTTCGAAATTTCGAATACATTACTTGGCCCTGACAAAAGAAAAGAAAAACTTGAGCGTCCGCTGCCGCTAACAGTGATACTACAATCTCCCATATGATACATACCACCAGTGCAAACATCCTCTCATTACCCCAGTCCTCCCTCCACTGTACCAGACGGATATACATGTGAAATGAACGTGCTTGTTTCGTAAACATCAAACATCCTATCGATCAACCAACTCAGCGGCCGACGAGTTCCTATTTTTCTGATTCTGCAAAGCAAACTTATCGTCTACAGGCCTAGAGACGATCTCTTCAGCCCCAAAGAAATAGCAAGAGTGATCAGGAGTCCCCACCTCAAAACAGCGCTCTTGGCACTGCTGCCACCGAGGCCGAACACGAAGCCGAGCCAGTAACCTAGACCCTTGGTGACGTTGCCATCGCGGTCAAAGTTGGGCTTCGCGGTGGTCATGCCCTTGAAGCGCCTCAGCTCGCTGTTGGAGTAGGGCATGTAGCGAACCCGGAGGAACGCGTCCGCCCACGCTGGCACCGTGGCAATCGCCCGCTGGTGGCTAAAGGCCTTGAAGGAATAGTAGCCGTGGTAGCTGCCCGTCCCCGAGGAGCCCACGCCGCCAAAGGGTGCCTGGGCCACGGACGAGTGTGTATAGCCGTCGTTGGTTGTTGCGCCTCCGGAGGTGACGCTGGTCAGCACTGTTGGTTCCGTCACGGATTAGCCACTGCTCTCATCAAAACGGTTCTTCAAGACGCTGTGTACTCACCTTTTGCATTCTCTGCGTCACTGCCAAAAGTGTAGAGGGATAGTGGGGTGCGGTCAACCTTATTTGCAAGGTCAATTGCCTGGTCGACCGAGTCAACGGGGAAAATAGACCAGATTGGACCGAATGTCTCTTCAGTGATCAAGATGTCATTAGGATCCTCAACCAACACCACTGTTGGCTCAAAGAAAAGCTCGGATTCGTCCATGGAGCCACCCAAGACAATCTTGCCTCCACTAGAGTCGAGCATCTTCTTCAAGCGGTCAAAGCTAGACTTGTTGTTGATGCGGGCATAGTCGGGGCTCGCCTTGGCTCCTTGTGGCATAAAGTCCTTGTAGCTCTTCTTCAACTCCTCGATGAACTGTGGCACGACATTCCTCTCAACAAGGGCATAGTTTTGAGAGACGCAGACCTGGCCGGCATTGTGCGTCTTGGCCCAAAGAAGTCGTCGAGCAGCCAGCTTCAGGTTGGCATTCTTGGAGATGAAGGCTGGGTTTTGCCCTCCCAGCTCGAGCAGAACGGGAGTCAGAGTCTCCGCAGCCTTCTTGGCAATGATGGTTCCAACCTTCTTGCTTCCGGTGAAGCAGATCTTGTCATACTTTTGGTTGAGAATCTCCTGTGTGAGGGCCAAAGAGCCATTCACACATCGATAGCAGTCGGGGTCTAGGTACTCTTCAATGAGTTTGGTCAGTACCATGGCGGTGTTTGGCGCGTTCTCGGATGGCTTCAACAGAACAGCGTTTCCAGCACCGATGGCGCCGATCATGGGAGTAATGGACAACTGGACAGGGAAGTTAAAGGCTCCCATGACCAGGACAACACCAAGCGGTTCGCTCCTGATGCGAGGCTTGACCACGCTCATTGTAAGGGGTGTGTTCACGACCTTCTCGTCCTTGGCCCATTTCTCCAGATGGGCGATGAAGTCCATGCACTCATTGACAGCCCAGCCGATGTCACTCAAGGCAGCCTCATGAGGAACTTTGCCAATGTCCTTGATGAGGGCTTCTTCCAGGAGTGGGGTATAGTCAATGAGACCCCAGTAGAGCTTTCGAAGCTGCTTGAGGCGGTATTGGATATCCTTGGTGCGGTTTGTCATGTACGTGGCCCGTAAAACAGCAACATCCTCAGAGATGCTGGCGAGCGATGACTCCTGGAAGGGAGGGATAGATGTGGTTTTGGGAGCCATTGTGGAGTCAATCAATTATGGTAGAAGAGAGATGTCCTGATGAATGCGATGCAGTATCGAAGACAGCGCAGACTGGGGTTCTTCAACTGCAGGGAGGAGACCCAGATCCCTTTAGTGGCGGGACAACTGACAGGCCGACGGGCAAAAATGTGGCAGGCAGTAGCGTCGCTTCTACGGAAGGATTCCGTGACTGGGCCTTGGAAGGGCGACTTGAGGTTGGAAGCCGTGAAATGGTCCTTAATTAGAACAGAGACCTTCCTAGCAAGGATTGAAGAAAAGGTAAAAAGAGGACGAGGGCACGGACTTGGAGAACTGGCTCGATGGTTGGCAAGATATGTACAATGGACGACCTCGGGGGATGAGAGTTAGGGAGGGTAGGATTGGGGCATGGGGAAAGAGGAGAAGCAGACGGATGCAACCCTCCTAAAACAAAATGAAGGAAATCCAGAGGGGGCCAATGCAGGCAGACCAACAACGATGGCGGTGGTGGTGGTGGTGAACATCTATGACCATATCAATGGAGCCGGAATCTGGGTACCACCGCAACGGCTTTCATGGCCAGCGCCGCTTTAAGACGCAACCCTCCATCACTGCTGCTCAGCCAGAGCCGTGTGTCACAGTTTTTTTTCCATAGCAAGAGCAGCGGTAACGCTAAGACGAAAGGGATGCAATCCGTTTTAGCCAAGAGACAGTCTCCATAAATTCAAGCACCTCGGACGCCTCGGGTCCCCGCATTGAACGCTACTGGCTGATACTGACATGTAGACCTTCGACCTCAAAATATCCTCTAGGTATGGCATGTAGCTAATCCCTATAGAAGTATAGAATACATGTGCGTCAGTAGATGCAATCAAGACTTACCCCCAACCGGGAACATTCGTCTAAAAAAAACAAGTCACAAAGAACCCTCGACTACGCCATGCCTCGGTAACGGAGCGCGGACCCCGGACGCGGCTCACCTTCCAAGATGCGACGGTGTGCCGAGGCTCGCAAATATCGCTGCAGGTACATGGTAACAACTCACTGTGAGCTTTCCAAATGCTTGCCTGTGACTGGGAGCCTAGCAAGTGGGTGAAATAAAACATGGCACACCGATACAGTTCAGCACTGAAATTCAACACAATATCACAATAAATGACCTAGTACTGAATACAATATTAAGCTAAATATTATAGAATAGTTTATTATTCTCTTATTATTCTCTTCCTATTCAGTTTAGTTAAAAAATAAGGTCCCTGTCTCACGCGGAAAGAGAGCTTTGGTGTGCCATGTTTTATTCCAGCCACTTACCTAGATCTCGTCAGGACCCAACCGGGTTCCTAAGGATTATAAACTCCGTCCCTCCTACTCAAACTCCGCAACTTTCTAATATGGGACATGCATTTAGGCTACATCTGGCGTTGATCTGAATAGCTTATCGGATTATCTCCAGTATGGCACCCAGCTCCACATGGCTATTCTTCTATTCGAGCATCGCTTTTCACCCAATGTTTGAGAGAACTTCTAGCATTTCCTAATATACAATAATAAGTGGTCCCCCGCCAGGAATGCCTATATAACTCGTACATGCTTTCACATAAACCATCCAACCGGCACCAAGTATATATGATACAATCGACAATATACAAGAGCAAGTCTGGTTTTCGCTACCTCCTCGCCTTGCCCGACTTGCTCGCCCAAGTCGATGGCTTAGCCGCGCCTCCTTTGGGGACCTCTACAACCTCCTCCAGCTTCCGCTGCTCGTCTTCCATCTTTTTGACTAGGTAGTTATTGATGGCCTGCTTGCCATCCACCAACTCGCCGGCCTGGATAGCCTGGTACTCCTCCAGACCCACCCGCCGTCGGTCTTCCTCCAGGAATTTCTGTCGATCCTCAGTAATGAGCCACTCCTTGGGGAATTTAGGCTTCTCCTGAATCTTGTGGTGCCGCGTGTCCAGCGGGATGTCCTCGAATGTATCCTTGGGGTCCTTGGCAGCCGCAATCAAGTCATCCACCAGGTTCGACAGGTACCGCTTGTTCTGCGCGGGGTGCGTGTAGCTCTCGCAGCTGATCTTGACAAACTCGGTCTCGGGGTTGTATCGGGGGCCAGCCAGCTTCTTCAGCTTCTCGGCCTGCACCGGCGTGAGGCCGAGGTCGTCCGGTGCGAATTGCACAACCACCTTCTTCTCTGCAGGGTGCGTGTCGCCCATGTAGGTGGTGTAGCGCCATCGTAGGACTTGTTTCTCCGTAGGTGGCTCGAATGGCTTTGCCAGCTCTGTAAAACCAAGATGTTAGCCACCCCACCATCTTCGCAATTGAGGACCTAGGTAGAGCTTCGTAGCTGGAAATCTTTCTTACTTGATAAAAGAGGGAGCTCCCAAATCGCAAGACGCTGGTAGTGGCGCATTTCCCGGACCTCTTCCAATTTCGAGTGTGCCATTTCCGTGATATCATCCTCGTCGAATTCATCGTGTTCGTTGGTATTCGTCTCCGGATCATCCTCATCGTACCAGAAACTGCTCTTCTCGGCCCTCGGTCCCTCTTCAATCTCCTTGAGAGTCTGCTCAAATGCCCTCACTTTGGGAATTGAGGAAGGAGCATCAGCCCCAACCTTGTGGTGAGTCGACACGAACTCCTCAAAGTCGAGATATCCATTCTCTTTCGCAGCATAATCAAGAATCCGTGAGCCTTGCAGCTTTTCGATGTTGCCCGCCTTCAAATCTGCGAAATTGGGGTCTACCGCATTCGCAGCTGCAGCTGCAGCTGCCGCTGCCGCATCCGTGTCCGGCGTCGAGGCAGGTGGTTCTTCGGCCCGTCGAGCGGTGGTGCTGGTAAAGGTTCGTCGGAAACCGGTCGTGGGGGTTGCGATGAGCTGGGCCCGGGCCACCCTCGGCAGTCTCGAAACTTGCCTGCAGCTTAGTATGTTCAGCCTTGCGGCATTCGCAGCCGACGCCATGGCGAATTGATTCGTGGTTGTGAAGTTTCGAGCCTCAACACACGCCACAGAGGGTTGCACATCAAAAATTTGGGTGTATGCTAGCAATTGAGGACGGTGGCACGTTTTGCCGAAAATTTTCCAGCTCGGTGTGACCCTCCACACACACCGTGAATCGGGGCCTCACCGAACCAAGCCGTACCTCCTAACCTATACCACCAATCCATACTAAGTCAACATCTACTCACTTCAACGCCAAATAGCATCCCAAGTCCTCATCATCTCCATAATGACGGCTTCTTCAAAGCAGCTCGAGAGATGTTGCTTAGCAACAGTGGGAGCCACCGTAGGCTTTCCAAAGCTAATCAAGACAGTTTTGGAGGATAAATTCTGGGAACATATACGAGCCCATGGCTTCACTTCCCTCCGGATTCAATGTGGCCCAGATTTGCCCTGGGCATCCGAGTACCTCTCCTCCCACAAAGATCAAATCCCCCCAGGTCTAAAAGTCGAGTTGTTTGGACTGAGCAAGAATCTGATGCTCGAGGAAATGACACTTTGCAAAGCAGTTGCTGGAAAGTCAGATCAGGGCCTAGTGATCTCACACGCTGGTACGCCGTATAGAGCATGGCTTGATGATGATCACTTTTTATTGATTAAATTTAACTAGGAACTGGGACGATCCTCGATGCTTGGAAACTTGGCCTGCCTATAATTGTTGTTCCCAACACTGACCTGTTGGACGATCATCAATCAGAGATGGCCCGTTATCTTGCCGACGAAGGCTATGCCACACAAAGTAGCACCGAGTAAGTTTATCTTTCTGAGAGTCTGCTGCAGTGATCCAGTAGTCTCTGTGCCAATGACCACCATCATCTCACAAGGATCCAGTCTCGAAGACCTTCAAAGTGCGATCGATAAGTCAAGTCGCCTTTGGGAGGAGAACAAAAACCGATGGCAGCCTCACAGCACGTCTTCGCAACCTCATGCCCGTATCAGCCTGTGGGAAATTTCCCCTAAAGAAGTTCGAAGGGAAGAAAATTCTCAGATGGTTCATGATTAGGATAGGTTTCCTTCGAGCAATTTCTCGCACGTACCCTTAGACCCTGACGATGACATTTTTCAAATTCAACGTTCGGGGAATGAAAAAGAACATGATATGAGTGGGGACAGGCGGACTGCTTTCTAAGTTAATTTATGAACCTAAGCTCAGGTTCAATTATCACCAGTATCTCGGAGTCGCGGACGGTATAGAAATGAATTTAGGGGATCAATAATTTTCATTCAATGGCTCAAACAACGCATCTCACGCTCGCTTATGGTAGGTTCTGAACATTCCAGATCTTTACAGCAGCATCTCCTCCGCCACTCGCCACCTTTCCTCCGGCCACCCAGCATACTCCGTTCACACCGTCCTTGTGGGCATTTGCTGCCTTTATGCGCTTTCCCTGCAGACTCTTCTCGAGACACCAGACGAAGATGTTTGTGTCCAAGCTTCCGCTGGCGGCGTACTTGCCAGAGTCATGCCAAGCAATGGAGGTCACACGGGCAGTATGAGCCGACCAACGGTCTGCCGCCAGTTCCCATGAGTCTGTCTTATATACGTAAATCTTTCCAACACTATTTCCGGCAGCTAGGTGTGAGCCATCCTTGGAAAAGGACAGAGCCGAGATCGAGCCAGTTGGGTTGGAAATTTCTTTGACTTTCTCGAGGCTTCCAGACGAACCGCTCTTGTAAATGGTCACTGCGTTCTGGTTACCACCAACTGCAACGATGGAACCCGAGGCAGCAATTGAAGTTGCTGTATAATCAAGGCCGTTCTCCTTTAACAATTTATCGTTCGAGAATACGTTAACTCCGGAAGCTGTAGCAACGTAGATCAGTCCGTTGGACGCGCTAGCATCCGTGGGCTGAGCCGATAGTTGAACAGCATCGCCCAGGAATGTTTTGGCTGACTCGTCGACGATCCTCAACTTGTCATCCCAACCCGCACTGTATGTTCTGCCCGGGGCGCTGACAAGCCTGGCAATCTTGTTGGTGTGCTGCTGTCCATCAACAGTTGTAGCCTTACCAGTATTGATATCCCAGTGGCACACTCGCCCATCGAAGCTGCCTGACCAAACGGTTGTACCCTTGCCATCAGAGCCCTCGGTCAACCCAGTGATACTTTTGTAGTGCCCCTGAACAATCCGGGAAGATTCAGGCTTGCCCTCGTTGAGATAGATCAGCTCGCCATCTAGGTTGATGCTAATAATCAGGCCGTCGCTCCGACCAGGAACAATCACGACTCCAACCTGTTGATCACGCACGCTCACACCATCACCAAACTTCCAGGATTGAACGACAGAGCCGGAGTCGACATCCCAGAGCTTCACGGTCTGATCAGCGCTGGCTGTTGCGAACTTCTTGCTATCCTGTGACCATGACACAGAGAAAATACTGCCAGTGTGCTCCCCTTGGCCAATTTCCTTGGTTGGCTGTCCCGTCTTGCCGTCATAAAGCTGGATCTTCTTGTCTGCCCCGACTGTGACGAAAGCAGTGCCGTCGGGAGAGTAGGCGGCTCCCAACACGAACCCAGTGTGGAGAGTCGTCTTCTCGTTGAACTTGTAGGGGGCACCGTGGTAGAAGACCACGTTGCCATCGTCTCCCACAGTAGCAGCTCTAAAGGGCCGCTGGCTCTTCATGGCCACGGCATTGACCGATTTGGAGTGTCCAATGATCTCTCCGACAGAGTTACCACTGTCAGCAGTAATGCATCGACCAAACTGCTCGCGGCCATCACCGACGGCGATGACTCGCTGCGAGTCACCGTCCCAGGCAATATCGTTCAGACGACCAGAGATAATACCGTATTCTCCCCTGGTGCTCTCGATTGACTCGGGCTCCCAAATTCGGAGCATACCGCTGGCATCACCACTGGCGACCTTGAACCCATTAGGGGCGAAGCGGGCAACGGTTGTTGCAGCGGTATGACCAGTATATTCCTTGCTCTCGGCGGGATTGTCGATGGATCGAACAAAAATGGACTTTCCGGACTGTTGAGAAGAGACAGGACAATCAGCTAGGCAGGTCTCGGATATTCATAAGAAGGGAGGGGGTCATACAGCATAAGCTAGACGCTGACCTTTGGAATCAGCGGAGAGCTGGGTGGGCTGCCCTCTTGTGGTGGTGGGCACAGCCGCCAGGATGCGGTCAATTGTGATTGATGGCGACGCCATGGTGAGATGCCCCGGTGATGCAGAGATGTCAGTTCAATTCGAGGGCGAGGAGACCTAACAGACCAGAGCCGTGGAATGGTTGATCGGTGAGGAGAGCTCGAGCAGAAAGAGAGGTCACAGACGCTCCTTCGTACGTGGGGTTCTGCAACGGCGCCATGGTGGGTGCTTCATTACGTAGTGCGACAGCTAACTGGAGGGGTAGTGCAGGAGTTACAGCGGCTGCTGCCTTGTATCCAATGGATCGCGGGGGTTCTATCCATGCCAATGAGTAAGGTAGGTAGGTAGAGAGGATTAGCTACCCATGTAAGCACAAACACCTGCAACAAGCTAAGAGCCAGTGTGCATAGTTGTTGCCTGGATCTCAAACGGGCCCTTGGTACTGGTTTCAAACCCGCAACTCAAACGCCTGGCTAGCAAGGCCAGAGCTGGATGAGCAAGTCAGATCGAGAGGCCTACCCTGCACCACAGAACCATTGGTGATGAAGGAAGCATCTGTCCATTCAGAGTTTTTGATAGCTCGGGCCGTTCCAGTAGCTCATCCTCGTTTATAAAGCAGCACTAAAATACTTCAAATCAATATTTCTGGGTTTATAGTACAACCTTTCTCAACCCGAGTTTGATTTCTTACCTTTTCTCTCCTTCTATATTTTGACCAGCCTGTTTCGGCTACGGTTGTCTCTCAAACCACTGACAGGTCAAATAAAGAAAAGAAACCAAACACAGACAATGTCTTCCATATATTGGATTTATGATCACTCCGCGGCTTTGGATTGGCTCGAAAACAATTCAAGAGGCTGGACTCCGATGTACGCAGGGTCCTCTGAAAAGTAATGCCGAACAGAGAAGCTCTTTGCCTGCCCATGTTGATGTCTTGAGCTATGACTGATAGTGCCCGCACCAACGGGCGGACTTATTTGGCTAAGCTGGCGTTTGTATTAGCTAGTGCGAAGCCATGTCTTGATTGTACGCCTCTGAGCAGTATCCGACATCCAGACACAGTCCCTAGGTTTTACCCAGCTTGATGAAACGACATGACAGACCATCAGTGAATCGGGTAGCACAACGGAGTAGCTGGCGCCGTGTTGCATGATACTTATACGAGAGCCATGTAGCATTCGGGTAGGGGCACGCAGGCGAGCGGCGGCGTTGCCGGCGTAGAGTTTCTGGGCACATGTATTATTGCCTTCATCTCGTGTTATTAGACACAAGTCGTGGTTTAAATCGGTGCCAAGAAACCCCTTTCCCAATTCAGAGACAGACACGAAATTTAAAGGATGCATCCCGCCTCCCCCTTGGCTACCGTCCACTTGACCCAATACTTTGTGTAGTAGTGGAAGGTATAATTCCTTTTTTTTGTGAAACTGCCAGCCGCGAGAGCAGATGCTGATCCGGCAAAAGAGCTCCATACTGCAACAACACGAGCGGCCTCATAGATACGTGTGACCGTTATATGGCAGCGAACAACAAAGGAGAGGAAGAGAGTTATTGTAATTTTTTTTTTTGACAGAGCCAGGTGACAGCACCGGCTGCTTGATGTGTTATGCACTACTCGACTGAATCGCAGCTGAGATATACCATGTACAACGCATCCAGCTCACTGATACGGCGAGAGCACCGTTATCCCGGTAGAGGCCGTGTGATACCAACAGCAGAGGTTTCCTTCCTGCCGGGCCTAGAATGTTTATTTGCCGTTCTTGGCTCTGTAATTCCTCCGAAATTAAAACAACAAGTCGTGTCACGACCTCCCCCCAGGATGTCCCACTCCCCAGATTTCACGTCTCTCCCTTGACTGCATAAATTCCCTTCATTCCTCCCTCTTCGACCGTTCCGAGCTGCCCACTCATTCTTGTAATTAACTAAATTCGACCTTTCAAGCCCATAATAACAATCGTTACCACAACGCTCTCTCTCAGCCATCATGAAGTTCTTCGTCCCTCTCTCCCTCATCGCTGTTGCAGTGACTGCTCAGACCACCGCTAGCAAGTCCGGCTGCGACGCCGACTTCATCCTCACTCGCTGTCTCGAGACCGAGACCCCCAAGGTAAGAGCCATCCTCGAAGAAAACAAACCCACGCCCTTCTAAATACTAACATCATCACCTCCACAGGCCCAGGCATGCAACCCAACCGACTACGAGTGCCTCTGCGCAGCCTACAACGCCATCGCCACGTAAATATCCCCTCCCCAAAAACACATCATAAGAGTCACCCCATCTTTACTAACAAACCCCTGCCAGCTGCTACAACAACTGCCCTAACGACGCCCGCCTCGCCCCGGCCAAGAACCAGGTCGACGTCTACTGCCGCCAGGCCTCCCTCCAGAACACAAAGACCACCTCCGTCGCCGCCCCCACCACCGCCGCCTCCGCAACCACCACCTCGGCCTCGGCCTCCAGCGGTGCCCAGAGCTCCGGCACTGCCACCTCGACTGGCAAGTCCACCGAGACGGGTGCCGCCGCCGGCCTGGCTGCCAACTCCGGCACCATGCTCTTCGGCCTCGCTGGTATCTTTGCTGCCCTGCTGTAAGTTGGGTGCAAAGACCCGCATGGGAAGAAAGCTGGGGGGAAGGTGTCAAGGGCTGGATGACACACGAGCAAAATGATCCATAATCTATTTTATCTAATGTAGCCACTTGCCTAATATAAATCATTGTCGCTTCGTGTATAGACGGTTGCCTGTGAAATCTATTGAACCTGCTTCCTTGTACGAGACAAAATGAGCCTGCCAAGTACAGACCTTCCTAGCTCGCACTATCTTTTTAGTAATATTGTACTGTGGACATTATGACACAAGAAGATGTTACTCTAATTCATATCACAGATGAGTTGGAGCTGAGTTGCCAGTGTTTTGCCTATCGCCAGGACACTTCTTGTCTATTGTTCTAGAGAAAGCTCTGATAACTTGCAAAGACTAATCAAAGCGGCTAAGAATTCCACAAAAGCCATCCGTGCGCCTATCCATTTTACTCCAACCCCATAAAGAGAGCTTCTTCCCCGTGAATTGCGTAAACAAGGTTGCTGCTCTTACACAAGTCCTGCTAAGTGGGGTTTATTCGATCATGGCCTTCCCCTTTACGCCAAACAATAAAAAAAAAATCAATTTAACAACAGAGCTCAACTCGAAAGTCTTTTGACGCCGATGTTTCTTCGCTCTCAAATGCAAACAAACAGACAAGAGGTAGGGCGAACCGAGTAGCTCATGAGGCGTCCCTCATACTGTGGATAGGATTGTGTGATTTCAGAGTAGCCTCGACCCCTGGCCTTGAATGATAAGTTGTCAGACCAGGGGCTGAATAAAGAGAATAGTACGAATATGTGACGAGGTGAAGCGAAGAGGCAGTTATGTATGTCTAAAATGTTTTTGGTGATTTGTACAATTGCAGATTGACAGACATGTGTTTCCTCAGAGTGGTAGCGATCACTCATGCCTTCTGACGGCGATTCTCCTTTCGGGTGTCCGTCATAGGGCTAACAAAGGTAACATGCTTGGGATCTTCTTGTCGAAGCCGAACAGTGCTTGGAACGCCGGTGGATGTACGACGAAGACCACGCGGGTCATGCTCGTCATCAATGTTGATCTCGGCAATGTCGGAGACTGACTCTGTATCCAGGCCATCGCTCTGGCCAGAGACCGATGATCCTTCATCGGAGTCGTCATACTCCCCATCGTCGCTAACGAGCGAGGGGGCGTTATTGCTTATTATTGTGTTGGGGCTCAACGAGGGTTCTTCCATTTCTGCGTCCTCGTCGGAAGTGGTAGACACAATACGATGATGCTGACGTTGGGTCGCAAGTGGACTTTCGTGGTGTTTATGGCCGGCAGGGCGGGCTGCTGCTGCCACCGGAGATTTGGTGCTCTTGGCCGGTACGCGCTTAACAACTGGGGGCCGAGTAGGCAGTGAATCTGAAGGTTCGTCTAGTTCCCAGTCCTCCTCGTCAGGCAAGACGTCGCTCAGTGCTTCCTTGGTCTTAGCGTCATTAACAATATCTCGTAGCTTGCCGCCGAAGGCCTTCGCCTTGAGTAGCTGAGAAAGATATGGTGTTTCCGGAACCACATCAGCCTCATCTCCACCTTGTCGGCCAGTGCTCGCAGTGGAGGGTTTCGCCCTCGCCATAGCCAAAGGTGCGAACCCAGGAAGTTTGCCTTGCCGTATCAACTCCATTGAATCAGCTATCCGGGATCGAAGTGCGATGTAAGCTTGTTGCTCAGTCATATCGGCGCGCGCAAATGGATGGACAGATGTCGTTGGCTTCACTACAGGGGTAGCTGGTGGCTTATCCTCAGTGGGTGTGATCGAACTTGGACTTGGCTCTGAAGCCTCGAAAGCCTGGCCACTCTTCACTGCCGCTTCTTCATGACTCTTGAAATCACGCTTGTGAGCAATTCTGCAATGGTTAATGAACCCCTGGGTGCTGGAGAAGTCTTCTCTTTGGCAATCGAGGCACACAAGTTTCACAGTTTGCCCGTCAGCTCGCTTCAAGATGCATGGACCGGACTTCTTCTTGGGTTCAGGACGCCCGCTCGGTAATGATTGAATCTTGTGTCCCGGAAGTCCGCGAGAAGACCGGCCTCGGTTTGGACCGACAAAGTCAGCGATAGTTTGTCTCGTAGTTCTTCCCTCTGTAACAGGGAGAATAATGCGACCACCATCGACAGAGAAGAATCCTTCCGGTTCCAAGCCATCAAATGCTGGATCTGGCATGAGCCACTGGGCGTAATGTCGAGCATACGGGCCGTCTGTAACACCAAAGGGCGGCGCCCAACGCGGTACAGGGCCGCCAGCGTTGGGTTTAATAGCAGGACCGGTACCATTCGATGTTGCGATCATTTGTTCAGGCGTTGCCTGGCTCACGGGGAAAGGTATCAAATGGCATCTGCGCAGTTGTTCCAGTGCAGCCTGGCACTTTGCTAATTCCAGATCGATTAAACGCTTCTCGTTGTGCTTGACAAGTATCTCGGTTCCTAAAATATGTTCAATCTTGTCGCGCAGGCTTTGGACGTCGTCTGGGTTCCCAAGAGACCGCGGCGCACAGCGCTCGCTCGACGGCACCAAACCGCTGGGGCCGACATCTTCCAGCCGAGCCTTCTTCGCGGGCACTGTCAAATCAGGTGAGGCTCTATCGTCGCAGCTCTGCCGTCTGCGCTTCGGCGATTGCGCTGCGGCGTCGGTCGTGATCTCGGTCGTTGGTCGCAAGGGGTTGTTGATATCTTGGACTTGCTGTAATGGTTCCAGAGGCTTCGGCGATGACGAGTCCGAGGACCAAAAGCGAAACATGACTTGTCGCGCGATTCTGGAGATGTGGGTGATGTTGCGCAACAGAGGCACAAACACTTAAGTCGTTGGAGCGAAGCTGTCGCAACGAAAGCTAACGTGGTGGAAAGAGAAAGAATCAGCGGCGCAAAGCGAATGCGACCGGAGGTGTGTAATGCGACGGGCTGCAGCCGGAGGCGTGCTGACGTAATGGTGTGTGGCGCCGTGGATCGGTCGAAATAGGGGAAGGATGATGCTGCCTATTTTGGCTGCGACAGTTGGCACCAACTTTAGGGGGCCAATGATGCACCTGTCAGGTCACAATACGTAAATGAGTTGTCCTTGCCTGCGGAGGTATGCAGGCCACAAGCAAATAAGTCAAACGGCTGCGGCAGATTTTTTTTTCGGTCACAGGCCTCCTGCTGCGTGAATCAGAAGCGGGAGGAGGGGATGCTGGCTTGGTCGCCGAGGAACAACAGATGGGTGAGGGAGGGTCTGGTTGGTGGCCGGAGCAGGCAGTGGTGCTTGTGACTGGGGATAGAGAGAAGGGGGTGAGATGAGACGCAAGCCGATCTGGGAAAAGGGAAAAAAAAAAACAAGTCGGCTAGAGGAGGGAATCAACAGAAGAGTTTAAAAAAACAAGACAGGGTGTATGCAAGTTAAACAATTATTAGAAGGAGCAAGTGAGAGAAAAAAATGAGTTTGTAGCTAGAATAAACGACGAGGTGGTGTGGTGGTGGCCGTGTTGCGTGTGTTTGGGGGAGAGCGAAGTAAGGAGAGAACGACATACAGCGACGGGGAGAGCGGACAGGTCTGACTGAATCAAAGGCAGCCATCCATCGACGCAGCCAATTATGCCACTGACTTGGCGGGATGTCGCAAGTGCTAGCCAACGCGAGCGATGGGTGGGCTGCCTGGGTCGCCTCTGGGGAGATTGTTTGTTTTGGGTGGGATCCACTGTGGGCTTTCCAAGGAAGGTGTGCATAAGGCCCCATCCAACAGGTACCTCCATCCCTGTGCCCTGGCCACTAACATGGACAGAGGCCGCCCGGTCCCTACTAGTCGCTCACGTGATTGTGCATACATGATCAGGCTGACGGGTGCAATATCGAGCAAACCTGCACATTGCTCAGGCAACCGGGCATTGAGGGTGCGTTGTGAACAGGCAGTCGCAAACTCATTCTCACCGACCATGCACGCCTACTCCCTGCGCCCATCCGCGTTCTTCCATGGGATGACATGCCTGGTGGGAATGAAACAGTGTATCGGGAGAGATGGAGTAATACAGTCAGTAGCATGAATGTATCCTGGGGGCCAAAGTACCGCTCAGACCCATAATAACCTTCGCTCGAAAGCATATCTTGCAGCCTAGCAAGTACCTAGCTAGCTGACAAGACTTGTAAGTTGATATCATAAGGTCTTTGCTCTATTTCTTTAGTCCCCTTCAACTCTTCCCGTGAGCTGTTTTCCGTTTTGATGGTTCACATTCACGTTTGCCGCCTTGCGTTCTAGTTTCATACACATCGCCAATGGAGAAACATGTCAATCTGACCAACCGGCCTGTGCGAAGCTCGATGGTTCAAGGGTGGTGAGGGGCTCGCCTGAGGACTTGGTATGTGGCTGGCTCAGCGGGGCCACCTGCAAGCTCCTTCCCTGGCGCTGGAGGGATCGTGACAGGATCCCGCAGATCATGCTGCTATTCGCTATGTCTATCTACGGTATACTGTATTCTTCATATTGATTCAACCAAAGCGCTTATCTCTGACACTAGCACCCCGGCGAAGGTGAATGCACCGAGCACTTTACACGGAGCTACATAAGTAATCCAGCTCATCATTCGAAAGGGAGCTTGGAGCTTTATCGGTAGACCTTCAGCTACCCACTCCGCCGACCAATAGCTCGTGGTCCACATTTAGGGACGCATAATACGTACCTACATGCATGGAGGTAGGTACCCCCTCGCGTCGCTGCTGACCACCATGTACACCCTCTCCACTTACTGACAGGGAAGCTAGATGTATAGTACATCTTAGAGACTTTGTCAAACCGATTTGAGTTCATGCTGAGACACCAACTGAAAAGGACTCGCCCAGATGTAACAGCGTTCTGTTTGACAAGAAAACCTGGAGAAAGCATACCGCTGCGCCTCTGGCATATGAGCTCCTTCGTGGTGCATGTTGTCCTTGCAAACGCCCCTGTTCTCACTTTCTAGATCCCATCTTCCATGAGCAGGGGGCAAGCTGTCCGGGTCGCTAGATCGGCACCAAGACCAGGACCCAGCCGCGTGGCTAGCGCAGCCAGTTCTACCTAACAAGCTTGGATGTTATCTGTCGGGAACATGCGCTGGTAAGGATGGTGTTGTTCGTCTACTTGTAATCGATCTTGTTTATTCCAAGGTTACAACAGGCTGGGCTGGATTACAGCCAACAGCCGCTTGCCGCGATAGCAAGCGGGCGAGCGAGTCGTGCCTTGCTTGAACTAGTAGTTGTCCCATGCACAAAGAAAGTCAAAGCGCATCGAGCCAACCAGCACTCGCGGGCCAACTACCCGGCGCCACTAGCCTGGACTCTTCTGGGTGGTGCCATCTGCGGCTGGTTCTTTCTGGCCGAGAGTGCCATGGCCCATATGGTTGAGGGCAAAGAAGCTGTCTCTAAATTATCTCTAAATCATGCAGGGTTGAATCTTAGCTCAAGAAACCATGCTCGTTACTGCAGAGGATGCCGTTTCTGGAATGAATCTCAATATTTTCCGATTGCGGCTTTTTGAGCCAGGTATTGGAATTATGCGCCACGAAGCACGTCGAGGAAAACATTGATGCTGAGTCCCCAAAACAAACATACGGTCAAAAAAAGGACTGAAGCGCTAGTCTGCCCTTGATTTTGCCCCTTCCACCTAATCCCGTACAGTGGACTTATTACAATACATGAAAGGAGCTGAAGCTCCAGTTATTACCAGTAGCTTCAAGGGCAAGTTCTAGCCTCGTCATGAGGCTAGAATAGTCAGACATTTACAGACTTTGGCCACCACGACCTGAGACAAAAGTGTCGGTCTAGTTGGTGTGTTGCCCATGTTATTCTCTTCGTTCTTGCATTGGTTGGAATGTGGTGTTAGCTGGAGAGCTCACTCACACGGACCTGCAAGGCACGATAAGATAAGAACCTTAGACAGGACAGACACTGACCCACTACACAAAAAAAGAAGGCGTGAACACCCCAACCAACATCACCAAAGCCATGGCGAAAAGCAGCAAGTCGGCGTCCGCCGATGCGCAGGGGCCAATGAAGCGAAAGAGGGTGGATGAACAGAAGGAATCTCCCGATGAACAAAGAAAGGACCAACAGCTCCAGAAACGCCGACAGCCAAAGGAATCGCGAACTGTAGAGACGAATCTTTCCTCTCCCCACAGCTCCATCATTTCAGTCCTCGCGCCCAAGTACGACGTCCTCACAGCCTCGGTCATCTCATCAACGCGAATCCGCAATCGAATTGTTCGCGCTACGGAGCACGTCCGGCAGTACGATGCCGCAAGCGACAAGGGTCAAGGACAGTCTCGACCGGTGGTGTTGCTGCATGCGCGGCCCAGGGAAGTCTGCAAGCTCATCACAGTGGTGGAACAGTGCAAACGGATCTTGAAAAAGGAGGGCCGCCCATTTTACCAGTACAATCAACTCTTCGACCTGCCGCCCGAAGCTAAAAAGCCGGAGATCGTGGAGGCCACCGTGCTGCAAGACGCCGAAGACGAGGAGTCAGAAGAGGATGATTTTGAGGTCATGGAATCCCGATTCGAGCAGGCGATCCGGCCTCCACCGGATACCAAGGTCATCAAATCTCTGAGAATATTCATCGCCCCGATGCTGGTCCCCGAGCTGAAGCAGATGAGCGACGTGACATTACAGGCGGTTGGTGGAAGCTAGATGTTGGTTCACAAGTTCGCCCACATCGGCGGCAAGTTTGTGCCGCGTTACGATTCGAACGAAACTATTTGCGATTTATGGCGTCCAGGTCACGGAGAAACAACCAAGGAAAAGTACGAGATACCCTCAAGTCTATAGAAACAATACTAAACAGTTTTCACTTTACAAACATGGAGCAAACAACCCAAATCATCATTCCTCCTCTTCGCGATCAACTGCGCGTCCCCAATTGAAGAGCCAACAAGTACACCTCTGCCCAGATCCACCCCCGTACCCAATTGCATAGACAAGAGACTTTCATCCTCGTATTCTCCCATTGACCACCTTATCGGTAAGAAAATCCAGGTTTCCCGGAGCTGATAGGTGGTTCGCTTTTAGGGCCTTCCATTTACAATTGGCCGTCCTGCTGCTTCTTGGAGCGATCGGTAATCCTCAGAACAAAGTTCACGACGACGGCCAGCAGGAGAATAATGGCCAGAACCGTAGGGCCGAACCGGTCATCGAACCCGGCCTGTCCTCGCACCCTGATCGACTTGGCTCTCCAGTGGTAGGTAATTAAGGCGTAGATCATGGTCAACATGGCGACGCCGGTGAAGAGGAAGGCCGAGATGAAGGCAGTGCGGTCGCCAAAGTTGAGCATCCCAATCGCCAACGCGCCCAGGACAACAGTGAAGTTCAACCAGGACAGAAAGGTACGCTCGTTGGCGAAGAAGACCTTGGGCTCGACTCGCGTGGGAAGGGCAATGCGCTTGCCTAAATGGAGCTGTTAGCTTTCTCGTCGCTTAGGCGTAGATAACAGGAAGATCGCGTACCTGGAGCGGTCTGGAGAAGAGGCTGGGAAGACATGGTGGCGATGTTAAACCCCTCGTAGCAACGCTTTTGTTGATATGATGTCGATCCGGAGCTCCTGAAGCAGTGTTTTCTCGATTGGGCTGTTGGTTGGGGGCGGGAGCGGCAAATAGTAATATCCAAAATCAATGCTGGTCCGGGCGAGCTGCAGGGCGGCTTTTAATTCCTCTGGAGCAATACTCAATGGTTTTCCTCGATATGAAGGGGGGATAAAATTCCAAGGGAGCAAAGAGCTAGACGACGGCTGGGAGTGACGATTTCACACAAGGCCCCCACCTAGCCTGAATTGGGAACATTTAGAGGGCACGTGGGGAGTTTCAGCGCCGACAACAACTCCATGGTTGGATTTGGTCTCCACTCGTTCCGGTGTGGTTCGTGCCTGGGTTGACTTAGACAATCTTCATCCAGAAAATTCACAATTGAATGCTCTGCATACGCTTTGGTGCATTAAGATGATATAAAATTCGACATGCTTCTGTGGTATCTACCCTCTAGGTTTTTTTTGCCCATGTTGTCATATATGCATCTGTATTTACCTAGCATTAAATGAGCTGCCTCAGTGGCTTCCTTCTTAGGTAGGTAGGTAGCTCAAGAGATGCTAAAGCACGTGACCCAGGCGGTTGCCCCGCGAGAGCATCACTATCGGACAGGCCACCGACCAAAAGGGAAATGGGACTAGAACGTCAACAGTCGTACCGCGTTCGAATTGTGGCCATACAGACGCGATTCCTCTTTTTTCAAGGTATGCATGCATGCAATTACATCTCATCACCCCATTTTTTCATTTACCAATCCCCTGATAGCCTTTGCTAATTCTTGATAAAGACAACATCCTCGCTCAGACCCCTTATTTTGCTTCGTGTGATCAGTAAACAGCAGCATTCTTCAAAATGGCTACTCCTGTGAGTAAAACAATCCTACAGCGGATCATGTCCTTAATAGCCATCATTACTGACTCATGTTTCTTCCCGCAGCCTGTCTCTTTCACTCGCCTAAAGCAGATTGCTACCGATGTATGAGACCCCGACCGACTTGATTGCCTCTGCCGAACATGGCGCCATGAATCATGCGAACATAACGAACCTAACGAGGAGAATAGGTGTGCAACAACGCCATTGGAAGCGTCGAGTTCTACGACCACGCGAAGACCGAGGAATGGAACTCTTCTATTATTGTCAGTCGCATACCCACCTAGACGAGGGAGAGTAAGGGCCGGACTCTAACGTTTAGCACCTCCAGAACGCCCTTTTGAAGGCCGTCATCTCAGAGGCTACCCCCCAGGGCGCCACCAACCCTTCATACAAGTTCGCCTGCAACAGCACCATAGTGCAGCACCTCGTCCCTACGTCGGCCCTGAACAAGGCCCGCGGCGGCAGCGAGACCAAGGAGGAGCCTCACATCTCAACCAGCTCCGAGGCCACCGCCACAGACGGCAAGCCTCACGTCGGCCGCCGCGGCATGCACAGCGCCACCGGAGCCTACTGGGACGAGAAGAAGGATGGCATGTGGACATACAAGTACGACGGCGGAGAGAGCAAGGGACTGGACGTGGTCATCATGTTGATCTGGGTTGCTATCTAAAAGGGGTTTCCTGACGGATGTTGGAAAAGTATCGCATGCATGAGGACTTTTGCTCTGTGTTTGCCAATTCTATATCGGCATCGGGTCCAGAGGCCAGCAAAAGGTCCCTTTGGTACGACATTTCGCCCTCCTAATAACACCTACCTGTCCAAATTTCTGTTAGTAAATTTTTGTAAGCTGCTGTCAATGCATACGCGGATGACGAGTTTGGTTTTTTAAAGCATGAAGTCATTTCAATGATTAGCTGGAAATTTAAGGGGCTGGCCAATCAAACCAATGCCAGGCGTATGATCGTTATCTGCTTACCTGAAGGCACCTAAATACATGTATTGCATGACGGCATTGGAGCATTGATATCGGAGCCTTGCCTATAAATAATCTAGAGAGGGTAATGGACACTACGTAATGTGCTCCAGAGAGAGGAGACAATTGACGCTGAACGCCATTTGTAAGTCGTTTAAGTAACCCAGAGCGGGTTTTGTTTATTCTGCAAGATAGCGCCTCGCGAAAATTGAGGCGAGCTTGAAACCGCTTGTCTCTTGCGTGTTCTTTTTCTTCTACTGGCAGATTCCGGAGCCCGACGAAGTTGGCTATCCGGTTACCATTACCGAGCCAGACAATAAAGAAATCAAATGCACCGTTTAGTATAGGCTATCCGTATTGCTTGCAGGTTCTTCTCTCGCATTCGGGGCATTGGCCAATGCAGATTTGAGAATAAAAGAAAATTCCGAATATCTGTGACGAAATACGTAGGTATATCTGATAGGGTCTGGCCAAGGCAGACCTTCATCTTGAAAGCGCAAGATTAAATCCAGAATTTAGCGAGAAATAGACTGGCCTTGGAGCTTTTGATCTCAGGGCGTATATATGATATAATCGCCTGAACAAAATTATGAACACCCCCTTATGAATGATCAGGTTGCAGTATGGGTGATATTGGGAGCCGAGCGGCTTTTAGTCGGCATCTCTTCAATTAGAGTGTAGTATAACTCTTCTAGATCTGAAAAATGAAAGCTATCTTGAGTTTTGGAATCCTATCGAGGCATAATAAAGTCAGCAAGGAGACTAATAATAGAATTTCCGGGAATATTTCGACTGATGGGATGGTTGTAAAATGTTTAAAAGAGGCACTTGCCTCTTTAACACATTCAGAAAATGCGAGCCAGCAGGATCCTCGTGCTTTCAGGGTGTTATGGACACATTCATCCTCTTCAAACCTCTCGTCGAGTGATATTTCTTTCGCTGCCTCTTCCGCTCTAAGTCAGCACTGACTTCAGCTCTACACTCTCGAAGGGAGCTCACCCGGAGCTATGAGCCTGCAGTTTCCGAGATCGTAGATCTTGCAAGCCTCAGATCCAGTTGGGGTACATGCAAGTGATACGATAAGTCTAAATGAAACGCATCACAAAACTGTGTATGTCTCCAACAATGAAACAGAAATGAAGAGTTCTCATTGCAAGAAGCATATAAATAGTTACGGAATACGTACTTAAGCAAAAAGGAAAAGGAATTACATGCTTCTACGTACAGCTTCGAAAATAAAATACTCAATATTTGCAGTTGAAGCAATGGTGCTACTATAACCATCTCCTTACCAGTGTTACTAAGGCAGAACTATAACAGTCGGTGCTCTTGCCATAGTCGTTGATAAGTCCTGGAGGAGGTACAGTACTCCCTGGTTCTTCAATGATGGCAAGGGAATATATACACCAAAAAACCAAAATTATCATACGCCCCACTGGCGCAATGGCTAGCGCGCAAGACTTCTATTTGGGTCATCTTGAGGTTGTGGGTTCGAGTCCCACGTGGGGTTATCTGTGTAACCTTCATCTACTGAGGTCCTTTTTGCCGTCGTGTGCAACATATCTTGAAGTTCTGGGTTTCTCTTTGCTTTTTGCATCATTCAAACTATCGAGGACTCTGTTTGCTATCAGGTGCAAGAAGTGACCTATACGTAGATTCTTAACCGGCTATTCCTCTAAAACTGTAGATGATAGTTTACCAAATGTACTAAAGCTCACAAATTCAGACAACCGGGTAATGGGAACAGACTTGGTGTGTACCATCCCACCCACGTTGTAGTTCTCCCGTTCCCCCAGTACCGAAGGAAAGAAGACAAGAATTGGTTGGTACGCATAGAGCATAAGATGCGACTCCCTGTTGGAGGTGTTTCCCCCCAGTTTTCATGGCGTGAGCGTGGGGGGATTCATGCATCACGAGGGCAGGAAAAAAAAATTACCAACGATGCAAGCAAACAACAGGACTTCGGCGCAATCAAGCTGGACGATGAGAAAGGTGCGGAATTAGGCGCCAGCGTGGGATGATTGGGTTGTGGGAAGTGGCGTCTGCGACGTCCAGAGAGGGTAGCATGACATATGCAGAGCCAGGAACAGGGTGGGCGTGCAGGCGGACGAACACTCCATGTTACGGTACCTACCAACTTGGAGGTTGATTTCCTTGGATATATCGGGATGGTACGGAGCAGGCTGGAGGAGATGGGCAGCCGCTGACCGGGCATCCTCCTCTGCCTCGCCGCCAGGCACATTCCTCTTGATCGCTGCGTCAGGGTCCAGCTCCTGCTTTACTCTGTAGCGGGCGGGTGTCCATAATGATGTCGTTTGCCCAGGAATGAGTGGTCCGAGGTGGAGAAATTGGTGAGGCTTGCCGGAGATCGTCTCCGCTTTGACGGTTGGTATCTGTTTAGCAGTGTTTGGCGGCGGGGCTCGTGTCTCACTCCAAGATATGATTGACAGTGAGAGTCCTGATACCAAGAGAAAGGTGGAATCTCGAGGGCAGTACATATGGAGCCGGCGTGGGAAGCGAAGGGATCAGCCTGCTGCACGTCGTGTTGGCAAGTACCTGATCATCCGCCTGTTCATGGCCGGGACCGTGGTGGATGGATGGATGCTGTAGGTACATGAGAGGCTCGGGTTTCCGAACGGGGACCGCCGCATTCAATGAGACTCCAGTCTGCTCGCGTCGCGGGTAAGGGAAAAAGGAAGAAAGCGCTGACCCGGACTTAGCCGAGACCATATCTCAGATCAGGCGACAGACAACTCGACGAAAGCATTTTTCTTGTGGCACAAAGAGCTGGGCGACAGCTGGCCACTCGTACCTCTAAGTACACCGGTGCCCAAAGCGCTCCAGGTACCTCGCGCCCCCGGACGATTAATCCCGTCTGAGCACCAAATCGGTACCAACCAGTTTGAGTGTGGTCACGATGGACTGCTTGAATAGCCAGAGGCCCACCTGGGGCGAAAGACCTTCTACCCTGCGCAATGGCATCAGTCCCCGGGCACTTAGCCGGCCGTTTACGTCGGTCAGGGCCAGGAGAATGCCTCTGCAAGTGGAAGGGAAGGCTCCGGCCTAAAGATCTCCTCCAGCCCATCACATCGTCTGATGCACGGTTGCATCCACAAAATGGAGCCCAGCGAGTCCATCGAAGCAGAATGCAGCCAACCAGGCCAGCGACGGCCTCTTACTGTGTTTGATCTGAGCTTGTACCCCCATATGTATGATAGCAATTTATGGGCTCCCAGCTTTCTCCAGTTGTCTAGTCTGCCCGGTCCCAACCCCTGTCCTGTGGCTTTTCGACGAGTCACGATGCACGACTCGCTCCTAGTATGAGACCAGTCTCCATCCGACTGCAGCCCCGTCCCTGTTGCCCTCTTTAAAGGCTTTATCACCCTGCCCGCTGCCGGTCCCGTCCGTCGCGTGGTGGCAATTCTCGATCTTTCCTCCATCATCGGCCCTCGACTCCCAACTGCCAGGCCGGTAGCCACACGTCAAGACTAACGTTTTTTTCTCCCTGCCAAGGCTAAGCCAGCACATCTCGGCACCTTTATCAATCGACCTCCCTCTTCCCCTTGCCCTGGTCACACCTGCTTTCCAACTGATGAACTCGCTATTGAAGATCTATCCCCACAGCACACCTTCGCACTCAACAACTCATCATCACAGGCTGCTTCCATCTTGACTTAAGTCAACCCCAGATTGGTTAAACTCACAACTCACATCAAAGCCCGCAAAGACCAGAGAAGACTACAGAAACTCAAGAATAACCTAGTCTTTTCCAAGTTTATCTGGGAGATACACTTTATCTTAGGTCTGCTCTCAGATCAGCGTATCCACGAGCAGCCACTACCATACTCTTATCAACCATGGTCCAGGTATTCACTGACCCGGCCGTTTCTCGCCATGCCACCGCCAACTCGGTCTCTGATAAGCCAGAAGGCGAGGTCATGTCGAGGGAGGAACATGCCCAGCGCATGAAGGAATTGGCCGCCAAACGGGGTATGAAAAGAGCCCCGAGCAGAGGATGGTCCATGACAGACTACCAGGGAGACTACACTCCTCCCTCCGTGCCTCAACAGCAAACCATCACACCCCAATTGGAACGCCATGCTCCCATCCCAGAGCACTCTCCTTGGCCACCGTCCACAGCTGCATCACCAGCACCCTCACCTGCCACCACTCAGCCGGCGCCGCCCAAGGATGGAACCGTCCAATTGCCTCGGCGGCCAAAGCTCCCTCCCCCTCGCCGCTCCCACTCGGTCATGGACTATGAGCCAGTACCAGTTAATCAGCCTAAGCCCTCATCACGCCTCACCCTCCTCGACCTCCCCTCGGAACTCCACTACCTCTTCTGCGACTACCTTGACCCCATTGACAGCGTGTGCTTCGGCCTCGCCCACTCCAAGCTTTACACCATCCACCGCCGCAAGTACGGCAAAGTCGCCCTCTCGAGCCGCTACTCCGGCCCCAATGACTTGGAGTGGGCCTGGCGCGGCGCGGGACCCTTGGTTTCTTCTCCCAACCAGGATTCCACCAGCGAGAGGGCGCACATGCGCATCAAGGGCCAAGTCTACTGCCGGAAGTGTGGCATCTCCCGTTGCGAGCTCCATCGCCACCTGAAGGAGTGGATGGGCGAGGAGATGGAGTACTGCGAGATCCGCGAGACGTACGGCAAGCCCGCCAGCGAGGAGCGGAAGCCGTACTGCTACATGAGCTCACCAAGGAACCCTCACCGATGCGGTCGACATGGAGGGAAGAGCCGCAACTAGGCTGGGTTGAGTTTCGACAACCAAGAAAGAAGAATTATTTCAATTATCAAGTATTTTTTACACGAATGGAGCGGGGTATCATCAATATATAACACACATTGATTGAAGGAAAATTAAGATTATTTTTCTGCACCTAATCTACCAAAGGCGTTGAGCGAAAGGAATGGGACGACGCAAAAGGACATTGCTCCAGCCGGAAAATCGGAATGAGGAGCATTGATGAAATGTATGACAGCAAGCTATCTTTCACGCATCTAACTTGAGAGAAGTTCAGAGAATTTCAACCTCAAAGAAGGGTGGTCGCGTGACCGTTTTCTTTTTTTGTTTTTTCTTCTCATCTGCTTTAGTTCCAAATGAGACAATCATTTTCACTTTTTAGGGTCGATCACTTCATGCAGGTGATACGTCAATAGATCCTAGCCCAATGATCTAGATTCCCTCCCGCGTTGTTTACCAATGGCCACCCTCCAATTCCCAACAACTTTACCCCAATCGTATGGTCGGCGACCCCTCAAATGGCAATTCGAGATCCTTGCATGACCCTACCTCGTTTCATGTCGGTGAGTGGCTGTTTGGAGGGCCTGCAGCCAAGGCTCTTATCGTCGTCTGTTATACAGTAAGGCTACGACTACTTACCTTAATAAAACAGTGTCACGGGTAGCTAATCAGACTGGATTTCAGATATAATTCTATTCACATATTAAATTCATTACTCATAGGTGCCAAGGCACTCTCCATTCCGCACCCTTGCACTGCCCACGGGTCGCAACCCAGTCCTCGATCCCCCGAACGAACCAGCCGCTCATCCAATTCTCCTGGGGTTCCGCCTTGGGCCCGCCGAGCTTGAAGTTGCGGCTGACGCAGCACGCGCCCCGGTTGTACCGCCACTGGAAGCACGTGCGGTTCCCGTGGAAGGCGGCGTCCTCCTGCCGCTCGTCGTAGAGGGTGCGGAGGAGCTCCCCGCGCATCCTCTCCGAGTTAAGGGAGTTGTACTCGTCCTCGGGGACATCGAGGCCCTGGGACTCGCAGATATTGGCGCAGGCGGCGGGCGACATGTGGGCGCGCCTCTCGACGACCGTCTTCTCCTCCTCCGGCTTCTGGCGGCTCCTGTCCTTCTGGCTGGCGCGGGCCTGGCTCTTCTCGTCGGGGCCTATGAAGCAGAGGTCGTCGGACATGTTGTCCCAATCTTGCCTGGTTGGGGCCAGGTGTGGCTCCACAAACTCATGGAATGTATGCTTTATCAGGAGATTGCTCTGTTGGTTTCCAGGTTAGTGTCACGATATCCAGACAGTAATGTGTAGGCTAGGTTATCGAACTTACAGCCATCTCCCGCCTCTGTTCGAACTGCCACATCCGGCTAACCTCCTCTGGGCTCATGTGGTGCATGGTCAAGAGAGGCTCGCACCAGTGTCCCAACCCGTACGGGAACGTGCTGGGCTTCTCGCCGTTGAACATGGGATGGGCCTGCTTCATCCGCGTGCCGACCTCCTCGGCGGCTAGGGCGACGAGGTAATCTCCGCAGCAGTTCTTGGGCGCCTGCTCGTCGTACTTGGCGGCCAGGTTCGGGCTCCCCTCCACCATCTTCCTGATCAGCTGGCCGGACATGACGTACCCACTGCCGCCGTGGGCGAACGCCTTGCCCCCGGCCATGGCGGCGCTGCCGACGTACACGTCGCCCTCGGGAGCCCGCTCCCGGAGCCAGTGGACGAGGTTGGGCCAGACGATGTAGGTGTCGGCCTCGGCAAAGACGTACCAGTCCATGTTAGGCTTGTGCTCCCAGGCGCGCTCGACCATGTTGAGGAACTTGTACTTGTCCAGGTCCCACGCGCCCTCGAGGCCCAGGGTGCACTGCTGCTGGGAGACGTGGCAGTTGCGCTGGGCGTCGTAGAGCTTGAACTCCTTGTGTGTCTTTCGAATAGTTTCGTCGACACGGTCAAGGACATCATGCAGCTTGTGTTCGCCGATTTGTTGATTCTATGACAGAGGTTCATCCCGCGTTAGCATAACAAAAGCTTATACGAAAGATGTGATGAATTTTTAGGGGCGGTGGAAAACAACATACCAGATCCGAAAAGAGCAGGACGTTGGGAATACACTGCAAGCTTGTAAGAAGCTGGGTCGGAATTTTGGAATAAGACTCAGTGGCGCCAGTCTTCATCACCACCACAATGCCTTCAGTGTCAGGGAAATCCTTGCACTGAGATGACACTGCAGGTCTAGAATGCTCTCGGGCGGGACGAGGAGGAGGCCGAATAACATCCTGCTGCAGTGCCGGAGGGCCGGATGTGTTCTCAGTGACGGGGGCCTCTGTGGTGCTTGAGACGGTACCGGCAGCATCTGCTCTCTGATGCCAGTAGTCATCCTCCTCAAAGTAATCACTCAGATGATCGTAGAAGCCTGTATAGCTAGGCGAGCGGCCCAAGTGCCAAAAGGGCATGGTGACGAAGAAAGTGAGCGCCACCAGCAGCGGCACTCTCCAACTGCGCTGGGTCAACATCATGTCGTCACCTTACCATTCCCTTGCCCAATTTCAGATTGAAAGTAGCTAGGATAGCTGTCTGCTCAGGAGCAAGTCGGTTGATAATGGCCTTTGTTAAATGGAAGGGATATCCCCCAAGGTTAGAAGCGAAGGAGTGAATGAGTGAGTGAGTGTATATTGACGGTTGCCTTTCAAGCAATGTCGCCTGCCCACGTATTAAGAAAACTCATAAGCCAAAGACGGGACTCGCAGAATATCTTAGAAATTATCAAAGAAATAGGCATAGGTCCCAGGGGAAAGGTTGCATGAAATGGAGGGTGAGGACCCAGATCTGGGGGGAGAAAAACACGTCCGCATGGTGGGCGGATAGTGAGAAAACTGCATGTCGATCAGCAAACGGCCTGCCGACGTTACTCGGCCACTCTCATCCCTCGTACAGAGAGAGGGCCAGGAATTGTGGATGCATATTTAGAAAGTCAATGGTTTCGAACCAGCGTCTACGTGTGGCACCACAATTTCAGCGCTCAGGACTGCAGATCACACAGGGGATGGAGGGAGGTCCGCGATAGCTCGAGGAGAGAAATACAGACACAAGCTGGCAAAAGGTAAACAGCACGTGGTGGGTCGCCGAGGTTAAGATTAGGGAATTGTTTGTTCAAGGGGTTTGGAGAGACGATCGACGAGCAGCTGTTGGACAGACGGTGAGAGGCGAGGAAGGATAGCTCACTGGCTGTGCTACGTTATCCGGGCGAATGATATCGGTCCCTGAGCGAGTTCTCACATTGAGACCCCTGGCTGGGGTTGATAGCAATGTCCATCCATTCCGAGCAGTTCCCTCGGAGAATGGATATGCACTTTTGATTTTGTCGGTGGCAGGGTCCTGCTGTTGAATTTAAGTTGGATACCAATAAGCAGATTCGAGCCTTGGCGAACACCCAACATCGAACCTCAAAATCAGAGAGGGTCTTGAATACCCTAATAATAAACATTGAAGGCGGCGACCTGCAGCGCGTCTTCAGCTCGCTCATAGTGAACAGACAAAAGCATCAGGCGTCCCACACATATTCAGCTGCATTTTCCCCTCTCGTGGAGCACGTCCTGGCCATGTTGCGTCATAGTAGGACCCCCAAACCCTCATTTGAACGCGTGTTTCAGAGTCGAAACACCAAGGCGTGACTAGGATAAGATCGACAACCCTCAGGGATCAGCGGTTCGCGAGTGACGTCGACAACGGACCAGGAAGAGGAATCTGGGATACTGATACGGCGCTTGGACAATATCAAGGCCCCGCCCTAATTAATTGCTTGCAAAGATCGTCCTTGAATCGCACAATATTTTGCCTAGTCACGTTAGATATATCTATGGGTTCCCTCTTGATAGGCGCTCACTACGCCAAGAAATTTTCACCTATAGACATTATGTAGATTTCTCTACCCTCATACCAATGTGCTGACTACTTTTGCGCTGGCCACACTTTTCTGCCACAAGAGCTGTTTCAACCTAGTCACAACGTTGCTCAGCATGAACACGTTTTATGTCAGTATGCTACATGTAATGTCAGGCATGCACGATAAATTTCTACCCTGAAGCGACTGGGATGGGCTTCGTGGGCGCTTATGAGATTTGCATCGATCCGTTGTGAGGTCCAAGAATGAGGCAGGAGAAATCCTGCTGCGATCATCGGGGCTACGGTTGGCCAAAGCGAGCTTCAATTGCAAGAAACCTGGCTTAATTTGATTATCACTTTATCAGTGGCTAATATGATCCACAAACACGCTAAATCATTGAGTAGATGTAGATAAGGACATTGGCAGCTAATTGCTATATACCTCTTCCGCATAGATAGCAGTATCCATGGCAAATATTCGACCACAATCATAGGTAGAGCGACGACTTTCTCAGCGGGCATGCAGAACGTCAACCCTTGAAACGACGCAGCTCTCTGTTGTAACAGGGCCGACACTTGTGGCCACTAATTTCACAGTTTCGAGTGCAACGGTTGTTCGTGTTACCAGTATTGTGTTCAACTTCACACAAATGATCCTTAACTCGAACCATATTCCTCGGTAGGACCGGGTGCCCTTATGCGGTCCGCACACTATGTTTGAGCATGTTAACAAATAATGCTTAAAGGTTTCCATCTAGACATTACCGGCCGCCATTTCTAGAAAATACTACATGCTGTGCCAGCTGGGCGAGCCATGGACAACCGTGATGTGAAATCGGTACTTGACGTGTAGGGTAGGTCATTATTACGGTAGGATCGACAGGTAGTCGTCCTAATGATGTTTTACGAGCTATAGCCAGTCTTCGAGATGTACTGAGAGATGTACTTTAATATGGGAATCAAAGCTCCTCCAAAATCATGATAATCTACACAAGTGCGAAGAAGCTGCTCAAGCACGGGTTGCCACAAGATTAGGGATGAAACGAATTAGGCTTGACCAGCAGTTGAGGCTAGGTTAACTGGCTGGCGCATTCGAGGATTGCTGGATGTTTCCATCATGGTTTTGCCTTGTTTGTAGCATATCATGCAACGACTTAGGTCGCTGCTTGAAATGTGTGCCAGTCAAATTTGCGGGGCCTTGCTTGAACCTAAGAGGTGAGCTTTCTCGGATGCCCGCCCGGTGATACATTACTAGGACGTGTTAATAGCGCGCATAGCAGCGATTGATGCAAATCAGTTGGTCTGAAGCCCTACGCAAGGTATACGATAGGTACAGTGATGTGTATAGTATAGGTAAACATACATAGGCAGGTATGGGGTGCCGGGATACGGGTTTCCATTGGGGATGTGACGATGATTGAAGTGGGCTGCGGTTTCTGAAAATTCGCAAGTTGCAGGCCAGGTCTTCAATGGTATGTGACTCCCAACAAAATCATGCATTGAGCGCTGTCGCTTGATGAATTTCTTTTTTCCTTGCCACGCCCACGGGTTTCAGCTGGCGGCTACACAAGGAAATCTTTTGGTGTTAGTCATAATAGGTGAGTCGTCCCCAAGACGCACCGATGCCGGTGCCCCAAAATTTTACTCTTTTCTTACCGCCCTTATCAAGTACCTATCAAGAACCCTCCGTGTCCCGCCTCCGTCAAAGCTAACTCATCCAAACCACCTCGTCAACCTCGTCGTACACCCATCCCAAATCACGTCTTTTCTTACTCCGTTCTAGAATCCTTCTAGCCCCATACCTTCAACATGTCAAAGGGTCGTGTTTGTCTGTGAGTCTTACCCCACCAAAACACACACGCACAGGCACAGGCACAACTTGCCTCGTCTGGGTCACTCATGCTAACATTCCCGCCTCAGCGCCTACTCCGGAGGTATTACGCCTAGCCCAGCTCAATCCTTGGCCTGCGGATAGCTGACAATCAATGAACCAGGCTTGGACACTAGCACCATCTTGAAGTATCTTTGTCTTGAAGGATATACCGTTGTTGCCTGCGCCATCGACGTCGGTACGTCTTTGACTTCCTTTCCACACATTGTGCCGCTTTGATGCTGACTTCTACCAGGACAAGAAGAGAATTGGGATGAAGTGAAGGAGAAAGCCCTCGCCGTAGGCGCGGAGAGGATGATTGTCCGGGACTGCCAAAAGGAATTCGTAGAGGAGATTGTTTGGCGCGCCGTCCAGTGCAACGCAATTTATGTGCGTGACCCAGGATTCCAAGGCCTACTTCCTCAATATCAGTTGGCCGAATATTGGGGGCTCATCTTTCTCCTTCATGTTGCTAACGACTTTAATAGGAGGACCGATACCTTCTTGGAACGAGTCTGGCTCGTCCTATATTGGCACGCGAGTACGTGAATTTTTCGTTTCTTCTCATGACTTTTGGCAAGAATTCATCTCTTGAAAGACCTACGGAGACCTGTTGGTGATAGTGATGGTGGTGGTGATGTTGGAGGGGGGGATTTTTCCACCCCTCTTTGACCAGCACCCCGGCTTTGGGTTGTCGAATCCCTTCATCCTCCCCTCCGCGCCCCAGCAGCAGACTATTGAATCCAGGAGATTGTGACCTCCCGAGATTCACAAAGGCCTTGTGGTTATGAGAATGAGTTTTTGTTTTTTGAGCATTGAGTAACTGTTGCTGACCTCACTCTTTCTAGGCTGGTTAAAGTCGCTAAGGAGTTCAACTGCGAGTACCTGAGCCACGGATGCACTGGTAAGTAGTTCAAACAGCCGTCGTTTATACCATAACTAACACGATGAAAAATAGGCAAAGGAAATGACCAAGTCCGATTGTATGTTCCAGATCGCAGTATTCTGAAGAATCATGGCTAACATGCGATAATAGTGAGCTTGCCTGGCATGGTATGACTCCTACTTGAACCCCCTGAAGCCCACTGGTTCGAATTCTACCCCGCGATCACATTCAGCTAACTCTTGGAAGCGCTGGCACCCGGCATCAAGATCATCGCTCCTTGGAGGGACTCCGCTTTTATCGCCAAGTTCCAGGGCCGCGCAGATCTCCTCGAGTACGCCAGGGTCAACAACATCCCTGTTTCATCCACCCCCAAGGCTCCTTGGAGCATGGATGAGAATCTCGTACATTGTTCATACGAGGCTGGCATACGTAAGTTTAGCCTTTCAACGGTTCGCTGTAGGATTATTGCTAATTCGTTGATAGTGGAGGACCCCAACACAGCACCTCCCAAGAAGATGTGGAAGATGACCGTTGACCCCATCGATGCTCCTGACAAGCCATACCACTTCTCTATTGACTTCGAGAAGGGTATCCCTGTCAAGGTTACAACTGAGGATGGCACGGTGGCTACTGAGTCTGTTGAGTTGTACAAGTTGCTAAACAAAATTGGCCATGACGGTAAGAAACTTCTCCATTTGCCCACAACCCACTTGCCCACAACTCCCATGTAATGCTAATTGTTTAACAGGAGGAATTGGTAGGGTGGATATTGTTGAGAATAGGTTCATCGGTGAGTTTTTCAAAATTTTTGAGAGCTAGGTTGCCAGAGAGTGCTGTCGCCATCTTTCATTCGATGGATGTCGAATTCAGATCGATGAAAATGATGTAGCACCTCTGGGCAGCCCTCTCCCCAGTGGCCGAGACCGAAGTGCAGTCAATACTGACAGGGAATTTTGTAGGTCTAAAGAGTCGAGGGTGTTACGACTCCCCCGCCCAGACAATCCTACGTCTGGCTCACAGTAAGAAACTTGCATCAGTTGATGAGCGAAGATTTGACTAACAACTCCCAGTCGATCTTGAGGGTCTCACTCTTGACTCCAAAGTTCGGGAACTCCGTGACACATTTGTCACCACAGCATGGAGTCGCCAACTCTACAATGGCATGTATTTGTGAGTACCACATCCTGAATTTGGAAACCGTGCCGTACTGATGACTGAGTAGCTCTCCCGAGCGTGAATTCACCGAAAAATCCATCGTTGCTGCCCAAGATGGAGTTAACGGCACCGTCAAGTTGATGGCCTATAGTAAGTCTTGTCGCAATCCTCTCACCTCTTTTAAATTGATAGATATGGCCGGGGGAACAGCACTGACTTTGAATACTACAGAGGGCAACGCCTACACTGTCGGCCGCAGCAGCGAGACCAGCAACCTCTACAGCGAGGAAGACGCCTCGATGGATTCGCTGGACACTTTCAGCCCGTTGTAAGGCTCTGAATCACCTCTTTCCCACTGCTTGACTGCAATTCACTAACCCCCTCATAGGGACACGACTGGGTTCATCGCTATCCAGGCCATCCGACTGAAGAAGTACGGTGAGGCCAAGATTGCTTCCGGCAATTCTCTCATTTAATAAAAAAATGAATCCTGTTTGTTGGAGACAGACATGCATTGAGAGTAAAATTAAAAAAAAAAGATTAGGTTTAGCTTTTGAGAAGTAGATCTATGTCTCTGTACTTTAGGTCTGCATATAAAATGAAACACGACTAAAAACGAACTGTTGAAATATAGGTAGATTTGAGATGCCATACTTTCGACTAAGGTAATTAATAAAGACGTCGGCAAGCACGGAAATGGTGCAATCCCGGGGTTATTTGACGTACATCAACGCCAAGTGCTGCGTGTCATAGTCAGGTCCCACCAAATCCTCCACGTTGCTACGCCCGCCTTCCTAAATAAACGAGCGAGCTGTGTCGGCTTCCGAGGCTTGTGATTTCCTGTGCCCTACTCTCGGCTCTTGCCTGTGCTCATAGCCCCGCCGCCATGACAAAGCGTGCGGTATAGCCTTCGTAGGAATTGGGTGCTGAGAAGACCCCTACAATAAAGTCAAGCTCGATCCCAGCACCGTAGACGAGCCTTCTCTTAATCTACGAGTGATGACTCAACGACCTGTTTCGGTTCGGGTTGCGGCCCACCACGGCGCATTGTTGTGCCCTTGATTCTTATCACGTTCCGAAGACAAATCGCGCGGCAGGACCCTTTTAGCGCGCACGTTGAGCCGATTCATGAGTAATGGGAATCCGCAAACCTCCTAGCGTTTCCCTCCAGATCGGCTTCGCCCCTTGCACGATAGCCTACTAAAAGGAGGTGATTCCTTATCGGTGGAATTTGATGCCCCTTGCGCAGGTTTATCAATCTATGATGCCTACTCTCTTAGAAGACTCATCAACTCCTCTCACTCTTAAACTCTCGAGTTTGCCTTGCCATTGATCTGAGAGCGCTTTCTCTCCTTCTCTCTCTGCGATATACCCACTCACCTGTCCGTCACGCCTACGCGGCCCCTCTCAGACCTAATCTCGAGAGACCCCGCCCTGCTGGCTCAGGGTCCTGATAGATATCAAAGTCTTGTTTCAACAGACCCGGTGTGGTTGGCCCTGATAGAACCCTCCATACCAGTTGGACCCCAATGGTCTCAGCATATCCCACCCTGACGTACGGAATTCGAGTGGCCCAGGGTCTCTGCTACCCTGTCTTGGTCCATGACTATGGCGGACCATCGTCCATGTGAACACCAGCCTGTTCAGACCAGCGCCGTGCTGGTTCTGAATGCCACAAAGCGGCCCCTCATCCCTCCACCCTCTCCACCCACGCCCTCTCTACTGTCACCACCGGATAGCGCCTGCGAGACACCGGAAGCACTTGATCTGAACACACCTGTGAATTTAATTAATAAGAATGACGAAGTAGAGAGGAAGTGGCTCAGCGATGGCTTGCATGTCTTGCAGACCGAGGCCGCCGCTCTTGACAGCCTAGCAACCCTTTATCAGACCGACCCGACAGCCCGGCGCGGCTTCACCACCGCCGTCGACGTCATTACACGGCAGAGGAGGCTCGGCGGGAGACTCATCATAGCCGGGGTGGGCAAGTCGGGCCACATTGGCAAGAAGCTCGTCGCTACCTTCCAGAGCCTCGCCATCCCAGCCGTGTTCCTGCATCCCACCGAGGCCCTGCACGGCGACCTGGGTCTCCTGGGGCCCCACGACATCGTCATGCTCATCACCTTCTCCGGGAAGACGTCTGAGCTCCTGCAGTTGCTCCCCCACCTGGACGAGGCCCTGCCCCTCGTCGTCCTCACGGCGCACACGCGTCAGGAGACGTGTACCATCTTGACGCACCGCCCCGACGGGATCCTCCTCCCGGCGACCATCCCTGAGCCGGAGACGACCTCGTTCGGCGTCGCAGCCCCGACCACGTCCACCACCGCTGCGTTGGCAGTCGGGGACGCCCTCGCGATCGCAGCCGCCAATGAGCTCCATCCTAGCGTGTCGTCAGTGTTCGCGAAGAACCACCCCGGTGGATCGATTGGTGCCGCGTTCCGGCGTCGCGCCCCTCAGACCATCAGGGACCTGGCGGTGCCATGGGACAGGATGCCCGCGGTCGGCGACGACGCGCTGGGCGTGGACCTGCTGCGGGCTGGCTTCGGGGCCGCAGTCGGGTGGGTGCGGGTGGGCGAGGCCAGCGTCGTGTCGGCAGGCAGGATACGCACGCTGGGCAACGAGCAGCTCTCGCAGGTAGCCCGGTTCGTCCCTGGGCTCGTCGTCGGGAGGGCGGGCATGATTCCCATGGCGTCAGGGACTCGAGTCGACCAGGCAGAGGTTCAGCTTAGAAACTTGTGGGTCTCGAGCGCCTGCGCTCCGGACTCGGTGGTTGCTGTTGTCGACGAGGGGAGCGTCGTTGGCGTGCTGGAAGCGACAATGGTTCTGAGAGAGATGAAAGCCTGAAAGGGAGGGGGAGCACCGCTCGGCTTTATGGTAATTGACCAATCTCAGGCGCAGACGGGCGCACGTGGGCTCGCATCGGTTCAGACACTAGATGTAAACGCATTCCACCCGTCTTTGTAGAGGGAGCATAGCGTGCCGTTCACCCACCAAGGTGGACCTGCGGGGAGGGTCGAATTGGCATCCGTTCCATGTCCGCTGGTATCTTTGACACATTATTTGCCCATTCGTACATATGTATCATGCAAGACCATGGGAGGGAGGGGTACGGATAGTGCCAAATGTATTGAGGCGGGAATCGCTGTTCGACAGGGCCGGCAGGAGCGGAAATGGCAGGCTGCAGGATGATCAGAATAGGGCAGTATTAACGGCCGGATCAGCTGGATGTAAATATAGACCGACATCACACACACACAATGAATGCACGTCGATTACCTGCTCGTATCGTTGTCACGTCGGTGAGATATGTGCGCGCGCAAAGCCTATACTCCAGCCAATCCATATCTGTGATATATGCAACGACCTTGTCGTATTCGCCCCTGTTTGCAGCAGAGCGCGCCAGTCAGACGCATCACTTGTCGATATAGAGCGGTGAATGGGGGGCACACGTTGTTAGTTGGGAGGAAAGGGCCTTTTGTCGTTGGCGGAGATAGAAACCCTGTATGAAATTGAATCAAGGACAGCTTGAGACAACGCCCTGGTCAAGAGTTTGCTGTGCCAATTGAGATGCATGGAAGCAGTTCACGATGCAATATAGGCAAGCTGACGCTGATACGGCATCGGTTTCGGGGTGTGATGCAGCACGCCGCCCTCACCAATCCCGATGACGATAAATCAGGAGCAATTGGCATAAATTGATACTGGGACCAGGATCCGTGCGTAGTGCGGGAGGGAGACAGCCGAAGAGGGTGGGGAGGAAACTAGTATAGTTGGGTAAGATTTGGTGGGACAGCTCATGAAGGAGGTGTTGAGAAGTTTGCCGAGATGCACGTTTGCGAGAGAGCTCAAGCATTGATGGTGCTGGGATTGATGAATGTTGGTTGCAACGGTCGAGTCTTCTCGCGTGACCACTTGCTTCTTCCGAATAGCGGTGGATCGCGCCGTATTTAGATGAGGCTGATCCTGGCTCCTTCAAACTGCAGCTGCGACCACGGTGCAGCTGTAGCAGAGACGGGCGGGCAACGGGGCTCTTGCTTTCTTGCAGGTCGCAGCCCAATGTCTCCCCTAAACCCCAAGCGAAATGGCGGCGGGGGCAGAGGCATTCTCTGTGCTCGCCAGCGCTCTGGAGGCTGGCTAGTGAGCTGGGTCCGCTGGCCGTGTTTCTAGATGGCAAGGGGTGTTGACATGCACGGTCGCGGGCGATATGCGGGCACCACTAGCCGCATTGTTGCGGACGGCACACGGTTGCACAGCATGCACCTAATGGTGTGGTCGCATGTGCCCTCCTACTCATTTGGGACGAGGGCGTGAATGATGGCTGAGATTTCTCGGCATGTATGTATGTGGAGCGCTAATGGGATGTGATGCCTTGGATGGAATTCGTTTTGGTGGCATTCCAGACGTCGTGCTTTCTGGCAGGTGTGAGGAGAGTCATGTAGCAGGTTGCTAGGGACTACCAGACAAATCTGTCCCTATCCCATGGTGATTGTCCTTATTAAATGGTTGTTCCTATATGAGAAGTCCGTTTTGAAGCTGCTGGTTCGCCAGGTCAGTCAATGGCCAACCTGCGGCAAACGTTGGGACCAAAAAACTTTGGTGTTTGCGACCAGGTCCAATTGGATCTCCCCGTGCATCTGTGTCCTGTTCTCATCGAGACCAGCTGGGGTGCTGGACCGGGAGTTCCCCTGAGCCAACCGTGGTCTCTATTCTCTTGATTGAGACTCGGTTCCTTTGTGTCTTCATCTGCCCTGCAGGACAGGGCGTATCGTTCGACATCCGAGGCCGAACAAACGACATACAACCTACATGTGCATACCTCAGCCGCCGTCATGGTTGCGACAACCAAGTTCTGACCGGTCCCGAGGACCTGACCGGGGCCTCTGTTGGCTGGCGCGCATAGAGATAGGATCCTTCGTTGGAGTCCTGCCACTCGTTCACTCACTCACTCGTTCATTCATTCAATTGCTCACTTGCTCACCCGCTCATTCATTCTTTTGGCTTCACGGAGCCCGACATCGTTCCGCCTGTACGTCCTCTTCCACCCTGGCGTCTTATCTGCACAAGGTTCAATCCGGCATCAACACCATCCCCCGTCTGTCGTGGTGACCCTGCCAATAACCCCGCCCAGCCATCTCAGCGACCCTCTTTTCATGCTGCCTCCTGGCTCAAGCTAGAGAACCTTACACCCGGGTCCTTGTAAGTCGCAGCTCCAGCAGTAGCGCCATGTCACTACCTGTACGGCTGACAGAGGACCCCTGGTGAAGCAAGCTAACTGTTTGATGCTGTTATGACAGGCCTGCATCTGCATCCTTCCGTTGCTCGTATGCACTGGAACTGACCCGCGGCGGCTTGTTGGAGCAACTCCATTTCCACTGCACCGATCCCCTCTCTTATCGGCAGTGTTTTCCTTTTGTCATTGCTGCTTTTGTCCCTGTCTGTTTTGATCTTTTGCTTGATAATTAATGGGCCAGTCCACTGCGACCCGAGGCTAGTCCGTCCGTCTCCCGATCTACTGTTTCCACCTCGCTTGCTCAAATCGATCTATGCACCATCCATGTCCGGCCAACCTTCGTGACTCTCCTTGTCAGTCATCGCCCTACTGCCCTCGAGTTCGACGCTAGCGGAAACGTGCAAAAGGTGGCCTACTGAGTGGTCCAGACACCAAGCCAACACCTAATTGCACCACTTTTTTTTCTTGCTCTGTGGAAACAGGACGGTATTGGCAACCCAGCCCGACTCCAATTTTTCCCTTTTTTTTCCAATTCTTGGTCATCGGCATTATTACGCTTGCTTCGTCAACCAGCAGTTTGCCTTGGCTGCTGCTGTGGGAACCTGGTTGGAAATATCAATTCGGGCAGTTCTCGGTTTTTGCATAGCTTCATCCATTTTCCCGAGTTCGCTTTGCCCCATTAAGAGACAGCCTCTTGGCTCCCGTCCTCACACTCGCTCTCTTTCCTTTCTTTCTTTCTTTCTTTCTTTCTCTCTCTGTTTCCATATTTGTTCTGCGATTCTTGTTTGTCTTCTTATTTCCAAGCCATTGTTTCCTTGCAATTGGCTTCTCTTCCTTGGCGTAGTGGGTGATCCAGACACAAACCACCAGCTTCCCCAGCTTTCCCATTCCAACTCCGATTCTCGGATTGAGGCGCTAGCAACTTCACTTATCTCCCCCAACCAGGGCCTTCCTTGGTTGGAGAGAAGACTACCACCTGCCATTGGCACCTTGCTGTGCAACCGCGTTCAGGATTCGGCTGGTCTGGACATACATACCCACGGTAACACGGACAGTGTAGGGTCCCCCAAGCATCAGGATCCAACCACCCAGGTCGAGCTAGCTTCGAGGGCCTCATTAACACCGCCTCCTCCAGCAGCTAGTGTACACCAGGTGCAAGAGTCTAGCCTGGTAGCCGTGCACCTCGTGCCAGTGCTGTGCCCGTTCCATCTCTTATCCTGCCAAAGCCGATCCTTATCTGCGATTGGCCCCTCCCACCTTCCCTGGCCGCCACCCCCAGTCCGGAATTGCTGCAGAAAACTAACGTCATTTGGAGGCCCCCCAACCATCTCCAGTCTCCAATTATCGAACCCAAACCGTCAACCTTGTCCACCACCGCTGCCGATTTGCTTCTGATCACACCTCGCCATCCCTCTGCATTCGATATTCTTATAAGTGTCGCCACAGCGCCAGGAATCGCACACGGAGCACTTTTCCCGTTGATAGACCAGATCGCCACCCCAGGCCTGCAGGGGTTGCCGCCTGAGTCTGTTTACACCCAGGAAAAAGCAAATCAATTCCCCAACGGCGCCGGTCCAATTGGCTCGGTCGCGCTCGTGTCCAGTCTGCCAGCATGAAGTTCGGCGAGCAATTGGAACAACAATCTGTTCCTCAATGGAGTCTTCGTGAGTTTCCCCAAGCCAGTGCTTGTTCCTTGTCCCGCCTCGAAAATCAATTGCTCCCAATGCATGCGCCACCTGAGTCAATGTCTAACCATGATGTATTTGCCTTCTCGTAGACAACCTCGATTATAATTCATTAAAGCATGAGATCAAGGCGCACACGACCCGCGATCAAGCAACGGCGATAGCCATCCCCGGCCACCAGGATTCAGCCCTTTCAAAATTCGAGGATGGACTTTTTCGCGAGCTCTGTCGCCAGCACGACCGTGTCGATCTCTTCGTTTCCAGTAAAGCCGATGAGGTCAGCCGCCGTCTAGGTAAGCCACCTCGACGCCTCGCAAGCCCAGTTGCGCAAGGGTCAGCAACACTAACACAACGTTTGCCAATAGATCATCTCTCAGGTGCCATCCAGCGCCTGATTCGGAAACACTCCGACGATTCCGCTCCGACAGATTCTATCAAATATCACCGACGGCTTATCAAATACGAAAGAGAGCTATATCAATGCGGCGACGACATCCACGCGCTGTCCCGGTTTGGTAACGCGCAGATTGTGGCCTTCCGCAAGATCATCAAGAAGTATAAGGTATGTTGCTCTCGTGTTTTAATCATGGCTCACTTATATGTTTGCAACAAGAGCGTTGTCGGCTAACCGGATCACTTCGAATAGAAATGGACCGGCTCTACCACATTGGGCGCTCGGTTCAATGAAACTATTCTGAATCACCCCAAGAGCTTCACCCGCCGCGACAATACACCTCTTCGCTTCAAATACCAGGAAATTTTGAGCACTCTTCAACGCGCCTATCCCAACCTGGACGAATTCAGCTCCCCTTCGACCATCGGAGACACTCGCTCAAGGCGTAGCAGTGCCACCGCCCAACAACCTCAGACCCAGTTTGAGCCCTTACCACCCCCCCAGATACCAGAAGAACCTACCCAAAGCCCAACTG